TGAGTTGCTGAATGGACTGCCAAGATCCATCAGATGCCAGGATGGGACAGGATGGGATAGACAGATAGCAGTCGGGCTGAAGGAGGTACGGAGTGGGCAACCGATCAATAGATAAATAATTATCCCTTCATTGATATGGCGTGGAGGTGAAGAAACGGTCGATGGGAGATCGACTTCCGTCCGGGATGAATTGCGTCTATTGAGTTTAAAATTAGATCGGTAAGACAGGAAAGAAACCAAGGCGTGGCCGTGACCGGGGTGGTGGTGGTGGTGGTGGTGGTGGACGAGCGATGAGCTCCCTCCAATCTGCGTGTGATCGTTAGCCCAGTGACCACCGCTAGTCGCATACTAACTTAATGCTAACTACTCACCTGCCCGTCCTCCCATCTTCTCATCTTCTTTCTACCAACCACCTCCCCCCTCTTCCATTATCTTCGATTCCCCCCCTTTGGCGGGTCATCAACTAAAGAAAACCTCAAAAATTATAAAAAAAGAAAAAGAGAGAAGAAATCGAGGGAGAATAGGCTTACATCCCGAAATCTCCCCTCCGATCACGCGCCGTTGCTTGTGTTCCCGAAAGCTCCAACTTTTGAGGCGGACGCAGAGCCTCCCAACCTCGCCTTCGTCTCATCGCCAATCGCTTTCCCTCAATTCCCGCGTTTCCATTTTCCTCCAAGTTCGTCATCCGTCTGTCGCTTTTATCGACTCCATCGTTTAAGCCGATAAATAAAACGAATCAGCTAGGATAACACACCGTCGGCTGCTCTCCCCGGTCGGATTTGACATCGGTTCCACCTCCTTTGTTTTTGATTGAGCTAGACGCTTGCGGGGCCGCAGTTTGGTCCTGCGGGCCTCCATTCTTGAAGGCATGGGGGGCATTGTGAATACCTGCTTTTCCTGCCTGTCCACGGTCGACCGCTGGTGTCATATCACCGCTTGTCTCGGTGGTGGTCGCTCGAGGGACGGGATCTACGAAACGACGCTCGCCGACAATGAGCGGGAAGCTGTCTCCGACTTGTTGGGCTATCTTGAGAACGTAAGTTGCGTCGCAGTCATTCTGCTGTCCTTTCGCTCGATCTATTGCCTTTACATTCTGATTTCTGACGATGTTCCTTTGACTAGAGAGCCGAAACCGATTTCTTCTCCGGAGAACCCCTTCGCGCGCTGAGCACTTTGGTCTACTCCGATAATGTTGATCTTCAACGCAGCGCCAGCTTAACGTTCGCTGAGATAACAGAACGAGGTGTGTGTGGCTTATCTACAGGTTGCTCTGCTGTAGCTAACTTTCGGTTCTCCAGACGTGCGCGAAGTCGACCGGGACACCCTTGAACCTATCCTCTTCCTACTACAGAGCTCCGATATTGAAGTCCAACGGGCTGCTAGTGCGGCTCTTGGCAACCTCGCTGTAAATGGTTCGTACTGGTCGCACCATCCATCGGTCGGGGTCTCGCATGGCTAACAGTTCATAGCGGACAATAAGGTGTTGATAGTCGCCCTGGGAGGGCTGGCCCCTCTAATAAGGCAAATGATGTCCCCCAACGTCGAGGTCCAATGCAACGCCGTCGGTTGCATTACCAACCTGGCTACCCACGAAGATAACAAGGCGAAGATTGCACGCTCGGGTGCTCTTGGTCCGTTGATCCGCCTGGCCAAATCAAAGGACATGCGCGTCCAACGCAATGCTACCGGAGCATTGCTTAACATGACACACTCTGGTAAGATGGTGATATGGACAGTATCGTTTATACTCTAGTCTGACTTGATGGGTAGATGACAATCGACAACAACTCGTGAACGCCGGCGCCATTCCTGTACTGGTTCAACTGCTCTCCTCCACCGACGTTGACGTGCAATACTACTGTACAACAGCTCTCAGCAACATCGCGGTCGACTCTACGAATCGGAAGAGACTTGCTCAAACCGAATCACGCTTAGTCCAGTCCTTGGTACATTTGATGGACTCATCCACACCCAAGGTTCAGTGCCAAGCTGCTCTCGCCCTCCGAAACCTTGCGTCCGATGAGAAATATCAGCTCGAAATCGTGCGCGCCAAGGGTCTTCCTCCCCTCCTTCGTCTCCTACAGTCCTCCTACCTTCCTCTCATCCTCTCCGCCGTTGCATGTATTCGCAACATCTCCATCCACCCTCTCAACGAATCTCCGATCATCGATGCTGGCTTCCTCAAGCCTCTGGTGGACCTTCTTGGCTCCACCGACAACGAGGAGATCCAATGCCACGCGATCTCGACTCTGCGAAACCTTGCGGCCAGCTCCGACCGTAACAAAGAGCTGGTCCTCCAGGCTGGTGCAGTCCAGAAATGTAAAGACCTTGTCCTACGGGTGCCTCTCAGTGTCCAATCTGAGATGACGGCCGCAATCGCTGTGCTGGCCCTCAGCGACGAGTTGAAACCCCATCTCCTCAACCTTGGGGTATTTGACGTTTTGATTCCATTAACCGAGTCGGAGAGCATCGAAGTGCAGGGTAACAGTGCCGCAGCTCTGGGAAACCTATCCTCTAAAGGTACGCTTAACATACATACAAACCCAATTCACTTGACCTAGGCTAACGAGGCATTGCAGTCGGAGACTACTCGATCTTCGTCCGGGACTGGGCGGATCCCAATAGAGGAATCCACGGCTACTTGAACCGCTTCCTTGCAAGCGGCGACCCCACGTTCCAGCATATCGCCATCTGGACCCTTCTCCAGCTTCTTGAATCCGAAGATCAGAGGTTGGTTGGATATATCGCCAAATCGGAAGACGTCGTGCAGATGGTGAAGAACATCTCCGACAAGAACATCGAGTCCGATGATGATGAAACCGAAGATGGAGAGGGTGAGGTTATTGCGCTGGCACGACGATGCCTCGAGTTTCTTGGAAATGGACCCCGACAGACCCTTGTCGAGGGTTAGTACAAATATCACACTGCCTGGATAAGGCCTACGTCATATCATTCGATCCCTCAAACGCAAGTCTATAATTGGCATTCGGTCCCTGTTGTCCTTGGTACATCGAACTTCACTTGTTATTGGTGTTAAGCGGGCATTTTTCTTTGGTGTCACTTTTTTCTTCTGTCAGCGAGCATTCGGTGTGATAGGATTCATCTGCCCTTGTTGATTATCGCCATTCCTGCCATTTTGTACGTTTGAGGGCTACTGTGCTGGTGTATACCTGCGGTTGAGGTTTGTAATTATCCCAGCAACTGGCCTCTATATTTGACTTGTAGTGATATTGATATTAGTGTAAATTTTTGCCGCGATTATGCAAGCCAATCAATCTAAATATATTTGTCTAGAGCAAAGCGAGAATGCCAGTGATGTCACTTGGAATAATAGTTAGTCGATGAATAACTACGGGGTAGTTCTGGTCCCTCGTGGCCGGAGCCTCGGCGAAACCAATTATTCCGAGCTGTCTCTTCTGGTTTTCTTTCGCTTGATATCCACCAACGGGACGGAGCTCTTCATTTCTTTCTCCAGCCATTCCTGTCTTGTTCATTCTCTCCCTGCCTCCCAAGAGCTGCTACACAAAATGACAAGCACCCTACCAGCTCTAGCTATCCCAGGCCAGCGCCTGGGCCCAATTGCCTCCTACTCTGCCGGGCCCGGCACCCACGTGCAGAATGCCAATATCTACGCCTCAATCGCCGGCCCCGTGGTGCTCGATCCGGCGCAACCCAGCTCCAAAGTGAAATCCACGCTCAGCGTCACCCGGAGCATCAACCGCCCCCAGAAACCATCAAGCACGACCCCATCCTCCTCCGCAGAAAAGACCGCCACTCCCAAGCCCAAATACAACACCCTCCCGGCCGTCGAATCCGTCGTCCTGGCGCGGGTCACACGGGTCCAGAAACGCCAGGCCACCGTCTCGATCCTCGTCGTGCTCGACGACTCAAGCAATGCGCAGCTCCTACACCCGTCCCAAACCACATCCGACAATGACAACATCGCCTCGATCCTGACCTCGGCCGCAAACCCCGAGAACCACAGCAACTCGGACGAACTGCGGTTCCAGGCGCTGATTCGCAAGGAGGATGTGCGTGCCGTCGAGAAGGACCGCGTCGTCATGGACGAGATGTTCCGGGTTGGCGATATTGTACGCGGCACGGTCATTTCTCTCGGCGACCAGAGCTTCTATTATATCACTACAGCGAGGAATGATCTCGGCGTTGTCATGGCGCGCAGCGAGGCGGGTAATATGATGTTCCCTGTTAGTTGGAAGGAGATGAGAGATCCAGCTACGGGGGCTGCGGAGCTGAGGAAGGTTGCAAGGCCTTTTTGATTGAAAGTGGATTTCGTGGGCGGGTTTTGCCTCCCTTCTTCCCCACCGATTGCTGCTTTTCACTCCATAACGCCTGTTAGAGTACTGGGTCGCTCTGCTCTGGCCTTGTTGTCTAGACTGCCACGGATGATCGGAATCTCCTGGATTTGACTATTTCTGGACTTTCAACTGCGGACTTGAATCAGTCTTGTCCGGTCAGTCGGCCTGCTCGGACCTGCTCAGAACGGTTCTTAAACAGAGACATCACTGGACTCAAGGGATTGATATAAATCGATCTCTTCGATGAGCAGCGATACTTGACAGGCGCATGCTCTACACACTTCGAACCTCAGAAGGTTCTACCTTGATCATCGCATTCCGTGATGACGCGCTGATGAATTTACGAATTACTAAGTCAAATCGATAGAGATGCTGTCTCCCCTAGAGGAGATGGTACTAATGAAAAACATTCAAAAAAGATTTTTTCCATACATAGTACCTAGATCTCAGTTCGGTTTAATATTTATAATGTAGTCGTTTCACTTGACTTCGATGCTGGTGTTTGACACGGGTACTTTTGACGATATTCTCCGGACATAAGAAACGTATGTACCTGTGCCTATATCTCTATACAACCTAGCATATATAAAAACCACAAAAACAGCAAACCGGAAAAAAAAAAAACACCCATTCATGCCATGTAAACCAATCCAACCAGAAAAACCAATTCAGCTTTTCTTCGTTCTACTTCTTCAGTGTCTTCTGCTTCTCCGCATCAATCAACTTCCGTCCCTGAATAACCAACCCCTTCCTCCTCCTCACGGCATCCATATACCTCTTCGCCACATTCTCCCGATCCGCCAACTCGCCCAAATCCTCAAGTTCTTCTTCCGTCGCGGGCACCCAGAACGGATCCTCGTCGAGGGCCTCGAAGCCCGCGAAGATCAGTTGCGGTTGCGCAGCGCCCGAGGTCCGTTTTCGGATTTCTTCGGCGAATCCGAACGACTCGGCCACGGGGAGGAGAGACAGGATGGTGAAGAACGGCGTGCCTTCTTTCATGGCTTCGGAGAGGATTCGACCGCGGCGGCGCGTGATGACGGCGTAGACTCGTCCGAGGACTTCGGCTGGGGGGTTGTTAGAGAGGGCTTTCTTTTGGGGGGGAGGTTTGGAAGGGCTTACTCGATGCTTGGATCTCGCAACTGTACATGGCAAGCATGATTCGGGGACTCCAGTCTAGGAAACCCTGCGAGATGCTCTCGCGGACTAGTCGGATTGATTCGCCAGTAAGTCGGCCGAGGTCGAGCTCGTCTTCATTGGCGTTGACGGCGAGGTCTTCGAGGAAGACGGCCGTGCCTTGGATGGGCTCCTGGCAGAGCGGTCCTTGGCCGGTGGCTAGCTGGAATGCATAGGAGATCTTGTCGCAGAAGTCGCGGACGAAGAGGGCGTCTCGGCTGCTTTCTTCGGTGGAAACGCTGGGTTGCTTGCTTGGGTCGTCCAGTAAACTGTGATGGGGTGTCAGTTGCATGTCACTTTGTGAAGGGGAAGGGAGGGGATGAAGTTGGGATGGGTTGGACTGACAATTTCTCGCAGGTGTTCACTGCCGTGGCGTCAACCAGGATGTTAGGGCCGATGCGCCTGGGACCGAATGCGATGATCTTGTCAACGACGTTGTTCCACAGTTCTTTTTCCTCTTTTGCGTTCTCGTCAAAGAGCTTGCTGAGTTCCTGCTTAAACTCCTGCAGGGTGAGAATGCTTCCCTCTAGGGCTTCGTCGGTAGCATCGCTGGCTTCGATCTGTTGATTGCTCTCGGAGGATCCGTTAGTGACATCAGTGGCGTTTCGCTTTTCAGACTGCAGTCGCTTGATCGTTCCGACCTGTTTCGTGAAGAACTCTGTGACAGCGGCCGGCAAGGGTACGACTCGCAGACGCATGGTCAGTTGCTTGGACGGCGAAACTACCACGACGCCTCCGCGTCCCACTTCAGGGTTCTTCGGAGGTGCCATTTCTGGCGCGTTGATGATCGTCTCGCGGTATGGAACAATGGTCTGACCAGTTTGGATGTCGCATCGAGCAAACCGCTCCCGAAGATCTTTCAAGCAACGCTCGAGATGCAGCTCGCCGGCCGTCAGGATGACGTGCTCTCCATTGGGAAGAACATCGTACTCCGCGCAGGGATCACTCTGCTCGAGAAGACGCAACCCAGTGACCATCTTACCCAAGTCGGCGGGATTGACAGGCTCAAGTGCGACTCTGACAATAGGTGGCGTGTGCAAGGAAACACCGGCCAAGTTGACGCTTCCTTTGAGCTGAGAGCACAGCGTACCCGTTTTGAGGACATGGCCAGCAAGACCACCAATACCAAACACGACACCCGCGGGAACTGATCGGAGGGGCTCGAGACTCCGGCCCATGAGGAGATACAGGTCCGTGACGGTCACCTTTCGAGGTTCCGGGCTTGCGTGAGGGTTTTCAGGCGAGAACTTGGGTGCAAGGACATAAATCGAATCGCCCACCGTGAGTGTGCCAGAGTAAAGTCGGGCAAATCCAATCAAATGTTCTGGGTCTTCCATCTCCTCAGGCTCGCCGCTTTGCTCCTCTTCCTCCAAGGTAATCCTTTCGAAGGTCGACGTGATCCGAGTGTATTCGTCTGTCTCCGGAGCACTGGTGTCTGCCTGTAATTTGGCGATTTCTTCACGCTTCTTCCTGGCAATCTCGCGGGCTTCGTCCGCAGACATGGTATTGCCGGATCGCTTGTTGCTTGATGATAGTTCGCTCTCTGGAATGGCAGCCATTTTACTGACATACGCCACAACTGGCTCTTCGGGGCCGGTCTTGAATTGAACCATGGCATTCTTCACCTTCTCGTCCACAAATCTCGCACCTGGCGAGTCTTCGATCATGGCAGGCAGACGAGACTCCTGGGCCGTTGGGGGACTGGGCAGATATTCAATGACAGACACCAGCACAGCTGTAGACAGGGGAAGCCACATGGAAAATAACGTAGTCATGATATTCTTGGGATCGCGCGAGCGGAGAATATAAGGAGGTAGGTTGATATTCAGAGACTTCGTGATCTTCTCCAGCAATGCCGGATCACTACAAATGTCAGCATTCTCAGAAATGAAGAGGGTAATTCAAAACCTACCCTTTGCCTTTTCCTCCGCCAGTGGTGGCCTCATAAGCAGCCCAGATACTATCCAACACAAGCTGAACAAACATCGGCTTCAACGCCCGTCCTTTCAGATGCTTCTGACCGAGAACGCGCTTCGTCTTAGGGTCCAGATAATAGTCGCCCCAAAGAACCTTCTCTAGAACGGAACGCTTGATCCCAAGCTTTTTCTCGTAGATTGCAGCAAATTGCCGCACCGTAAAGGCCCACCCATCAACAGCACTGCAGAAGATCACGTTGTTATTCTCCGGCGCAAAGTACAGGTCCTCATCGTCGCGTTCCTCGAACTCGGCTGCATCAACGACGCTACCCTGCGTCGACTCGCCGTCTTGCGTCTGCTTCTTCGAGCGGTCTTTCTGGGTGGCGGTAGCATTGGCGCGCTCTTCCATGCGCTCTCGCCACTGGAGATCCTCCTCCATGCGCTCACCCTGATAGAAACTGCCAATTACGGCGTTTACCTGCTCCAACAGCCTGCTCAGATGATTGTATGCTTCGCTGGGACTCATCTTCAATTCGCCTATCAATCTATCGAGCTTATTAATGACCAAAATCGGTTTCAATTGCTCGACCCAGGTCTGACGCAGCACGGTGACTGTCTGACTGCACACGCCCTCTACGGCATCCACAAGCACGATGGCTCCATCGCACAGCCGTGACGCGGTGGACACCTCGCTGCTAAAGTCGATGTGCCCAGGGGAGTCGATCAGATTGATCAGATACTCTTTAGGGATCGGGGCCGCGTCCGGCGCAGGGCGGCGCATCATGGAAAAGAAGAGCGAGATGGCCGAGGACTCCATCGTGATACCTCGCAGCTGCTCATCCGGCCGCGAATCCAGATAGCGGATCTTTCCCGCCAGCTTGGGCGAAATGATGCCATTTGTGGCGATAAGACTATCAGTCAAGGAGGTTTTGCCATGATCCTAGAACCATGTAAGAGCTGGGATTAATACGTGCGCAATCTCCGGTCGAGAATGAGACCCTGGAGGGACTTACAACGTGGGCCAAAATGCATATCTGCGGTGGGATTAGCGCTGTTGGGTGGTTTGACAACGAGCCCGGGGCTGTGACATCAAAGTGGGATGGAGGGGCAAACGTACATTCCGTATATCTTCCGGTTTCCGCTGCAGGCGAACTAAATCGTCGACATTTACAACAGGCATTTTGACACTCGACTGGCGCTGACAGCGCTCAGATTCAAGAATTCTAGCCTAAGAAGAGAAGTTGGTTGGGCGGCGGAAGGAGAGTTAAGAGATGAATGAACGTCAGAGGGGCAAAAAAAATTCGAAGCCGGGATTTGTACAGGCTGGAGGGACTCGCTCGGCCGCGGAGGATTCAAATACTTCTAATACCGCAACTCTCCTTCTTCACAAGCTGAAGAAGCTATCGGAAGTCTTCAGATGTGTCAAGGTCTACGCTATATTTTCTCCGATTATTAATGACTCTATTCCGGTGGAACTACTGCGCCTGTTATGTTTCATTCTCAGTCATCATGACTCAATGAAGCCGGAAGGCAACGATAGACTATACGCACAGTATGCATTGTCTTATAGATATTTATAACAGTCCTCAAATATCATTAGTCATGTCTCATCAAACGAGAGCTTTATTTTCTTCTTTTTCTGCTTGGGTTTTCGAGATGCAGGTTCTTTGGGCTGCAGTTCCTCGTTCTCTGCCTCAGGCTTATCTTCACCAATGACCTTAACCTGTTTCCGCTTCTTTTGTCCTCCGATTTCAGCTAGATTTTGTTTCGATGGCCCATCCTTCTCGGTCGTCGATTGGGTCCCTTCGTCGGCCCCAGACGGGTCTTTTTTGTTGACTGTCTTTTCTTCAGATGACTCGTCTTCTTTCGGGGCACCGCCGCGAACCAAAGCCTCGTATTCTTCCTTGGAGATTACTTCGTTGCTTTCTTCATCGACATACGTGGGCTCGTCATCATCACCGTTGTCATCTTTCGGTCGACGGGGTCGGGAGATGGGTTGTTGGAGGCGGCCAGATGTATCGCCGTATTGGCCCTTTAGTTTCTGTAGAAAAGCCGGTTCTTTGGCCTCTGTTCTGGAGTTAGCCACGATAGTATGGATGTAGGGTGATATGGAGATCATACCGTAGGCAAGGTTCTTCGCATTGAATGACATGGTGCGATAAACAGGTCTGTTAGTCTTCTGGATCAACTCGGCATAGGTTAGACCCGTCCAGGCACGATTGAAGCACAGAGGATCAAGAGCTAGTGGATATGATAAGTAGTCAATTGTTCATAGTCCTGTTTCTGTTGCGACTCGACTTGATCGGTGCTTGAGAGTTTGCGCTGAAAGACTCGCGCGTAACCGTGTAATGATAAATGAACCCAATAACTATGGGTACTTGGTTTCAAGTCGTGGCCAGCATCGCTACAGACACGAGCCAGAGGGACTGACAGACAAGATGGACTCAATCGTAGCTGGCTAGAGGAGAACTCCGAGGCGGACTCGACCCGGGCGATGCCAAGCGATCCGCAATCCCAAGCTCTGCGGCGCGGCTAAACCCAGATCGGGCGGGAGTCGAAAAGTCCAAAGGGCAAGCTTTCGCGTCAATCCAACCTCCCCTCTCCCCTCTACATCAACCCACCTTGACAACAGAACTATGCTGTGCGCAAGTATGTGATCATTCGCCCCTATTTAATTGGAGTTTCTCGCTGACATGGAATTGATCACAGTTTCGGGAGAGGCACCTCAAGTGCCAGTCGTCTCGCCCAAGAGCGGTATGTTGCAACCTCAAAAGAAGCAAGCGTTCGGTCGGCCATTGTCGCAGGGCTGACTTCGTATATAGGCAGCCTTTTCGAGAAGCGCCTCATCGAGGCCTACATCGCTGAAAATGGAAAAGACCCCGTGAACGGAGAAGAGCTCTCGACGGAAGATCTGATCGATGTTAAATCCCAGCGCGTTGTCCGACCCCGACCTCCTACGCTCACCTCGATCCCTTCCCTGCTCAACGTGTTCCAAGAAGAATGGGACGCTCTGGCTTTGGAGGCCTACACTCTGCGACAGACTCTGGCACAAACCCGGCAGGAACTCAGCACGGCGCTTTACCAGCATGATGCCGCGGTGCGAGTGGTCGCTCGGTTGACCAAGGAGAGAGACGAGGCTCGTGATGCGCTGTCAAAGGTTACGGTCGGTGCCAGCCGCACCGCCGGTGCTGGCGATGAAGCCATGCAGGTTGACTCAGCTGGACTTCCCGAAGCTGTGTTGGCTCGGATCGATAGCACACAAGCATCGTATGTTGGATCTAAAACGGTCTCTACGTGTGGACACATCGCTGATTATCTTTCAATAACAGACTCTCGAAAACCCGCCGTAAGCGCCCGGTCCCTGAGAACTGGGCCACCAGTGACACCCTTTCCGCATACCAGCCTATCGCGAACTCCGAGCCTCTTTCGACTGGAGGTAAAGCTTTGTCCATCAACGCCACGGGAGACTTGGCCCTTGTCGGCGGGGCCGACGGAGTTGTCGGTATCTACTCGCTATCTCAGAAACAGGTCGTGCAGAGCTTGCAAGCCAATGGCCCGGTCACCGACGCCGTTTGGGCAGGCGACAAGGCCGTTGTTGCCTCCTCCACGGGTGCTGTGAAGGTTTTCGAGAACGGTGGCGAAGTCGCCAACTTTAGCCTGCATGCGGGTGCGGCCACAGCCATCGCTGTGCACCCCACCGGCGATATTGTTGCCTCTGTCGGGGCCGATAAGAGCTATGTCTTGTATGACTTGTCGACGAACTCGGTGATCACCCAGATCTTCAGTGACGCATGTAAGCATAATTTCCGGTACCTGTATCTTGGATCTCAAGCTGACAGTATCTTTCTTTCTCAGCTCTGCTGTCCGTCAAGTTCCACCCCGACGGTCACCTCGTTGCTGCCGGAGGTGTGGACGGACAGATCAAAATTTTCGATGTCAAGACGGGCGCGGCCGCCGCCAACTACGCCATGACCAGCCCCGTGAAGTGTCTCTTCTTCTCGGAGAACGGTACCTTCTTGGCGGCTGTGGCGGATAAGTCCACCGCCGTGTCTATCTGGGATCTGCGCAGCTCCCAGGAAGTCAAGGTTCTGGACACGGGCAACCAGATCGACTCGCTCAGCTGGGACTACACCGGACAATTCCTGCTTACTGGAGGACCCAGTGGGTTGACCGTTCAGCAGTACTCCAAATCCGCCAAGGCGTGGTCGGAGCCGTTGCGGAGTGCTGTTCCGGCCGTTGCAGTCAGTTGGGGCGCCGCGGCCCAAAGCATTGTGGCCTTGAACGGCGAGGGAGTGATCACGGTGTTGGGAGGGCAGTAGTAATGATGACTGATTGATTGATTGATACCTTTCGAAAAATCAAAATTTTCTTCTTTGGTTTTATCTGTACTTTTAGCCGCATGTTATCCCTCCGAGAAATCCTAAATGCAAATTCAGTGAACTCATTCTGCGTTGGAAGAGAGGATTCAAAAGTCATAAAGACCGGCATTATCGGTATGGTAGAGATATCACGGGACTCCAGTGCAGTCTGATCACCAGCAGGAACAATCCTTTAAACACACCTCATCCCCTCACCTCCATTTCATCATCCACTCAGCATTCCTTGTGACGTGGGCATTTTATCTTTGTCCTTCATCTATAATTGCCGCGGTGGCCAGCTGTTTGTGACAGGGGCGGCATGTCATCTCTCCACCGCATGGACTCGGACCCAAACTCCCTACAGGATTACTACTAATCATGGCCTCCACCAATACTGAGGCTTCCCCGACTCCGCCGGCAACTGCCCTCTCTCCATTCTTTCGCACCCTTCCTCCCTTACTCCCCCTTCACTCTTGGTTTTCTGGACCGTCTACTATGAATAACGACTCAGGCGTTCAGTTCGTGGCCGCCCGGCCCCGGAAGGTTGGTTTGCTTGTCCATCTTTCAAAGAAGCGGGGCATTCCGTGCCTTGCCAGTGATAAAGAGAGACCTCAGGAACGACTGACAATTGAATGAAACCGACAGCGGGACCATCGTGAAATGACTGAATCCCATAGCCGCCAGTCCTGGCGACAAAACGCCGAAGCGTCGTCCTCTAGATCCCATCCGCGGCGACCGTCCTCGCCACCACCACCGTTACGATACCCCGGAGACGGCCTCGACTTCCGGAGACCTGCGCAGAGCACCGCACAGGGTGCCGTTATCGATCTCACGAACGAGCCAGATTCACCTCCGCAGACCTTTCAGTCCCGGGGTACGAACACAGGGGGTCGATCTAACACACAACCACGACCCCCTCGTTTCGGCAGACCAATCATGACTGAGGTAGTAGACCTGGAAGAAGAGCCGGAAGCCAGTGGACAGGCACCCAGCTCGCCTGAGGTCCAATTTATAGGGTCATCTGTTCGTCCGCCTCTCGCACGCCCACGCGAACACAATTTCGGCAACGACCTCCTGCAAATGCTGCATCTCCACGACCCCCGGATCCATGGGGTCCCGCGCCGAGATGTCTTCAGGGAAGAGGTTGCGAGACGAGCACGGCAAATTGCCCGACACCCTCCTTTGGACGTGGATGCAATCTGGGTGGGAGGGCCGGGCAGTGCGATGGATCTGACCAGTTTCAACCTGGACATGGATCTCATGTTTCGAAACTTTACAACGCCGCCCGACAGAGGACCGCCTGCCAGTTCATATAAACCCCCCAGCCCAGCACCGGAGGGATTCACGAGAACGGTGGGAGAAGACGAGGTTGTGTGTTGCCCGAACTGTGACGCGGAGCTAGGCGTCGGCGACGACACAAAACAACAGATTTGGGTGGCGAAGCAATGTGGTCACGTTCGTTCTCTCCATGATCTGGTTTCTACTCGTTGGTCGGTGCTAACGTCTATCCTAGGTATACTGTGGCGAATGTGCAACCCATCGGTCGAAATCGAGCGCAAAGAAGGCCGCCAGTCAACGAGTCAAGCCCTTCTCTAAATGTCAAGTCTTTGACTGCGGCAAGTCAGTCAGTGCACCGAAAGCGATGTTCCAAGTCTTTATTTAGAGACTCCAAAGATACGAACTCTCTTCTTAACGCCTTACTATTCCAACGGTTGTATCGTTCCGGTGTTCAGGTCGCATCATTACGTTCTCTCTTTCGATTCATCACGCATAGCCACTTTTCTCGATACCCTCATTGCATTTTCTAACTGGTGGACATGGGTCTCATATCATCTTTCTTTCATATGTTACAAAAGATCGTACATATGGTTTCGGAGAAATCTCAGGTTCCTAGGAGTTTGGTGTTGATATTCATTTTCTTAGATATCTTAATTTAAACAAAGACCAGTCAGTGGGCTACGATACCTGCTGAGATAACACGGACGTTTCAACCAAATGGCACTTCAAAAATACTGCATTTTGTACATTTAATGCCAACCCGTTCAACAAGAAATACAGCTAGCTTCGGGTTTCTCCCCCCGGGCAAGAATAGATCAAACAGAAACGAAAAAAAAGGCCCCCATTAGACATAATATGACAAGCTGGAAATGGGTCTCCCGGGTCTCCCAGTCCAGAAAACATAACACCGTTGCTGATTTAACCCCAACAAACAAGGAAACAAGAAACAAGTCTCCGCTTTTACACTCTCCTGAGGTCGCCGTGGTACGGGGACCAGATGCCTCGCACGCTGTCGTTGATACTCGTCACGGGCTTGTTGGTGCGCTTCAGCTTCTCGCCGCTGGCTTCCTTCAACGCGACGGTCTTGTTGAATATTTGCTCGGGCTCGAGGTTGCGCAAGCAGACGACCTTCTCGCGGCCGTTGATATAGTGGCCCTTGACCATGGGGTGCTTGTGCGGTCGGGGGGATACTCGGATCTCGATCTGAGGGTGTGCTTTGGCGAAGGCGGGAAGCTTGTTTTTCAGAAAGCTCCTGTAGTCAGGACGAATTAGCGTAGAGAATCTTGATGAGGCCTCTGCGAGTGATAACGTACACCATCCCCCGTGAGCTACCTGCCCAGTCGCAGTAGTGGAAATCCAGACGCTTGCATTGTAGAATGAAGGCGCCGACGCCGTTCTGCAGTGAAGAGATGGATTAGCCCTGCAAAAGCGTAATATTGAACCTCTTCCCGGTGAGACCGGCACGTACCTTGGCGGAAGTCACTGTCCGAATCCCTTGCACAGGCATGGTTGGGGTATCTTGATCGCTCTGATCTCTTGCAACAACCAAAGTCCAGGAACACCGGGGACTTTTCAACGCCGACGGTTCCGTTGCTCATTGGCTCGCGCCAAGCTCGGCTGCGGCGCCTGGCGGTCCTCGAGGAGCACCCGTCGTTAGTTGGCCTCAGGCCGTCCGCCCGGCACTGGAGCCAAGTCAAGTGAGCGGACGGCAGAACGCGAAACGAAACTCATCAACTCTTGTCCGAAGACAAAGAGGAAAGGGTGAGATATCGACCACCACCAACTTCTTTCTTCCCCTCATGTGTCTGCAACTTTAGTTTATTCTCGTCTCTATTTTGGCAACCACTCATCGAAACAACAAGTTGCTTGAGGGGCCAGGATGACAGACAAACTCCCCCCTCCGTTGCTTGCCCTCTTCCAGCCGCGGCCGCCCCTGCGCTATGTCACTCCTATTGATCGGGCGCCCGAGGATGCAAAGAAGAGTACCATCAGCGGCATTGCCCAGTTCCTTCCGGAGGCGAAGAAGTTCGAAGAGGAAGCTCCGTACAATGCCACCGACTGCTGGTTGCAGCGCAAGTTCCGCCAGAAGGCTGAGTCCAAGGAGCGACTCAACAAGCAATTGACGGAAGACCTTGAAAGCTGTATGTCTCCCCCTATGTTTCATTGGAATTTATGTACCTGTGGCTGACTTTCTTAACTTCTGTCTAGTTGATCCTTCTGCCGACGCACAGGCTCGAGGCGATCCGTTCAAGACGCTGTTCGTTGCCCGGCTCAGCTACGATGTGAAAGAGTCGGACCTGGAACGAGAATTCGGACGCTTTGGACCTATTGAAAGGGTACTGTCCCAGAACGCAAACTGTGACGTTCTTTTACCTCCCCCAACCCCCCAAGAAATGCCCACTGACAAATCCAAGATTCGAATCGTTAAAGACAATGTAACTCCGAAGGGCGCTAAGAAGTCGCACAAGGGATATGCGTTTATTGTCTACGAGCGTGAGAAAGATATGAAAGGTATTGCCGCTGTGTCTCCCGAGCCGTCTCTGATTCAAGATGACGCTTCTATCCATCGCAAGGATTTTTGTTCGCTAACCTCATCCCTTTTCGTCTGACTCCAGCTGCCTACAAGGAGACAGATGGTATCCGGATCAAAGACCGTCGCGTCCTGGTAGACGTTGAACGCGGTCGCACTGTCAAGGGCTGGAAGCCTCGCCGATTTGGTGGCGGTCTTGGAGGCCGTGGTTACACCAAGGCTATGCCCTCTCGACCCATTGGACCAGGATCGTTCGGAGCTCCTTCAGGACCTGGCGGATATGGCGGTGGCTTCCGTGGTGGATTCGGTGGCAGAGGAGGCAGAGGAGGTTTCCGTGATCGTGGTGGCTTTGGTGGTCCCCGTGGCGGCATTGGATACCAAGGTGGTCGTGGCGGATTTGGCGGACAGGCTCCCCCCAACGCACCTTCTGGACCTGGCGGTGGGCGAAGTGGTGGCTTTGGTCGACACGACCGCAACCGAGGCGCAACCGGAAGCAACAGCGAACCTATCAGACCCAGGGATAGCTATGGCGACCGCGATCGACGGGACCATGATCGCGACCGTGATGGTGACCGACACAGAGACCACAGAGACCGCGACAGGGATAGCTACCGCTACCGGGACCGGGATCGCGACCGCGAACGTGACAGGTATGGAGGTCGTGAGGACTACGGACGGAAGAGATATCACGAAGACGATGCCTATGATGACCCCCGCGCCAAAAGAAGATACTGAGAGTTCCTTGATACCACGACGGGGTTCTCTTCCCATTCCAGTACTTAAAAAAAACACGGTATGCTGGTGGGTATTGATTGATCGTGACTTCTATTCTCTTTTTCTCCCTCATCGTCCTCGATGGCAATGGGTAAGGCAAATGGAAAAAAAACTCAACAATCAAGCCAGGGTTACGAGCTCGAACTGCACCTACTTACAATAGTCCCAAGTGTCATGCACCGTCTGTCACGAGGGCTCTATGCGTCATTTGGCCAACACAAAGCATGATATCTTGAAAGATATCATACAGGCAAGGACTTGATTGCGACGCGACCCCTTTTTGAATCTCTCATGTTCTTATTCTATCTCCTGTTTCTCTTTCTCTTGTTTTCCCGTTTTATTTCTCTATCTCTTCCAGGGGTTCAAGAGACTCTTGAGGGGTAAGTATGTACTTTAGGTAGTTCAGCATTTCTTTTTTTTTCTGGCGGAAATAATGGTGGGATTTCATGGACGTTCAGAGGTAAGAAGATCAGGTAAGGTTTTTTCTTTCCAGAAACAATGACCGATGCCAGACATCTTCGTATGGGCTGTAAATCAAGGTAATGAATTATTTGAGTTGCTTTTTCTTTTCTGTAACTGTGATTTGATATTTCTTGGTTTGCAGCAAGAACGTAGATGGCACTTTTGCCTTGTCTATCTCTAGTTCCTAGATAACTTTTTTTTCCCTGTCTGGTATTCATGTATGACCCGTGTCATACGCTCATCAACCCAAAGGTATAAACCACCCCCAGCACATAAGATCAAAGGCACAGAATGAACCTGGAATCCGAAATCATATCGAAATAAGATAATTTCAAAGAAATGTAGAAAGAAAGGCGCCTAAACCTAACTCCATGAAATGCCCAGGGGATTTCGTTTAAAATGATAAGAAAAGAACCGGAACCAGAGCGTAAACTTTTCCTGTGAAAAAAAAACCTCCATCTTTCTTTCATTCTCTTCACTGACCATCCACATCCATTCCGCCTTCCAAGATCTTCACCTCCCCAGAATCCCGAATCCAGTGCGCCTTCAACGCCACATGGAACTCAGAGCTCACGACACCAAACATCTTCAATAACGTCGTCTGTCGTGAGTCCAGAGTCTCGCCCTCCTTACAGATCGGGAACGAGTTCTGCCCCTCCGTCAACTCCAGCATGACCTTCCCCTTGACCAGACGCGTGGGGATGCCGAGTTTCCGCAACTCGGGCTCGATGGTGTGGCTGATGGGCTCGTCCTGGTCGGCCGGCAGGTCTCCGCCGCGCGAGTAGACCAGGCCGTTGGGCAGGCTGAAGGAGCGGGTGCTGACGGTGCCGGCGCGCGCGAAGTCTAGCGGGCGGAAGTTCTCAAAGTACTCGGTCACGGACTGCGGGTCGCGCGAGGTGAAAAGCAGACCGACGGCGCCGGTCAGGTGGGGGGCGAGCTTGTGCAGGTTCGTGGCGGCTTCGGATTCGGGGTTGTGGCCTAGGGCGACGGCCATGACTTTGGTCTTGCCGAAGAAGAGACTGGTTGGGTGTTAGAAGATTTTGTTCGGTGGGGATCGTAGTTTGAGCGGTTTTCTTGGAGAGCAATTCCCTTGCATTCTCTTCGCTCCCTAATTCACACCATGCAGGTTGATATGCAATGGAGGGAAAGATCGTATCGTAGAAGAATGTGGCTGCGGGGGAAGTGGAATGCATGCTCGTGGATGAACAAGACAATGTAAAACTCACCGGCTGTCGGCAAACTCAGTGCGTACATCCTTCAGGTAGGTGTTTCGCATGTTGTTCACGTCAAAGACGAACAGGTGCTCATAGTTCTCGACGGCCTCGCGGATGTTGGCATACAGCCGTCTCGTCTGTTCCTTGTGCGATTTTTTGGCGGTCTTCGACTCGTGGACGACTCTGGCACGCTTGGATCGAGGCATTGTGAATATGAAATTAAAGAAAACGTAAAGAATCTAAAAAAGGGGTCGAATGATATAACCACCCGGGATGCTGGATGGAGGGGAAGTATATACAACCGCGGAGAAAAAAAAGTCGACGCTCGGAGAGATCGAAATACAATTATTTTTTTTCTTCGCTGATAACAGCCGGATTATCGTTGATGCGGGGCTTATCCGATCCGCACCCCATCCCGTATGGGGAAATGAGCTGAGGAGCAGCGGATGCCTCTCTTCATCCATCCATCTCTCTCTCTCTCTCTCTCTCTCGATCTTACTCGGTCTTGATTGCTCAGCATGTGTGGCTGCTGGGTGCCTGTATCCTAATTTGACATTATAGTGTCGGGCCATCGTCTCCCACAATGCTCGATTTCATGGATTACATCCAACTCGCCTTCGCCGAGGCGACGGATTGGAATCGCGACAATTCGTACTCGTCGCTCACGGCCACCGCGCAGTGTATGTGAACAACTGATTCATATCAGGCTCCCTTTATGGGTTTCCCAGTCTGGTGCATACCTAACTATCCTAATCTAGCGCTCCTTGACTTCAAGACACCCGAACGTCTGCGCGTCCACCTCTCCTCCCTATCCACCCCACACTTTGCAACGAGTTACACCCTCGGCACCGTTGGCTTGATCGATGGCTCCGTATCGTATCTCTACAGCACGGTGCCATTCGACAACACCCCCAGCCGAAGTGCACTGATCCCACTCCGCAAACTCGCCCCGGGATACCGCCAGGTCCAGGCCCCCGTCGCACCCGTCGAGAACTGGGGATGGGACTCGATCCTCGACGGCGCGCAATCCGGCTCGAAACAGCACAGTAACCTCGATGCGGCTTCACCAACCCCCCTCTCTCAAAAGGCTACCCTCCTCAATGCCACCCTTCACCTCCCCCCCCCGACCACCCTCAATGCGCTCTTCCTGCGCCGCATCTCGCCCACCATGCAGCTCACCCTGGCCGTCTGCTCGACGCGAGGCCCGCCGTTGTCCAAATCCGCGCCGCAGGCCTCACTCCTGACGCAGCTGTCCCACGACACGGGCAAATACAGCAATGAGTACCTGTTCAGCACCGACAACGCGCTCTTCGGATGGCGTGGGCTGTGGAACTTCGGGCCCGACCCGCGCACCTCCAAGGGCGATGCCGCCTCGCCGCGTCTCTCGTTGCTCTCCGCCGGCGCAGAGGCCTACTACTCCCCCGTCTCCTCGCTGATCGGCATGTCTACCGGTTTGCGATTCAGCACACTCCCAGCTGCCACGGACCTTCCGTCCTCCATGACATCTACATCTACATCTACATCTCCACCTTCCACCACCTCTTCCTCTAACACCAACACCACCTCCGCAACCAGTAACACCAATAATAACAACAACTCCCACCCTATCTCCACCTTCCCCTACACCCTCACCTTAACCCTAACCCCCCTCACCGGCTCCCTCTCAACGACCTACTCCCTCCGCGCATCTCCAAACCTCGCCTTCAGCTCCCGCTTCGGCTTCAACGTCTACAGCTGGGAAAGCGAAATGGTAGCAGGCTGCGAACTATGGCGCCGCAGCCCAACCCGCAACAACCAGGATGATCCAAACTGGGACGGATTAGAATGGGCTCGTCGAAAGATGCGCACCTGGGATGATCCGCCCCGGTCCTCTGAACCCGAACCCTCAACATCCCCAACAATCTCCAACTTCACCCCGCTAGGCGAAGAGAAAGAAGAAGAAGCGAACGGCTCAGTGCTAAAGATCCGGGTTGATCAGTCGTGGAATGTACGACTTTTATGGGAGGGTCGGGTGAAAGAGTTATTAGTGAGTGCGGGGGTTGGGTTAGGGCCGAGTTCGTTTTCGTCGTCGTCGTCTTCATGGGCGAGTTCGAATGCGTCGTCGGGACAGAGTGCTGGGGGAGGAGGACCCGGGAAGTCGTATTGGAGGGGGGTGGGGGTTTCGGTGTTGTATTCTTCTTAGAGCCTACCACCTACCTTTACATTGAGTGAGTGGGTTTAGGGAGGTAGTTGATCTTTCTTTGTAGAAAAGAGAGGAGAGGAGAGAGACGATGAGGAATGATGATGTATATGATGTGGGATTTTTTATATCTGTATATATAGATCGTTAGTGTTTTTATGTAGAAATAGAAATATTACTACTACCCCGAGAGTAGATAAGCCTGTTAAACAAAGTAAAGTTCATTAAATAGCATTCATGGTATGTAAATTCTGAACTCGTTATAACCATTTTGGACATTTATACATGACTGAACGTGAATTTGCCTTGTCAGGCAAAGCCAGGGTATCCTAGCAAAGTCGGCGTCTATCTTTCAAGACTCGACTAGTATCAGCCGGCTAATATCTGCTGGCAATAGGATTGCTCATTGAGTGCTAATAAGTCCGACTTTTCTTTTGTTTACAGACGGGCGTTGATGATGTCGACGACTGCGATGAGGAATTAGTATATGACCGACGACGGCATTGACATTGCACATCAAATGGCAGAGAGCAACTTACAGGCAGGCTTCAAGCTGGCACCGCCAACCAGGAAACCATCAACATCGGGCTCCTGGGCGAGCTCCTTGCAGTTCTTCTCGCTGACGGAGCCACCGTAGATGACGCGGGTGTTGTCGGCAGCCTCGGCGGAGATGGTCTCGTTCAGCCACTTACGGATAGCGGCGTGGACCTCCTGGGCCTGCTGGGTGGTAGCGACCTTGCCGGTACCGATGGCCCTGGGAAATTACTTAGGTTAGCTCCAGTCAGACAGACATCGCAGCCTTCTCGAGTGAGGCTGCGGGCAAAGCAAAACAAGGAACAAGGCAGGGCATCCACTCACCAGACGGGCTCGTAGGCGATGACAACCTTCTCCCACTGCTCCTTGGAGAGCTCCTTAGCGGCAGCGTTGAGCTGCTTGGTGACGACCTCGATGGTCTTACCGGCATCACGCTCCTGCAGATCGAGGCTTTAGCACCTACCAACGTTGCATCTCTTAACCCCTCTTTTTATTTGAGGGGGTGTGAGTGAGCACGTGAACATACCTCAAGAGTCTCACCGATGCAGAAAATAACGCTGACGCCACCGGCAACAGCAGCCTTGACCTTACGGGCAATGAACTAGTTCTCAATTAGCACACCGAGCGACTCCTAGCTCTTCCCCACTCAGTAAATCAAACATACCTCGTCGGACTCCTTCAGGATAACACGACGCTCGCTGTGTCCAATGATGGTCCAGTTGATCTTAGCATCCTTGAGTTGGTCCACGGAGATTTCACCAGTGAAAGCACCGTTGGGCTTGTCGAAGACGTTCTGGGAAGCCACACCGATCTTCTCGTTGGCGACCTGGCGAGCGAGAAGCAGGTAGAGGGCGGGAGGGGAGATGACGACCTCGGACGACTCGTCGAGCTTGGAGTCGTTGAGGTTCTTGATGATGCCGGTAATGCTTTCCGCAGTACCGTTCCTGTATTGAGCAAGGAAGAATTTTATCAGTAATTGGAAGGTTTTGGGGGGTGGGACAGGACACAGCCGCAGGTTGGCGTTTTATTTTTATTTTTATTTTTCAGGGGAGGTCAGGGAGGGAGCAACTGCGGGGCAGTGTTGAGGAAAGCTCGTACATCTTGAAGTTACCACCGATGAAGAATTGGCGAGGCATTTTGGTAATGTGATTGAGATAGTGTCGGAGAGACGGGGGAGAAGGTCGAGGGAGAATGGAGTGGGATAATGTGAAGAAGGTTTGGAGAGGAAGGGAAAGAGGGTGGTTAATAAAAGAGAGAGAAGAGAGGAAGGGAAGGGGAGGGAAGAGAGCCAACGATGACGAAAAGAAAGCCCGAGGATCCAGGCAGCGATGGTGGGGCAGGCGAGACGAGAGGGAAACTCTGGCGGGGCTTATCGATAAACTGGAAGTCAGAATGCGCTGTCACTGCATATCCTCTTCTTGTTCCTCCCCCTTGATGAATTGGCTGTCTACTACTACTTGTTTAAGTGGACTGGACTGTTTCACTCTGGACATCTCCTCTTTTCTTCTGGACATTCTTGTGGTCGTACATCACTACATTGCATTTTGGTTGCTAGACGCCCGAAAGTATACAGCCCCGTTTCCTATGACGTTATTTCTGTTTACCCACCGTTTCCCAAACCCCCAACCGCGCCGGCAAAACCAACCCAGAAAAAGCCTCAAAACAACGGAGGGAAACAAAATGCAATAGAAAAATTGAGTAAGAAAAATGAAGATCCCAAATCACAGAGCATCCCGTAGATAGTACCGACGAGGATAGAAACCACCCCGCTCGCGCATCGACATGCATCGGTTCAGGTAACGGGCCTCGTCTAGGCGGTCATCGAGCATTTGCGTCCGATAATCGACCATTTTCTCCCTGCGCTCAACCCTCGCTTCTCGGTCGTCTAGAATTCGGGTTCGAATATCGTTGCGGGCCCGCAGACCGCGATACTTTTCGTCATAGGCCACCATGTCGAAGTTGTCGGAAGCGCTATGGATAATTTTCGGCCGATCCCGGGCTGGTCGGGCGACTTCCCGAGTGTGCACCTTCGATAACCGGTTCGCGCTGTTTTTGCTCTCCGCCGGGACCACATCGATGTAGCCGGCTGGGTACTTGGTGCGACCGTTCCTGCCCTCCCCTCCAGTCTTGGAGTGTTTTCGATAATGCGTTCGGTAAACGGGCTCTTGGCGTCGCGACTTGGATGAGTGTCGCCGAAAGAGACTGCCGCGCCAGGGCTGTGTCTTGCCGTGGAGGTCGGCGTCGCCTTCATGCTCTCCCTCTTCCTCTTCCTCCCCCAAGGAGCCGTCGGTGATTGAACTGAAGTCCTCGTCGTCGAACAGTATCGACTCGTCGTCTCCTATGCTGCTGGTTTCCGGTCCCCATTCGTGTTCCGGTTCCGGCACATTGGGGGCCCTGGGCATAGCTGCATGATTCGGGACAGCGTTATTTGGGATACCTGCGTGAGTCGGGATGGTTCCATGACCAGGGATGCCTCCCTGGTGAGCGATGCCTCCTTGGTGAGGGACGCCTCCTTTGTGAGGAAGACCACCTTGGTGAGGGATACCTCCGTGGCCGGGAAGACCTCCATGGGCGAGGTTTTCTTTGCCTAGGCCTTGTTGATTCAAGTACTGAGCAAACGGATTTTGAGCGGGGTTCGATCCTTGTGTCTGGCGAGGTGCGTTCATGTTCATATTCGCTGGGAAGCCGCCCATGCCCTGCTGCAAGATCTCAATTTCTGGGCCTTTGCTCGGGACCGACTTGGGATTGCTGAGGAACTCTGGCTGTTGGTGGACGGCAGCGGGCATGCCGCGTGGCAAGGGGGCTTGGTGGACCTGGTTCACCTGTGGTCGTATGCCCGCTGGATGACCCTGAAGATGGTTCAGTTGAGCTTGAGCTTGTGAAGACATCTGCTGCTGAAATTGTGGGGGTAATTGTTGTTGCTGTTGTTGCTGAGCGGGGTGGTTAACCATGCCAGGTGTCTGCCCCTGCTGCATCCCAGCTCTGGTCCATTGTGCGCTCTTCATGAAATCATGGCTCGCTTGCTGTTGTTCACCACGAGCCAATAACTCTTCCACATTCGTCGTGGGCTTATCCTTAGCCGTGAAAGGTAACCCCGAGTTCTCAACTCCGACATTAGGAGTCTTAGGGTTGTGTGCCGTGTCGAGGGGTTTCCTCATAAGGATGACATCCATGGAGACCGTTTCGTAATCCCCCCGTCGAGAATTCTTACCCTTAAACGGCTTTTCATCTTCGTTCACATAGACGCAGGTCCATTCGAACCGCGGGTCGCTTTGTCGGTGCTCGTTAATCAACTGGTCCACATGTGTCCGTCTCAGCTTCTTCAGTGTCTGGTACTGCTGGGCACTGGACAGTTTCTTGCCCTTCCTCTGCACTAACTTGATGAGATCTGCTTGATTCAGGTGCATTCTGGTCCGTTCGGCATGGCTCCAGGTGGGTTTTTGACCGGGAGGCGCGTCGGCCTTGAAAAAGGTATACCCCACATACTGTGCTGGAACCCGGACCTCGAAGTCTTTGTGGGGAGTGAAACTTCGGGCCTTCTGGTCGTTGGCAGTAGCGAGGTTGTTGGCATTCATACGAAGACGGGCCATCTCGTCAGCCAGCTGTGCGGGGTTGACGGGGGCAGGTGGGTGAGGGTGTTGAGGGTGGAAAGCACGAGGGGCTTCGTTTGGATGAATGGCCTGGTGACCAGGTGGGTGATGCATAGGAGGCACTGGAGGCATCATGTCTTGATTGATGACGACCATGTCGTCTCAAGAGAGGACTTCTCAGTGGAGAAGATTGAAGAACAACAGCAGAAGATGATATTAGATCTGGACTATGGAAGCTGACGAAGTCTTATATAAGAAAGGAAAAGAAGAAGTAAGGCAGCCCACGCGGGGTACGACGTTTGCAACAGAGACTTAGAAAAAAACGAACAATAACCGTGTTCACAGAAAAACGTGGGGAACAAAGAGAGAGAATACCAGAAGGGGGAGCCCCGATGCAGCGGGGATGAGCAACTTTTTGAATTGATAAGAGTCATACTAGGCAGCTGTTCAGCATGGAATCATCCAGTCAGTAAAAGATGTTTCAGGACGTGAAGATCCCTGTTCCTTTCTGCCTTGCCCATCAGTCGGATTGGTTGAGTACCTAGACGCCCAGGATCCGAGAGGAGGTCAGAACTCAGGACCGAGGACCATGAAAGAACAGTCCGTTGGAGCTATCGCTGTCGATGATTGGTCCGACGGGATCAGAGAAAAAAAGTGAAGCTCAAGTCCGACTGGAATGGGGGTGAAAGGGTGAAAGACCTGCCTCGGTGCCCGTCGACACGAGGAAGGACGGGGCGCAGAAGAAGCCCGGGCATTGCAGGCAGTGAGGCTATCAGCCAGAAGGGAGGAGTTTCGAGAGGGGGGGTTTTTTCCCCCTCAAAGAATAAAAAAAAAAAGTAAAAGGATTCTGGTTTTTGCCCTGATTACTTTTGATTTACCCCTTGTAGCGCCCCCGAATGATGTATGGAAGACCTCTCAGCCGCGATCCAGGGGGGGCTATGCGAAGCGTCCAGGATAGCCACCCTCCATCACGAGGGGAAGGGAAAAAAGAAAGAAAAGAAAAATACAGTAAAACCAGAGAAACGTGAGTCAGCCACAGGCGAAAAGGCCAGAGAAGCAAGAGGCTGCGTTCGCAGAGTACGCAGTCAGAAAAAAGAAAAGAAAAGAAAACAGCCATGATGGAGTTGGGGCCAAAGTGTCATCATCATCGTGGTAATTCTTCAGAGGAAACAAGCACGCCCACTGTATCACCCAGGCTGCATGGCGTTGATGGGGATTTCTGTTCATGCAGTGAAGTGGTAGCCTAGTCACTACTGTACTGCGCATGCATCGGCTGCTCTGCATGCTCCCAGAGTGCCCTGAGCCGTCCGGGAGTGACCCCGGACAGGCTCCTGCTCGCCCAGTTCAGGGGCTTGGCAGTACGCAATTCTCGATCATTAAGATGCATTAAATCGTAAGAGCCGCGCAGTGAGTGATCTGCTACACTCCCCATCAGGCATGGGCCGAAAAGACCAACTCTTACAAGGAATGCCTGCGGGATTCCACATATAGTGCCATACTCGTACAAAATTGGGTAGAACTAGCCCACCCATTGATCTCCTAAGGCATTCGCTCGGTGACAGCATCGTAGCTTGGCAATTGTTAAGAGAGTGCCTAGTTAAGTTCCGGGACGCCGCTTATTAAGACCTGATAGAGACCTTCATTTGCTGAGGGAGTCTTCACGCCTTTTTTCCATAGTCTGGATCCCCACAGCGGCATTGATGTAGGCAAGCTCCGGACCACAGTGGAGACATTTCATGCAACTCCTCGTCCCCTGCTTGGTAGCGCGCGAACATGCTCCATGTAACTACTAAATACGGTGTGGCACTTGTTGCAATATGCTACCAATGGGTCTCAAAGCGTTTGATGCGTCCATCAAACTAACACAAGCTTATCTCAAATACAGCAAATGATTGACATGAGACAAATACACCTGATAGTTCCACTTATTTAGAAGAGCCAAGTCCCTGAGTCAGCGGGTACGGCATCAATGCCAATTCCGAATTTGGTCAAGAAAGAGTGCCTACCTGAAGTATCGGCCAGTATAAAGTCAACCTCTCAATGCACTTCTGTATGGGCTATTTCGGGATGTACAATCCAGCGCGGGAACAAAATAAAACTTCATCGGCCAGCAAGGGTCTATATCTTCCTCGGTGTGTGCAAATATAACCATGGAACGAGAACAAGACACCGGAATCTCTGTTCTTGTTGTCGGTGGTGGCATTGCGGGTTTGACCTTCGCCATTGAGGCTCACCGGAAGGGACACAACGTCCACGTTATCGAACGGCGACTCCGGGGAGAAACTGCAGGTGAGCACGGTCTTCAATCCGTTCCAATCTAAACACACGTCGCCAGAAGATGGACAACCGCCACCATGCTGCACCTACTAGCTAGTTGAGTTGCACGTTAACGCTTTCCGCAGGTGAGGTGATCACAATCACCAGCTCTGCCCTCCAGACCCCAAAGAAATGGCCGGGGTTCATGGAACGGGCACGGCAAGAGGACACTGCTCCAGTGGTCACCATGAAAAAGTTCGACGGGAGCTTGATCGGAACCTTCCCCGTCGGTAACCCAGACGACCCATCTCTGGCCATCTACCGATCGAAGCTCCATAACGTGCTCTATGAGTATGTCGAACAGCTCGGCATCCCAATCGAGTTTTCCGCGACAGCTTCCGAATTCTTCGAAGCGGATGACCATGGTGGCGTGGCCCTGTCTGATGGGCGCCGTCTCACGGCCGACGTAGTGGTAGCGGCGGATGGAGTTGGCTCCAAATCATGGGTCTTGATCACTGGCAACAAAGAGCCCCCTATCAGCTCAGGATTCGTGCTTTATCGCGTCACGTTCCCCGTAGCACCGGCTCTCGAAAATCCGGTCATTGCGGCGGAGCTTGAAGGATTCAAAGACCGGACATTCCTACACGCAGGCCCGGGGGCGCATATCGTGACTTGCAAGTCTGGGGAAGATATTTGTTGGCTACTCACTCGCAGGGTATGTTTCCTTGTGTGTCAAAGTCTACACTGTGCAGTTACATTCTAATTTCACCGCATACAGGAGCATGATAGTAATGCGGAAGAAGACTGGGAGAAAACAACATCGATTGACAAGGCTCTCAAGGCCGTCGAAGGCTGGGAGCCATACGTGACCGAGCTGATCAAGGCGACGCCCAACCACACCGTTCTTGACTGGAAACTTATGTGGCGTAACCCTCAGCCACGATGGGCGTCACCTCGCGGCCGCGTCGTTCAGATCGGGGACGCCGCACATCCATTTCTACCGACCTCAGCGAGTGGCGGGACTATGGCCATGGAGGATGCGTATTCTCTGGCAGCGTGCTTGCGTATTGCTGGGAAGAAGGACGTGTCTCTGGCAACCAAAGTACATAACCACTTGAGGTATGTGACCGTCAAAAAGCCCTAATCCTCCGCCCAATTTTGCATAGGCGGGGGTATAAGAGTAGAGATTACAGGGTCTGACAATACACACTCGATAACAGGTTTGAGCGAGTCACCTGCGCACAGAAAATGGGATTCAAAAATCGCGAGGTATTCCACAACACCGACTGGGATGCCGTGATCAAGAACCCGAAGATAATGGGCAAAATGGTTGGTGACTGGCTATTACACCACGACCCCGAGCAGTACGCATATGAGAATTACGACGCATGTGCAGAGCACCTCGTCAAGGATATACCATTCAAGAACACGAACTCGGTACCTGGATACACGTACAAGCCATGGACTGTCAAAGAACTCCTAGACGCTTCGGAAAGTGGCGGGTCCGTTGAAGATGAAGGAGATTGGTCCTGAATGGAAAGAAACCCCATCTGTGACCTGGAAATGCTACAAAGAATATATTTCTGAGCTATAATGCCCAGTCCTGTAATATAAAAATGGCTGTCTAAAGTGCAAGATTTACCTACTATATTTACTAGGTGATACTTAATGCTGCCCGGTGACATTGCATAGTGGCATTTATTGCTTTTTTTTTTTTTAGTATGGGTTGACTGATACCCAACCATCAACTTCTCCATGCATCTTTTTCAATCACAGCTGAAAACTGACGGGCTGAAAGTCGTGATTGGTCTGTTCTTGCAATCGGAGGTGCAGCAAGGCGCAGCCAAGACAGGCACCAGCGCTTACTAGGAGTCTGACAGGAGTCCTTAGCGCAGTGCGATGCATTTCCATTGTACTCACGGCCATCACCAGCCACACGGCAGTTCCTGTGTCTCTCATTACATGCAACATTACCGGATGGAGTTTTGTATCTTCAGAGACCGTGGATTGACCTACTGTGTCTGAGTGAGCAATTCGGTGGGTCCGTTGAGTACCTACTGTATAACATACTGCGTAGAGACTAGGAAGGAAGTGTTGCAGCTAAATTGTACTAGTTCAAAGATAGGGACTCTGTAGAAGAAAACCTACTAAACCCCACCCCCCACCGGAGTACATAGTTTGGGGTACACAAGAATGATCAACATTAACACTAGCCGGACCCGTGTTTGTCGTGCGTGTCCCCTCCAGTGTGACTAGTGCTCTGAGCTTGCTGGTAGGTCCGGGGAAGTACTGAGCAATATCACAATGAGTCATATATCTTGGGTGATTGAGATGTACTCATCTTTGCACTCGGTGTCTCTGCTTGAAGAGATAGCCAGTAGCGTTGTCACTTGTGGGCCGAAAGCACAAACATGGTAAGGGTCGTGTAGAAGGAGCATATCTAGTAAGCTGCCTTCATTCTCATATTATCTTTTTGTGATCGCCTTTCCCATGTACTCTCCAATTATCGTCTGATTAAGACCCACTAATAAGGTGCTTACAACGTCATTGAAAGATTATCAAATAGACGATGCTCATCATACCTGCGTCATGTCCTCGTTAGGCAGCCAGTCTCTACTTCGCGGGTCTTGCCAAAAGTTGCATGGTATCAAAGACCGGAAACATCCTTATTGGTATCTACCAACTCGAAGAAGCCTTTACCATATCTCGTAGTGTATATACAAATCTAGGAAGTGAAGATCTATTAACAATTCCAAGGGTTTGTCTAAAGATGTCCTAGGGGTCACCCGTTCTTTGATTGTAATTTCTTCTATAAACCTGCTTATCATAAAATTTCATGGCGTTAGAGCGTTCAATTCGTAGTGGGATAATACGGAAGGACCAAACCATTGAAGGGCCTGTGCCAGTGACAACAGTCGGCCTCAAAATGTCTGGTTTAGTTGATGCAAAGAAACACGCTTGATCTCCCCATCTCGTAGAGATAATGTGGAAATACTAGGGGCGAAAACGGGCCAAGGCAAACAAAACAAAACAGAACTTGAAAATCATCGACGGAGGCTGTCAAGCCTTGCTTGCAAATCATCGTCACTCGTAGTAGGACCTCCTCCTCCAGCACCAACCGGCTGAGCGACCCGGTTCTCTGCCACTGCCGCCTTCTGTATGTCTGTGGGAGTCTCGCCCAGCTGTGGAAAGTCAGTATCAACGCATAGCTGACGGAATGTTAAGAGAAGACCTACCGCTTGGTTCAGGTCGACACCGATCTCATCCAAGACTTCCTTGACAATGTCTTCTCCTTCTTCCTCCTCCCCTTCCATTCCAGTGGCTTCGTCGATCGCGTCGTCCATCATCTCTTGTCGTTCATCCATAACCTCGTTTTCGCGTTCAAATTCCATGGCTATTCTTTGGAGCGCGGGAAGGTTCATCTGTCGGTTCATGCTGCCAAGGAGCATGGTTGCACCTTTCATAGACTGCATCATCTGCTCGTTACTGCGAACGGTCTGTACAAAAGAAATGGCAGGTCAGCATGTGATTGCGCGGGGAAGTGGCGAAGACTCGTACCTGAATTCGAAGAGAAATGGCCTGTAGCTGCGTTCGCATTTGGTAGAATTTCTGAATATATCTGAGCAGTACAAGGCTCGTTAGATAAAATTGGACGAAGAGGCGTCGACCCTCGGTCTGTAGACAGCGTACCTTCTCGTCCGAACCAAATCCTTCGCCTGGATTTTGCAAGCACCGATTTGACCATTTTTGGCACTCTTCTTGATATCCGAGATCAGCTTCTTTTCTTGGTTCTCCAACTTGACCCGTTCTCGGTCCAGTTCACGCTGCGTCCTGTCCAGCGCTCGTTGATGTTTGCGCAGACGCTCTGCGGGCGTCATGCGCTTTCCGAAAGCCCACTCGACGATCTAAAAAGGGCGTTGTCAGTCAAGGTGATAGAGGGGACGATCTCAAGGGATGACATACATTCATGATGGCAGCAAGAGAGCAACCCGGCAATCACATAGAACAGAGAGAACAGCAACGAAACTCACAGCGTTGAGGCCCCCAGCGGCGGTGACATCAAGCTCAGCCCACCGATCGATACGCCGCGATTACGGCGAGTCACATGCAGCGACTAAGCCCCTTTCGGGTGAAGATTGGATGATGTAAGCAGATTATCGACTTTCTCCGAACCAGAAAAACAAGTTTCCGCCTTTAAACGTTTCCATACTGTCATTTCGCCTCCGCAATCTCTCTCACTATATTTTCTCCGTCCATCGATTCGGACTCTCATGCAAACAACACCCCTTTCGTCATGAGTCAGGAGTATTTTCCCGGCATGGGCGGTTCCTCGGCCGGCGAGGGATCGTCTAGACACGCTCCCGACGAGTCTTCGCAGAACCCTCCCCTTCCGAACGCCCCGCCCGCGTATATGACTGTCGGCAATGGTTCGACTTCGGGGAGCGCCTCGCGCTTGATGGCTTCGCTGGACGAGGATTCCGGCTATGGTGGCAGCGTCGCGAGTGGCAGCGCCATCGACGGGAATGGTGGCAGTAGATTACGACCGGAGTTATTCGAAGACCGACCAACTCCGATGCATGCTCCAGCGTACTTCAGTGAGGCCGGTGAGTCTACTTTTGAATCTGGGGATATGGTGGGATAAGTTTAGTTTTGGCGCATACTGACGGTCTGAAATGGCAGCGGAACATGAAAGACAAGTGGTGGCGAGTCATGTTCATCAGTTACAATAGTATGGTTTCTCCAACCCGGAAGACGCGACTTGAGATGCTAAAGGCTTTCGCAGCAACCAAAACAGGACCAAGCTAGGTCGAGCGATCTCGCGCACCATCGAAACCCTGAAAGAACTCCAGAATATGAATCGCCAGTGGCCGGCCCATTACCCTTCCGTCCAGAACCCCGATCCCTCTCGACCCGCGTTGCAGCATACACAGTCGTTCGGCTTAAATACTGATGAATCGGAAGACCCACGACCCGGAATGATGAAGCGAGCAGCGACGATGCCCACCAACGACGATTTGGCCGAATCCAGTTCCACCGCGGAGCGTCGAACCACCCCCGAGCCGAGGCTGATGAGCCCCCAGATTGCGCAAGAGTTCTCGATTTTGAAGTTGGATCTGAAGCTGGGTGCTTTGTCCCAGGCCGAGCTTGTGCATTCCTTGGAGAAGTCGTCGATTGCGTCTCTGTTGGATGGAAAGATCAGCCAAAGTGTCAAACACCTTCTTTCGTTGCGCGACAGAATCGAGGATACGTCAAGTAAGGTTCTGATCACGGGTGACCTGAACGCCGGAAAGTCAACTTTCTGCAATGCTTTACTGCGACGCAAGGTGCTTCCGGAAGATCAGCAACCCTGTACCAGTATCTTCTGCGAAGTTCTAGATGCCCGAGAGAACAGCGGTCTGGAGGAGGTACATGCGGTGCACAAGGAAAAGCAGTACAACCGCAACGACGAAAGCACATACGATGTGTACCCCCTGAAAGAGCTGGAGAACATTGTGATCGACAACTCTCACTACATGCAGTGCAAGGTTTACGTGAAGGATGTGCGAACCATCGATGAGTCTCTATTGAACAATGGAGTGGTTGATATTGCTTTGATTGACGCCCCTGGCTTGAACTCGGACTCCCTAAAGACTACGGCGGTCTTCGCGCGACAAGAAGAGATCGACGTTGTCGTCTTTGTGGTTTCTGCCGCAAACCACTTTACACTCTCCGCCAAGGACTTTATTCACAACGCTGCGCATGAGAAGGCTTACATGTTTATGGTTGTCAACGGCTTTGATCAGATCCGGGACAAGCAACGATGTGAGCGGATGATCTTGGACCAAATCAACAAACTTAGCCCTCGTACATACAAGGAAGCTGCGGAACTCGTCCACTTCGTCTCCAGCAATGCCGTCCCAGTTGCACCTCCGATGTCCGTTGAAAGTTCCGGCGGTGGCGGCGGTGGTGGGGGAGACTCAGATCCGCATGATGATGATGACGATTCAAACGATCACAAAGGAAAAGGAAAGGACAAAGGGAAAGAGAAGCAGAAGCTCCAGGACTTCGAAAACCTGGAGAGCTCGCTGCGACGGTTCGTCCTGGAGAAGCGATCCCGATCGAAGCTCGCTCCCGCCAGGACTTACCTTCTCAACTTGCTTACGGACTTGAATTCTTTGGCCGCGGTCAATCGTGATGTTGCTCAATCTGAACTCAAGCGTGTTACAGATGAACTCGCGGAACTTGAGCCAGCCTTCGAGGATGGCAAGAAGAAGAAGATTGAGATTGACGTTCAGGTTGACAAATGCATCGACGACTCCTGTGACGACGTCTATAACCACACCCGCACGACTCTTTCCGACACCATCGATCGTGTATCTGATGCCGACCTTGGTGTCGAGTACCCCGGGTTCCTCTCTGCGTTCCAATATGCCGAGGATCTGAAGGTGGCCATGCTCGATCAAATTGCATCCTCCGTCTCGAACTGTGAGGACTATGCACGTGACCGGACCGTGAAGGGAGTCGGCTTCATCCAGAACATCGGTCTCCTGCACGTTGGGGAAAACAAATTCGCTCCCCTCCAATTCCGCGCAGATATGATGTTCCGTCGCGGTCGCCGTCATACGTTTGCCAGACAAATGGACACGGAAGTCGAGCTGTTGGATTTCTTCGATGTTGCTGGCCTCTGGGAGCGACAGGAGAAGGTGGCCGGAACAGGCATGGCCATGACAGCGTTGACTGTGGTTGGAGGTAGAGCTTTGGGCGGTGTCAGTTGGGTCGATAGCATGTTCAGTGCTGTCAAGATTCTCGGCCCTAACAATGTGCGACGTCTGTTCTTCCCCGGCGTGATCGCTGCTGGTGAGTGTTCTTTCCAATCTATCCTCTCTTTCTTGAGAAGCATTCGCTAACCTCCACAGCCCTTTTGACCGCCGCATACATGGTCTCTCAGATCCCATCCACCCTGCCTCCTCGTCTCTCCCGCAAACTTGCCGCTACCCTCTCAGAAATGGACTACGTGCACTCCAACGCCAACCGCATCTCATCAGAAGTCCGCCGCATTATTCGCCTTCCTGCCGGTAACCTCCAAACCAGCCTTGCGCAGGGCATCGAGGACCTCGGACGGCGCAAGCAAGAAGTCAGCAAGACGAAGCACGAGAGCGAAACTGCAAGCAAATACTTCGTCAACCTCTTCCGCGAAAGTGGCGAGAACAGAACATCCGTTGACTCCATAGATCTTGATGCCCCCTTGCCCGGTGGCATGGCGGCTCATGGGCTATGAGTTCATAAACAAAAAAACGATGACGACGATGCTGTACGAAGAATTGTTGCTGTTTCGATTGGATTGATGGCTTGTATTCTGTTTTGTCCTTTTTTCTCACTTATTCCCATATTGTATTATTCAATCCCCTTTCTTTGAATCCCCACTACCCTATTCAACATCCTCCTTCCGGACAGAGTTCACCTTCTCCTTTCTTCTTTTGTTTTTTCATTTTATTTTTATCATGAGGTTGTTTCTTCATCCACTGGCTTCTTTGAATATGCTCCATGCTTCTCAGGATGCGCACGATGTATTCAGCTTCTTCAATAATTCGATATCCCACATGGCGTGCGTTGGTGTGTTCGCTAGTAATTTTATTTATAATTTTACTTTGCAATAGATTTTCATTCTCCAACCTCTTTCTTGACTTGAAAAGTTTCCATAGCGTCTACATAACCTGAATTCAATTGCCAATTTGTTTTTATCATGATCTGTTTATGCTACAAGAACTGTTGCTTAGTTCCAGGACACAGTCGACACAGCAAGAAGAAAATCCCATGCGCCTTTACGATGAACCAAAAACAACATAAGAGAGAGAGAGAGCCAGGTTGTGATGAGACGGATACCAACGACCGACGCCCCGCCATGCAATTCATTAACACTAGAAGTAGCCATGATAAATAAGTAAACCAAAATCAATAAACACGCACATGCACATGCACAAAAACCACAAACCACAAGCAAAAAAAAAAGCAAACCAACCCAACATCCCCAACCTACAAATCCTTCAATACCTTATTAGCATTCCTCGTACGTCTCCCAGTCCCCCATCCCGCATTTTCCAGATCCTTCACTTCCCCCATAACCAGGTTCTGGTCCTGAGTCTTATTTTGTAAAGAGGAAGAGGTTTTATCCGCCAACTTCCCTGCATGGGAAAGGAACTTCTCGCGCATGGCGAGCGCATCGGGATCCTCGTAGTGCAACTGCGTCATGGGCGGCGACTCGGGCTCGTTCTTGTCCTCGCGATACAGATGCTGTTCGTCTTCGGCGTATTCGAAACGGCCGCTGTTCGCGAGCGAGGGAATCCCGCCGCCGTCTGTGTTGATGCTTTCGATGGCGCTGCCGCAGCCGTCTTCGTTGAGGGTGTCGATGGAGCTGGCGCGCGAGAAGCCGCGCTGCTGCTGTTGCTCGAGGGCGTTGTTGCGGGCGGAGGAGGTGTGGGAGGTTGCGCGCCCGAGGAGAGGCTTGCGCTTGCGGCGCTGCTGCTGTTCTGTTGAGTCGGAATTGGAGCGGGAGTTGGCTTCACGGGCTTGTCTGAGGAAGCCGCTGACGGTGGCGAGGTCGGCGGAGGTGGTGGTCGGTTCACTTGGGGGTTGGGATTTGGCGGATGAGGAAGTGTGCTGGTTATGGTTCTTTGAGGGAGAGGGTGGTTTTGATTTCGATTGGGGTTGCGGTTCAGATGAGGGTTTCTGTGAGACATCTGATTTCGACTTATGTGGGATACTCTCTTGCAGAGAGTTTGAACGTCGATCAGATGGGGTGCCAAGGCTGTCTGGCGATTGGATTGAACCGGTCTTTTGGGCCTTCGTAGGAGAATCTTCCACTTTGTTGCGGTCATTTGGGTTCTCAAGCGGTCGTTTTTCGGGACGCGAGCTAGCGCGCATTTGCATTTCGAGGCGTTTGGTACTCTGAGAAGTAGGTTTTTGAGAGCTTGGTCTTCGAATAAGGTATGGATCGAAAGATTGTTTCTGTTCCCTGCGAATGGAGTTCCAAAGCCAGTCGGGAGTCACCGCCGGTACTCCCCATTCAGAGGTATGCCGAAGCTTGTCCTGGTTGACGGTATTGGGGTCATTGCAGACTAGTACTGATGCGCTTGGCGTCAAGTACTCATTGTATGATGCACCTGAGAAATTAGATAAAATCGTTTAAGTGATATTCTATGACCTACCGATCAAATTAACCAGTTTGGATAGATGGAGAAGATCGATGCGAGAAAATCCGGTAGAGCAGACTCTCGTCTCGTGAAACCCTATGATCATTAGACACCGGCTGGAGAGATCAGAGCTGAGGACTTACCTGGAATGGGAAATCTTCGAACTGGGGTGTTTGCGACGTGTGATTCTGGAGGTACCAATGCTTTGGCATCAAGGCATCTTTCTAACCACATGTCTGTCACTATCTCGCAACCAAATCCTAAATCGTCCGTAGATGGGATTTGGCTGGAAGGTATCTTATGCGAAACGATGATATAGAGACCGTGGCCTCTCTTTGGAATATCTGGTCGAGAAAACTCGCTCAAGGAGTCCACCAATTGCGCGCCATTAAATGAGAGATGATGGCGCAATACATTTGTCTGTCGAAAGGTGAGCTATTGCAATAGCCGGGGTTTGGTTATACGTACCTGCTTAGAGGAGAACCCGTAAACGAAGAAGAAACATTCGTGCAGAAAACCATCGCTGCCACTCGTGGCCTCGGTAGACTGCTGACGAGACCGTTGAGGTTCTGCAAATGTGGTCTCACTAGCGAATGACCTGGCTTCCTGGACAATTGAATGCCGTCTTGTGAGTTTCTGGCTTCCTTCTTTCGGCTGGCTGCCCATGCCGACAATATCCCCCCAGATCCCTTCATTCTGATCACCCAGCTTCGCACTGGCAATGCGACGCAGTTTTCGAGGCCGATGGTTCGGCGCATTTTCGTTCTCCGGGGCTTTTTGTTTGACTGTAGATATCGAGCGATTCCAGGCTCCAGCACCCTGTTGCTCTTCTGGCAGGAGGGGATGATACAGAGTCTCTTCCAAAACCATTCCGCGCTCCAAGCTCTCATTGAACCATTTCATAGTGACAACCTTGATATTCCATTGCGTTGCAAATTTGTATTTCTGGCCGTCGGCATTGCGCGCGATAAGGTGCGTCACGCTCTTCGTGAGATCTTTTTTGAACTCGGCTCCGTTCGAATGCGTCGTGCTCTGGATGCGGTTTCGGAAGGTCACTAGGGCAGCACTTGTGAGTTTCCTTGATGAATCGATCAATGCGCATGCGAGGAGTCCACTCACTGTCTTCGAAACCTGTGATGCATATAGCCAAACCCGCAAACGTTGGGAGCCTATGTTCACTTGCGAGGGCTCGAATGTCGGTATCCCCTCCCTCCATCCATGACTGTCGTACTGCTTCAATCCATTCCGGTTTCAAAACGGTGACGTCCGCTCGTTCTCGCGCAACGAATTTATATTTCGCGGTATTTGTTTCGCCGACGATCAGATGGGTAACGTCGGATGTCAGGTCGTACTTGTGAGTTGCTCCCATCTGACCTGCAATGGTCGCTAACTCAGTCTAGAAAGCACCATGCATCAGTCAGTCACTTCTCTATCTTCCGGTAAAAATGCGAGAAAAACGGTATGATAACTCACCCTCTGCTCCGGTAGAATTGAGGTAAAGCAAAGGACAATCCCCGCAAGAGGATGCTCTTTGTCTAATTTGCAATCAGTGATCCAAAAGTTGCTGTTACCGAAACCAGCAATTTAACTTACTTGAATTTGATTTCTCTGCCATGCTTCATGATTGGCAGAGTCGGGCCTTTCCTCTCATGCGCCGTGCTGTGTTGGACTTGTCTGCTTGGATAATTCCGATGCGGAATTGGCTGGCGCGTGTCCGCGGAACACGGTCACGTGATTACATACCTCATTACCGCGAGGCGAACAGGACTGCCCTGAGATCAATGACCTTTTTCTCTATATACTGACTGATTTTATGTCTTTGATATATATATACCAAAATCATTCTTATCGTGAGTCAATCTTCCATGCTGTGTGTTTGTTCACTCCTGTTTCATGCTGACGCCACTTATTGATTGCGCCCCGGAATCTAGCCCTTATCGGAGTCACGTGCGATAGGCGGCGCGTATCTTCGTCGTTCGGAGGGACGCGACAGCATCGCGAAATCTTCCGGCGCATTGGGACCTGATGCAGTTGACTCTAGCGAGTGGGTATATCTAACTATTGTTTGGAATTGATAGTCTACTGTGCAGCTTCTGTATATTGTGAGATTGCACCAAGATACCTTTCCTCTCACCACCGATACTCTTTGCATGGAGTTACACTGATAACGCAAGTTGTTCCGCGGTATTCAGCATCTCAACTCTGACGTGACAGAGGAAGCTGCGATGTTCAAGAAGGCCGTGCAGGACCACCCGGGGCCACCCACAAAGTCCCTCCAATCTACTCTATTCAACACCAATGCAAACAGCCAATCGAAGCCCCCACCTCCACAATTTCAATCGCAAGGTGTCAAGCGAAAGATCGAGATGACGAGTGCCGGACAGACGGGATTGGGGTCGTTGCATACTAGTGCGGTATATTTTGATGAGAACGACTTTGATGACGATGATGACTTGGATTTCGAAGAGCCAGATCCGTTCGTTCCACCGCCTAAAATTGTCCGCCCCAGTGCTCAAACGCAGGAGACGAATGGAACGTCGAGTTCGAATATTATACCCAGATTGAATGATACCTCGAGACAGAGTGCCGCACCAAAGAAGTCGGAGGTTATCACACTAAGTGATGATTCGTTGGATGTCAAGTACCCAGAGCTACCACCTCTTCCTGATGAGCAGGTTGCACCGTCGAGCAGCATACAATACCCTTGGTCCTCCTCACCTCCAACTCATTTCCAGAACCCTACCAACCGTCGAACCCTACCGTGGCTGAAAAACGAAGAGCCAGCACCCCAGCCTCCCCAATACAGAAAACCAGAAACTCCCGTCCGCCCGAAGCCGAAGACTACAGCACCATGGAACAAGACTGCGAGTGCCATCAAGGAGGAACAAAAAGAGCTTCGTCGGCAGGCTAAGAAGAGCCAGAAGGGAGAGACGAAACACAAGCCTAAATCGAAGCTTGCGTCGCTGTTCCTCAGTGATGAGCAGCGTCATGTACTTGACGCTGTGGTTCAAGGCGGGAAGAGCATGTTCTTCACCGGTTCTGCTGGTACTGGTAAATCTGTGCTCATGAGAGAGATCATCAAGAAACTGCGGGATAAATATAAGAGGGAACCGGATCGAGTGGCTGTTACCGCTTCTACCGGGCTTGCTGCGTGTAACATTGAGGGGGTTACTCTACACAGTTTTGCAGGCATTGGCTTGGGCAAAGAACAAGTTCCTGAGCTTGTCAAGAAGGTCATACGCACCTCGTCCCCGTTAAACGTCAGGCTGTATTAACACTGTTTTACAGATCAAGAGAAATCCCAAAGCCAAGAATCGTTGGCTGCGCACAAAAGTCCTGATTATCGATGAAGTGTCCATGGTTGATGGGGATCTTTTTGATAAGCTGGAGGACATCGCTCGTAAAATCAGAAACAACGGCAGGCCGTTCGGGGGCATCCAACTTGTCGTTACCGGGGACTTCTTCCAGCTGCCCCCAGTGCCTGAGAAGAATAGTCGAGACGCAAAGTTTGCCTTTGCAGCCGCCACTTGGAACACTTCAATTCAACACACGATCCTTTTGACCACTGTCTTTCGTCAGGCAGACCCTGAGTTTGCTGGGATGCTGAATGAGATGCGATTAGGCAAATTAAGTCCCCAGTCCATCAATATTTTCAAGTCACTCGCCCGACCCCTCAACTTCGATGATTCCCTCGACGCTACAGAATTGTAGGAAACCCTTTTCAAAATGCCAATGCACCCATTGCTAACTTAAACTCTTTGCTTAGATTCCCTACTCGTCAAGAAGTAGAAAGCGCCAATGGTGCTCGAATGCAGAGACTCTCAGGCGAACTGATGACTTTCACCGCACAAGATTCAGGAACGATCAAAGAACCTGAATATCGTGAAAAGCTGCTCCAGAACTGCATGGCCCCACCTGTGATTCACCTCAAGAAAGGCGCCCAGGTGATGCTCATCAAGAACATGGAAGAAACCCTTGTGAACGGGTCCATTGGACGTGTCGTTGCATTTATGGACGAAGCAACATTCGACTACTACCGAGAAAACGAGGCCGACTTCTCCGGGGAGCCGGGAGGCGGAAGCGACGACGAGAGTGCGATCCACGCCCGCAAGAAGCTCAAAAGCATGATTCACAAAGACGGCGCCGGCGGAATCACCGTCACCAAGAAATGGCCTCTGGTGTGCTTCGTGCAGCCTGATGGAAGCGAGCGACATCTGCTCTGCCAGCCCGAAGCCTGGAAGATCGAGCTTCCCAACGGCGAAATCCAGGCCCAGCGCCAACAAGTCCCACTCATCCTCGCGTGGGCTCTCTCCATCCACAAAGCCCAAGGCCAGACTCTCCAGCGGGTCAAGGTCGATCTCGGCCGAGTCTTCGAACGAGGACAGGCGTACGTTGCGCTCAGTCGTGCCACCAGCAAGGAAGGTCTGCAAGTCACACGCTTCGAGCCACGCAAGGTCATGGTTCATCCTAAGGTCACGGAATTCTACTCCAACCTAGTGAGCATCACCGAGGTGATCAAGCCGAAGAGCAATGCCAACACCACTAATAACAACGAACCTCCACCTGGACGAGTCACCAATGAGCCCGGAGACTCCGATGAAGAAGATTATCTCGAGGCTCTATACGGAATATAGATAGAGGAATAGATAGCTCTGTTTCCATTCGAGAATTTTCGGGACTTTCATTACGCTTTTTCTAAGTCTACACGGCGTTTGACTCGTTGCATTTTATTACTTAACTAGCCAGATATTGATACCACCTGTGGGTTGATGCTGGCACTCTACCTTACCTCCGGCTGAAATGCACTCTATAATTGATTTTGCGTCGTGGACAAGATGAATATGTTCAATATCGGTCATATCTATGATAGTTTCAAAATGGGATTTCTATACATATTGAATAGCAAGAGATGTGATGCAGCAGTAAATGTATATTCCAAACTGAACATAAGAAGTGAAGATATCCAATGAAGATAGGGAGAGCAAGCTCAAACCAGGAAAAGTATTAAGATCCTTATCGTGAAAAATAACAAGAAAAGTAAAGTAAAGAAAAGAAAAGAAAAGGGCAAACCAGAAACAGAAACAAAGGTAAATAGAAGCGGAGAGGAACTTGACTTCCCCAGAACCAAACCAAAGCAATCTATTATAATCTATAAACACCCATACCCCGCCCCTCGACTCAAGAGACTTTTTTGACACGACCTTAGACTGGTATAACAGGCTTTTATACCCCCTTCACGCCAGCATGAGCCGAATGCTTGATCTACTTGAACGATTCCCGCGTATGCACCCGATCAATATCATACGGGTTCTCCTCATACGCAGGTTTCGAGTCAACGGTGCTTGCGCGCCTCGAATGCAACGAGAAAGTGCGACTCCGTCGAACAGGCTGCTCAGACGGGAGTGCATTGACATCCGACTCCGACGAGTGATTAAGAGTATTAGGACTCGAATCAGAGGTAGAGTGTTTGCGTTCAAACTCGACTTCCTTCTCTTCAGCGGCCGGAGAAACTTCAGGAGCGCTAACAGTTGGTTCAGTTTTTTCTTCTGTTTTCGTGGCCGCGGCAGCAGCGCCTTCCATCATCTGGCGCATGAAGGCGTCTGATTGCGCAGCGAATTTGCAGCGCTGGCGGATGGCGGCGCCGTATTTGTAGAAGAGGAAGGGGAAGGGAACGCAGGCGAGGGCAAGGAAGGCCGGGATACTGGAGGCCCAGTGGATTCCTAAGTCGGCGTACATGTATGTAGTGAAGAGGGGGAAGACGGCGCCGAAGATGGAACGGAGGACGGAGTTGGCGGCGAGGACGGAGGCAGCGAAGATGGTGTACGAGTCGATGAGGTAGTTCATTACGCTCAGGAAGAGGAGAACCATTCCGAAGCCGAAGGGCGCGCCGGCGGCGATACTGGCGAGCCAGTGGATGCTGGGGTAGTTGGTCCATGCGAACCAGAAGAGACCGACTGGCACGGCGATGGAGGCGATGAGGCAGGGAGGAAGACGGGCCTCGGGAGGGGCGAACCCGTTGTGTTTGGCTTGGACACCGATGTACCGCTTGTTGTCGTAGATGGTGAAGGCGAGCGCACAGAGCATTCCGATCAGAATACCTAGGAAGGCAAGGCCGGAGATACCTTGACTCCAGCCACGGTTCTGTTGGTACACGATGGGGAAGGCCGCGAAAAGCATGTACAGTGTGCCGTAGATAATGGCCATGTAGATGGACAAGAGCAATACGATCGGTTCCTTGAAGAGAAGGACCCAGGGACGAGAGAGGGAGGTTTTGAACGCCTCTTTAGGCGATGGGATCCCGCCCTGCTTTGCATCAAGCTGAGAGAGATAGGCCTTCCCCTTCAGAGATGACAAGCGAGCCGCTCTTCTTCGTAGAAGGACTGGCCCATAGGTTTCCGGAACAAAAAGACTGCAAGCGATCCAGACAACACCAGAAAAGGCTGCCAGAAGGCCCATGACCCACTTCCAGCCTGCAGCTTCACCAAGGAACCCTCCAACAATAGGTCCAATAACAGGACCCATGAAAGGGGCGGAAGCGAAAAGACTCATTGCAAGTCCACGATGGCGCGCAGAGAACATATCCGCAATGATACCACCGGCATTGGTCAGTGGTGACGATCCGAAACAGCCGGCAAAGAACCGAAAGATGATTAAAGACCAAGAGTTCTTTGCGCCTGTAGCAGCCGCATTGAAGATAGTCAGGCCGCAATAGCTTATAGTGAAGAGATATTGACGGCCAAACAGTTCACTGAGGGGGGCCCATAGCAGAGGTCCGATGGCAAACCCTAAGACGAAAAGCCTACACACGGGGGTAAGAGTCAGCATTCAACCATTCAACCATTCGACATTTGAAAAGTGTGCTGAAGATGCACGTACGATATACCCAAAGTTGCTAACTCAGTTCCGATATGGAAATCCGCCATGATCTCCTCGATACCGCCGGAATAAGCAGACGAGACCAGGGCAACCGCCAAGGTTGATATCGACACCGCAAGTGTATACATCCATTTTTTGTACTCCGGAAAGGTCATTGGATTTCGAGGGTCATTAGGAAGCCATGAGACCAGGTACGGGTCATCTTCAGTGCCACTTCCTGGATAAGGGTAATTGACAATCTCATCGGTGACGACTGCCTGGTCCGTGAGCAGCTTCCAGTGAGGAATCCTTGTAATCTGCGGCTGTTCCATTGTTCAAGAACTGTTGCGCGAGCCTTAAGATTGCCTCCTACCTCACAACCTGTGAGCAAAGCTGTGGTAGGGAGGGATAAAGCCTCAGCAGATGAACAAAAAGAGAGAAAGGTATGGGGGAAAAATTGTATGCTAGGCGAAACATGATAAGAACCCACGGAAACAAGAGACTACTCCGTGTGTCCAACACCAGTCATTAAAAGGTAAGAAAGTGGATCAATTGCAGGACGATACTAATGGGCCTCTAGATCCATTATAAAAACCTAGCCATGAGCAACGGAGTTAAGGGTGGATAACGGGGTAGAGAACAACATCAGCTCGACGCGGTCAGCCTCGAGTGCATTATTATTGCTAAAATCCGGTCCATTCCATCTATTCTATGCCCAACGGTGAGCAGCGCTTGGTTGTCCGTCATCATTACCGGGGTGATTGATAGGTATCTATGCATATTTTGGAGCAAACTGGGGAGAAGGAACGGTTCATTAAGCCTTATCCAAGAAAAGCCTGCATAAAATTCCGCGAGGACCAGGGTGAGGACGACAATGTGACAGGGGAGCGCGCGTTATGGAGTCATAACTGCGCTGTGGCAACACCTGCAGGGCCGTGTCACGAGCAGGTTGGGCCAATGAAGGACGGGATGTGATGAGTTATTAGCCCATTTTCTAGCTGATGGTCAAAGTTTAATCAAAACAGTAGTAATAATGCACATAAGATACGAAAGTGCACTATGGTCTCAGCAAGAACAGGCAATTGAGCCATGGAAGCTACCATCAATGGACCCAGACGGGGGGCGGAATAGCCAGATCTTAGCCCGTGGTTCTCGGGCGATTTGTTGCATGACTGCAGCTTATGCACGAGAGAGGGCGATGTGCAATTCCTATTCCGCAGGAATAAGCTGGGAAGCCCTCGAGGAAATGACCATTTGCCGTTTGGAAGGTCTGGAGTTGTTCGGGGAATCCTTTGGTGCAGCCAAAGTTGGCCGAGTGGATCCGCTGATTCAGTGCTTTGTGCTTCTTATGCAGCCCATTCCTGCATAGTCCTGACCTCGAGAGTTATGCACGGCGCATCCATAGAACCAGCAATGTCAATTCACTGCAGATTGGAGGGATTCCTAAAATTGAAAATCCAAATAACTCACTAGTTAGTTTTATGCTATGACTAATTTCGGCTCAAGCACCCGTTTTATTCTCCCCCTGTCGACTCAAGCTGGGAGTCTATTTGTCTTTGGGCCAGATTTATACACTTGCTCTACGCACAGATGAATGTCCTTTCTCTTCATAACCAACGCCTTTTGATCTAACTTGAGCTCCACATCCAAATTAGAGATCAATAATAATCAAACATAGCTTTTCACTTGTTGACAGTTCGTGGTAACGCAGCCGATTTAGAAGCGCAGGTGTACTGTAAAACCTCGAGGGAACACAGATTAGATTCCCCGAGGCCTTATTTTAGGATGTGAAGGAATCCTGAAGGTATAGTTCCTTTCATACAGGTCTGGAATTCAACGTCGCCGAGTTCTGTCTATGTTGTATCACAGATAAAGAATCAAGAAACTATATCTCAATGCTAGTAGTGCGGCGTATCCTGAGGAAGTGAAGCAACCCAACACAATCACCAGGTGGGCCTTTTGGTCGAAATTGATGTCTGTAAATGTTACCTCTTGCACTGAAATCAATTCTTTCATAGACTTCTAGTCTCAGAGATATATTTCACTATCTGGGAAACCAGAACCTCATGCTTCAGTCATGCTTTTCTATCCCCATTTCCATCCATGGATGGGTTAGCAAATAAATTCACGGGAAATTCCAAAAGAGTGAATAGGAGGCATTGTTAGTACTACCCAGGAAGTCAAGACGTTGAATTCTCCGATGATCTCTGGTCTAGTGATCAATGGTTTAGCACTTTAGCAGGTGCACCTCAGGCGCTAAGGCCACCACCCCACATGGACGGATCTTATCGATAGGCGGTATCACACGTGACGGGAGCGGAAGCTGCAGCTGCAGTCTTTCTGTCTTTCCCATTGAAGGCTGACAACTCACTTTTGCGACACAAGACGAGTCCTGTCCTTCCCCTCCGCCTCGTTTCCCGCGCTTTCCTCCTCTCCCGACCTCATAGGATGAGCATCCAGCCTTGACCACTTGAATTCGATGCTCTGTTGTTCATCATGGCGTCCCAATTTATTGGCTACAACGTTCTCGTGACCCTGAAGGCACCGCCCGATGCAACCGTCCAGGGAGAAGTGGCCGATGTCATAGGCCAGCGCTTGATGCTGCGAAATGGTAAGCATGAAAATCTGGCTTGGCGCCACTCAACGCAATGCCCCTCTAATCGACTGATACTTGCAGTAAAACTGTCGTGGAATCACCAAGTGCTCCCTAGCTACTTTATCGATGCGACCGACATCGCGGACCTTTCTCTCGGATCCGCCGTCAAGGGCCAATCGCAAAATCTGCCTGCAGCCAAAGCAGACCGAAGCACAACTCAGGCCGTGCCTGCGACGCAGCAGCAGTTCGTCGACCCTGCTATCCTGAGCTTCTCCAAACCGCCCACCAAACCAATCAGTCGCACTCTTGAACCGGAGAATCGACCGCTTCAGCCCAACCTGCCGAATGAATCAACTGTGCAGCAACCCCGTCCACCTCAAGCCGCCCACGCTCAGCCGGCTGCGGTATTGACGGAACCATTCAGCAGCTTGGAGCTGAATGTGGACGGTAAGACCGGCGGTGGAGGCATATCACAGGTGGAGGAGCGTCGTGAATCTGTCTACGGTTCAAGAGACGAACTGACACCCCTGAAAACGCCGAGTCAATATGCGGCAAAGCGCAGTCGACGCAACGGACAGAAGAAGACTCGACAGGGAGGATATCCGAACGCGGTCAATGAGCACGATGGGGCTTCGAATACGAACCCGAAGACCCGAGGCTGGCGTCAAACTGCCTTCGTTGAACCATCTGATCCGCACCTGATAAACTCTCCCCAACCTCACTCAGAGAAAGACGGACGGCGTCGCAAAAAGAAGAACCGCGGCTCCTACGCCGAAGACCCCAGCGGATGGGCGACAGAAGATGCCACTGACATCCAAGAGTTGGGCGAATTCGATTTTCAGAGCAATCTTTCGAAGTTCGATAAGCGGAGGGTGTTCGAAGAAATCAGGAATGATGATACAACTGCAGACGAAGCTCGATTGGTCAGCTTTAACAGAAAGGTCCCGAAGCCAGGCACTAATGGTGGCAAGAATTTGCACTGGACGGAGAACGTTCTGGACAGCCCTCAAGAAAGTGAGAATGAAGAAAGTGAACACGGGCGTAGTGATGCAAAACTGAGCAGCGGAAATTACTCGGGACTTGAGTTGTCAAGGGCATCGGCACGAGGACAAACTTCTCGAAAGGGCAGTGCTCTGCTGGGCCAGCCGCCCGTTCCGCCACAGATCAACACTATCGGACGTGGCCAGCTCAGTTCTTCTCGCACTACAAGTCCTCGCCCAAATAAAACCCCCGTTTCAGCATCTCCGATAGGCGGTCCTGGGGCTTCGGGAGTTTCCTTGCGTCTTACTACCACCAACAGAAGTTGCCCGACTGTGAGCCCTCTACAGACTCTTGAAGTCGAGCAAATTGCTGTAACGGAACTCGGTTTAACCGAAGATATGATCACGGAAAATGCTGGAAGAGGCATCGCAGAAGCTGCTGTTGGTCTCCTTACAAATGACGCAGCTGCACCTACGATATTGGTCCTCATAGGCAATCATCGCACTGGGGCAAGGGCCATTTCTGCCGCTCGCCATCTCCGCAACAGAGGTCACCGTGTAACTGTCTGCATGCTCGGCATTGAGCATGAAAACGAGCTGTTGGAGAGCTGTCGTAAACAACTCGACGTGTTCAAGAAGATCGGTGGGCGAGTGCTGAGATGGGAGGACTTGTCGACTCGACTATCAACCTCGGATTTCAGCCCGGACTTGGTAGTAGATGCTTTGTTTGGCATTCACATAGCCTTTGACGACCTCCGTACCGATGATCAGGCTACTGCTTTCGAAATGATTTCCTGGACCAACCGAAGCAACCTCGATGTTCTGTCTGTCGATGTGCCTTCCGGGCTATCGGCTTCTAGTGGTAAGGACCCGAAGAATTCTCGTGATAAACTATCCTTTTCCTTTCTTTTTACTAACGGAACTCTTCACAGGTGAGGTAACTGTCGTGGAAGGGGGTCGACTGTGCGTCAATTCCAAATCTGTTGTCTGCCTTGGAGCACCCAAAACCGGCGTGGTGCAAGCTTTGGTCTTGGGAGAAGGGCTCTCCTGGAACCTTGCAGTGGCAGATATCGGTGTTCCGCAGATTGTTTGGAGAAAATACGGTACTCGCCGGCGACATGGAATTGACTTTGGGAACCGCTGGGTGGTCCCTCTGCGTATCCAAGCGTCCACTGCTTGAGACCACCTCATATCCACCTGACGATTGAATGACTTGAATAAAAAGGAACGAAGGCAAACAGCCAACATAGTTGATACGGCCTAGGACTTGCATTGGAGGGGATAGAGGTGGAAGTAGGCAGGCACTCTTGCTACTGCTCTTAATTCTGGAATGGCATCAGGTACGGGGGAAAAAGGACTTCCGAAAATGGAGCGCACTGTAATATATGTAGTTATATCTCATGCTTATTGCTTTAGCCTGTTTCAGCTCCTGGACAGTCTCAAATCATTTATATCTCCCAATAGCTCCTTTCCAAGAGTCCATATTTTAGGACATCCAATATAAGATGGTAGGTAATATAGATACCGTAATATTACATATATTTAACCTGAAACGGCTAGCCTTCTTTACCGGTGCCGGCGCAATACATCATGCTTTTGCGGCGGCATCAACTGCGGTAAACTCGTTGCGAAGCCAAACCCAGCATCTTTGCTGTCCCCGCAACAATGGGAAAAGGTCAGTTCCTTGCATCGTATACTGTCATCATTCCTGCACCCCCCAGTCTAACGTGGAATCTTCTATAGGAACGGATAAACTCTATGTACGCAACATCTCCGCGATTCCTCACACCCAACCGCCCCTCCAAAAACTGACCGCGAGTTTATAGATCACCCATTCAGAATGGGCATCGGAGGATGCCTTTTCTGCCAACGCAGGCGCAGGAGTCGGAAGAGCCAGGCGAGGCGGTGCCGAGGGGGCGTTCAAGCGCCTTCCCTTCAAGTTCTGCTCCCTCTCCCTGCAGCCATTTTCGCATCCCGTCTGCACCCCGTCCGGCACCGTCTTCGACCTGACCAACATTCTTCCCTGGATTAAGAAGCATGGCACGAATCCTGTGGACGGCAGCCCGCTCAAGAGCGCCGATCTGATCAAGTTGCACATCCCGAAGAACGAGTCGGGGGAGTTCGTCGACCCAGTCACGTACAAGGTCCTGACCGATAACACGCATATCGTTGCCTTGCGGAATACAGGGAACGTGTTCGCGTGGGATACCGTGGAGCGGTTGAACATCAAGGGGAAGTTGTGGCGCGACTTGGTCACGGACGAGGAGTTCACTCGGAAGGATATCATCACGCTACAGGACCCGCAGAACATCGAGTCGAGGAACATGAGTACGTTTAACTATCTGAAAGATGGCGAGACCGACATCCCTGGGCGGGGTGAGCAGCCGGAAAACGTCAATGCCAATGCGCTGGGAAGCTCTGCGAAAATCCTCAAGGCGAAGGAGGCGGTGGCTAAGGCGCGTTCGGAAAGGGCTCAGCGGACGGGCTCTGCTGCTCTATCCCAGACCAAGGCGGACGGCTCCGCCAGCTCGGCATCCCAGAAGAAGGCGGCCGCGCTGCAATCAGGGAAACCGGTGCCGTACAATGCGGCTAAGCATACCACTGGTCTGGCTGCCGCTTCGTTTACCAGCACGGGAATGACGCCACACACGTCCGGTGAACTCGCTCTGCTATCAGACGAGGAATACATGCTAAAGAGAGGCCGGGTCAAGCAGAAGGGCTACGCTCGGATCTCAACGACATCTGGCGATTTGAACTTGGAGCTCCACACCGAGTATGCGCCAAAGGCTGTGTGGAACTTTATCAAACTGGCCAAGAAAGGCTACTACAAGGATGTGACTTTCCATCGCAATATCAAAGGCTTCATGATCCAGGGTGGAGATCCCACGGGAACTGGACGAGGGGGCGAGAGTGTCTGGGGCAAATATTTCAGCGATGAGTTCGAGGGCCCTCTCAAACACGACTCCCGCGGCACTCTCAGTATGGCCAACAAGGGTAAAAATACCAACAGTAGTCAATTGTGAGTTCTACGTTCTCTCCCCATGACCCTCTTCATGCCGTTCTGGTGCTGACTTTCATTAGTTTTATTGCCTATCGTGCACTCCCCCATTTGAATCTTAAGCACACCATATTCGGAAATGTCATCGACGATCCGACACCGTCAGCGCCCACGCTAAACAGTCTAGAGACCCACCCCGTCAATCAAACGACGAACAAACCTACGCCAGACATTCGGATCAAAGACGTCACGGTCTTCGTGGACCCATTTGAGGAGTTCTTGAAGCAGAAGCAGGCAGAAGAGGCAGCCGGGAAGGCAGGACCAGACCCCGCGGAAGAAGAAGAGAATGCTCGACGCGCAGAAGACGACCACATCACCTGGACGGGGAAACGAGTTCGGGGAGCTGGGTCGACGGACACAGGAGATGGATCTGGCGGAGGAGTGGGCAAGTACTTGAAGGCTGCGCTGAACAACCAAGCCGGTCAAGAAGAGGATGAGATTGTTGAATTTGTGGATGAGCCTGAGCCTGAACCCGTGCGAAAGAAATTGAAGGGCAGGGGAGGTTTTGGTGATTTCAGTTCCTGGGATTAGTTACTAGGGGTGGATTTTACGATAAAAGAGCAACGGAAGAATTAAGGACTATATATAAGTGCATGGTAAATACCTCAATGTTCATGGTTCCGGTGAAGCCGAGTAATGTCCGCCTCCCAGTCATCTCCGATGGGCTCCACCGGCAGTTCTGGGCAGATTCCGCGTTTCCCGGCATTCGTTGGGTCGACCGCCCGCCCTGCTTAGTTAGCCGCTGCCCCGAGGAAAGCACCTGACTTGCTCTCCCCAGCATCATTGAACTACTTACAACGACCACTTGCTATTAATATCACCTCCCCCCCATTCTGCCTTGGGGTTGTCCAATTTTGCATCACCTCCCCTTCCTTTAGAAGATCTCCCAAGTGTGATTCTATCGACCACCCGTGTCTCCGTGAGTGCCTTTGATGACCTCCTTATTCAAACCTCTGGCCATTCGGTGGCTTAGCACCCTGTCATTTCCATAGGCGCGCAGTGGGGTTGGTCACGAAATGCTCAGGGTTGCCTGTTACGAAGTGACAGATCAGCCTGAGCCTGACACGATGACTTGTGATGGTTTCCCGAGCCTTGCGCTGGGTTCTTGTTAGCATATAGATTGTCCTTTGATTGCTTTTCTTTGCTTTGATTTCCAATTAATAAAGGGAGTCCTCGAGGTACTTCGGCCGGTGTCGTTGGACCCCCTCGCCATCCATCATCTGATAGCATTGCTGCACAGGAATCATCTGAGGTCCCCGAACGATGGCCATGATTAATCTATTAAAGATCGGCAGCTCGTTCTAGTCCGCTCATGTACTGACAGTTTATATCTACACAGCTTTATTCCTTCGCTTCCGCCGCAAGTCCTTCCCTTGGTTAATCTGCGGCAACTCTCATTCGCCGCCGCCGTCGCCGACTCGCTCGTGTCACTTTGACCTGACCTATCCTTATTTCCCCCTCAAAACCCCCCGCCGACAATCAAGCTGGCAGGGAACAAGCGGAGAAGTTTTTCTAGCCAGGGTGGGTTACTGAACAGAATGTTCAGTGGCTCCTCGAGCCCACCCAAAGAGAGACTAGATACCATCCCACACTCGACCGCCATAGACACACCTTCCAAGGGCGCGGTGACAGAAGAAGCCGGTGTAGCGCAGAGGAAATTCTCTCCTCCCGGTGGATTCTTTACACGACGAACGAGCGAAGACCAAGCCCCTTCTGCCGAAAAGAAGCGCCGGAGTAGCACGGTTACTAAAGCGGCCACATTCTTCTCGAACGCTAAGAATTCATTGAGTCTGAGTAGTAGTCCTCGCGAAAGCTCTCTCGCCAACTACAACCCTCGTCCCGCGTCCACGCTGCAATCAGCCGGGAATATGGATCCCGCCCTGAACGTTCCCCAGGGCTCATTGAATAACTCGGCCGGTGAATCGCTGCCGACCTTTCATTCATCATTCAAGGTTGGCGTCACGGAAGATCGGAATCGAAAATGTCGTCGGACTATGGAGGATACGCATGCGTACCTCTACAATTTCTTGGGGTCGCCCTCACCCTCGACTCCGGCCAAATCCGGAGCCAACGACGGGGGCGATGTTTCTCCGACCACCGAGGAAAAAACCAGTGTTGTTGAGACCGATAACGGTTATTTCGCGATCTTCGATGGTCACGCGGGCACTTTCGCCGCCGAGTGGTGCGGAAAGAAGCTCCATCTGATCCTAGAAGAGGCCATGCGAAAGAACCCCAATACGCCGGTCCCGGAACTTCTCGACCACACATTCACTGCTGCTGATCAACAATTAGAAAAGCTGCCCGTGAAGAACAGCGGATGTACTGCCGTTATTGCGCTTTTGAGATGGGAAGACAGAGTCTCGGGTGCGAATCCGGTGACGAATTCTGCCAGCAAAGACGATAGCAATTCGGAAGCAGGGGATACTCCCACACAGCTGACCACTACCGGCGGTGGATCATTCCCAAAGTCGCAAGGCAAAGCCCAGCGTCATCGTATATTGTACACAGCTAATGTTGGCGATGCGCGTGCCATCCTGTCTCGGAACGGGAGAGCGCTGCGGTTGTCCTATGACCATAAAGGTAGCGATGAGAATGAGGGCAAGCGGATAGCTCACGCTGGAGGCTTAATACTCAACAACAGAGTGAACGGTGTCCTTGCGGTAACCAGAGCCTTGGGTGATGCGTATCTCAAGGATCTAGTCACCGGACACCCGTACACAACAGAGACGGTGATCCAGCCGGATTCCGATGAGTTTATAATTCTAGCATGTGATGGGGTGAGTTAATTTTCCTTTCGTCTTTTCATCGCGCTGGTCATCATAGCTAACATTCGGTATCAACAGTTGTGGGATGTATGCAGCGACCAGGAAGCCGTAGACCTTATTCGGAACGTCCATGATGCGCAGGAAGCATCGAAAATTCTCGTTGACCATGCTCTCTCGCGATTCAGTACCGACAACCTATCGTGTATGGTGATTCGATTTGACACCGAGCGTGTGAAAAGCGTCGCCAACCGAGTCGTCGAACCCATCGGTGTCGACGGTGACCCGCCTACGAATGTGGAACGCGGCGTGAGCGAAGCCGAGAAGATCGTCGAGGGAGCGCGAAAGAGCATGGCCAACGCAGGGATATCAGACGACCCTGAAACCGCCGAAAGGGCCAACGAAGAAATACTTCAAAAGATGTCGGACGATGACTCTGGCCCCGAACTCTCAGTGAACGAACATAGTGACACGCCTATAGCAAAGCCGGCGGACACCCAAGGGTCCAAATCTATCAACAAATCTTGATTTTTTCTTTTTCTAAACGAAAGCTGTTCGATGTGATATTGGCATTATCATTTTTTTTTTATTTTTTTTTTTTAACTTATTTGAAAGGAAGATAGAGACTTTGCGAGATTCATCTCAGATTCGTCGGCATGGATCCTGGGCCTTATTGTATCAAAGGATTTATTTATTTGACTTTCCACCGCGTTGATATGGTATTCTGCAGAAGGGGGGCTACTGCAACACAGATATGTACTTCATCTATCTATTCATAACTACTACGCGCTTTTTATTTAATCATGCAATTTTTATTTCCTTTCTAACACTACCTACATGCATCGTCTACGTCGCAAATCCCCTTCATTCAGCGGAATCAGCTAGCGAGATGCGGCCTTTAGACACCCACTACCTATATTTAGTCATTGTTCTCTAATCTATCTCCTTAGCTAACCTTAATTGATGTTTTAGTCTCTTGGGTATACATATAAACAAGGTCGATTAAATGACCAGTTAACTAGATGACTACATCATGATTGATGACCATGTGTTCAATGATGTAAGATCCATCCATATGCGCGTCATATTCCTTTTTTCTATTTGTTTCAAACCGGTTAACATGTCATTTCGAGTTGGAGCTACTAATTATCTGCATGCAATACATAAGCAAAGTTCAGCAATGTTAATAACATTGCGTCACCTACACCCACATATGCTCATTAAATGTCGCCACTTGATTGATGCGGAGGTCATATCCACTCGCTGTCTCGATATACCTGTAGCACGAGTCAACTAAGTCGTACCTACACCGTAAATGGTAGCAAGTAAGTAACAATGATGGATGTTGATATATGTTCTAGAAACCTAGTATTGAGATTGACTGGCATGAGCAGGTAGAGAGGGGAAATGTGTCCATATTTTCTCCCATATTGTATGTATTACACTGTTCGTTAGATAACACAGTTCTTTGACGTCGCTTGCCTATTTTTTACTACCAATTTCCTATCATGTGCTGGGGTGAACGTGCGTGATGTTAAGTGACTTGTGATTTAGTATTGGTTTGAGCTTGCGGAATTCAAAAGGGGAATCGGTAGGTGAAGGGGAGAGACTGGATGAATGGCTGGTTAGTTTTCAGTGGTTATCTGATCTTTTAGAGTCTAATGTATAGGCACTTATTTCAGATTTAGCTATGTCGCCAATTGTCTATATGCTTAGGTGCATCTACATGTGTTACAAAGACTAGGCCCAGCTGTCTGCTAAACGCCAATGATCATTCCAGAACACAAAGAAAGCTAAGTATCTAAAAGTACAAATTTGTATAATGCGATACATAAACACACATCTCTCGAATGGAGATATCCACAGAATCTACACCACCCCGTTCACAGGAATCAGACCTTAAGCCTGCTTCTCCTTGAAGCCACCCTCGGCCAGGACTTCCTGGTCAGCGGTGGGCTTCTGGCCGGGCATCACATGGTCGCGAGTCAACTCCAGTTCACCGTGCTGGACTCGCTCCGACCAAGTCTCGGCCAGTCGGGCATCGTGGATGTCAGTCCAGAGGATCTTGACGCCGTTGTTCTCCAAAGCCCCCGTCTTGTCCTCGATCTCCTCGATCTTGTACTCGACCTGGTTCGTGCTCAAGGTCTGTTCGAAACTGGCCACGCGCCCGGCCTGCTGTTCGGCCTTGAGCTGCTCCTTCTGCCGGGCCTGTCTCCGGCGTCGTCGGGCCGAAGGAGTGAGATAGCCACGCAGGCCACTGGCAAAGCCGTTCTTCATCTCACCCTCCTGGATCTCCAGAACGGCGGCGATATCGGCAACACTGGTAGCCTTCTGGTCCATCATGGCACGGGCGCGGTCCTTCTTCTCCATCAACCAGCCGAGCTTGCCCTGGTACTTCTCGTTGAACTCCTTGGCCTTCTCGGGGTCCCGGGGCCGCTTCTGGTCGAGGTACTTTTCATCGATGGTGATCATTTCGCGGGGCGGGGACAGCTGACGCTGCATGGAGAATTCTCGGAGCAGGTGGTACGCGCGAAGACCGATCTTGGAGTCGTTGAAGTGCACCGAGTAGTACGGAACCCACATATCTTTTCGGAGGGAGGCGGGGACGGTCTTCTTGCCGTGGTAGACGAGTTGACGGAGGACGCTGTTTTTCTAGAACCCACACAAAACAGATATTAGCAACAGCGACAACCAGCCAGGGGGCGATTCGCAAGAGAGAGAAAAAGCTCACCTCGAGATACCGCGTCAACGAATACACCACCTGGTTGGTGCGGATGTTATGATAGACGAAGATGTTCTTGCCATGGGTGATGGCGTTCAGGGCCTTTCGTAGCCGAGTGCCCTCCTTCGACTGATGATCCTTGAAGGCATTGGAGTTCTGTTCACGCGACTTGCCCTGGATCAGGCTGTGGTTCTCAATCGGCGGACGGCGAGCGACTTTCCAGGTCCCGATCTTGGTCGGGTCCAAGATCTTCTTATGGAAGGGCTTTGCGGCTTGTTGGGAGGCCATTGCGGCCGGAGAGGTTGCAAGGAACCTCGGTTATTCTTTTCGAAACGTGGATGAATTGAGTGAAGCCCGGGGGACGTAGGGCGGAAATGGAGCGGAGCGGACGACGTGGTGAAGGAGAAAGGTTGACGGTGAGGGCGCGGATCAATTTTTCGGCCCTGAGAAGTTGCGAGTCGAACGGGTGATTCCGCCCGCGCTCTCCGCTTGCCTTAGCGTTCCATGCGGAGCAACCACTTTCTATGGCCTCGCCTGCCCTGTTGTCGTCACAATTGCTTGCAGCTGCAGCTTTGTTCTTCCCAACGCTATCTGGGGCCTGCGATCGCCTCTGCTATAATGACCGATCGATCATTCGGCCAAGCTTCTCCCTAGCTGTTGTGCTATGTCGCTGACAGTGACCACCACCCAGGTGGATAATCATGACGCGGGCGGTCGTCGCGAGAGACCCTGGCTATTCCCATCGGTAATTCAGGCCTGACCGTACGGTCGGAGATCTACGTGTGCTCGATAACTAATGGTGATGTTTGCAGAACCGCAGGCTTCGTCATCTTCAAGGGATCTCTGTCCGCAACCTAGTCGTGACTCCATCGAATAGGGCTCGTGGCAAGACAATCGACGACGAGGATATCCCCAACTCTCTACAATCGCCCTCCAAGATTCTAGCCCAAGATGCCAACCGTCACCTGCATCAGTCCCGGTCGTTTACCGATCTCCAATCTACGCCCTCTCGCCGCGAAGCCCCCCCGCGCAAAGAGCAAACCCTGCGATCGTACCGAAGAAACACTCTACTACCGTGGAACGACCCCAATCCGCGCTCGAGACAGATCAAATTGGAGGATATCACGAGAACTCGAATGGCCAACACGTGGTTTTCCCTCCATTGCGATGGCCACGAAGGTCCTGTATACGTGAGCGAGATCGTGGAGAATGCCACGAATCCTAGCTTTCGGGAATTTGATCTGAACATCTGCGGTCCATTGGTGTCTCGATCGGACCAGTTGACCCTGAAACTCTGGACGAAGACGACCCCCATGACAGAATATTTCCTGCTTGTCGAACTGCAACTGCACCTGCAGTCTTTACAGTTTCTGGGGAAGTCGTTGGATAACTTTCACCAACCCTTGCCGGGCAATTCGATTCTTTTCCATTTCGCGGATGGCGTCTACACGAGTCTGACCGACCTTCCACCGGTCTGGGCGTCGCTGCCCACGAAAAGCATTCGGCCGCCGGAAGGAGCTGGGCTCTCCACGTCCTCTTACGATGCGCTGATGCGGTTGGCGAACTTGGACGAGTGTATTCAAGACGCGTTGCTAACGCGCGAGAAGCTGGAGGCTCAGATCAGCTCCATCCTGGAGGAGAAGCAGCGAGCGATAGACGTGGTCGGCGAAGCTTCGCGAGCGCGGGAAAAGCTCGCTCAGACCAAATACACCGTCTCGTCGGAGCGGAAACGGCTGCGACTAGCCGCAAACCGTAAAAAGGACCTCATGGCCAGCATTCGAGCGAGGAGGGAGGCCATGGATACGGGACGTCATAGCCAGGAGAAGGCTCGTAGTCATTTGCCCGATGCGCAGCAGAAATTGGCCGCCAGTGCCAGATTGCTGGATCAGAACACCGAAGAGGCCAAGGGACAGATCCGACGGATTGGGGAGGATCTCCTCGCGATCTATCCCATCGAGCCGATCCCTGACAAACCGCTGGCCTTCACTATTGCCGGCGTGGCGCTGCCGAACTCGAATTTTGTCGACATCGACCGGGCCGCCGTGGCGGCCGCGCTGGGATGGACGGCGCACCTCGTCTACATGCTGTCCTTCTACCTGTCGGTGGCCATTCCTTACCCGATCAATCCGAACCTTTCGCACTCGCTGATCCAGGACCCCGTGTCGGCCGCCCTGCCGCAGCGAACGTTTCCGCTGTATCCGGTGAACGTGCACTACCGGTTCGAGTACGGGGTGTTCCTCCTGAACAAGGATATCGAGTTCCTCCTGAACAAGCAAGGGCTGCGGGTGGTCGACATCCGTCACACCCTGCCCAACCTAAAGTACCTGCTGTACGTGCTGACGGCCGGCACGGCGGAGATTCCCGCACGCAAGGCCGGGGGGATTCGAGGTCTGCTGCCAGGGCGCCTCACGCCCAGCTCGTCGCGGCGCGGAAGTGAGGATAGCGTTACATACGGCCAGTCAGCCCTAGCCCGAAAGGTGCTGGAGCCCATGCCGAAATCTAATGGGGGGATTGCGCTAGACAAGGGGAAGTAGACGGAGATACTGGGAATTTGATGAGAATTTTTTTTTTTGTTCTGTTTTATTTTATTTTATTTTATTTTATTAGTGGTGATTTTTGTGTATTTGTTGGGATTCTTTTGAAGCTTCCACGCATTTGGAGTGCGTGGATACGAGCGTTTTTGTTTGGCTGCCAGGCGTTCCGGAGAATGGATAGATAACTGTCACTGTGCCTTGTCTCCTTGACCGACAAGTGATGCCCTGCTGGTCGAGGTGGCTTGGCTTCTTGTTTATGTTCTGTTCTTTTATATATGGCTCTTATTACTTCTGATCTGTTGAATTATTGACTTATATTTTTTACCATGTATATAATTTACCGTTGAATTGTCGAACAAAATCGCGATTGACCACGTGGATGGACCCTCAGACCCTGGTTACCTGTTCTCAACTTGTTCTCCAGTCCTCCATTCCCACTCATTAGCGGCGAGTCTATTGGGATTACGATTGATAACAGCAATCCAAGTTATCCAACCCGGCACGACGCAAGGGAATTAATTCCTCGTGCCTCGATGCTACCCCGCATTTCGCTTTGGCTTAGTATCTTTAGGGCTCGCGATTCTCCCCAGACTTTTCTTTTTCAACTTCCTCTGCGATCGAAACTCTCCTCTTCGTGACTGTCGGTGGCCCACAGTACATTGTAACACCTGCAAGACAATTGGCCGAGGGAAAAAGAACAGGAACCCCAGTTCTCCGCGGGCGACCAACCTGACCGCTGCTGATAAAGCGATTTCCAATTGTTCCCCCCACCGCTTTTTGTCGCTTTGCATCGGCAAGCCCCAAACCACCCACTCTGTTGCGCCGGCAGAAGGCGGCTGGACTCGATCATGATGGCCGTAGGGGACGACCAGCAGCAGCAGCAGCACCAGTCTCCCTCCCGACAATCCCCCGACGACCCTGACGCCAGCCTCTATTCGCAGTCCAGTCAGGGCCCCAAGTCCCCGTCCTTCCAACCCCAACATCGCCGCGGATACCAGGCATGCGACCCGTGCCGCAAACGCAAGGTCAAATGCGATCTTGGCAGTAAGTCATAGTGTGCTGGTGGATCATGCCATTTCTCCAGGCGTTCCTCCTTTACCCCGGATTGTCTCAGAGCTGATCAGTGATCACCCACGCATTTTCTAGGCGTCGACAATCCCCGTCCTCCACCCTGCGTGCGATGCCGCCGCGAAAGTAAGCGATGCGAGTTCTCCGCCACGCGCCGCAAGCGCAAACCCTCCGAGGTCGAGGAGTCCGTCTTCGAGGGCGTTCTCCGTCGTGATAAACGGATGATGGTGGGCGAAGTCGTGTCGAATGGCTCCCCTAGTGATGGCTCTTCGTATACGGCGACCGATCCCCCCTCGTATGACAACAACAATACCAACAATAACGCTGCCAACAGCAGCAACGCCGCCAGCACGACGCAGGCCGCAGCCAGCCGCCCGCAACGCAAATGGTCCGAGGGATCGCCGTCAACCACCAGTCAGGTTCCTCCCTCGACTGTTACCCAGCAGCAATACCAGCCCAATACCTCGTCGACCACGCATTTCCCCGATGTCAAGAACACCCGGCTGCCTATGTACCCGGTGGGGGATCGATCGTCGGTGCCAGGTTTTGGTCTCGAAGGAGGACAGCCGATGATGAATCGCACCGCCGTTGAATTGCTGTCGCCGGCGATCAGCAATAGTCATGATGCGCTGCATCTCCTCTCCGAAGCGGCGGGCAGAACGGAGGATCTCAACCGACAGAGTCTCGAGAATCGATACGCTGCCCGTCAGTCCGTCTCGTCGTTCAACTCGCCCATCTCGCCTCTAACGCAGGCCGGCACGCCGCGTAGCGCCGGCGGGTCATTCTCGCGACCTCCTCGGTCAGGCGCCATGCCCTTGGGGACCTATTACCAGGCCGGTACGTCGGGGACCGATGATACCCAAGCTGCCGATGCTCGCGGCCAGTCCGGTCCCTCGGTCAATCCTCAGGACCCCGGCTATCTGGACGCAGTCAAGGCATGGTCACGACTCCGTTTTGTCCGTGCCGGCTGGCTCTCGGTCGAAGAGTCCATGGCCTACGTGGAATAGTACGTTTACTGAGCGCGTCAAGTGTGACAAATTCGCTAACCATGGTATAGCTACTACGAACACCTGGCCCCGCTAAGTCCCATTGTGATTCCGGATTTCTCCCACCCCTCGACACATCGCACAATGCTCACTGACGAGCCTGTCCTCGCCGTCATGATCCTTACCACCGCCTCTCGGCACATGAAGCCAAAAGGAGACGGTGCTTATACCCGTGCGTTTTATATCCACGACCGACTTTGGTCGTACCTTCGTGGTATGATTGAACGGTTGTTCTGGGGTCAAGAGAAGTTTGGTGGCAACGGGATGGGGATCAACAAGCCGCGGTCTTTTGATCTAGCTCCCACTCCGGCTATGGTGCATGCCAAGGGGAATCTCAGATCTCTGGGGACCATCGAGGCCTTGCTGATCTTGACTGACTGGCATCCTCGGAACCTGCATTTCCCGCCCGGCGACGACGAGAACGCACTTCTCGACGTCGATGCCCAGGCGCATACAATGGAGACCGATGGCGAGAACGGTGCCAACCGCACGTCAAACAACCCGGCGGAAGGTCGACTGGCGTTCCAAAAATGGCTGGAGCCTGCCTGGCGGTCGGACCGGATGTCCTGGATGTTGATGAGCACGGCGCAGGCACTAGCATTTGAGTTAGGTGTCTTTGATCAGAAGAGTGAATCTAAATCTGCCGGCGAATCCCCGGCGGAGCAGACACGAAAACGTCGCCTTCGGCGTCTTATTCTTGTGTACATCACGCAGAGCAGTGGGCGATTGGGGATTCCCTCGATGCTTCCGCTGCCGCAGTGGGCTAACGATATTCAACCGACTACCGTGACAGGGGGTGATACAACAGTGGACCGGATGCATGACTGCTGGATCGGGATCTCTAAGATCATGTACCAGAGCAACCAATTGTTGTTTGCGTCCAATGAGCAGACGTCAGAACTGATTCGAAGCGGCCGGTATCGAGACCAGATTGACCGGTTCCAGCCTTTCCTGCGGGAATGGCGGCAGAACATCGACACAATTGATCGTGAGTTTGAAATTTGTTTGTGTTGCTACTCGATAGCGAAAAACTGATGAAGGATCTAGTTGCTCCTGCCATGCGAATGATTTTGATGATTGAATACGAATACACACGTAAGTTCTTTTCTTTTTCTTTTTCTTTTCTTTTTGTTTTTTGTTTTTTGTTTTTTTTTTCTTTTTTTTTTTCTTTCGCAAGATGGAGCATTGTCTTGGACTAACGGCCTTGTGTTTAGGATTGTATGTCAATTCTCTTGCACTGCAAGCGGTAGTCGACCGCTGGACAACCATGTCGAACGAGGCTGCTCAGGCCCAGGCTCGATCTGGTTCGGGGTCCTCGTCCAGCAATGGATGGTTCAACGTGCTCATGGAGCTCTACCGCGTCAATGAGCAATATATCCAAGAGGTTGTTGATGCGTCCCGTAAGATTCTACATACGGTTTTGGACGGTCTTGTCCCGGGGGATCACCTCAAACACGCCCCTGTTCGCACTTGCTTTCGAATTTTGTCTGGAATGATCTTCATTCTTAAGGTTAGTCGACTTGTCAATGGAAAGAGAAGTTCTTGAGGCTGACTTAGACAGACATTCACGCTGGGCGCAAAAGAGGACGATGTTCGCGTTTCCCTCGATCTTCAAGATCGAACTATGGAAGCTCTGCGGACCAATGTCGTCGACGACGTACACCTCAACCATGCTATTGCCCGACTCCTTGAACTGCTTACCACCAGCATTCGCACACGCTTCTTACGATTCGCACCCTTGGACCGTGGCGGCGACGGAGAGGCGCAGGACCGCACTGCGCCGGCACCCGTCTCCCGACCGCAGTCACCCCGTCCGCGAGAGGGCCCGCAAGGCCGACGAGACGGTTCGAACCCCGGATGGGCATCTGGACAGAACACGACACACAATATCGGGTATGCCGACAATAACGGTCAACAGACAGGAGGCGCGATGGGACCGGTTCATGACCCGCTGGCGGGGATTCCGGCACAGCCGATCAATTCGTCGAATATCAACGTGTCCTTCATGCCGCCACCCCCCTCCGTGTACCACAACTACTACGACCCCAATACCACGCCGCCAGCAGGTGGCGACCTGGATAGCTCGAATATGCCCTCGCAGGCCCTGCACGATAACTCCGGCGCGTCCAGCGGGCTTCCGGATTGGTTCGCGCTGCCCCTGGACCAGTTCTTCAACAGCTCCACCGCAGTCGTGGATCAAGGCCTAGGAGGCACAGGACCGATGGTCGGCGACTTCGACATGTTAGAGGTGCTCCTGAACGAACAGTATGACGGACAAGGTGAGCACCTTGACTCGACCGGTGGCGGGAATCTCCCCTCACAGTTCCTACAATCATGACCTCTCCGTATGACGACCACTGTTAGCATGTAAGGACACTCTGTATAACGAACGAATTGCAATTGATTTATATTAAGCAAGCAACAAATACCCTGACGGGAGGTTATCATTTCCTTCTCTTTCCTTTCCTTTTCATGTTCTCTATATGTCAGCATGATTGATGCATTGACTGTACTGGGATATTTTCTTTGAACCTCTTTCACCCGGGATAGTAGATGGGTTGTCGAGCCTGAGTTATTTCTGTCATTGTATCTGCTGTACTGATAGCCCGATGATGAATGATTATCTTTCAACCCCACAGATCTGTTGTTTCATTTCAAAGTGCCCATTGGCTGGATTGGTAGTACATCCTAATCCTCAGAAAGGCCTTCGAGCCGAGAACCCAACGACGTCAGCTATACTAACCAACCAAAGCAGTAGGTAGTTAAACAAATCTACAGAAAAGCGCAATCAACCTGTTATGACTATTTGAGCACAGTCAAGCTCAGACCCATCATGCATGTTCTTTAAGTTACAAGCCATCACATTGTCTCGTTAACAGTTCGACTAGTTATCATTCTCCGTTACCGTAGATATATAATTCTCGACATAGGCATTCAACTGCCAATCCAATTGAGTTCAGTAAACCAACGCACTAGCATAGCATAGTATAGTATAGTATAATTCAGCCAAATATATACCTCTTCATCGTCTCTCATCTAGTTACTATCCAGATGCTCAGACATACATATCAAACATCAACATCAACATCATAAGAAGTCTTTCTTTCACACGACAACCCATTCAGATATCCAATCCGCTTAAGCCTGCTTCGCAAATCCAATTCTCGGCCCCTCGGAATCAAACACCGCATACTGGCTCTTCAAGAACACGTCGCCGAGAATCGACAACCCAAGGCCAGAGTTACTCTGGATGCCACCGAAGCAGCTGGACCCGCCCTCAGTCACCGGCGCGTAGTTGATGTGCTTGCCGGGGACAACGGCCTTGTAGTCGCCGATCACGACGGTGAAGGTTGGAAGGTCAGTCGAGCAGGGGAAGACGTAGCCACCGGCGGAAGCGTCGTTCTTGGCTCCCGTGACTTGCTTGTAGTACGCGGAGACGATGGAGTCGTCGATGAGGATGAGGGTCGTGCCGGTGTCTAGTTTAGGGGATGAGTTAGTTGGTTGGTTGGTTTGGTGAGGGTTGGGAGGGAAGAAGGGAGACATACCAGCAATAGCAGTGATGGGGTCGTTCTTGGTCGCGCCGTCACCGACGGCGTATCCGTCGGCCGTGAACTGCCAGAAACCCTGGGAAGTGTCGACATCGGAGTAGGTGATCTCGCCGGTGTACTTGCTGTCGTCGAGGAAACCGAAGTCGTAGGAGCCGGCGGCGTGGTACTTCAGGGCCACGGCGAAGAGGGGCGAGTCGAGCTGCGACTTGACGGTGTCGAAGAAGGTGGTCTGCGCCTTGGGCTCGACGGTGTTGATCGAGCTGAATGCCAGACCCAGGAGGCCGTCGTTGTTCTTGTCCTGGGTGAACTCCGAGCTGATGGTGCTGGCGGCCTCGACGGCCTGGGATTTAGCGGTCACGCCGCCCACCGTCACGGTGTCTTTGTAGACGTCGCCGCTGGCGGAGCTGCCGTCGCCGTAGGAGATGTCCCACGTGGAGCCTTGCAGCTTGGTGGCGTTGTCGGAAGGCTTGTAGACGCTGTGGCCGGACTGTTCGGAGCTGGACAGCTCGGAGGAGAAGACCCAGCTGTGTGGTCTGGTGAGCGTCTGTTTGGTTGATAGGAAGTGGGAGGTTAAACGTACAGATCGGCAGAACCGGTGTCAAAGTCCAGGTTCAGGGTGGTGCCGCCAATAGTCACGGGCGTCAGGTATTCTGAGTCGTATTCCTCAGGCTTTGTCACGGCAGTGCCCTTGGAGGCAGCATCCTTGACGCTCTGGGGCACGGTGGCTCCATACTTGGCCAGGAACTTGGCGTACTGGGCAGGCAGGTTGAGGGTCTTAGGGTTGGCACTCTGCCGGGTGATCTGGTTGACCGTGAAGCCCTTGCGAGGCTGGGCGTGAGGCAGCGCCGAGGCCACAGAGGCGAGGCCGAGGGCGGCGGTAGTGACTTTGCTGAAGATGACCATGATGACTGGCTGGGTACTCAAACAAGCGAATGTATACAGAAAAGAGTGTATGAAGGAAGTTCGAAGTGAATGACCAAGAAGCTCTCGATCTTCGACTCTTAGAGAATGAGACTGAGTTGAGATGATAATTCCCAAAGAAGCTGGAATCAGGGCTCCTTTTTATAGCTTTTCTCTCCGTCCCCTCTCCCGTCTCGTCCAAGTCATCGTGATAGTAGTTCATGCCTCAGTTCCTCGCCCTCTTCCTCTTTTGGGTATACCAACCCGCAGATCTCCTCTTAACGACGCAAGCTCTGGGCTGGTTCGACGCCATTCAGCCTGCGCCAAGATAACACCAGGCAAGGGCGACGACGCATGGCGCAAGAGCGAAGATCGATGCCAGGCGAGACAAGCCTTCCCAAGACTGTACCCCTGAAGTGACTGAAGGAGAGGGGCTTGCAACTTGCATGCGCGAATGCTACGGCGGAGTCTGTAGCACGTTGCTTGTTTCGGACAAGACTTGACAAGACTTAACAAGACTTCTTGGCCGCGGCCGATAGATGGACGGACATGTCCGGCTGAGCCCTGCGCGATGGATGTCTAGGACAGGGACTGTCACTCAGTCAAAGCATTCTCATTCGATGATGAGCTGACGATCTCCATTCGAGGCGGTCGAGGGAGCCGTGAAGAGGGGAGGGCCAGACCGGGGGTCCGATCCTGTCAAATTGCACGATAGAAGAGACGGATGAGAAAAGGCGAGGACAATATTAAACAATAGCAGTGAGGACCAGTGAGAATGGAGACCGTCACGACTCACATGGTACCTGGGGGCAATCCCCGACGGAGGCCCTGACGATCGCCGTTTCTGCGCTCCATTGGTGTCTTGGTATCGTTACTTCGTCTCAAATGTTATGCAGGACCAATGTCCACCTCTCCGACGGGCCACCAGGGCTAATCAATTTATCTCCGGTGTGGAAGATGCACGATGTGACTGTAAAACTTCGACCATCGCGCAGAACCCCACACTCTTATCTCCTAGTCGGTCGATGGTCACAAGCACCTCATTTCATCCCGCGGACGACCGTCGCGCATCCCCTTTTCTTTGGCTGTTTTCTCGTCCGTGTCATCTCCCGGTATGAGGTATATTTGATTGGAAGTTTCACGGCCCCTCTTTAAAATGAATGTGAAGATGTCGGGCAAATCAAGGGAGTGAATGGGTCTCTTGTTAGCCCGCCAAGTCAATGCGTGAAGAGTCCCACCGCTGATTGGGCTAATGGCTAGCATCAGTTAGTTAAGGCTGTCGATCGCGGATCAGGAAGAGCTTAGCCGCAGTCCATGACCTGAATCGCGCTGATGGCGAGGATTCTCGAGGATGAAATCGAGGTACCCGGCGGTGCCCATATGATTCTTTTGGGGGAGAGACGAGGGAAACGAAGCCTTGCATGGCAACACGTGATACGGTACCAGGCAACCAACGGACAGTCACTGTCTGTCTAAACATCGAGGAACCAACAAGGAGACATCCTAAGTAAATCAGATTCATAGAAAATGCCTCCTACTCTGTGTCATCTAATCGGTCACCTTGACACGATATGTCGGTGACAATTTGCTCTGAGATCATCGGCATCGACGCTCTAATACCAAACATCAGTGGTCGTGACCGCGAAGGTGAGCTTTGATTACCATTAGAAGATCCTCCTTCCTGACATTTAAATTCAGATAAGGATGTACAAGGACTCATTCCTTGGGTCTTCAAGCAATCAGAATCTGCTGATGAAAACGACACAAGTCACTGGCCCAAAGGGGACCGTATATTCAATGCCTTTTTCAATGACCTATACTCCTACCGCGACGAGCTAGAAGACAATGTGCTCAACCATACAGGGATTTCACGAGTCCTGGTGGCCAACGAGACGATTGATTTGCCTAGAAAGAACTGGAGAGTGTCTGAAAGAGAATATTTCAGACATTTCGTAAGTTCGCAGAGTATCACGATCAGGTGGTTGATACAAGCTATATACTTAATCTTGCCGGAATCAGGGAGGAAGGGCCCATCCTTCGGTAAGTTATGGTCTTGATTATTCATTTCATCGCGGTGCTGACCATTGCAGCTTCACCTGTTCTGGGCTGAAGTTCAGATACACAATGGGTGGTAAGCAATATGCCAGTAGAGCGGAAGGTGCGGCTTTCGTGGGACAACCGGCCCAGCGCCTACCAGTGCTTAGCTTTACTGGAGTAAGTATATGTGTTCCATTTATATCTCTGTTGGCCAACTCTCTAACCCTATGTAGTGGTATGAAGGGCAGACCTGGAATGAATTTCTGATGGAGACTGTCAGTATCATGCTAGGTCAACTTACCAAAAGCCTTGAGGTTCAGCGCAGTAGTGAGGGCGTTCAGGGCCAGGAAGTTTTCGTGGCTGGCTTCCATGGCTTTCATTGTCATATTGCGTGCGCATGGTTTGCAGAGAGTTTGATTTCGAGGGTACATGCTAAGGGGTGCTCAGAGAATGAGGTTTTGAATCTCCAATTCACCCGAGGCTATAACCTGTGCCTTAAAGAAGACTGGCTTGAAACCACACGTGCATTGACAAGGTTACTTCGATATCTTTTGAGCGGGAGAGCAAAGGTCAGTGCCATACAGGCGTGTATGTGAAGGGCGAGCATTATTCCGCAAAAGGCTGTGAGATATACTTGCCGGCTGTTTTAAGTATGTTGGGCCCTCAACTCGGAGCCCTTTCTGAGAGGATATATGTAGGATATGCATGATATATAATAGATAGGAGATTATCAAATCAACATACTGTACAAACAATGTCCAGCAAAGTCAGGTATCCAAGAAAGAAAGGTGACCCGAGCACCCACACCCGGCACAAATAAACCAGCCAATCCACCAACCGACCTAGTAAATCACATCACGCCAACACCTCATCCGCTGTATTTGCATTTTCATTGAAGGATCAAGGTGGTAGATAGATAAACAAGAGGGAATCGTATGTAAATCAAATCAAGACAGAATCCCATCCCTGATCCTTGGTCCTCCCCAAACCTGAAAACAGTATATATGCCACGAAGAAAGAAAAAAGACCAGCGTGTATCAATCAATCAACAAAGAATGCCTATCTACTATGTATGTATGCACTTGCGAAGATGAAATTATGTGCCAGAGATAGAAAAAAAAGTATTATCAGATGTCATTATATCATAACTCTTGTTTGTCCAACTCCCAGATCTCCCAGTGCTTGATGACCTCCCATCCCACGCGACGGACGCGTCGTCGCCAGAGACGAGTTTCCGGATTCAAGTGCTGGGGTTGGCACCAAGAATCGGTACCTTGGGAATCGGTTTCCGCCAGTTTCGTGGGCACCAGGGTATCGTCTCGGTTGCGTTTGCCGAGGACGGGAGGTGGAGGGGGTTTGGATTGTTGGGCCGGCAGCGGCTGTGGTCGGTTGATGTTGATAGAGGGGGCGAGTGCAGGGGTGAGGATGCCGCTAGGACTGGCGCTGTTGTCCTGGACGCTGGATGGGGTCTTCTCCAGATCACCATTGGACTCGGTGACAGGGGATTGCCATTGCGTGACGTGATTCTCGGGATTAGCCTGACTGGACGGTATCGTATAGTATTCGCCCAGTTGGAAGACCTTGCGGCCCATGCCGAACATCTTCAGCCGGCTGAATACCTGCTGGTCGGCCAGCGATTCGCTCAGCTTCTCACACAGGATCTGGTCATCGGCTTCGACGATGTCAGAGAAAGTCCGAGCGGAGGTGAACACGTTGGTACCGGCCAGAGGTCGGGGCATGTGGCACGGCGCAATGTTCCCGGTGGGTTGGTTGCTTCCGCTATTGGTCGGGATCAGCAGACGAAGCGCAGTCAAATTCCGCAGGAACGGAAGGATGAGCCCTAAGGTCTCCATACTCGAGAACTCGGTGGCCAGTGCCAGTTGTTCGAGGTTGGGCGAGGCATGGACGAGGCGGGCGATGGCGGAGCTTGACAGCGGCCACCGGGCAGGCAGCAAGAGATGACGTAATGAGGTGCAATGATTAGTTATGATGGTGTTGAGGTAGCTGTCTCGCAGACTGGGCTGCATGTTGGGGGCAGTGGACTGCGTGGATTCGGGGGTGGGAACCGCGCCGTCACCATTCGTGTGAGGACGGCCTTGGTCGACGGATTGAGGTGTCAAGGCGGCCGGTGTCAATTGTCGAGGGGAGTTGACATCATCCAGTGTATTGGTCGTTGCGTTGACAAAGTACAACTTCTCCAACCCCGTGAAGGAATTAAGGAAATCAATATGTTTCCGCGATGTCGAGTCCTGTCGCATGCTCTTGATCTTCATATGATCCTTGGGTGGATTGTTCGGCCACGTGCTATCGACAAATGTATTCATGTAATTGATGTCGTCGGTCCCGATGTTATTGAGGATCGTGATGTTATCAACCGTATTAGAATTGAAAGCGAGTTGAAAATCTTCCGTATGGAGTGCATAGAGGTTCTGCAGCCCCATGGTTCTGACGGAGAGGGGTTGTCTCGTCGCGATGCATTTGCGAAAGTAATCGTGAAGCATGACACTGGGCTCCTGCGCCGTCCTCATGCGCGGCGACCAGTGCAGTTTCAGAACCCGCAGTTTGCGGCACTTCCAGAGCAGCGTCGACACGTCGTCCGGGTAGCAAAGGGGATCGATATCGGTGATTTTGAGATAGCGCAGGTGAGGCATGCCGGGGATGGTGATCATGGGCCGGGGGTGACGACTCGAGGGAAAGCGCACGGTCAGCGACGTCAGCTTGGGGAGCTGCGTCAGCCCTATGTATACAGTCTCTAGAATCTTGGTGCTGAGCTCCCAGCTGAAACTCTCCAAGTCCGGCATCCTATCGACCGCCGCCCGAACGGCAATATTGAGCATCATCGACGAGTCCGGGACGCGGCCAACCCGCGCGTGCTCTTCCAGCTCCTGTTCTCGCCAATTACCCCGCAGCGTGAGCGATCGCACGAGGGATGCATAGGGACGGGTGATGACGGCGTTGAGACCCATCGAGAAGGGGCTGGCGCTGCCCATGCCCTCGGGCTCATCTCTGCGGTATCGGATTTTGTCGTAGGACGTCAAGGTCAGGTTCCGGTAAAGTTGGGGCAGGGACATGTAGTTCAAGACGCGACATGTTCGACAAAGACGGGCGAGGTCGCCCGGATCATCTAACTGTACCAGCAAGTTAGTCGCCAGATATCCCACCCACCCCCAAAGAAGTCGGAGAGTAGCTGGGCTGCAAGGCGGACACATACGTGAGCAATAATGCGAGCGATCAGGTTCAACGGCAGGACCATCAACGACCCTCCGCGCGGCCGATCGTTCGAGACGCAGGCGTCAAACATATTCCGGTTGACAGCCGCCATGATGTGACGCCCAGGGGCGATGATGTCGCGGCATCGACTGAGAACGCAAGGAGTGGAGAGACGAGAGGAGCCAGTCTCGAGGAATCGGGGAGGGACGTGGAAAAAGCGGAAGAAGAGGAAGTGGCCGGACCAGCAGCTCCCGAGAAAGTTTTATGAAGGATTCGGTGTCTTATTCAGCCACGCCCGATCGACTCTCTCCGCTTGTCTTGTGTCTTTGGCTCGTTCATGACTTTGGTTCATTATTTATCACCGTGGTAAATTAGCTATATCCAAAAATATTCGGGGTATCTTTTGTACAGTCCTTTCCTGCTACCTTCCAAAATTCCTCTTTCCAAGTGTTGCCAACGAAATCAATGCCCAATCGTGCTCCAATTGCACCCCATAGTCAAAGTATATTGCACGAAGATGAAAGAAACAGAAAAAAAAAAAAAAAAAAAAGATTCCATCCCTATATATCCGATACTCCCTGGCTAAACTCAAGCACACGACCCCCTACCCGAAAAGTAATTATCCTTTTGCAAACGCCGTATCTTGACAACGCACAACCAACGCCTTTTAGTCTTTGTTTTATTGCGGAGGTCTAGGGCTTTCGCTGGCACCGGTACTGGTATTGTGTGAGCGCGGTGGATGAGGGTCGAGAGACGGCGCCGTTGCTCGAAAGGATTGTTCCGCTGGAGGTCGATTGGTAGACTCCGGGTTGGGCTCGTCCTGATGAGCGTCGGAAATGGATTGATGATCAAGCTCATCCACATATTCATCAGTGAAGCTCATTCGCACGGTCTCGTGGTGAACATCCCGAGCCGAAGGGGATTCAAAGGCAGGATCGTCCAATCCTACGAGAGCCGCTGCTTCGGGATCGTAGCGTAGTTCGTAGTTACCAAAGCTACCCTCCGCATCCGATGTTGTCCACGGAGCAGAAGGCCGGGCCTGCGGTTGGATTACTCGCACTGGGAGATTAGCCCGGTTGTGCGAAGTATGGTGACGGTGCCGGCGAGGCGAGGGTTCCAGGATACTAGAATCGTTGAACCACTGCGGTGACCATGTATGCTGGCCTCGACGTCGCGCGGGTATAACAGTTACGGGTAACTGCGTGTCTGCGCCCTGCCGCCCGGACTCGGGTCGAGTCCTTCTATCACTTGTTGGCCGGAAAGTGTGCTGCTCTCCGTTCTCATCGGGTGCCACGCCCTCCTCATCTGTGTACGGAAATTGCTCCTCAGCCTGCGCGGAAGCAACTTCTCTTGGCAAGGATGCGTGTCGACGTTTAAAAGGATTTAGAATCGTCCGCCACCTGTGATCGGTGTTGATGATCTGGGGAGATTGATCTCTCGTTTGTTGCGCTTCAAGGCCTTCATGAGTCATGTTTGCCTGCTGTCCCTCCATGGACGTTGCCAGTTCCTTTGCTGCAGCCGTCTCGTCGCTATTCTCCTCTTCCTCTTCCATGTGCGGCATGCCAACGGGTGGTGTCGGGCTCGAAACGGGATGGTAATGAACATTGTACACAGTGCTGGCAGCACTAGTAGTGTCAGCCCGGCTGACAGGCGTTACAGCCGCTGGCGGTGGTGTTGGTCGAGCTGGACGCCGCCGGCGAGCATCGGCTGAGGTGTCATGGTTTTGGGTGGCAGGACGAGACTGCCAATTGCGGCCGCTATTATTGGGGAGTCCAACCCTGGTGCGTAAGGGCCGATGGCCTAAGCTCATCATACCACCCCATCCGGACGATGTGCCCGTACCTCCTCCTCGGTCGTGACCAGAATTGTTCTGTCGAGGCCAATCAACCTCTTCGGAGGGCGTTACTTCCAGCATCTCGTCACCGTCGAATATCTCCCGGCCAAGAATTCCATCCTTCCTTTCGTCGCGTTCTAGCGCTTCAATGCGCTCCACCCATTCCCAAACAACAACACTTGCCGCTGCTGAGCCTACCAAGCGCACATAGGTACCCCAGCCTGCGATTTCCGGTTTTGCAATATCCATCACAAAGAAAACGACAGGAATGAGGACCGCGCACAGAGACATCAAGGCCACGAGGCAGATATTCCTCATCTTAGGGTGAAAAAACGCAAAGCGGGATTTCGATATTGAATAAAAGATCACCCATGCAGCATAGAGCAAGTTGAGAGCGAGTTCGAAAAGATAACTGAGCGCAGGGATCGCATCGTCGTACAACCGCGGTCGCGTCGTATTGGTTTGAACGAGAAACTTGTCCAGAATGCTGAATATCGTGTCTAACACAATCAACGCGAATCCTGCCCATTTGATCATGATTTTTTCTTTGTGTCGCGGAAAGAGTCGAATTAACGTCTGTACCTGTGCAAGCCATAGAAACGTGCCGCATATGACTCTCACAATGCGGATCTCCATACCATCAATGACCTCTTCCGCCAGAGCTTCCGCGTCCGAGTAACCGTGAAGATACTGTCGCTCAGCGACCGTGAATGAATCCGCCGTTGCGATAGTTAGACATATTGCGACCAGGATTGCGGCGACCTTTTGCAACCATGGTCGACCCCCAACCCCCACGACGGAGGAATTCCCGCTGTACGATCCGCTGATCATTCCATGGCGGCCTAGAAAATTGGCACCGCCTCCCGGCCCGCCGACGTAGAACGTGCGTGGTGTAATAAGAAGCATGACAACAAGTAGATAGCTGACCACGGTCGAGCAGCCAATGGCGTAAAGTTGTGGAGTCACTGAAGAATAAAACGGGTCACGGGTGTCGAGCATCGGGGAGGCATGGTTGGTCTTTGTAGGCTCACTTGTACAAGCCGGTTCGAAGATCGCATTTGCGGTAAGGGATATTGAAAAAGAGCGATTCAGAAACACAGCACCTAGAACAGATTGACACAGGCGATGTTAGTCAAAGTTCCACATCATCCGCAACGAGCGATGCGATGCGACTCCGACTAAGTCCGAGGCTCGTCACACGGGCTCGACTAAACGGGACAGCAAATCATTCATGGCAAACATACCATCACTTGGGAGAAGAAACGGAGTACAGCCGGGCGCGTATGTCTTCCCTGAGGTAGTCGTCGGTTGCGCCCATATCTGGCGAGCAACCAGAAGAGCGTGGTCCCCCATAATCGAACAGACAATCCGCACGACTCACGTCACGGTCTGAGCAGCTCATATAGGCTTTTGAATCATTCAGATCGATGTGATCGAAATCCCTCAAATCCCCATGATTGCGATACCACAAGAGAGCGCGTTGGTCAATTACCGATAATCGGAACAAAAGCAGGACGGTCGGGAGTCGGAGTGTAAGTAATAAGGGGAGGAGCGGAGTGAAAGAAGTCAGGTCGTGATTCTTGGATGGTGTACGTCGACTGATGAAAGTATCGGAGCAATGAGGGACAATCTGACAGATGGGAAGAGACAGGCCGATCAGCATCAAGAAGATGACGGGAGACCATTCACAAGTCTTGAGGTGGTTCGAGGATCCGCCACTGCGGTCCAGATTCCCCGGCAGTACCCCACCGCCTTCGCTTTGAGTGTCATTTCCCATTCCTCCGTTCCAAGCACGTCCTGTCAAACTACGTGGATCTGATAGTCAAGCTGAACCGATCATATTGCCCATGGTCTATATATTATCTATAGTAAGGCACGAACCTAACCCTCTAGACCTGACTCCCCTGAATCATTCAAAGTCGCAATGACTTCATTCCTCAATTTCCCATCAACACTCCCCACCGCAACGGCACTCATTCCCCCCTTCTCATCGTAGACCCATTTGTGAGGCCCAGCTGCCAACTGATCTATACCCAAGGCCTTTCTGAACACATCACTCAAGTCCACCGGTTTGCCGTGCTCAAACTCCAACTTCCCGCCGAGCTGGATCGGAAGGTCTTCGTCATGGATATGCTCCTTCAAAGTCGGATACACCTCAGCCTGAGACAAGAAAACCAGTTTAGCCGCGGTGACCGGGTCCACCCAGCTCTTCAAGAGCTTCCATATAGCACCGAAATATGATGGACAGTTACAGACCTATCAATGGCGGTATTAGCACTAGCACACTTGCCAGACACCCGATCGCGGGGGTGGCGAAAAGGAAAAAGAAAGACATAGGGCACATACAAAGATCTTATCCACCGTGTTGGGATAACAGGTCGTAAGAAGCCAACTCGCTTCCTTAACAAAATTCCTAATGTCAAACCCCTGCTTAAACGACAGCGTCGTCGCATCGACGACAATCACACTGGAGGTAACCCGTCTTCGAGTGACCATTGAACACAACGGAAACACAAAGCGAGTGTAGCTATCGAACATTACCGAGCCCAGCTGCAGGACGTCAACACGCTCTTGCTGCTGAGCTGCTTCCGCGGGAGGTGAGTCGGGATTCGAATCCGACAGGCGTGGCACGTAGCCGAAATTGGAACCTTTGTATCCCAGTAATGGAAGCTTGAGGTTGGTGGTGTTCACAAAGAAGACTGGTAGACCGCGTTTGTCAAGACGGCCTGTCCATTGAGGGTACTGTGGTTGTCATTAATAAATCTTTTAGGAACTACCAGTATAGGGGGTGGGGATTGTAGAGATCGAGAAACAGCATGGACAGGGCATGACAGGGTAGAGAACGCAGGCAAAACTCACAGCCGCGCCAGCGGTCTCATAATCCTGGACACGAATCCCATCATAGACCTCAAACACGCGATTCTCCTTACGGAACAGGACCGCCTCGAAGAACGGATTGATAGCATCCTCGGGGTCGAACTTGCGCGCGCGCAAAAATCGTCTGTCGGTATTAGCATAAGTTCAATCTATCGTATGTATGCACCTACATGGTTCTTGAAGACAGTCTCAGGAGGGGGATGATCACTTACATTAAAGCCGACTCATCGTTAATCGCATCCAAAGCATCGCGATCGCCCATCCCATCCGGCCGACCTAAGAGATCATTCTCCTTGCATAATTGGACAAAATTTTCTAGCGCAAGTTTCTGGTCCTGGTCCAGCTCGTGCGCGGCGTTTAATCTATTGTTATGATCATGGTTGTCGACAGTCATCATGAATCGAAATAACACAGGTAGTTCAAATAATTTGATTCTTCACCAGACCACTCACGCAAGCGGTAAATAGGCGATGGTCCCAAGCTATGTACCTATATGGCGAAAACAACTGGATACTTATGAAGCTCTTGATGGTTAAATAATGATGGGGGTCGACCGCGAGCCCGATTTTATGGAAAGTTGACGTAAACAGAATTAATTCCATGTCTGGGCCAGCTGAGGTACAACGATCGGCTCTGAAATTACCGAAAGAGGGTTTATGACCTATGAGGGGGGGCTTATTCCGCAGTTGACCAGCCCCGGTTCTCCCACTCTTTTGGCCCAATGTCTGATTGACATGTTGGCTGACTGCATCCTTATCTTCGTGATGCTGGATTATTGTGTAGTAAAAGTGCCGAAATAAGACAGAAAAAGAAATTAGATAGTCACTTTCTAAATGTTGGGTCGGGGCTATGTATTTAGTAACTAAACCGGGTACTTGCTTAGTGAGAGTAAGACATACGAGTCATTTTGAACACTTGGACAACTGGCGTATGAACAGCTTCAGCGGATAGATCTCATTAGAATATGGCCATGAAGAGCGGAATAGTCATTATTTGCTCAATGGCCTAGAATTTGAATATAGCTCTGAGGCAAAGAAACACCTTTTGGTATCATAGTATCAACTGTACAAAATTATGATCTCTGTACAAGAGTGGTCCTGAACAGACCGGATCAAGAACATCGAAATGAATAGTAGAAGGGGGAATTCGTGACAATATATAACGCCAAAATGCAGAAGGCCACCCGCCGGATGCAAAGGGGTTTCTGAATGATAAGATAAAAGGTTAGAAGAGAAAGGGTTAATGAAGATGGCACAGGAGAACATGTAATTGTCCACCCGTGAGCTCTGGTCAATGCGATGACATGTCCAGTGAAAAATCAAGAACAGGTTGCTTCCAAGTCGCACAACATGGTATGCAAATGGCCAAATAGGGCCAGACGAGAGGAAGAGAAATGTAGCTGCGGTATTATTTTCATTCATCCCGCAATCAATTATCATATTATTGATCGGGTCTCCAGGTCTGAGGAGAGCCCTAATCGAGGGCCTCGGGTGAATATTCAGGCGATTACCGTGGAGGAGGCCCATAGGACATCTGGACAGGGGGTAAATAAGGCGAAGCCAAAGATGTCCCCGTGGCTCTGGCCGCTTTTTCTCGCTCCTCCTCGCGTTTCTTGATCTCCGTTTCATCCTGAATGAGCGTGCAGCAAGTGCAGCAAGTTGCTCGGACGCAGTCAGACGCAATGTCACCTCGGATGCCGTACGCTTTACGCGTACGGGTGTGTTGGACAGTCGCCAATAGCCCTGGGTTACAATGTTAGCCTTCCCTCTTCTAGTGGGTGCACCAGTATCCCCGACACATGGACTTACATTGACATCCACATAATAAGGCCATCGCGGTGCATGATCCGTTGCACGTCTCGTAGCCCAGCATGTTTGTTGGGTCCTCTTTTCTCGACAATGAAGAAAGCCGATACTGTGTTCTACCGTATAGGATACAAGGACAGATCAAACCGAGACAACAGGTCCAAATATTCGAGCAATCGCACATGCCATGACTCCACGTTCCGCCCTTTACCGCTTGGTTAGGATGGGCTACCTGTCCTGGTTGGTGGTACCCCATGAGATCATTCGCTATTGACGATTGGGGTGCTCTTGATGCCACGGGTGAAGGGAAACGAGGCATTTGCGGGGTTTGCAGCGGATTCGCGTCCGGTACCACAGCGACGGGCAGGCGTTCTGAATATTGTTCCGGGGCTGCCGGATTCGTCTTGATTGGAAGTGGCCCCGGAGAGCCTGGAGGGACCACATACGAGTAGTCAGGCACCACTGCGTCGGGATGCTGCTTTGACTGGGGCGTCTCGTCGGCAAAGGGCGCATAGATTGCCGGGTGATGATCTATATTCGGACCATTGGGATAATGAGAGGGGTCTGATCCTTCTGGGAGGGTATGTGTCTTTTCATTCAGTGGCGGCTGAGCTTGCTCAGGCGGAGCCTGTTCTTGCTGGGTCGCATGTGTCTCCGGCACGGTCGCCGGCTGCGGCGGCTGTGAAGGAATTTGCAAGCCCGCGGTTTGCATTTCCAACGGGGTTTCGAGAAATGAGTATCTCTGATTTGCTCCCAAGTTGGAAGTATCCAGATGGAGTCGTCTAGCCATGGTGGTGGTTTGTTGCAATTGGTACCTTCGTCTTTCGAATCGCCGGTCACGCTCTGCTATGCGACCTTAAGCAGTCATGCATGCATAAAACGAGGCTGTCTTGAATGGGGCGGGTGAGGTGCGTTTGCAATTATTCAGGATGTGCGCAGTATTTGCTTTTCTTCGCACTCATGTAGCCTTTCCAGGAAGATCTACAAGTACCAATAATGGGGAGGTCCCTACCCCGTTTGTAAACCTATCCGTGCAGCGCATCAATAATGCAAGGATGATCGCAACTCGATGCCATAAGCCAACAAAGGTAAGCAGCTGGGGGTGCTTGAGATGAGAGAGGGGGTTAAAAACAAAAAAACACAAGGCCATCAAGAGGGAGGCAGCAGCATTAAGTGTAACCTGAGTCTTCCCTTTGAGGGGACAGACCTGTGCAGGGTGGAGAGAGAAGTACCCATCGTACTGCGGGGAGGACGTGATCCAAATGGTCAGAGCTCAAATAACTGCTGCACCATCGTCGTTGGAATCACTCGTCGCGCCAACTTCCTAGGCCTGCATAATGCGTGGACTCCACGCCAGTAAGGATTCTCGTTGGTTTGGCGGCAGCTCGGAACCTCCCGTTGGACTCGTAGGTGGTTCTCGTCACATCACCGGTCCGTCGCGTCACACTTGACTGTTGCTGAACTTTTCATCTTGCAACCACATTGGACGAGTTGAGTGTTGCCTGTAAGGCATGTTGACTACGCCGCAATGTCGACGGGCGCTTAGAGGGCGATCTTTTGTTCGGCGTCTAGAACTTGGCCAGTCAGGTTGGAGCATGGGAACTGTCAGCCATTGCTCGGGCAATTGCATGTCATTTCACACTAGAGTGTGATTTCAGCTGCTAATCCTTGATGAAACAGATTCGAATTCTCAGCTCTTTCACTTACCCCCAAAATATATTTGTTTTCGGGCCAACAAAGTCCTACGATGTCACAAGATTACTCAATAACAAAAAGAAAACAGAATAAGGATGAAAGGAAAAGCGAATAGAAGAAAAGGAAAGAAAACAAAACAAAACAAAACAAACAGATGATGGCTCAAGTGTAAAGACCAAGGATGGAAGAAGATGATCTAATAAATTATGGAAGTGACCTAGGCGATCGATAGATGTAGGAGGGAAAAAGTATCCTAGACAACCCGCACTTACGGAGGGGCTGAGCGCTTGATAGTACGTGCTAGCAAGATTGGGTTGATGTGAACTCGGAACACAGCTTTGTCAAGCCACACACATGGACTAGAGTTTCAAGTCTTCTCACCCGGACCTGGAGTTAGAGATGTTATCGATCCTTCGAAACGACCTACAGCTGGCCAATCCAGTCAGTGGAAGCATTTGAACTTGATCCTGGACAATGCGACCATACTACAGTGGTGCTTCAATTAAGTGTACAGACAAATAACACGGCCAGAAATGAGAAAAAGTACCACTAGCAGGGGTAGGATGATAAGACTATAAGCCGCCTACCCAGCCTCTGTTCTCAAGGCGTGTTTGCTAGTGTGGCTGCAGATGGCTGCATTGCTTGGATTTGACACTTCGATGAAGCGTAGAATAAATACTCCGTAGGTGTGGTATGATTATTCAGTGTGAGAGAATGGATCGCCACCCTGGCAATAATGATGATACGGGGCTGGAGGATTGACTTGATTACATTCAACAGGAAAGAAAAGAAGATAACAATAAAGATGATAGAATAGAGTAATAAACAAGACGATCGAGTAAAACAATAAAATAGAGAAAGCAAAAGAAAAGAGTAGCTTTGGAGCGGTAGACGGGAGAAGGGGACCATCCTGCCTTGAGACAAACAGTAGAACCTCTTATACACACTACCCGTGTAAACTCACTGGTGTGGCAGTATATGATTCGAGAGATTCATGACGTCACCCAGGGTTTACATTAGGAATTCCATAAGAAGAACAAGACGTAATCTGGGGGCCGACCTTTCCTGAATAGTCAAGGAAGGGATTCAGTCCGGAGTTGAGCGGAAATCCTTTTAGGAAAAATGCCCAAAAAAAGCAAAAAGAGAAGGGAGGGAAGGATAGAAGATATGAAGCAAGGGGTGAAGAATTTCGATATCTACGGTGATGAAAAGTCGATATATTCCTGATGCTTATCAGCCGGTCATGGCCAGCGTGCTGGTCACGTTGTCCATTGATTGGTAGAACCGTAGGTCAGATAGTTACCCATTCCTTTCAGAGTCGGTAGGTGAGCGGGGAAGAGTTGCCATGAAAGGGATGGACGGAGTAACACCTTGCCTTGCAATCTACTCCGTATGTCTCGCGGAGATCTCTGGGATGATGTTATCTGGTGCTTCCGCCCAATTGATCGCTGAATGTGTGTTTACTTATCTTTCTATCATTACCTAGCTAGTGCTGACAGTAGTTAGATAGGATAGTTACCGCCAGAGGGCGATAAAAGTCCAATCTCTGTTCAGTGTTCACGAATGATCTCTGGACCTTGTCAAATGACGGATGTTTTCACATAGAGTTTAAGGGCGACGGCTGGGAGTGGAATTGGATCAATCCCCGATCCAAGAATCGAGACATTCCAGATGTATACGTACCCGACCAGAAATCGACGGGATGAGTACATACGTACGTACAAAGTGGTACATAGGGATAGTCACGGCGTCGTACAGCACCAGCGTGCATTCCGAGAGGTCCGATTCCTTAGTGACCAGTCTGGCCCCGGGATCGAAGGGGGAGTTGATGGTATTCATCATATGTAGGTGTTCGTCCACTGAGGTGGTTGTCTAAGATCTCGGTCTGGGTGAGCGAGAAAAGAGAACCAGCCACGGATAGACAAATGGGAGTTGCCTAACCGAGCACAGTCCGGACTCTGCGGACGGTCGATTGGGTCCAAGAACCCGAGGGAATCAACCGCCATGATCATGGTGATCATGGGGATATCAACCAATTTTCCAGTAGTATCACAATTCACACTTCTGGGTGATAAGTATCAATCAATGGATATACCCCGGAAAAGTCATCGAATCTTTCTAGACTCCCAGCCGGATGGATGCATCCACCAGTCTAGCCCGCCAGCAGGTGACCGGCCCCGGTTTTCAAGCGGTCATGAGGGTCGCTTATTGGGCCCGTGACTGTATCTGAATTTTGTGATTCCCTCGATTCTTTTCTTTCAGCCTGGACTGCATCTGGGACTGAAGAGAGTCGCGTCGAGTTTCTTTCTCTCTTTTTTTTTTTCTCTTTCTTTTTTCCTCCTAATATTTCTCCCTTAAATCTTCTCCTGTTGATCACTCCTGCCCCCTTTACTCCCAATCTCCCGTAGCCAAACGGTAAAAACCCCCTAATACCCACAAAGGCGGTGACGCCGATCCTCGTCATTTCTTCCTGGTTCAGCCAAACGCTTTTCCTCTTAGTCTCCTTTCCACTCTTCCCACTAAACTCCCCCGGTTATGCTCGTCCACTTTCTAGTGCTTTAAACTGCATTTAGAACTGCCTTGTCGGGGTCTTTCTGCCTGGTCTATCTTACCCAGACCCTCCCGTCCCATAACATCATTCTCTACCTGTCTAAACCCAATCCATCGGCCTCTGAGAGTTCTCCGTCATCCTGCCGCCCTGCACTCACCCTCAGCCTGTAAGCTGCCCTTGCCCCGGAACGTGGCCAAGATTCCTTGATCTTTCGATTTGCCCATTTCCTTGGCTAATTCCGTGACGGCAGATCCTGTTTAGTTCTGCTCCTCCGCCTTTGGGTGAAACACCAACCATAACCTTCCCTGCGACGCCTCTCCCTTCTCGGCCTCTGTCGACCCTTTCCCTCACCCGTGCAGCCTCGACCAATGTTCTCCCCATGTCAAGAATTCCGTCTGCGCCAGAGAATACCCTGTCGGATTCCTTGGTGACACCTCCTGCTGCATCTGCCCAACATGATTGCTCTGGGGGGCCCGATCGTCCCCATGGCAAGCAGCGGCGCCACCACAACCACATCCACCACCATCGCCCCCGAGACCAGCTCATACATGAACATATCCAACAAGCTCCCTCCCCGTCCCGCGCCGAATCCCCCACGGCTCGTCAATGGGCCAAACCGTCGTCGGCCTTCCCTCTAAAAAGGTCCTCGGCTACCTCGCCTGAAAAGCTCACCCGTCCGGATCTGTCTCACAGCCCCCAGTTGTCTGAGCGAGATAGCATTTTCGCAACCCATTATCTACCTTCTGATAACGAGTCCAACGCCACACCGCAACTTCCCGCCGTGGAGGACATAAACAATGAGCCGCCGAACAATTTGAACCTTGAACCAGAAGATGTGTCTCCTGCTCCTGCCATTTCTCCTTCCAAGGTCCTCCCCCATGGTAGTCACGTCGACTGCTCCCACATGGAAGTTGACGTCCGCAGAAACCATTCTTTGCGTTCGCCGCCATCGCTCCCGTCGGCGATCCCTTCGCATTCTTCACCTTTAGCTGCGATCGGCTCCAACCAGAGTCCGGAGAAATGCTCCGAGATAGCGGACGAAAAGTCGCGGGTGGTTCCTGTTTGGGAGAGTCTATCACCCCTTCGCAAAATTTCGTCTGATGGCGCGGGTGCCAAGCCCTCTCTCGAGGGGTCGCAGCCCCGTCGCAGTCTAATCTCTGCCTCTCTCAGTGATGCCTCTCTCCTTTCACCTCAACCTATGGTCCCCCCGTTCGATAACCATCCCACAGTTACTGATTGGGACGCGACTGCCCAGCAGTCGTCCGAACAAGGCTCTGGGGACCATATGCCCGAGGTGAAAGTCGAGCGAAGTTCGAGCCGGAGTCGGCGTGGTCGTGTAGATCACTCGATCGAGGCGAATCTCGCCAATGCGGAGCCGGCTTCTCATGTGCGCAGCCGTAAGTCAAGTCATTACCTGGGGTTGTTCAAGGAGAATACTACTTCACCGGACCGCAAGCGAAGAGAAGACCGAGGAAGAAAGCATGAGGAGCAACAGCCAGGGCCGCAGGATAAGCAGGTTGCGGTCGTGCACTCAGAGCCCCGCCCTGTTCTGGAACGGTCGGACATGCAGCCCCAGCTCCCGCAATTAGTAGAAGAACATGGCCTGCGCAGCTCCAAGAGTTTGTCCCAACTGTCATTCACTGACGTTCCGCTCATGACTCCCACTTCGGATACCGCGTCAGAATCGCAGCAGTCTGCCGTCGATGAAGTTTCCAAGCGTCCGCATAAGGCCCTCCCTCGCAGCTTGCTCGAGGAAATCCGAAACTTCCATCTCACTCCGGGTGGTGCACGCGGTACTTCGTTCTCGAGTAGCATCCCCACGCAGTATGCAGAGAGAGCCAAGGACTATCTCTCTTCCAAGGACCCTGCGCTTTTGAGCGGTCTTTCGCCGCTGTCGGATACCGACCAAGAACAGCGACGTGGCTCGGCTCAGTTCGAGGACGAGGAGGACGAGCAGATTTCCTCCGCCGTATATTTCCCCCATGAACGCGTCACTGTTTCTGATGGAGTTGACCAAGTGCAACCATTCCCGCAAGGTCAACCCGGCATAGAGACATTTGATGTACCGACGAAGAGTAGCCACGTTTTAGTGCCCAAGAGACATAAAGTATCTGACGAGCAGGAGGCCCATCATGTTGATATATCTCTTCGATCTAAAAATGAGAGTAAATACCTGCACGGCGATCTACAAGACATACAGGCTCCGCCACTAGAAGAACTAAATGAAAAGTCTCTTGGTGCCATTTCGGAACGCAGCGGCGAATCCTCCACGTGCGAATCGGATGTGATCTCTCTGGAAGATACTAGTGGGCTGTCTGCTCCGGATGAGGAGTCGAGCGTGACGGATGATGCCGACATGACACCGACAGCCACTCCAACTCAGCGCCAACGGCTTCCGCGCCCGCGCCGCAAGCATGACTCCAACGCTCCTCTTGGGGCAGTGGAATTGAAACCCTACCGACACCAAGTGGGTGGCCACACGACTGTCTTCCGGTTCTCAAGGCGTGCGGTGTGTAAACAGCTGAACAACAGGGAAAATGAATTCTATGAGCGCATCGAACGCAGGCATCCCGAAATGCTCATGTTTCTACCAAGGTTAGTGCTTCCTTTCGTCATCTCCAATCTATCGGCGATCGACGTGACACATGACTAATGGATGATGTTTCTCTCCATCGTTCCAGGTATATTGGTGTACTCAATGTCACTTTCTCTAAAACGGCGAAGCGCAGCAAGACGGATCAAGAGACCCAGATTGAGCATAATGACACCAATGGCCACGCCGCAACCCATTCAAGTGATGTCAAGGCCGGTGGATTCCCGCCTGTCAGTGAAGTGCGAGTGTCAGACGTTGTGGACCAACCTCGCATTGTCAGCCAAAGCCAAGTAACCGGGATTATTCCAAAAGTGATATTGGAGAACAACCGCCACATTATTCCTCACGGTCTCTTTTCACGCTCGCAGAGGCCGAAGACTTCTGATGGCACTATGTCCACTAGAAATGGCGCCGGAACCATCGGTGGCAATGAAACATTGATGGTTGGTTCTATGGACGACGAAACATCTATTCAGGCCATCAAGAAGCCTAAAATTAGCTGGGGTGCTACTACTGTGAATAGGAAGCTGCAGGAACAAGTTTTGCGGGAGGTCTTTAGTCCCCCTGCCATTCACCACCACCGGCGTCATGCTAGGGGCCATTTCGCGTTACCGAGAACGTCTTCGGATGGTGTCCGACGAAGAGCCAATCTTTCGGAGGATCAGACCGCCAGCAGCCGTCGAATTGCACCGACGCCCACAGAGCCACCACGTTCTGCAGCCATCGACATTGCAAAACAATCTAACGATGGCCCTGGACTGTCCTCATCGGCGTCTACCGCTCTAGACTCCAACCAGAATCGTCTTGAGAAAATCCGAACGGAAGAATCCCAGCAGCGCTCAAGCTCGGTGTCGCGGACTCGCCAGGTCAGACGACGCCATTCTGGCAGCGGTTTGCAGAGACGGGGGAGTATGAGCCCTGGCAACGATGGCGGCACCGGCGGAGAATTGATGTTTTTCGAAGACGAAGGGTATGGCGGCGATAAGGAGGATGGCATATTCTCCATGGAGGGTGATGCTTCGATGCCATCAGTGGATCCTTACCATGCGACAGTGTCGCCAACATCTACCCCGAAAAACAACACCAATGGGGTCTTGCATCTGTCGCCTTCAAAAGAGATTACCCCTGTTGCAAGAAAAGAAGATAACCGCTTTCGGCTTCCCACCAACCCTAAAGAGGCACAAACTTGGAAGGACGAAAGAGTCCAGTTCTTCCTCTTGTTGGAAGATCTCACTGCTGGCATGAACAAGCCATGCGTGCTGGATTTGAAGATGGGCACCCGTCAGTACGGCATCGAAGCGAACGAGAAGAAGAAAAAGTCCCAGCGACGAAAGTGTCAGTCCACAACTTCCCAGCAGCTTGGAGTGCGACTCTGCGGCATGCAGACCTGGAATGTGAAGAAGCAGGAGTACTCCTTTGAAGATAAATACTTCGGTCGAGACTTGAAATCCGGGCGAGAGTTCCAAGACGCTCTGACGCGATTTCTTTATGATGGTATTAGTTACACAAGCGTAGCAAGGAAAATCCCCGTCATCTTGGAGAAACTAGCCACGCTGGAAAACATGATTCGACGACTTCGACGATACCGTCTTTACGCCAGCAGTCTTCTGATCCTCTATGATGGCGAACAAAACACGCCCGACGGTGACGCTCGTGTTGACAGTCAACGACATTCTCCTCAGCGTCGGGCCACGGACGATGGCCATAATAATATTGACGTCCAACTAAAGATTGTCGATTTCGCAAATTGCGTAACGGGCGAAGACGGAATTCCCCCGGATACGCCCTGCCCGCCAAAGCACCCCGATGATATTGACCGCGGTTACCTTCGTGGACTGCGCACGTTGCGGATGTACTTCCAGCGTATTATGAAGGAGGTCAGCCAAGACGAATTCATCGAGAGGGGTGAAGGTGAGGCTATTGCCTTGCGGTCCCAGGTATCAGGTCACGACAACCCCACAGATCGATACTGGGACGAAGGAGTGATGGAGAGTGATCCTGGCGAAGTCAGTTTCTAGGGTTTTCTTCAACATCTCTCATCCCCACCTTTTTATTTATTCTTTTCTATTGTTTTCATTTTGTTCTTCTTTCTTTCTCCTTTCTGTAATTTCCTGTTTGTTCTTGGAGTTAGCGGCTGCTTGATTTCCTTATTATTCTTTCTTTTGCTCCAATTCCCACTGATCGAACATCCCACTTGCGGATCGGGATGCGGCGTCGAAATTGCATGGCACCGGATTGGGCGTTGTCGTTCTGTTTCTTTGAACTGTTATTCTCTGCCCTTCAGACGTTGAATCATGTCAACGGCATTATAATGACTGGGATGGAAATTCTGTTGAGGGTGTCAAATGATACGATACTAACGATTTAATCATGGCATACGGCTCCTCTCACAGCCGATTTCTGTTGCATGCCTGGAGCATAGTCCACAGGATTGGCGCATGCATGTGGCGAGCATCTGTTTTGTTTCTGTTCTGTTTCTCTCGCTTTTCTTTTCTCGGACGCGCCTTACACATTATACCTCCCGGGGAACTTGTCCGATTTCCTGGACCCCTTCATATTATCATCAAGGCAGACATACCATGATTGTGTTGTACATAAAAGGGGGCAGACCATTAGACAGAGAAGAACCGAATAATCCGAAATTGCTAATTTTCCATAATCTGTGCATATGTTTGTTCCTGTTCGGTCCGACTGGTTCAGTAGTGAGGCTGTCAGGCATCCAGGCAACCACCTGACGTGACCCCGATAAGAATCACGTGCCTCGGCGATAAGCGGTGTGCTTCCCGAGTTCCTCCAACCCCTGCTGGCCATCAACTCTCCTTCCTCTCTCCCTGGGGGTTTCCCAGATTCCTACCGGGTTATTGCTTGTTCTCGCGTCTTGTAAGGTCTATTATAAAGATATTATCGGTTTGCTTTCGTCATTATTTGTTGAAACATTGCTTCCCAGCGCTCAGGCACCACTGCCCCTTCAGTGACGTAGCGGAGAGCCGACCACCGGAGCTCAACCAGTCAACTGATCGGCCCAGCTGGCTAAACTGTGGAGAGTGGACACCAGGACAGCTCACTACAAGTGATCACTTTTGGACGAATTATATTACACCTCAGGTTATATATCTGCTGCTGCTCCCTCTCCGGGATCACCCCAAACCCCCATCTCCTTTTATTTCCCCTCCTGTTGAGCGGCTTCCGAACCAGCAAACAACACACGCAATGACTGGATTCAATGGCCGACATAGAGCATCAATAGACAAGCGAGATTTTGATACGAATAGACCCCTACTGGATGGGCATGGCGAAAGCATTGATGGAGTCGAGCGCGATAATCACCTCTCCCGGCCGGAGTCGAGCCTCTCCACTGACGGCGAAGACGGCTTATTGAACAATGTGGTCGACGAGATTGTTGAGCGAGACCGACGAAAGATGGCTAAAGAAGTGGTGCGGATTAGCAGCTTTGCATTGGGTGTGATCAGTTGGTGAGTCATCCTGCATGTTCGTATTACTCGCAGAGGTTCCTCTAGCATATTGACGATGGCGGGTTGGGTTGATTTAGCTTGGGAGCCGGGAGCATCACTGCGTTCTCGCTGTATGGGCCTTTGTTCCTCACTCGCCTTCACTACACGCAGCTCCAAGTCAATGCGGTCTCGATTGCTGCGGAGGTTTCTATGTACCTCCCCGTTCCCTTGTTTGGATATCTCTGTGATCGGTACTCGCCACGTCCTCTGTCGCTATTTTCAGCATTGGTCTTCGGGGCAGGTTATCTTCTTGCGGCATTTACCTACAAGAGTGGACCTCCTCCCGAGAAAGGCGGAGAGGGATGGCCGTTTGGGATTATGGTGCTGGCATTTGTGGCCATCGGAATGGCCACGAGCTGTATGTACTTGGGTGCGGTGACAACCTGCGCTAAGAACTTTGGCCGAGGAAAGCACAAAGGCATCATGCTCGCCGTTCCTATCGCCGCATTCGGACTCAGTGGCATGTGGCAGAGCCAGGTGGGGACATATCTGCTATGCGAATGGCTCGAGGACGGCAGCCGTGGAGATGTAAATGTGTTCCGGTATTTCCTCTTCCTAGCCGTCCTGCTTTTCACCATTGGAATTGTCGGCACATTTGGATTGGTGATCGTGGATGAAGAAGATAAGTACATCGACGAGGCGGTGGATGAGTTGGAGCGGAGCGGTCTTTTGGAACAGAGCGAATTCTTCCAGCCCCGCAGTGAAGTGAGGGCAGCCTACGGAACCTTCTCGCAGGACGATGGCGACATGACGGACGATGAGCGAACTTTGAACCAGTCAGAGGAAGAGCGGGAGGCTGCACGGCTGGAGAAAGAGCGCGAAGAAGAGGAGCGCCGCAAGAAGGACTGGTTGTTGAACTACGAAACCAAACTATTCCTCAAGGACCAGACTATGTGGTTCCTTGCACTAGGGTTTTTCTTGGTCACCGGTCCGGGTGAGGCATATATCAACAATGTAAGTCGCCCCGATTATCTTCTAGGAAAAGAGACCGCTAACGCCTTGGGGTTCTCAAGCTGGGCACTATCGTCCAAACGTTGACACCAGAATCAAACCCTCCAAACATCCCTTCCCCAGCAGGTCTCCCATCGACACACGTTACCAACGTTGCGCTCACCTCGACTCTTGCCCGCTTACTCACAGGGTCTCTATCGGACCTATTCGCCCCTCCGGCAAATCATCTTATTGCAGGAACTCTCGAAGACGGTCGCTCATCGTCTTCCTCCGGCAAACGCTTTACTCTCTCACGGCTCTCATTCCTCCTCCCTTCTGCGCTCCTTCTCTCCCTCGGCTACCTCCTTCTCTCGTCCCCTCTGCTCATCTCCCACCCGCAGCTATCGCACGTTACCACCGCTTTGATCGGCCTCGGCTACGGCAGCGCTTTCTCCCTCGTCCCGATCATCATCTCTGTTGTCTGGGGCGTTGAAAACTTCGGCACAAACTGGGGCATCGTGGCCATGGTCCCTGCAGCCGGCGCCGCCGCCTGGGGCATCATCTACTCACGAGGCTACCAAGATGCCACAGACGGTGGAAACGGGTCCCCGGACGGCCAATGCCACGGCTGGCGATGCTTTGGTTTCTGGGCCGTGGGCTGTACCCTGAGCGTGTGGGTGGCCATCGCATCGTGGGCTATTGCCTGGCGATTGTGGAGACGAAAGGGTATCGCCGTTTGATCTGGCACATTTTGGAGACTTGGTATATCGTACATTATGGTTCGGAAATCTATCTTAATCTTGACGTGCATAGTATAGACTTTGGGAACTCAGGCTTGGCTATCATTGGCGTGTGATTCATTGAAACTCATTGAGGTCTTTGGAGTTTTTGGCTTGCTCTTATTTAGGTGGTTATAAGGTAGGATTGCATGAATGACATGGCATATATATTGCCAAGAAAAAGATGTTGTTTCAGGCCCTCATTTCTATGGTGAGTGATAAACCATACGAATTGACCGCATGGTAAACTTCCCATAAGACGGGCCGATTCTGTCTGTTGACACGGGGTAGAAGTGAAATGGCCTGGGAACTTGTTCAAATTTTGAGATGATGAGTAGTTACACATATCAGTGGCACGTCCCTTCGAATCCTATCATGAAGTATGGTACTCAGATAAAGTAGGTGCATGTCGACGAAATGTGTTGGGCAGAAGGATGCCGGTACTTTTGCAACTTCCGGGTTGCGTATAGGAAAATTGATGTGTCCATTCCACATTTGACATGGATGCTCCGCCTCTCTAGCTGCAGGCATAGCCTGCGCTCGCCGTTGAATTAAAGCAACGGATACCCGCAGGTCGCAGAAGATGCCCCGAATACCTCTCCGACTGGGGCGTCCACGAGAAGAGATTAAACCATCCGCACCGTTGGACTGGCGGGGAACATCGTCCAGTTCATCGATTACGCTGCCAAGGTCGTCGACGCCGGCTTCGAGATCAGCCAGTTCAGCGGCACGGTGGATAACCGGGAGCTCCTCAACGTCACGACAGATCTGCATATGATCTCGTGCAAGTTACGCGATCATCTGTGCCCAGAAGCCCCCAACCAGAGCACCATCTCCCCAGAGGAACAGTCGCAGGCCGCCAAAACGCTCGTGGTGCCGTCACATCGAACAATCGTGGAGGCATTCAGACGACTATCCAGACTGGAAGAAGACAACTGCAAAATATGTCTCCTTATCGACGGGATTGATGAGCTTGATGGAGAGGTCCATCCGTTGATCCAGATCCTCAACGATGTCTGTGGGAGGAATCTAAAAGTCATTTCTTCCAGCGACCCATTCCTGAATGTGTGGAAGCGTTCCAGGAAAGCGCGAAGTTGCGTTTACAGGATCTCACAAAAGACGACATGGCAATGTACATTGACGCCGTCCTCGGAAAGCGGCCCCGGATTGATGTTCTCGTACAAGAGGATGCCACAGCGGTGAATCGTCTCAAATCCGAGATCGTCACGCGGTCCTCGGGGGTGTTTTTTTGGACCATTCTAGTCGTCGAGTCTCTGGCCTCTGGGTTACGGAACTTCGACACCATCGACGAGTTGTTTCTGCGCTTGGACGCGCTTCCTCGCGAGCTTGAAGCCTTGTACAAGCACATGCTCGAAACGCTGGACCCTTCTACCGGGAACAAACGTCAAAAATGCTGCAGATTGCTCATGTGAGCAGTCAGGTGCAGGGCCATGCCCCATTGATGGCAGTTCAGTTTCACGAGGCTAGTAGCTCGGAGCCGGCCAAGGCTGTCAACGCCCCGATCCAGCGCCTTTCTCCCCGTGCTGCGAGCCCCATCGCCGACGCGGTTGAAGGCCGCCTACGCAGCCGGTGCCGCGGACTACTCGAGCTGGATAGCTATCGCAACGTGGTTTTCTTGCACCGTACGGTCCGTGACTATCTGAGCCAGCGCGACGTGTGGGAATACATCGTGTCACTCAACTTAGACCTTCGTTTTGACATCCATCTGGCTTTGCTCTCGTCGTGCATCACGGTGCTGAAGGGCCGGCCGTCGCATCCATCCACGATCCGACTATGGGCTGGCGTACTGCGGCCTCCGGTACGCGACCTTATTCGAAGAGACCCAAGGAGTGGCATGTTTGCAACACGTCGATGCGCTGGACGAGGTCATGAGCCACCATCGACGGAATGCGGAATTCGGATGCTTCTCGTCCTCCGAGTCCCATTCGCCGTCACCGCGCGAGGCGCACTGGAGCCTAGCGTCGAGAGATGTCACGGACATGGTGACCTACAGTCGCTACGACAGCCTCTTCTCGGCCGTGATATCGTTTGGCCTGGTCCGGTACCTCCTGGAGCATCTCGGGCGGGAAACGTTGCAGTTACAACAGCGGGGACGCGACGCAGAAGTGCTGAAGCATGTGCTCTCCACACTGACCAAGACGCGATCGAACCCGCGGCTGAAGCCGCTCCTACCGGCCTGGCTGGACGTCTTGCGGATGCTCCTCGCGCAAGGCCTGGACGTGAACGGCTCGGGGAGTCAGAGCGCATGGGAGGCCCTTCTACTGGGGCGGTTCGGATTCGACACAAATATCCTAAATGAGATCGTCCCGCTCTTTGTGGCGGCGGGCGCAGACGTGAACTTGGTGTTTGAACAGTCCCAAGTCCCGGCGTATCTGAGGAGAGGTCGTCGTGGCAGGCTCTCTGTCCTGGACCTTCTGATGTCTGTGAAGCAACATGATGTTTTGATCGCCCACGGCGCTGTTTCGGTTTACTCTCTCGACCAGGATGAGGTGCCCCCGCTGTCTTGCCTTGGATTCAAAGCGGGCTGTACTCCGCGGGTGCGTGATCACTCCGCTAGAACGCCTTCGTGTCGGGCGGGCTTTGAGTCCCTTAACCCCCTCCAGAGAACCCATGATGTCTTTATGAAAGAGCTCGAAATATTGTTGTTCGCTTAGGTGGAGATGCCACGAGTGTGGCCACCTGGTTCACCGGAAGCAAGCGGGCCCTAGATATCTGCAACAACCCGAGCAAGAGCCGATCCGATGACTTTGCGAAGGAATAGTAAGTCGAAATTCGACTCCTAATTCCCCCTTCTTTCAGTCGCGGGGAATATCTTCAAATACCACTACCATCCGATATCCGATGGTTATCCGATATTCAGGGAGGCAGGGATATCAACCAGAAAGTATATATAACCCCATATCAGATGGTATAGGACCTGCTGTTTTAATCCGTTATGTCTAGATCTGTTATATTATACAGCAAGCTATATGTTGTTACTAGAGTATGGCTAGATCGGATTGACTTAGTCGCCGAGTATGCAGGTCGTTCGCCAGTTATTATTTGATTAGGAATAAGACCAACAAACACTACGGAGTAACTACATACAATACCTATACTCGCAAAGGAACGAGATCAGCACCGTAATTGGCGTGTAATCGTAGACGGATTATTAAACTTACTCCATAGTTACTGAGAATATGATTAACTACCTAGATGAAGACTGATAAAACGGGGGAAGTTCCCCATCTGCCTCTGATCTTAATATATTTTCCTAACCATACCATCTACCATGTTTATACTACTACTTGGTAACTATCTAGATTTCTTGATATCGCTGACAACACCTAAGATATATTCCAACCCCCACCATAGCTCATCATAACAGTACAAAGACACTACATTCCCAACACGACGAGCCTCAAATCAACGCATGTATATACATACATGCATAAAATCCCCAATCTACCCACGTACATATTGTACCCAAGAAACACTAGATAGCACCTTACATCATAAACCCGCCCCCCCCCCCCCCTCGTCCCCCTTACATCCGGAAGACGCCACCTACGATCCCCGAAAGCCAATTTCAGATTGGCTCGAGCATCGTTTCTCGAATCGGTTGTGCTCCTTCGTTGGCGTTCCGAGAAGGGAGGGGACTATTGACTGGTCATATTATTTGTTTGTAAGAGGGGCTGGTTTCTGGTTAGTTATGGGGTTACAGACGGGGATAACACAGTAATTTCAGTAAATACCTCCCCGTGTCTTAACTCTTAACTCTTTTGTGGCTGGAAGATGGACTACGCGACGGAGTCCCATCACGGTGGTTTAGGTTGAGTTGGTTGGGCAGCCATTTATGTATCTATCTATCTTCTATTTATTTTCCGATTTTATTTTTTAATGTTTCTTAACTTTCATTTTCTTACTTTCTTGTTCTTCCGTTTGGGCCTTCGAATCGGAGACACAGAGTTCGGATTATTGGATTCTATCGATTTTGCTCGGGGTCATTGTGTAACGTTCTGATCTGTGGGATTCCGTGTCCGCGTCCTTGCGTTGGCGATGGCTAGTTACAGTATAGGCATGCATACGGAGTTATCCGTAGTTCTATTTGGGTTCGGTCCTTGCTTGCATGCATCGCTCCTTTTTTCTTTCGTTCTTGTTTTTTGAAAAAACAAAAATGTTTGAAGGGGTGGAAGGGATAAGAAACTAGTACCGTTGATAGGTGGGCGGGTTACGGATACTTGCTTCGGACTATCTGTTTATCTATCGATTTTGATCTATAGGTTCATATTGGGATTGGTTCGGGTTCGGGGATGGGGATGACGATGGTTGGGCAGGTATTATTTGATAGTAGGACGATGATTACTGGCAGTCGAAAGGGCAGACCTGTTCTATTCGGCTCCACGGATGAAGAAATTGTAGACGGAGGACTCGGTGTCCTCGGATCTATAATTGGATTATTCTCGGACGGCTGGGACTTGTACGTGAAAGCTGAAGGACGGGTCTTGAGAACTCCACGGCTATAGATTTCCAGCCCGAATGGCATGTCTATCCAGCGATCCACTCGGTGTGTGACCGTGACCGTGACCGTGACGCAAATCCAATGTTCTGTTATACGTGCAGACTGCAGATATGAAGGTTATCCACCCCGGGAAAGTATCTACATGCGGGCTAGTCTCAGCAGATCGGCTGGCAAATCGAGTCAGGGTCGAGGCAGGAAGGCCTGTCAATTGACAGTAACTTCACACTTGTCAGTTGCCGCTGTCCTGTCACCGAGCACGATTCGATTCGATTCCGCTCGGCTTGGGGGGAATGGCGCGGCCCACGGACCGTCTTGCTGGATCATCTTTACCGATCTGGAGGCGAGGTTGAGTGCCGACGGAATGGATCGGCTGTGGTTCGTCCTGAGAACACGTAGCAGGTGGCGAGTTGGTCTCGTTGGAAATGTATTCGATATTACGGATAGAAGAGGGACTAGCGACGTACTGAGTAGCATTTATCAGTTGGAAAATGAGGGCAACAGAATCGTGTCTTCTGGTGCTACCGGACGGGTCCTAGTGCCCTCGTGTACCCCCTAAAGTGTCCTCGGGCGGGACAGACGGAAGAGTCCAACGGCTCGATGCTTTAATTACGATCGGAAATTCGTGGATTTAGGCCAGTTGGGTAAGTTGACTTCCCCCTTTTTTTCTGCTTGTTTTTTGAGCCATGGTGGTGCAGAGATAGCGATCGACAGGTCGACTCATCTTTGGATTTGGTAGAGACACAAAGACAGAGAGAGAAGAGAGAAGAGAACGGGTAGAACGGTAGAACCATATCCGTGGACAGGAACCGTAAGGCACCCCGTGTCATGCAATTCAACAAATTAAATTAAATTGGCCCGATCGTTGGTGGAGAAGCCAGGAACACGACCGAGAATATGAGAGAGAAGAGAGAGCGCGAAACGTTCACGTTCCAACCATCACGTTCCACTGGTTCGGACTGGGCTGCAGTTCCATTCGATTTTCATATGTTTTGTTTGGAACTTTGATTCGGCCTGCAGACCACCCTCCGGTTTGTCTACATTGTTTGACAACAACGCCCTGGATGTCATGTCCTGTCAATTCCCATCGGTGGTCCTTCATAGTTCATCCTGGCAGTGGGGCCCGCTTGACAATCGAAGCACCGGCTGTATCACCATCCCAGTCAAGCTTCCCCATTCATACTGGCGTCGGAGAAGAAAGAGGAAATTGGCAATGGGGACGAGGTTGAAACTTGAAACAGACACCCGAGGCCACATGTCTGACCGGTCGCGTTCTCCAGTAGGTTATTTTAGAACTGGTCGGGTTCCCGTCGCCTCGTCTATATTGATTCTTGAAGCTAGGACGGGCCTTCTCCGCCTGCGTCTGAGATCTGGCAGCATGCAGGGTAGAGATTGGATGTGGATTCCGTATGCACCAGGTATGCAGAAGTACTCCGTACGGGGGACTCAGTCCCAGACAGGAGTCAGGACCGAACTTTGTGGTAACACGGATTTTGGGCCCATGTTTCCACTGCTGTCTGCCGTTCCCTTCCAGTAGAATCCATATTCCATGCATGCAATTCTCCGTCAAATGGCTCGATCCCTGGCTTTCATCCGCGGCGAACCGTGGAACAGCCGGCCAAGGATCCGGCGGTGCGGGCAGCCGTCCCTGCATGGATTTGGTTGGAAAACGCTCAATAGCTTCAGTCCCTCAGGAACGGGCATAGAGAGACAGAGACAGACAGAGGCTGTCTGGGAACTCCTTAGAAGGAGGAAAGGGCAGCCCAGTTTGCCGATCCGGGCCTAGGCCTGACTCCAATTTCCCCTGGCGTCGTCACAAAACAACCGACCGTGGATGGCGATGCTGTTCAGATGTTCTCCTCTCCTCCGTCTATTTTTAAGCCGCCCAATATTTGGGGACCTGCCTTTACTGCGATCTCGGGGATTTGATGATCAGACAGAAGTACGGTACAGGCACCCAGGACCTTATCTTCTATCTGCCCTGTACTCCGTAAAAGTAATTAAGTATAAGAAGCGAGCGTTCCTGGGTTAATTACGCCCCGCCTCTTAGCCTCCTCCACTTTGAACAGCCTCCGGTTCGCTTGAACTTTGATGCCACCAATGAACTTTAGTGCGGGTTCAGGAGAACGTCCAGAGAGCATCGCGATAGCCTGAGCAGGAGTTGCGCTGCTCCGTAACTTTTATGTTCTCTTTCGCCTTTCTCTCTCTTCTTGCCCACCTTCTCTTGCATGGGTTGTTGTCTTATACCTCTCATCGTTTCCTCCTTCCTTTTTCTCTCTCTAATCCCCTCTAATCTCTCTTTCTAATTCCTAATTCCTCATTCCCTTCCCTCCCCTTGTCCTTTCTGTCTGACAATTCAGGGGATTTCTCACATTTCTCGCCTTTTACCGCCGGACGCCAATATCGTGCGACTCCCCTAAAAAAATCTCACTAAATTTGCAATCAGAGAAACCAAACAGAAAAAAAAAAAAAAAAAAAAAAAAAAACAAACCAAAACAGGAAGGAATACCACCAGGATCGAAAAATTATCCTCCAACCCCATCGATAGAAAGAAATTCGACGAACAAGACAATAATTGACCGCATTCACCGCTGATGCCTTACGCTGCCTCCTCCATTCCTTGACCAACCATAACCTGTCCATTTCCATACTTCCACGTCGATCATTTCGCCCAAAACTGAGTTTGCGGCCAGATATCACATAAAAGGGTCATGACGGGCTCGCCGCCTGCGTCGCCTACGGGTGCCCCCCAGCGACCCTTCAGTGCCATCATGCGCACTCCGAGAAGCACCAGTCGCTTGAGCATGAGCTCCAAACAAGGCGGAGGGAGTCGCCATTCCGACGAGGATGGCAAGACTGCCGTCAAAGTTGGTATGTTTATCTTCTATTCGTCTTTATTTTCCCGCGGTGTTTTGGGTTCCGAATGAGTATTTTCATCGGCGAAACGTCCTACACCGCAACCGCAACTGCTACCACGACCACCTCACCCTTCCCTTCTTTCCCCCCCCCTTTTTTTTTTCTTCGATTTTTTTCAGATCGATCGCGGTGGTGGAAGAATTACATCTGCACGATCTCTCTCGTCGACAAATCGCCATGTGCTAACTGACGCAACTATGTAGCCGTCCGTGTCCGACCGCCTCTGAGGCCCAACGACCCGGGCTACGAGTTGATCCCGCAACGTTTCCAAAAGTCCATGGTCCACGTCACCACGCCAACCAGCCTGGCAGTCGATGTCCCGCAGGGTCGCAAGTTATTCGTGTTCGATCGGGTATTCGCCGAGACGATAGATCAGGACGGTATTTGGGAGTACCTGAGCGACAGCGTCAATTCGTTCCTGCAGGGTTACAATGTCTCCATTCTGGCGTACGGCCAGTCCGGTGCCGGAAAATCCTACACCATGGGTACCTCGGGGCCGAATGAGCAGAGCAAGTCGGACGCGATGGGTACGTTGATATCTTTCTGCGGAGTGCTGTTCAAACGAGTCGGATTGACTAATGGGGTCGGCTGGACTAGGAATCATCCCCCGTGCGGCGCAGCTGCTTTTCGAAAAATTGGACGGCCCCTCAAAACACATTCGTAACGGCTCGACGGGCCTTCGCACTCCCGCACGGTACTCGATTGGCTCTGCGTCGAGTTTCGGAAAACAAAGCATCGATAAGAATTGGCAGCTGAAGGCCACCTATGTGGAGGTAGGGAGACTTGAGTGATCGTGACCAGACTGTGGTTCTGACTGGCTGGCGCGCAGATTTACAATGAACAACTACGAGACCTTCTCCTGCCCGATTCGACCCCCACGAACGATCGCAGCACCGTCACCATTCGCGAGGATACCAAGGGCCGCATCATTCTGACGGGCCTGCACCAGGTGAACATCACCTCGATTGAGGACCTTTTGGGCGCATTGAACTTTGGTTCGTCGATTCGACAGACCGACTCGACCGCTATCAACGCCAAGTCGTCTCGTTCGCATGCCGTTTTCAGTTTGAACCTCGTTCAAAAGAAATCCTCAAACGGAGTAGCCACGCCCAAGGACAAGCGGATGTCGATGCCGGCAGAGGGCTTCCCGGGTGCCGATGCGTCGGTCACCGTCGATAGTAAACTGCACTTTGTCGATCTGGCTGGTAGTGAGCGGTTGAAGAACACCGGAGCGTCGGGTGAACGTGCCCGAGAGGGTATTTCCATCAACGCCGGTCTCGCGGCTTTGGGCAAGGTCATCTCGCAACTCTCGTCTCGTAACGCGGGCTCGCACGTCTCCTATCGGGACTCGAAACTCACCCGTCTCCTGCAAGATTCGCTGGGCGGGAACGCCTACACCTATATGATTGCGTGCGTCACGCCGGCCGAATTCCACCTGAGCGAAACGTTGAACACGGTGCAGTACGCCCAACGAGCCCGAGCCATCCAAAGTAAGCCCCGCATCCAGCAGATCGCCGATGAGAGCGACAAGCATGCGGTCATCGAGCGCTTGAAGGCGGAGGTGGCTTTCTTGCGACAGCAGTTGCGAAATGTCGAGGACCATGACCGACGCAACGCCGCCCCGCAGGAGCGCGGGGAGCGCCAGAATGAACGGGAAATCGACCTTCAGAACCAGCTGCTGGATTCGCAGGAAAGTTATAACGCATTGAGCCAGCGCCACGCCAAACTGGTTGCCGAGCTGGCCAGAGATTCCGAACAACCCAGTAACACGGATCCCAACGACGTCGCCTCTGCGGTCGGCAAAAGCTCCGTTGAGAGACTCAAACGGTCCCATTCGTTCGCCGAGTCTGTCGAGCAGGTTGTCCTGGAGTACGAGAAGACCATCCAGAGTCTGGAATCGTCCCTGTCGAATACTCGATCGTCCTTGTCGGTGAGTGAAAGTACCCTTCTCGAGCGGGAGACGAAGTGCACCTACGTCGAGACGGTCAATGCACAACTTCAAGCCCGCGTGCAGAAGCTACTAGACCGAGAGACCAGCACCGAGACATACCTTCATGAGTTGGAATCCCGCCTGGATGGCCAGTCCTCGGGCGAGGAAAAGCAGGCGGCGATCGTGTCCGAGCTGCGGAAGGAGCTGAGCCGAGCCCGTGATAGTGAAACCAACTGCGAAGACTACATTTCCACGTTGGAAGAACGTTTAGCCGAAGCGGACCAGGATATGGAGCTCATGCAGCGCGAGGTGGAACGCCTGGAAAATGTCATCGAGCGCCAGCGCAGCCTAGGCAAGCTGGACAACCTTCTCTATGAACTGGATCACGTTCAACCCAATGGCGATAAGGACGACACGGAAGCCGAAAACGGATCGCCCACCCCGGTCATTAAAGGCGCCTACAACCCGCGCAAGAGGGCCACGTCACTTGACGTATTGACCGAGGCTGTTGAGACCGCCATCCCCGAATCAGACGAGGGACTGGTCGAGCCGATCCCAGAAATCGAGGAAGAGAACGCTGTCGAACCCGAACAGGCTGCGGCCGCTGGTGAGGACCTGAAAGCTCTGGAGAAGGCAACGAGCCACTTGACACCCGATGGCAAGAGACAAACCCCCAGTCCCACGCAATCGAACGTCGTGGCCGACAAACTCGACACCGTTAGCCAGGAACTGCTTGACCTGCGGATGCAGCACGAAAATACGCTCAGCGACTACGAACTCCTTGAAACCAAATATGAAGAGGCACTTAAGGCGTTGGCGAAGGCGCAGCAGGACGCTGCCGACGAGGCTCGTCATCGTGCGTCGAGCGTGCAACAGTTCGTCACCCCAATCACCACCGCGTCTCGTCCCGTGTCTTTTTTAGAGGAAAGCAGCAAGGCTCCCGATGTGAAAGCTGGAACACAACACTCCTTCTCGCAATCACTCTCATCGGAATTATCCTTGGTCGGGGAGCCTGCTGCTTCACAGGATACGTCTAATGCCAAGACCCAGCCCGATTCGGAACCGAGCCAGGTTGACTCTCCCACGGGAGAATCCATCGAAGAATCCTCGGCGGCTAGCCCTCAGGAGGTCGAGCACATGCGACAGCTCCTGTCCGAACATCAAGAGGGTGTTACCATTATGACTCAGAAATACGCCGAACTGCAGAGCGAGCACGAAGTTACTCTCAATCTCGTCGAGTCTCTGAAAGCCCAAATCCAGCGACCCAAGTCTACTTCCCCGCCCACCACGCCGGGAATCAAATCGCCGGTCATTCGGAGGAAGACCAGCCAGAGTCTCATATCGACTGTGGACCGCGCTCAGCGTTCCTTGGCGGCTCTGCGCAACATTGCGAACGACGAATTCGACCAGCGACCGGATACGATGCAGAACTTCGAGGTCCACCTAGACTCGGCAATGCATGAGCTGTATACCCGCATGGAGCGCATTCAGTCGCTGGAGGCTGAAAACCAGAGCGTGAAGAAGGAAATGGAGATGAAGTCGACGATCATCTCGGGCCTGACTCGAGAGCGATCTAGTTTGCAAGGGGGCGCTTCCTCGGTGGACATGGGTCTGGTGTCCCAGCTGCGCGACCAAGTTGTGCAGCAGGAGGGTATCATCAATGAGCTCAAGGACGTGCACGAAACCCGCCAGAAACAGCTTCTTGCCGAGATCCAGGAGTTGAAGGGTCTTCTTAAGAGCCAAGAGGCTGCCGCTCGGTCTCAAGATGCCGGTGCTGAGGAGCAGTACCAGAAGATCAGCCTCCTCGAGGGCGAACTAGGCGAATGGAAGAACAAGCACCAGACCGCCGTGGATTCTCTACAGTCCTCTGAGCAGCAGCTCAGTGCCACGCTCGCCGAACTCAACAGTGCATTGGCGAATGTGGATGCCATGCGCTCCGAGCGGACGGCTGCCGACGAGGCGTCTACCGCAGAGAAGGAGACCACCGCCAGGGAGCTGGACGGCGAGAGAGCCCGGCAACAGGATATCGTGGAGAACCTAAAGCGTGTTATCGACGAGCACAAAGAGACTGCCGGCGTCCACGTGGCTAGAATCGCCTTGCTGGAAGACTCGCACAGCGCGGCCGAGAAGCAGCTGTCGGAGCTCCTCGCAGCCAAGGATAATGAGAGCACCGAAGTTGGAGCCCACCAGACCCGCATCTCCGAGCTGGAACGTGAAATCGACTCTCATCGGGCTCTCGTCGAGTCTCACAAGAAAAACTTGGACGCTCTGCAAGAGTCTCACCGACACGAGTTAAGCGAGCTTGAAGCAAGGGCTACCGCTGCCGCACAAGCGGGGTATGAATTGCAACTGGCGGAGAAGAATAAGGAGCACGACGAGGCCATGAAGACTCTGAGAACTGACATCGCTGAATCGCGCGACGAATTGGCCAAATTACTCAAGATGGTTTCTGAACTCATCAACTCCGACGTCACGGCGGACAACATCGCCGACCAGATTCAAGACATCTTGACCCAGAAGCAGCATTTCTCCGACAAGTACGCTGAGCTGCTCGACACGAACGAAGAGCTTCGCAAGCAGCTGGAAGCCCAGGGCGGCGACTCCACCCGCTTGGAGGAGCTTACCAAGAGCAACGAGGCTAAGGAAGGCAAGGTTAACGAGCTGGCTCTCTTGGTTGCTACTCTTGAAGACACGCTTCGCAAGAAGGACGACCAAGTCAAGAAGAAGGAAGCGCTTGTTGAAGAGATCACCGCCGAGAGGGAGAAAAGTGTCCGCCTCGTGGAAGAACTCGAAGAGCAGATCACCAGCAGTTTCGATCAACACCACAATCGTCTCTCTGTCATCCAACAAGAGCGCGACCAGGCTTTGGAGGACGCCAAGGCCAAAATTGTCGTTCTGGAGAAGGATATCGAAACCTACCGGGTGCGGATCGAGCAACTCGAGGTAAGTTATGCAATCATCAACGCCAGCGGAGGCAGCGTCACTAACCTACATCCAGCTTCAAATCAAGAACACTTCGGAAAGTTCGCACGACCGCAGCAGCTCCATTACTTCGAACTTGCGAAAAAGCTCCTCAGCTACTTCTCTTCCTTCTCCGCCTCCTGCTATCCCACTACCGCCTCTTCCCACTATTGCTGCTGCTACGAACGGCAGCGTTTCACCACCGAGCTCGCGCCATACTAGCAAGGAGCTGGTCAGTACTCAGGTTGTTGAGGATCAAGAGGCTCGGATCCGCACGATTGAGAAGCATCTCTATGCCGAGAAGCAGCTCACTGCGACTCTAGAGGAAGCCCTTGGGGACCTCGAGGCGCAGAGCAACAAGGTTAAATCCGACTGCGAGGCCTGGAAAAAGAAGGCGTGGCAGCTCGAGGAGGAACTCGGTACTTTGAAGAAAGAACGCAACTCCCAGCGCCTTTCGCTTCAGGCTGTCGAAGAGGAGAGAAGTGCTCGTCGCGAGGCCGAAGCTGCTCGCGCCCAGCTGGAAGAGCGTATGAACGCCCTCAACAAGAAGAAAAAGAAGAGCACTCTCAACTGCTTCTAGTCCTTACGCCATGTTCTTTGTCGCCTTGTTCTTCTTCTTCTCTTGTTTCCCCCATCCTCATCCTTTATTCTCCCCTGTGTCTCCTCCCCTTCCTTCTTTTTACCCTTTCTCCTAAGACACGATGTTCAGCTTCTTTCCCTGTATTATGAATTTGACGTCGATTCCCCCTTTTAGCTTCGTTGATACCTTTATCTGTGTATTGGACTTTTATCTTTTGATTGTCTTTGCGCTTTGTCTGCTCGTTTTTATTATGATTTTTGCATTATGACTTTTTGCGATTTGGTTTTCTTGTTTTTATCTTGCGTGGTGGAATAATTATTAGTCTTGGCTGATGATTTGTGCATCTATGTACATTTTTACCCGATCACCCTGTCGTTTCCTCATTGAATGGTGCACATTATTGCTCGGCCGAGTTCAAAAATTCCGGTCTCTGCTGTTGACCATATTTCTGGCATTGCTCTTCTTTCGTTGCTGAGTATATTTGCGGATACCAATTGTTGATGTTAGTTTTGGTCTGATTCCGTGATAGAGATCGACGCGTACATACATATGAACAATAGCTGGTTGGTTTTGCATGTCTTTAGCAATGTAGTGTAATGGTAGACTCATGCGAAGAAATTGTGCTTGACCTGAATAGAATCGACCTAGAATGTCAAAGGACATGCATATAGTTCCATACCGACTCCATAGTGGATGCGTCATGTGATGACGCCGATAACTGTGGGCCGCGTGTCTCATTCACCTCCAAGCTAGCTCCCCGATTAAGTTATCTGTCACCAACACCGAGCAAGAAATGCTCCCCACCACCACCGGTCCTCTTCAACCCTCACCAGAACCACGATCCCTCCCCAATTGATCGAGACAGGATGCCCGATCTCCCTCCCTCCAATGTAATCATCATCCACCCGGACCTCGGCATCGGCGGCGCCGAGCGCCTCATCATCGACGTCGCCCTCGCCCTGCAGTCCCGCGGCCACCGCGTCACAGTCTATACGTCTCACCGCGACACGGGTCATTGCTTTGAGGAGGCCCGCGACGGGACCCTTGATGTTCGCGTCCGTGGGAATACGGTCTTTCCGGCTCATCTGGGGGGACGGTTTCATGTCTTCATGGCGATTTTGAGACAGTTGCATTTGACGAAGGAGGTTTTAGGGGATTTATCTAGCGGTGATACTGGGTCTGGAGCTAGAAATGGGGATAAGAATGAGGATGAGGATAAGGAGAAGGAGAATGATCGCGATACCATCTTCATCGTGGACCAAGTTCCCGCCTGCGTGCCGTTTTTGAAGACCCTCGGACCCAGGTACCAGCATCAGGATCAGGATCAGAAGGAAGGGACTTCGCGCCAACGCATTCTCTTCTACTGCCATTTCCCCGATCAATTGCTTTCGCGACGCAACGAGGGCGGCTCGCTTCTTCGGCTGGCTAAACTGCTCTATCGGTGTCCGTTTGACTGGTTCGAGGGGTGGGCGTTGAGCGCGTCGGATCGCGTCGTTGCGAACTCGCGGTTCACGCGCGGTGTCGTGAGCGATGTCTTTGGGTTGCAGTCGTTGGGAGATGTAAGGGTTGTTTATCCGTGCGTTGACACGGATGCTGGGAGTGGTGATGGGGATGGGAATGGAGAGGTGGGGAAGGGGGATGAGAAGCTCTGGGGTGGGAAGAAGATTCTCTTGAGTATTAACCGATTCGAGAGGAAGAAGGATATGGCGTTGGCGGTTCGCGCGTATCATGGCCTTGGGGAGGAGAAGAGGAGGGGGACGAGGTTGGTAATTGCTGGTGAGTTTCTCCTTTTTTCTCTCTCTTTCTCCTGCTATTTTGGACTTGGTTACCAGGTTCGTGTATTGTTTGTCCTATGGCTAATGTGGAATACAGGCGGTTACGACAACCGAGTCCAAGAGAATGTGCAGTATCACAAAGAACTGGATGACCTTGCCACCGGTCTGGGGCTACAGACGGCTACGTCGAAAACGGTCATCTCTGCGCTTTCGATACCCGACTCGATCGACGTTCTCTTTCTGCTCTCCGTGCCGACCGCATTCCGCGATTCGCTGCTCCTGCAGTCGAAACTGCTCCTCTACACGCCGATCAACGAGCACTTCGGCATTGTCCCCGTGGAGGCGATGCGCGCTGGGATCCCCGTCCTGGCATCCAACACTGGCGGTCCCTTAGAGACGATCGTCGAGGGCGAAACAGGCTGGCTCCGGGACGCCAAGGTGGATGCCGACTGGACAGCGGTGATGGACAAGGTTTTATACGGTATGGATCAGACGGAATTGGACCGCATGTCTGTCGCAGCTAAGAAGCGCGTGGAAAATGAGTTCTCGCTCACGGCCATGGGCGATAGTCTGGAGGAGGAAATCGGCGAGATGCTAGGCAGCGAACGACGGCCGTTTGGTGGCTTCCAGCAGGTCTTTGTGATTCTGGCCTTGTTGGGCGTTGCGCTCGCGATGCTTCTAGCGATGGTTTTGAGAGTTCTCTGAGTAAATTGTTTCTTTACTTATACCCCTTTCTTATGCAATTGTCATTTGTCAATTCTACTTGCTTTCGCTTCACTATAATTACGGTGTAGAAATCCATATCACCACGTGACCTCGCGCTCAGCTCGCGCGGTGACGTCGCGACTCGACACGTGCCTCACGCACTCCATCACCGACATCAACCCCGATCACCAATCTCAAACAACCCGTCCCTCTTGGTGGGAAATAGGCGCCATGCCCGAGGTCATCGACCTGCTCTCCTCCACCCCTCCCCACCCGCAAGACCGACCTCCTCAACCCTCCCGAAGACCACCACCAGCAGCGCCATCTCCTCTCCCTCCCCCTCCGGTCGAACACACGACTCTTCAAGCGCGACAAGGCCCTCCCTCACTCCCCGCTCCCACTCCGGCCATCAATCCCTCCTCGCACTTCATCCTCTCCTCTGACTTCGATACCTCCCCGATCGCATTCACAGATGACATCGACACGAACATCGACGCCGAGAACCCCTCAAAACGAAGACGTCTAAGTCAGGACGAGAACCCCGGCGACGGGAGTCCTAAACCTACACACCGATCTCCCCGACAGAGCAGCCCATTCGCCCCGCCGCCTTCTCATCAACGTCCTCCTCCTCCTGACCCCTCTCGCAATCGACTCTTCTTATTCTCGGATGAAGATTTCCTTTCGTCCCTGCCGGCACTGTCTTCGGAGGGACCCGGTCTAGAACCAGATCTAGATGTAGATCCAGGCCCCGCACCGAGGGTGAATCGGCCGATTCGAGATATTCCGGCTTGGAATGGCGAGTCGGATCCGATTGTTTTCACTTCTTCGGCGCCGGACAATGGGGGGAATAGGACAAGGGGGACGGAGACGAGGACGAGGACTACGATGGAAACGGTGACGATTGACGATGACGATGGGGATGATTATGGTGGACCTGGTGGTGACGATCACGACAATATCAATGCGCCTGTCCACCGAGACCGACGACGCTTGGAACAAGACGATATCGAGCCATTTAGCGATGAGTTTGCGATCCCGGATTTGAATGAATTATTGGCGATGACAACAACAACAAGAACAACAGCAACAAGCAAGGCGGGGTCATCGCGAGACGTCTCTACGAATAACGAACGGGGCCCGAATCTATCGAGTAGGACGGCAAATCTCCTAGCGAGTTTGGAGACTCAGTCGAAGACTGAGAAGTCGATGCCGATGCCAATGCGGACAGGAAAAAACGGCCGGGGGGATGTGGTCGAGGTCGAGGAGATCATGGATGAAGTGGCTGAGCCGCGGAGGCCAGGACGGAAGAAGGCGACGGCCTCGACGACCAAACTTACGAGTGGGGAGAAAGACGCACGAGCGCGAGAGCGGGAGGCATCGAAGGTGCAGCGTGAACAGGATCGACAGCAAGAGAAAGAGCGGAAGCAGAAACTCAAGGAGGAAAAGGCCCGTGATAAGCAGCTTGCGGCGGATATCGCGCAGGTCAACAAGCTGAAGGTCGATAAGAAGGAGTCCACGCCGGAGATGATCGTCGATCTGGCGTCGAGTCTGGAAGGCACGAGTGTGGGTAATCAGATGGCGGAGTTCATGAGCAAGCTCGGTGTGGAATTGACCTACTTTACGAGCGCCATGCCGAATGTTGTGCGCTGGAGGCGGAAGGTCAAGGCGAGATATAACGATGCCGCGGGACACTGGGAGCCGTGTGCGTTTCACATTCGTCAGGAAGAGCAGGTGCTTGTTCTTTTGACGGCGCAGGAGTTTGTTGACCTGGTTATCGCATCACCTGCAACGCAGTATACTTCTGTATCACCCGACCTACCGGCGGAGACAGCAGCAGCAGCAGTAGTAATCACTTTAGAGCAACACGTTCAACAACTCAAAAACGCCTACCCAGGCTGCAAGCCCATCTACCTTATTGAAGGTCTCACCGGCTGGATGCGCAAGAACCAAAATTCCCGCAACAGAGCCTACGTCGCCGAAGTGCGTCGTCAAATGGAGCAAGAAACGACCTCTTCTCAACAACCCTCCTCTCGAGGGCGGAAAAAGGCCGCAAGGAAACCCGAAACCACACCCCCGGTTGACGACGACACCGTGGAAGACGCCCTTCTTCAACTCCAAGTCACCCATTCCTGTCTGATCCACCACGCCGCCGCCGCCGCAGAATCCGCTGAGTGGATCAAGAATTTCACAGAACACGTCTCCACCGTCCCGTACCGACACGAGATGATGGAGGGCCGCGACGCTGCATTTTGTATGGACACGGGGCAGGTGAAGCCTGGGGATACCAAATCCGATACCTTTGTCAAAATGCTGCAGGAGGTTCATCGCGTCACTGCTCCCATGGCGTATGGCATTGAGGTCCGGTATCCGAGTGTTTTGGATCTAGTTCAGGGCATGAGAAGAGGTGGTCCGGGGTTGTTGGAGGATGTAAAGGTAATCCCTCTCCTTCTATATCGTACATTTAAGTCTACATCATCCCAAATGTACACCTGACTGACTCTATCATAGAAATCAGCCAACAAGAATGGCGCTCTCACCGATTCCCGTATCGGCCCGGCGGCAAGTAAACGGTTGTATAAAGTTTTCATGGGACTTGATTCTTCGTCGACGGATATTTGAGATAGTTGCTTATCTTAACTCATCTTGTATTATCTGTTTTCTAGCGTTTTTGCCTCGTTTCCTGGTTTTCTTTCAGGTATTGCTTCTTCACTTACGATCTTGTATCTTTTGGGTGCTTTGGGTGGGTTGGTTCATTTTGATGTTACATATTGCATACATTTCTAGGATATATGGGTTAGACATGGATTGGTCTTTTTTTATGGTTGGGAGTTCTGGGTTCTGGGGAGATAATCTATCATTTACTCTACAGTATATTCATCTAACTACTTTTACTTCAGTCATTTAACATAAGCCATAGACCATACACTTCATAGAGCAGCGCTCACACCTTTCTCCATAACTTTTTAACTCTACAACTCAAGCAACCAATCAATCGGATAATGATCCTCAAATCCTTCCTCCCCCTCGCCAGCAGTACAGCTTTCCATCTTCTCCCTCACCAGCTCTTCCATCTCCAACCGCTGCTTCTCACTCAACAAGCCCACTCTCTCCTCTAGAGAAGTAAACTCCCCAAAATACCTCCCATCAAGAAACGACCAATAAGCCTCATCAAAAATCGAACTATATCTCGCTGCCAGACAGATCCAAAACAACCCCGCCCCTTCTCCATCATCTTCTATCGACCGCTCCGTATCCAGGGAAAGGCGCTACGCTTCCACGAGCTCCCCCTGTGCAATCAACTCATCTTCCCTGTCCTTCAGAACTTCCAAGAAAAGACAAAGTCTCGGCCTATACCGATTAAGGAACTCATATAAATCATCCTCCCAATCCTCCGGACTTTGAAGTAATAGCCACCACGGCGCTACGGTCGTGAATTCGGTGGGCGCCGCGTATGTGAATTCCCAATCGATTACACCGGCGACGTATCCGGTGTGGGTGTTTATGAGGACATTAGAGGGTCGGAAGTCGTCGCAGTACAGTTTGAATTTTCTAGTTTCTGAGTCCGAGTTGGAGGAATTCAGGTGTAGCTTGTTAGTAACGATGTCGAGGAAGAGACATCGTGCGGTGAACTTTTTGCGGCAGTCGTCGGGGCTGGTGATGCTGTTGCGTTGTTGGTGTTTTAGGTGCAAGAGGTGCTGCGTTGCGAGGGTTTTGAGGTACTCGATTGAGCGGGAGAAGGTGTGTCGTGGTAGAGGGAATACATGGTCGGGGAGATTAGCTGATGCCATTAGTTCGTTCATGTTGAAGATCAGAGGGCGTCGGGATATCGTAAATATAGGATCGTTCTCGTTCCCAGTGCCATTCCCACTCCCATTGTCGGTTTTAGACTCAATCGCACCGATCGCGTCAAATTCACACCTCGACAGTTCAAGCACCACCGCCGCCATCTCACGATACGCGTGCTTTAAACTTGAATCGCTAATTCGCGGACTCTCTACCTTCTTCATCTCCACCTCGTGCATGATCTCTAAGCAATTCCGACAAAGGCATGCCATCGATAAACTCCATCACGATATACGGACCAGCCCAGCAAATTCCGTTCCCGAAGACCTCAGGAACCGAGATAGACATGGTCCTACGGAGGTACTCCATCGTGGAGACTTCAGTTTGGACTTTCTCTCTGTAAGATGGCCCGTCCGAGGGCTGCGAAGCGGACGATGATATCCGGCTCTTTTAGGCCGTAGGCAGCTGCGTAACGTACACGATAGCATATGCTGAACGTGCCGGATTTCCAGAGACATGCTGAGACGGGGTGACGGCTTGACCATAGCTTTAGCTAGGTGGCGGCTTTCTGGTCTTGTTTCTTTTCGGCGATGGGGTCGAATTCCATTTTTTTTTTGGGGGGGGGGGGGGAAGGAGGATGTGAGGTGGTAGTAGTGGGATTCGGATAAGTTGACTGGTCAATTTTGATTTGCTTGGTTTGCATATCTTTTGGTGTATAATTATCTGATACCGCCGCTTAGCTATATGTAAGATATAAGCCATATACACAAGGCTGCTCGACTACGCGCATGTAGAAATTACTTTTTAAGATCTTTTAAGTCTATAAAGTTGGATAACTCGCTGCCCCCCCATGTTTTATAGTATAATTCCGGGAAGTTCTAGCTAGAGGAGGAATAGTAAGCTGGTTAAACTATTTTTATATTTAGAACCTTTAGCTTAGCGCGTCCCTTATGTCCTAGGCGTCAGAGCGTCCTATGAATTTACCTTACCTTTTGCTTAGGTATTTAATTCCATACTTAAGGATGAAAGGAAGAAAAAAAATAGTATGTCGTGCATCCTACTCTGTATAGCTATCCTGCATACTAGATACTAGACACCCAGTACCTGCGTTTGTCTACGATGTTGAATATTCTATCAATGATGTTTCTGGTTTGGTCGGGTAGGTAACGTTATACGTAAATGTAAAGAGAATCAGATGGATTGGCTTGAAATAATCTTTTTGTATAAATGAGGCGTTCAATGACTTTCGTTATAGTTAGGTTTAGGAAATTGGAAAAGAAGAAGAAATGGAATAATCCGTCGATAGTTATTCCTAGTCCGCTACCTAGCTAGTTGTTGTGCATACATACATACGGATGTATATCAAGTCATGGCTAGAGATGTAGATCTAGGTACCAGGTACTCAAGTCACCCAGAAGGTAAATCACCTACAAGTCCGTCTTTTCCGGAACAGTCAATGGTCCCTTCTTCACCATGATTGTGAGGATCTCGTAAAGAACGTCGGCAGCGGCCCTGGATGTATTGAATAGTCAGCGTATGATATAAAATTATTTAATAAATTATAAAGTTGAGATAGAGAGACAGAATAAGGGGCCGCCGGGGAAAGAAGACATACATAGTAGACAGTTCAGCGTTAGTATCATAAGCAGGGGCAACTTCTACAATATCAGAGCCGATGAGGTTCAATCCGTCCAAGCCGCGCACGATTGTTCGGAGCTCGCGTGTCGACCAGCCGCCCGTCTCGGGGGTTCCGGTTGCAGGAGCGACTGTGAAGAACAGAGTCAGTTAGGTCGGAATGGTTTTGAATAGTATAAGGATGGATAGTAGAAGAGGAAGACTTACAGGCCGGGTCGAGTGTATCGATATCGATCGAGAGATAGACGGGATTCTCGGTGCCGACTCTGTCCCTGATCTTCTTGATGATGCCGTCGGTCCCTAATTTGTTCTTTTAGCTGGCTGTGTACATGTAGCGAAACCACGGCTATTACCAATAGTATCGATCTCTCTGGCTTCGACAATTTCGAATCCACAGTATCCGTCGTTCTCGTAGTCAGAAGGACCGGAAAGAGTGGTGCGGATACCCGCGTGGATGTTCGTGTCGTTCTTGAGCAGGCCCTCCATCGCCGCGTGGTAGAAATAGGTGCCGTGGTTGATGGATGCTACTTTACTCGGGGAGCCGCCGAAGACTTTAGGTTTCCAGGAGTCTCTGCCATAGTGGTTAGACATAGACACGAGATACAGTAGACAGACTTACAGGTGAGAATCGAAATGAATCACAGTCACGGGGCCGTATGCCTTATTGATACTCCGTAGCAGGGGCAATGTGATAGTGTGGTCTCCTCCAAGGGTGATAATTCTCGGCAGGGTCTTGCCTGCCTTCGATAAGCCGTAGGAGTCTGCATCGGTGAAGGGCTTGCGCATGAGGACGCTATTGTGTCCCTCTTCGATCTGCTGGATGGCCCAGGCGTTGTCGTATCTGCTTTGTTAGCACAGGAGAATTACAATGAACAAGGGGACATACGAAGTCACCGGGATATCACCGCAATCAAGGATTCTCAAGTCGCTGGTAAACGGGTTCGCTTCTAACGGGACATTGTAGCCGCCGCTGAAGGCCAATTTGCGTGAGCCTTGATTGAAGACGACAGATGAGCATACACCCGAGGAGACACGACATACTAGAGATTGAGACGACGGGAACCTTGTCTGATACCGCTTGGTCCGAAGCGAGCACCGGGACGATAGGAGGTGCCGGTGTCGAAGGGGGCACCTATAATCAGGCTATGTTAATGTATATAGCAATGAGATCATGGAATGTGACATACCTATGAAGGCGATGTCGTATTTCTCGGCTTCGCTAGAGAGACATGGGAAGTAGGGAAGACGACCAAAGGTTGAGATACCAGAGAAGACAGAGTCGGCCTGTACCGTTAGCTGCTGATGACTTGCGATGTGAGGGAGACATACCTGTGTTCCTCCATCCCCGGGGAGGGTATTGTACCATAAGGATTGATGGGGACCAGACATTGAGGTTTGAAGGTTGCTATGAGCAGATGCCAGAGCAACGTAGGCAAGAAGAGTGGATTTAGTCAACATGATGGTGAATGGCTTGATGAATTGCTATAGAAGAAGATGCACTGAAGTTGATCCGATCGAAGGGACAGTATTCATTTATAGTTCTGGCTGCGAATGGCTTCGGTACGACCAGCGAGCGTCCCCTCCACGTTCCACCGAGTAATCGGACATCATCGTTTCCAAGTAAAAACACCCAGTCTGAACATCGATAGAAGTCAATCTAGACGTGATGGTTGAGAGAGAGAAAGAGAAAGAGACAACTCGATTCGGGCAACAGACGGAGAGAAGCCTCGCCCAAAAGGGAAGGCCACCGGAGAGACTAAAAGGGCTTATCTTATCTCTTATCTCTGATCTGTTATCTTTGCCCTAAATTCCCTTTGATGTCATCTTCTCGTCTCTTCTTCTCTTCTCTCCACTCAATGAATGCATGCAATCTAGAATTGTCCTCGGAAATACATCTCGGCTACTCCGTCTAGGGCACATAAGCCAAGATAACACTGCGTCTCCTGCCAGCTTCCTATTTCAGTCACTACAAAGAGAAGTCTACCCCTTGCCTACACGCCCACCCGCTCACTCACATCCATCCGAAGGAATGCCCGATCAACCTCCTTCTCCCAGTGGCTCCAGCCCACAATCGTCCACTCCAACGCCCCCACCAGATACAGCGCGATGCACTGTCCCACCCAGAGGCCCTTGAGTCCCCAGCCATGGAACGCCAACCAGATGCCAAGGGGCAACGCGCCGCCGTAGTAACTGACCAGATTGACCAAGGCACCCACATGCTGCCGACCCATCCCACGCAGACTGCCACCACAGCTCCCGTTCAAGCCGTCGGCTATCTGGAACAGGGCGACGAACGGCAACACCTCAGCGGTCAGTCGCACCACGCGCTCGTCCGAGTTGAAGATTCGCGCGAAATGGTCCCGCGTCCCCATTAACACGGCCAGAACCACCCCTCCCAGGACCATGCTGAGCCACGCCGCCGTATTGGCCGCTCTCGCGCCCCCCCGGGCATTTCGCGATCCGAGAAGGTTACCCACGCGTGCCGACGTGGCCACGCCTACCCCGAATGGGATGGTGTTGAGCACTTGATCAGCGGTCATGATAACGCTCTGCGCGGCGAGTGGGATGGTCCCTAGGCGCCCGGCGGCCAGTGCTACGATCTCGAAAGCCCACCATTCTGTACCGACGTGGATGACGCCGAGGATAGCTAGTCGGGCGAAAGGGCCGGGGTTCTGGAGGGACTCGCGCGACCAGCCGCCCCAGCATTCGGAGCCCGCAATAAACCGGGCGTAGAGCACCAGCAGGGCGAATGAGAGCCAGTAGGAGAGACCGGTGGCGAGGGGGGCGCCCAATAGTCCCATCTGGAAGGTGTAACAGCAAAGGTAATTAAGTAGTCCGTTGAGAGGTGATGTAATCAGCAAGACATAGGTGCCGGGGCGCATAATACCTACAGGAGGGGGCAAATTTAGCGGTGAGTTCAACCGAGGAGAAAAAGTTGTATTTTCTTACCCTGTGCTTGCAGATACTTCTTCATTAACTCGAAATAGATGTATCCCAGCCCACCAGGAATCAAGCAGGTCAAAAATCGCGCACTGTCTTTGGAGAGCTGTGGATCCTGGCCGAGGAGCAAGAAAACCGGTTCCGAACAGGCCCAGAGAATAGCTACGGGGATGTAGAAGAGGGTGAGGACAAAGAACCCCCGCTGCAGCAGGATGCCTAGGTCGTGCTTGTTCGAGCTGCCTGTGAAGGACGAGGACGCTAGGGTATCGAGAGCAGTGGTTCCTCCGAGGGCAATCATCCAGGCCGTGATCATAGCAAACATCAACGAGAAGGCGGCAGTGGCGAGGTTCTCTGCGGACGAGCGGCCGACGACGAGAACTGATACAGTTTGTAGGCTATTCTGGAGTGTGTAGGCTAGTATGACCGGGATAGAATCTTTCAACAGATGCCAGAACTCTCTCAGATACAGTCTTGCGACATGGTCCTCGTCGCAATCTTGCCCACAAGGCTCACCCGTAGGTTTAGGGATGAGAGATGTATATTCGTTCGGCTCGTCGGTGGCATCGTGAGGGAATCGTTCATACATTGTAACGGCTGGAATGGTAGAAACTGAATCGAAAGAATTGAATCGCAACAACTCTCTTGCATACGGTATAGCCGGCTCATCTACATACCTATATACTAGTCTATACCCTGCACAATCCAGCAACCTTGGAGACGACCGCAGACTCTGTGAGCTTACCTGTAGCTCTAATCTACATGGGCCGCCGCGCAGCAACCAAATCTCCATCTGTATGCCTAAACGGGCAGAACACTGACAGACATGATAGGAATTGAATCATAAACTCATGACAAACTGGTATGCAAGGCATCAAGTAACCGGTCAGATCTGGGGTTCTTATCAGCTCTGATACAGCGGAATCAGCCATTCGAGCTTCTCCGAATAGTAACCTATTCGGGTAAGGATCTGTTTTGCAGATGAAACAAAGAGACCGGGTTGGCTTTGCGCTTGGTTCGGTACATCATCTTGACTGGCATTCGACAATCGGCACTTAATATGTGTTAAGATAACGTCTCTTATACTGCACAGATCTGGTATATTCTTGTTATTCTGTCGCGATAGTCAATACAGAGCCACTGGCTGATGTCGCACACAAGGCACAGATGACAGCGGCAGCCCTAACCAGACGTCTTGAATGCGAGTTGATCCACGTATTATTCCCCAGGATTGCCAATATCAGCCCTTATCAGTAGTAGGCGGTGTTTCTATTGGTGATCCCAGTCGTGGGTTATACTTGCTCACATACGGAGAAAGAAGCCCTAATAGAATGCCTGAGGCTGGCGATAAGCGTGATATCGCCATGCCGTATGATTCGCGGGTTTTTCTATATGCAGCGAATTGAATTTTGCCATGTTCAATGGCAGACTGTACTGATAAGAGAGAATGGTTTATATACTATGTGTATGTAAAGTAGTAGAGTATATCTATGGTCATTATCGGTGAAGTAGTATGCGCTTTCTGTATACATCTCAACCATGGCATCCCCTTTCGACGAAAAGCAGCCTGCACCTCTCGAAGAAACCAGTGCCAATGTCCCTCAGACAGAGAATGATATCAAAACTCACCCACAGCCCACCTCTGACCCCCTAGATCCGTTGAACTGGTCCTGGGTGCGAAAGCATTCTATCCTGGGAATTGTGATGCTCAAGTATACCCGGCCACCCTTTGCCCTACTTGAACATATACAACCTCAAATGGCAGCCACTCTAACAAGACCAGATACTTTCTCTTCACCTACATCACTACCACCACCGTCCCCTCTTTCCCCGCCATTCAAGCCCAATTCGACATCTCCTACGACCAGGTCAACTGGACTGTAGCCATACCCGCTCTGGGCCTATCTGTTGGCCCGCTCCTCTGGTCCTCGCTGGCCGATATCTACGGCCGACGCATCATCTTCATAATTGGCACGGTCGTCTCCCTCGTCTCGAGTATCGGCGCTGCAGTCGCTGATAAGTATGCCGGGTACATGGCGGCGAGGTTCTTCCAGGGGTTGGGAGTGAGTCCGGGAGCGACGGTGGGCATGGCTGTGGGTGGGTGATACATTAGAGCGATTGGAGTTGTGTGGGTATGTTGAGAGGACGCTGATAAATGACAGTGAACGACCTGTTCTTCGACTATGAGCGGGGCCAGAAACTAGGGCTTTGGGTTCTTGCTATTGATTCCGGACTGTTGCTAGGCCCTACCTGTACGTTTTCTATACACTTATCGATCTGCATGGACATGAAACTAACATGATGAAGTCGGCGGATTTCTCAACCTCGTCAGTGCCGCGTGGATCAATTGGTTTACAGCCATTTTATTCGCGCTGCTCCTCATCCTCGAGCTTCTTTTCATGCCAGAGACACTCTACCCTCGCAGTCTCATGCTCACACACCCTCCTTCTTCATCTGATTCTACATTCCAATCCCTCGAAGAGAACAAGCAACCCCCCTTCTCTTCATCTACATCTACAACGCTCCCAATAGCAACGAACACCACCACCACCACAGCAAAACCCATCCCCCGAACCCGAACCCTCCCCATCCTCAACATCCGCCCCATCCCCGGCCTCAACCACCCCCGCCCCTGGTCCGCAACCCACCGCTTCCTGCTCACCTTCCGCCTCCCCGTCATCGTCCTCGCTGTGGTCGGCTACTCCTTCACCTGGTACTGGTGGATCCTCTCTATCATCACTATGATGCCAGCCGCCTACGAGTCCCATCCCCCAGTAATCCAGGGCCTGCTCTTCCTGGGCCTGTTGCTGGGGACGGTGATCAGCGAGGCGTTCCTTTCCGGCCGGCTAAGCGATCGGCTCATGCGTGTGTTGAGTGCACGGAACGGCGGCATCCGCGTGCCTGAAATGAGGCTGTGGATGGCATATCCGGCGGTCGTGGTGAGCGGTGTCGGGTTGATTGTTTGGGGGGTGAGTATTGAGAGGAATTGGCATTGGGTGACCGGGCAGGTGGGCTTATTTTTGTGTATGTTTGTTCTTTTTCCCCTTGCGTTCAAGCCTCGTTTACCAGATGCATGTGTGTGTTGTTCATATACTCTCACATTGATGGGATGGATCAACAAGAAAAAAGAAACTAACATCAGATGGGATGGTTCACCGAGCAAAGTCGCCTCAGGCCTCCAAATCGGCAATACCATCACAAGCGCCTACATTGTCGACTGCCATCCGCTACAATCATCCAGCGTGGTGGTATTCTACGCTGTGGTATTGAATCTCAGCGCGTTTGTGAACCCGGTACGTCCTCCTCCCTCAAGACACCCTCTTCTCTTCGACTTGACCCAAAGACTAACGTAACAAACCCACCTCCTTGTCTGTCTAGTTCTTCATATCCCCCTGGTATTCATCCACCAGGTGGATCTGGACTTTCACCACACAGGCCCTGATCACGGTGTGTGCAGGGACGGGGGTGTTTGCGTGTCTACATTGCTTTGGGGGATGGATGCGCGGGAGGACAAGGATGCCGGGGTGGGTGAATGCGGAGTTTGATTCTTAGAATTTATCTCTCTCTCTCTTTCTTTCATGCATCTTTTTAGTTAATGGATATTTACCTCATTTTTGGCGTGTCTCATAGTCACTACTAGTATCTGTCATCACATCAAATATAATATTGCTTCACACCATCGAGAAGAGGTCGTTTGGAAAGCTAGTAGACTAATAATAATAATTAACACATATTTCAATCATCAATACGCCACGGATATCTCTGAGGCGACATGCAAGTAAAGAAGTCGAGGGACTCAGCATGATACGAAGACTTATTCTCGAGCAATGTTTCGATATCGTCTTTGCAAGCGATCAACTCCCCGCGCACGGGAGCCATCTTCTCGTGATCTACTATGCCATCTTTCGCCAGGCTTTCTTCCATATCCACAACGAGTGTTCTGAGCACCCGGCAGTAACTCGGGCCCTCATGCTTAGCCACGTCTATTATGGTGTCAAAATCAACAATTTTGATGAATAACTCTAAGACGGGGGTTGGAACGCTCTCGTCGCACAGTAGCGAATTGACCAGTGCGGATAGCCGGTCTTTCCAGCTACGGATGCTCTGATACCTCTTCTCTATTTCCTTGCACGCATCCGACAGCTGAAAGGCGCTCATGACGGCATCCAGCTGATATAGGTGCTTACGCTTGAAGAGTTGTCCCGCTAACGAGGTAAAACATTCGTCATATAAACATAGGCTGCGTGTGTCCTCGGCCATTTTGATGTTGTCAATAATGTCTTCGCAAAGGGTACCAAGTAGACCCTGGTTTTTGGCGACGAACTTGGAGCTCAAGTACTCTGAGAACCGGCCCAGTGAGTCGCAGTTGCGAAAGAGACGATAAACGTCACGCAGTTGGGCCAGGCTCTGAAAATCCCAAGGCCGATCATATACCACGGAGAAGAACCCATTGAATGTCTTGAAATATTTGGCCTCGGCTGCTTCGTCCAGGTTTTGCGAGGAAGGCGTCTCCTGGTGAAATTCACTTTCCTCAGACTAGATCAAAAGTATATCAAACAATATACACCGACTCACTTCGGCTGATTCCTCAAATTTCCAGATACCACTGTAATTCAATATCCCCATATAATGTGTACCATCGTATTGACGACCACGACCCGGGGGCTGCGAAAACATCTGCGGGACAAAATCGACCAGTTCCTTGGAATCAACAAAGTATTGATACCCGCACACGACCAACGTGATATCCCCTCTTATGCCGGGAAAGGAGACACGTTTTCCTATTATAAAGAGCGAGAGGTCTCCAGACTGGACACCCCCAGGATCCATGAGGAAGGTATGTATGCCGCTGTAATATAAAAGGAATAGTTATAATCTGGTACTGAGAAATAATAAAAGCTATCAAGTGCGAAAAAATATAAAGAGAAATGTAAAACAAATGTTAATTGATTTAAAGCTTTCGCTGGTAGATTTCATGTTAATATTCTTGGGGGAGTGGAGGTTGAGGAAGGTACTATGAACTCCAGGGTCTTCCCATAAATGCGCATCTATTGTCATTTTAGGGTAGATGCTCACAAGGTATATATGATGATGATTATCCACGTTCAGAAAACATCCAAACATCCCATTCAACATTGTAGATAAACGCAGATAGGCGTCTACGACCCACCGATCGCCCGAGCTCGTCATGACCGGAATGGATGCGATGAATGGGCTACCAACACTAGATTTTGACTGGGGAGATATGGAATTTGATCTGGACTTTCCTAGCCTGGATGTATTCGGCAAATTTGCTTTCGCCGATCTGGCCATGGGCTCGCAGCCCTAGTATCTAGTGTCTAGTATGCAGGATAGTTATATAGCGCAGGATGCACAGACACATTGTTTCTTCCTTCCTTTCGTTCTGTAATTCTATCTATCTATCTGCTAGTTAGGTATGTAACTAAAGAACTAACTAAGAATACATTCAATTGAAGGACGCTCCGAACGCCGGTCCGACTTTCTGGTATGATATGGTATGATAACATGACGATAAAGGAAGGAGGTTCGAATGAGAACGGACAAGAAAAAGGAAATAAAAAGAAATAGAACGAGAAAAAGGACAGAAAATAAAGGTAAGTTAACGCCGTGTATATCTGCCTATCTTGTCTGTCTGTCTGCCTGCCTGTCTGATTGACTGACTGGCTGAGGCAAACCCATGTGCGTGAGTGTTAAAACCGCAGACCAGACCAGACAGACCAGACAGACCAGACAAAATCCCTAACCGGACGCCATCGCATAGAAATATAAACTGGCCATCAAACGAACGCCCAAAAAAAACAAAGAAAACAGCGAAGCCAAGAAGACATGTAAAAAAGCAAATTATAAATGCCCATGCAATCGCACCCGATAAAGACAAGTCGTCTCATTAGATCCCCAATTCGACTTCATCCTCACCACGACCTTATTCACCCTGACACCAGCAATATCAATCGTCGCGTCAAGAGTATACTTTTGTACATTATTAGGCGCCTCAGCATTATAGATCCAGGTCCCGATACGATAGAAAGTCGATCCGAGGAGCGGGTCATCAGAGAAGGCGGTATCAGGCTGATTGCGGTACGCGAAACGGAGCGGTTCCATGAGGTTCTCGTGCAGGGTGCGGCCGTTCGCGAGGAGAGTGTCGCCCTCGCGCGAGAGGTAGGTGTTCGGGGCGTTTTCTCCTTCCAGGAAGACGAATTGCGCCCAAAGTTCCATTTCCTTGGGGGCTCGTTCGGGGTTGACGAGGGCGCCGCGGGGCATGTGTTCTACGACGACTTCTTGGGGCACGGCGGGGCGGCCAAGGTCGACGACGAGTTGTGACATACCGTTTTCGCGGAGGGCGCTGCACCAGCAGTCGCCGACGTCTTCCCAGGGTGACAAGGCCTCCATGTGTGGCGATGGGCGTCCATACCTCGCCTGCAGGATCCAGGTCCACGATTTCTTGAAGTAGCCATTCTTGGCGAAGTATGTGGGACTGCTCAAGTAGGGGTCGATGATGGCGCCCATCCCGAGCGTGAAGAAGTTGGTTCTCATTAGGTCTTGGTGCTGTGGCGGCCCCTGTTTTGATACGCGCTCAATAATCGTGGTGGCCTGGGGGGCTTCGGACTTGATCATCTGCATTTCTTTCGATAGTGACGAGACTTCGTTCCCGAGACGCACAACGTGGTGTGTCAGCATCTTGACAGATTCTGAGCTGTTGGCGTTGAATGAAAGGTCCGACGGTGTGCCAAACGGGATGCGCCAGCCGACGCAGCACGAGGTGTTCATGATGGTGAGGATGGAGACGGCGGTTAAGAATAAGGCCACGACGGTTCGCACTGCAGATTTGGAGATCCTGAGCGGCGACTCAGTGAAGGGAAGGGGAATTTCATAGTGGTGGGAAGGCTGCTGCGACAGCGGTGGTATGGGGGGAGGCGACATGGTTTGGTGATATGAGGATGCCAGTTTCGATGAGGCCTGTATTGACGGATCGCGCGAAACGCTTCGTACGATGCGGTCAGGGATGATAGTTTTTGCTGCGGCCCAGACGGACTGCGGTTGAGGCTCGGCCTGTACAGGAGGTGCGGGCACCGGTTCGGGTTCTTGCACACGTTCTGGCTCAGGTTCTGGCTCTGGCTCTAGGTATGGTTCCGGTTCTGGTGTGGGCTCCGGCTCGGGGTCTGATTCAGGCTCGGGCTTAAGTGGAGGGGCCACTTCCGGGGAGCGCGGTTGAGAGAGTGACAGTTGAGTTGGAGGCTCGCTTTCCTCTTCGATGATCTCATTAGCGAACGCAAGGCCTGAGAACCTACGAGGCGGCGCGCTGATGTTTTGCCCTTGTAGTTCGTCCCGAAAAGCACCCCCGCGCGTTCGTTGCAGGTTATCCTCATGGATGTCGCGCTCGACTCTAAACGAGATGACCGATTCGTTGTCCAGTGAACTCTGAAACTGAGGTGAGCTGAGACCGTTGAGATTGGGAGCCACGGAACCGAAACGCATCATGGGCGAAGGATAGAGCGAATCTGTGGGACGAGCGAAATTCTGAGTAGGGCTGGACACCGTAGAAAGGGTATGCGGAATAGGCGGAGTCGGCGTAGGCGTGGAACCCGACTGCACATCATCCGGAAAGTTAGGAGACTGGGTAGCTTCGCGCAAGCCATCGAAGAGCTGCTGGTCTGGCGTCGGCTCACGCATCGATCTTCGAACCGGCTCTGGGCTGGGAGACTTGGGTTTTGGTTGGGACCGAGTGTTGGTCCCCGTGGATTCGTTCGCGCGATCTTCAGCCTGCTTCACACCCTCTTCGATGGTTTTGGCGATCTCAGCGAGACCGCGCTTAGGTTGCACGGTCAGCTTGCGCGGCAGATTGGCCGTCGTGGACGAGCCGTAGGCAAAGGAGTTTTTGGCGGGGATGTCCGGCAAGACGGGGTTCGTCGCGGCCGCGTTTAAAATGTAGGGCTGTTTGCCAGTCGGCCGGGCCACCGACGCCCCGGCACGCCGGGTGGAGGTGCGCTTCTTGGGAGGCATATTCCCGTTGATACACGCGGTGTCTTGTTCTGCAAGCTAAGTAGCAGCCAGAAACGTGTGAAGTTCTCAGTCCTGTCATGACGGGTTAACCTGGAAACCCTAGCAAAGAATTCACGGATACCTACGTCTTGCAATGATGCAAACAACGAACAAGGGCGGGACTTGAATACAAATAGAACTCCCGTTTCAGCTTCTCTTCAGACGAATATGCGATCCCCAGGGTTGAGCCTCAGGCAGGAAGAATACTAGACGGTCTGGCTTGGCGACACAATCGACATGAATTCACAGTGAAGGGGAAAGTGAAATCCAGGATGGATGGACGGAAGCAAAAGAAAGATTCGACACAAGCAAAGGACCTATTTAGGTTCTTGCAAGTAGGACGTGACAATTGCCCTTTCGTCCTTGGCGAGAATTGCAATGGCCTTTGCTCGACCTCGAATGAAGTAAAGGTGAAAGAAAGCAATGGCAGAACCAAGTCGCGACCGCCACGGATTGGCTCCCTTTGTGTTGGCGATGAAAGAAAGTGCAGTTTGAGAATCGAAGTTTCAGGATCTCCAGTCAAAGAAAGCAAAATGGTCACAATTGAATGTCTTCAGACGGAACAAGATCCGACCAGTACTTCAGGTAGGTCGGTCAATACTACTCAATTCCTCCTGCGCGACAGGGAGCACGTCGCGTATGAGACGCGGATGCAGCGAGGGAGGCGGGACTTGCGCGCAACAATCCCCGATGTCCAGACGCGACGCAAGAGAGTCTTCAGTCGAGTGTGAGGACGAGGCGGGATGCTTTTCCCAACGAGAACCTCAGGCGCGCGGAAGAGTCTCTCAAAGATGGCACAGCTGGCTGGACGAGGTTGACAAGAAGAAGGACATACGGTACGGTACGGTAACTCCAGCCGGGCGGCCAATGGGAGATGTCCCGATTAGGCATGGTCGCGTACCAGCCCGCCATTTACCCCAATCGGGAAGGTGTTTATCTCTTTTGTCTCGTTTGTCTCGTTTGCCTCAACTTCGAGTCTTTGTGTTTATCGTTCCTTGTCTTCTTTTTGATTTCTATTCTTGACTTAAACTCATATTTCATACAGGCTTCATTTACAGCTGCCCCCCCCCCCCCAAAACAGCAATCCCGGCGCTTCTATCGTAACTCCAAGTATGAATGATAAATAATATACAAAAAAAAGAGAGAAATAGACAAATCCATTAGCCCATGACCGCGGCCTCATGCAAATCATCGCTGTCTAACAGGTCCACGCACCGACGATGCCGTCCTTGCGGCCTTCGACGAGGAATCCCTCCTTGAGTCGCACGTGATCGACCGTCGCGTGAGACGGTCCCGTGTCGTCGGCGCCCACGCCGGCACCGCAATCCCAGTGCTGCCCGTCGGCCTTGTCGTACACCTTCACCACGTTCTCTCCGGCGGCGGCAACGATGCGTTTGGCGTCGAACATCATGCTGGTGATGGGGTGGTCGTAGGCGTAGGCGTCGTAGATGGATCCGCTTCGGAGATCCCAGATCTAGATGACGTCAGTATCAGGAAAAAGAATGTAAAGGACAAAAGAAAATGAAAACATACCCTAATGCTTCGGTCCGAGCTTCCCGTCACCAGGTGAACGTCGTCAAACTGCAAGCACGTAACAGGACCGGTGTGGCCCACGAGACTCCGATGCACTTGTCCGCTCCGCAGATCCCACAGGCGGACCATCCCGTCGGCCGTGCCGCACGCCAGCGCCGCATCGAAACATTGAACGGCTCCCACAAAGTCCGCAGACGCATCTGGAACTCGGCCGGTCGGTCGCCACTGAGTATCTCCTCCCAGCGAGTCCGCCTGGGCCGCGGCCCACAGGACGTCAAGTGTTTGAACGCATCGGCCCTTGGTCAAGTCCCATTGCCGCAGCGTCTTATCCGCAGAGCCCGAGATCAGCGTATTCCCACGGAAGTGGAGGGCGGTCACCTCGTCGACGTGTGCATCTAGCGAGAACACATGGCAGTCCTCCAGGGTGGTGGAGTGCGATGCCTGGGAGGCGCCGTCGTCACCCCGGCTCAGACGGTTATTACGAGGCACGGACCGAACGCGACTCAGATCCCACAACTTGACGGAGGCATCCATAGAGCCCGTGGCAACTATGTTATCCTCGATCTGTAGACACCGAACCGAGGCGTTGTGCCCCTCCAAAAACCCGGTGCAGCGGCCCACATTGAGGTCCCAAACCCGTACGGTATCGTCTAAGGCTGCGCTGATCATAGTACCAAACGGATAGTCGAAATCGATGGCGGTGACCATGTCGGAGTGTGCTGGCATTTCTTTGATCAACGAGCCGGGGGCGAAGTGTTCGTGCAGAATTGGCATAGATCGTTTCCCTGGTCCGAACAATCAGTGAATTGCTTGTCATGTAGCCACGCGCAGAAACATACGTATGGATCTCTGTTTTATACTCTTTGGCGAAGGAATCTTCTGATAGATCGATTCCGACATGAACGACGCATCCATCGCCGGATCTTCCGAGGCCACGGAGCCCTCGTTCCCTTCCACAGAAGCCGGGGTGACCGGTTGCGCCGGCGTTTGGGGCGGTTCCTCTTGCGTATCTTCGAGCTTATTCTCGATCTCGGTCACTAAGTCCACGGTCAGAACATTCTTGCGAGCACGGCCACTGCTATGACCAGAGGAGAAAAGCTGTCCAACGCACATTCATGTTCCAGCTCCGCCTCTTCCATCTCCAACCCAGCCAATCTATCCAGAACGATCTTGCGCATATTGTGAAGGTTTGCGATCTTGTTGTCGATCTCGTGGATTTCCGAGCTGCACATGTTCTTGCGCACGCCCATCAGATCCATCCGTCGCGCCAACAGCTCGCGCTCCTTCTTCAGGTCGCCCGGAGCGGAAGGCAAAGCCGCCCGGTCACCGCCATCCTTCAGCAGCTTTTTCCCTTTCGAGGAGCGCCGTCGATGCGATTTGCGGTATTCCTGGTCGTCCTGCGAGGCCTGGAAGCCCTGGAAGAGGGAGTAAGAGCTGGCGTCGTCGGGGATGTTCGCGAGGAGGTCGTCGGGGAGGGAGGAGATGGCACGCGACTGGATTTCGGAGGTTGACAGCTTGGAGCGGACGAGGTCGGTCGGGGTGGTTTGGGTCAGAGAGAAGACTTTGCGCTGGCTGGTCGGTCGTCGGAGCTCGCGCTGGATGTCGGCCATGGCATTGTGGTAGTGACCGCCGCCGGAGGTCTCGCCGTTGGGGCCCATCAAGTGGCCGGCGGTCGTGGTGACTTTCCGACCGAAAGCTTCGATATGTCGGGTCTGTGGGAGGAAGAAGAGGGCATATCAGCGAGAGTCTGGTTTTCTGGGAGATTTATGTTTGAGAGGGCGATAGTAATGTAAAAAATAAGCAGCGTGAAGCTTGAATGGCCAAGCACTAGGGCCAAAAAGCAAAAGAAGAAGAAACAGAAGCTCATGAAGGCCTTACCGTCAGGCCGGTCCCCAGAAGACCGTCTTGTTCGACTATGTCCGACAGACCAGAAGGGGACTCATCGCGGCGGTATCTGTCCATGAGAGCAGAAGAGCGAGATGAGTCTTTAGACGCCCATACGTGGTCTGGGGTTGAGAGGAAGACGAGAGATGGTGGCTTTTCTTCGGGGGAGGGAGAGAATTAATCTTGCGGGTAGTTCGACTTTGGGCTGGAGCAGGGAAGAAGAGAAGATGGCAAGCAGACGTAAGGTTTCGCTGGCATTACCGCCGTCACATTACCGAGGATAAGAGGGAGCCATCAATATATTGAGTATTGAGGATTGAGGATGCAAGGGAAGCTACCTACGCTTGGTGGCCTCCTACCAGAATAAAAGGGAATGTTAAACACTGGCCCTTATATACTTTCTCCATGTGGTCAACTGACTCTTTCATACCTACCTAGTCATGCTCTAACTATACTGTTGGGACTTACATACCTCTCCTCCTAGTCACAATACCGGCATTCACCTGACCTCTGCCGTCGGTAATTTACCAGCGGTATCCAGCTGTATCAACTTACGCTCTGGGAGTACGAGACTGCAACTCTGCAGCAGTTCTGCAGCAACCACCTACTGTACTCCGGAATCCCCCAAGAATGACGCCGTATACAAATCGACCAGTATGACTCAATTCTCCAGATGGAGACCACACGTCCCCTCGTTCAAAAAGGCGGTCTCGATCCGACCCAACATATTCTCCGGATCGAGCACCACGACTCGCATCAACTCAAATCATTCCAGAGATCGGCGGGCTAGCGCTTTTCCCTGACCAGTGGTTCTCTCTTTACATAACGAGCCCACTCCGTCCGGAGAACAGAGCCAGAACCAAAAAGCCAGAGAGAGCCAAACTTTTGAGGCCAAATCTTCTTTTGCAGCTCCGAACTTGTCTCCAAAATCCTATTTAGTTCTACGCTTATCTCTCCCGCCTTTTTTTTCCTCTGCAAGTTCCTCCAGCAGAGAAAGAAAGTGTTACCCCTGCAGTTGTATACAGCATTACAGCCCCAGTCCAATTTCCCACAGGACGTCCGTGCAACCATGGACACCGCCATTGATCTCTCAGACGCCTCCAAGGCCTTGGATCTGGCCAATATTCGCTTCCAATTGATGTATGTTCATCTTCCCTTCGTACTTGAATCCTCCTTTACACCCAAATCTCCCGGTGGCTTGAAACCCGACCACTCAATTTCCGATCTACTCTGATCCCAATGAACTAAAACTAATCAAAATCCCACCCCCCTTCCTTCCGCGGGGTCGCGGGGGGAAAGGAAGCAAAGGGGGTGTGGTACACCCAACCTACACAGTCGCCTCGAAGACACCATCACCTTCCACCTCATCGAGCGTGTCCAATTCCCACTCAACCAGCCGATCTACGTCCCCGACGGGGTCAAGATTCCCAACAGCGACCTAACCCTGCTCGACTACCTTCTCCGCGAACAGGAGCGCATCCAGTCGCGAGTCCGCCGCTACCAGTCCCCCGACGAATACCCCTTCTTCCCGGAAGCACTGGAAACGCCCATCCTCGCACCGCTAGAATACCCGCAGATCCTGCACGCGAACAACGTCAACGTCAACGAGACCATCAAGACGCGATACATCAATGACATCCTCCCCGCTGTGTGTCCGGGGTTCGGACGCGCCGACCGCGGCGAGACGCAGGAGAACTACGGGTCTGCGGCGACGTGCGACGTGAACTGCCTGCAGGCGCTGTCGCGACGCATCCATTTCGGGAAGTTTGTCGCGGAGTCGAAGTTCCAGAAGGAACCGGAGCGGTTCGTCAAGATGATTAAGGAGAATGATCGCAAGGGTATCGACGATGCTATTACGGATGCGAAGGTCGAGCAAAAGGTTCTGGAGCGGTTGGCGCTGAAGGCCAGGACGTATGGTACTGATCCCGCGTTTCAGACGGAGGCGCCCAAGATTCATGTCGATGCTGTTGTGGCTATGTATAAGGTATTCTCTCTCTCTCTCCCCTATCTGTCTCTCCGTGTTCCTTTTTTCTATGAATGGTGTGCTGATCTGTCTAGGAATATGTCATCCCCTTGACCAAGGTCGTCGAAGTTGACTACCTCATGCAGCGCTTGAAGGGCACCCAATGGGAGTGAACACGGGAGAGCTTTTATGACGGTAATGCACGATTATTCTAGATGTCACGATTGTAAACACCAAGAAGCACAAAGGACCAAATAGAAGACACAGGACAACCGGGAATAGAATCATAAATAAATGGGAATCCAACCTTCCCGCATACACCTGACGCTAGAAATTAATTTGAAGTCAAATGATAACCATCCCGTGTTTCCGAACATGTCATAATATTGTTTTTAAGGAAGATTCCTGATAGATCTATTCTTCCCCAAATCTATACCGGAGGCTTCAAATAATCAACCATATCCTTAACCGCGCCCCCCAACTTCCCCCCCTCAATCAACATCAAGCTCCCCTTCGTGCGAATGCCCAGCTCCTGGAATGCGCGCTTCGAATCCGAATGTCCATCATCATGCTTATGTGTATAATCAATAGACCCGGCACAAAGAGCATGACGCTCCAGGACCTCATCCTCAGGATGGAAGAAGAATCGCTCAGTCTCGCCAGCCTTCTTCTTTTTCTTCTGCGGTCGCGAATCCTCCATGTCCAGCTTCGACTCGACCTCCTCGTACGTCTTCGAGACGATCAGATAGTGCGAGAAGTTGTACGGCTCGTTCTCCTCCAACGCCCAGGCGATTTCCTCCTGCAGCATCGTGTACATGGGCGGCACGACCTCCGAGGGCATGTTGATGAGACGTTCCGTCAGGATCAGGCCGATGGCCGGGGGCGGGGTCTGTGAGAGGAGGGTGGCGAGGGGCGCGAGGGAGGGGTTTGTCGAGGCTTTGCGGTGGAGATAGGTTGTGAGGTCTTTGATGACGGGTTTGTCCTGGATTTGCGGGGCGGATTGTTAGTCACTAACCCAGCAAGCAAGCAAGCAAGAACGGTACGAAGGAGGCGAGGGTACCTTATGCTCCTGAAGATTCAGCACACTCAAGAAAGCATACGGATCGGACTCCTTGCCATCGACCTTGATGGTCGAACCCAGTAGCGGCTGCGACAGAATCAAGTCCGATAGCGCGGACATGTCGAAGATCTGAGCGTCGTTGTCGAAGAGCTGGCGCAGGAGGTGCTTGATGCCGTGAAAATCCACCGCTTGGGGATCGAACCATTCGAATTCCACATTGACCATGTCAATGTCCTGGTATTGCGCCGGTCAGTCACTCACTCACTCGCCTATCTCGATGCCGGTACCCAATGCGGCGGGGAAAAGAAAAAGTTCGAAGAACACACACCTCGTCGGACTCGTCGCCGCCCACGGCCGGGTCGGTGCCGGCCATATCGACGTCGCCGTCTTTGAGTTGCTTGCGTTTAACCATTGTGTGAGAGATTAGGATATTTGTTGGGGATTGATTTGAAGTGAGTTGTTGGAGTGGTTGCAGTTGGATTTGTTCGTCGGCGGGCAGGAAAAGTTGCTCGGCGGACTAACCGTTTTTGAACGTCCCCGCGGAGTTTATTTGAAGTATGGTTTGGAGGGAAGGATTGGGAATATACGCATCATAACTATAAACTCATTCATTTACTACATGGGAGTAAAATAAGTGTCTTACTCTTATCTTATAATGGTAATCAGTCCTGATACTACACCACGATTGCCTCTTTCCACGTCAACTTGCGCTGTTATTCCTGATATATATTGATCGGAGTCTGTATACACACTGTTTGCATACGAAGCCCTTGACGACTCCAACCAAGAACAGACATGGATCGAGACAAGTTCATCCCCAGCATGACATCTTCGAACAACTCAAACAGACACCATGCCTTTCATAACAGCCTGAAAACCTGCCACCCCCCCAAATCGCTCCCAAAAAGCCCTTCAAAGATCCTGTCTATCATAAAAACAGACACCTTCATGATGATGATCATGGGTAGCACAGTACAATCCCCTACAGCAATGCGGATGTCCATCTCTCTTGTCACAGCGCTGGCGGTATTTGCGGCAATGTCCTGAATTCACCGTCTCGGTTAGAATAACGCAACTAGCTACCTGGCTGGTGGATTCCAGTAGGGGAATCACATACTTGGTTGCTCGAAGACCTCGGTGATGCGGAGAACATAGTCCTGCTGCTCGAAATCGGTTTCGAAATCGGTTTCGAGATCAGTTAGGGCTGGGACTGCTGGTGCCGCCAGAAGTTGGGCGGGGAGTTGGAGGAGAGCCGCGAGGTAGATGAGCTTCATGTTGATTTTGATTGAGGTTTAGAAGAGATAAATGATATATCTTGTGGTGAAGTATTGATTGGTGTTTGTGTGGCTGATTTGCTTTCGAGTATGGGATTGGGAAGTTAGATAGGAGGAGGAGAGGGTTACTTATACCCTTTATCGGGATATCGAGATCATAGGAGAGATGGAGAGATGCAGATGTAGTCAGATGCAGCAGCGATGAATGCTCATGGTTAGACATCGGGTGCAATGCAATAGGAGTCAATCTAATTTTGAACCCGCTTGCGATTACTCAAATTTGATTAGAATGCTTATACAGTATTTGACGAATGCAAGAAAGCGCTAAGGTTAAAAAGCCACCTATGTTGGAGAACTTCAGAAAGAGACCAGGAAGTGTAACAGACTGCTTCATGAATGACATATCGATGATGCCAGCATTACAATCGACTAAATGAAAGGCCATGAAAAGCATATACAAATTACCTGTAGTGCGTTGTTGTATCGGTCATCCCAACGACTCATAGATGCGAGTATTGTCAGTGAGTGAAGCTTGTTTGGTCGACGGTTCGTATAGTATAGTCATCAAGATTTCTTCCACCAACTCCATTCTTGTTGCAAATTCTATTACGCGATAGAATAGCCAATAAGCAACTAAAAAAAGAATTAGGATGCACGGAGCTTGCAAATTTATCTGACATACCGTTTGTTTGCGAGGCTGTTTCTAGTCTAACGCTTGCCCGCGCATATCATTAGCTCCATGCGACTTGACCACCTGCTCCGACTCCTTGCCATCGACCTTGATGGTCGAGCCCAGTAGCGGCTGCGGCACGTTGGATTAGTTTGCGGCGCATAAAGATTCATCTACATCGTTTGTATGCCTGACTGTGAATGTTAACCTCGGGAGACAGTTTATGTTTATCATGGAATATGCTTCATCTCATCAAACAATGCCAATAATGTCCAGAGAATGTAATAGACCAGCTAATCCACTCTTTTATCTATATACCACTTGCCAGGAAATCCAGTATATATATCCACCTCACACATGTAGAGAGAGGGAGAGAGAGGGAGAGAGATCGCAAATTAAACATCGTCCTCGACCTGCTCAACAGTCGGCACCTTATCCAGCCTCCCCCCAAAGAACTCCGCCACCAACTGTACGGCATCCCACACAATCTTCACATCCTCCTTACTCACCCCCAAGCGCCTCGTCCCCCGAATATGCCAATGAGTCTCGAGCCTCAAATTCTGACTCATAATCGCGGGGAGCACCACCATCTGGGTATCTAAATCATCCAGGGCCTGCCGATCCGACAAAAACAACCCATAGGTAATCTCCTTCGACAACCACGCGAAGTCTTTATGCGCCGCAAACAAATCCAACGTGCCGGACGTGTTTCTCGCATACAGACGCTCCAGCCAGGCCGTGCCGCGCTCATGGTTCGCCTGATCGCATTGCCAGTCCTCGCGCGAGAAACTGTAATCTTTATCCTCGGGACGCTCGAGCTTGCCGATGGCCAGTATGGCCTCGATGGGCTTGCAGACCCCGACGATGATGACGGATTTGAAGAGCGCTTCGCGCAGGCGGCGGACGAGGGCCTGTCGGGCCAGCGCGGTGCGGTAGGGTTCCTGGTTGATGAGGTAGAGGTAGAGTTGGTCTGCTCGTTCGGGGTCCGGCCCCGCGACGATGGTGGAGATGGCTAGGATGTACCATTTCTCGGAGGGGAGGGACGAGGTGGTGCTTTGGAAGCGGGATTCGAGGGATTCGAAGAGCTGCTGGAAGCGTGGTTCGACGACGGGGTCGGTGGCGGGGAAGGCGGCGGTGGACATACTGTGGGTGTATTGGGTGTGAGGTTTTGAGGCGTGGTGAAGAATCGAGGGTTGACGTAAAGGTTCAGGATGAGAGGTGAGGATTGGACGTGGAAATGCAGTTGAATTTAGCCTCCGATTACGGACATCGTGAGAACGGCAGGGCGCCCTGAATTGTGGTCGGAGAGCGGAAAGGAGATGGCGCATTTGTAGAGGGGGTTTAGCCATTGGTAATAGAATTAATTCATGAGAACATCAAATTGATTTGGCCAACAAGTCTGTTTCCCAATGCGCCTGGACAAGCACAGATCACACTTTGCGGCGGCTTCCACGACACTAAACACTAAACTTAGCCTAACCTCCTCTGTACAGTTACCATCACCACTCAGTACTGCAACAACAACCTCCAACCTCACCGAAACCAAATCGATCGATCGAGACACACCTCCACTCCGATGATCTTTTAGAAACAAATCCCTAGCATTCCATAATCCTCCACCCCACCATAACCTCATTCTTTTCATCATACCCAGACCTTGTTCGCTGCGACCCACTATGATCTCAGCGACTCGGCCATGACATCACATCCGCCTCTGGATGGTAGTATAAGAATGGTTCTCCTGGTCAACCATGAACAGTTTTTCATCATATTCTTTTCATTCCTAATCATCCTAATCTCTTCCAATACCCGTCTTCTTCCTTTCTTCCAACTCAAAACAACAAACCAACTCCATCTGCCATCATGACTGGAACTCAGGGCCAATCTTCCGTCGGAAGCAGCAACCTCTACGTGGACGGTGACCAGCGCACTGCTCCCCAGTCCGAGCAGGGCCGCCCTGACTACAAGCAGGGTCAACCTGGTAGCCACCAGAACCTTGACTCTAGTATGTTCTTCCCAACCTTAGGACCCCCCTTCATACCTGCGCCCTCTCCTTCCTCTCGTTACATACCTCTCTTCATATAATCCACAACGAGCGATGCTAACAAATATCCAACAGAGGACCAACGCTCCATCGCCAACAAGCTCGCCTCGCAAGGCAGCAAGCCCGACCCGAGCAACTACAAGAACGGCGTCTACGACCCCGAGGCCGAGCTCAGCAAGAAGAACCCCACGCAGCCTGCCGTGAACCACGGCAACGAGCCCTCCAAGGGAGCCAAGATCGACCGTGAGCTCCAGCTCGAGGATGAGCAGCGCCTGCGCGAGAAGGGTCTCAAGAAATAAATTAAATCATGACATCCGGGTGATGAGATATGATATGATTTCTGATTTCTGATTCATTGATTGCTTGATTGATGAGTTTGGGTTTTTTCGGTTTCGGTTTCGGGGCATTGTTTTAGCATTTATGTATTATTAGCTTGCTAACTATTAGGAATGAAACCTATGAGTCCATGGACTATTTGATGTGATCTTTCTTTTTGGATTGAAATATGTCTTAAGTTGATTAGATGGTAGAGAAAAAAATATAGTCCGTAGAATGGTTGGCTTGATCGGTCTATGTCCGGATTATAAGTATTATATATTGAATGCAAAACCAGAAAAAGAATATATGTTCGGGTAACCTTAAGTTCCAGGTCGTTGTCTCGTAATCGGCATGCAGATCATGCACTGGAGGCAGCAGGGCCCAGTGTTGGTAGCATCCACTATACAGCTGTTCAAGTTCAGGATGTGTGTATGTGGGGGGTCTCGGGTGGTAGGGTTAGTTGATGCTGGTTCAGTCTTCTGTTCATGACGTCAAAGAGTCAAATTGATCAACCCTCTTCGAAGAACTTAGGATCATTGTCATGCGGCTCCGCAAACACATTATGCCAGTAGCCGACGACATTCTCGCAGGTCTCTGGCTTGTTGGCCCACGTCTTGAACTCGATCTCGGGGTTGCAGCTGACCCATTTGATCTCCTCCCAGTAGGCGCGCTCCGCGTCGGATCCAAACCGCTTCAGCGCCTCTTCCGGCACGATCCAGGCACGGCCGTCTGTGCCGTCGGGGCGCAGGGTAGGAGCCGTCTCCCACTTGTTGCCGAAGACGTCCTCCGCGGGGTTGAATTTGGGGTAGTTGGCATGGATGAAGAACACGCGCGGCGGACGGTCCACCTCGGGATCCTTCACTCGCCATTTGCCCTGGTTGGTCATCGCGAAGTCGGCGATCGGGTCCGACTGCGCCATGGCCGAGCCGGCAATGCCGCCCTCCTCCTTCGGGTGGCCGATGGCCTGGACGCGCTCGCTGACGGCGTAGAACGGCTCGCCGACCGCGGACGCGGCTTGCAGGAAGGTTTCCTTGTCGCCCTCGCCTGGGGCGCCCTGGGACAGAAGGCGGAAGTAGTGCGACGGCCCGTAGTAGTTGTAATAGGCGGCTAGGAGCAGCGTGCGGTAATGTGTTTTTTTCGAAATGAGGATCTCGCCGGTTTCCGAGGACTGTCGCTCCGACAGGGGCGGCATGGGCTGCCGGGAGATGTTATAGTAGAGTGGCGAGACCGTGGACGTCCAGAAGTCGGGCCAGACGACCATTCCGGTGGATTGGAACGGCTCGTGATTGAGCAAGATCTCGGGCTTGTCTAGCGGGAAGCAATCGGCATCCATCCAAACGACCTCCTCGAAGGACGAGAATAGAATCGCAAAGACCTTGAGCTGGTAGTGTTCGATAGCGTCTGTGCCGACGACATCCGAGAGAACCAAACACCGCGCGTTCATCTCGGGAAGCAGGTCCTCGCAGATCTTCTTCTCATATTCAGTCTTATCCTTCAGGTAAACCTCCACGGGCAAAGTGGACCCCGTGCGGCGCAGCATGCGTAGCGACGACAGAAAGACCGGGAGATAAGAGCCCCCGGCCGTGGAGACGATACCACGGGTCCCCGGAGAATGGACCGGGCGCAATTTCTTCGACTCGGTAATATTCTGGACGTAGCTTGCATGTGCCTCTTCCAAAATAGTCAGGTCATTATCGCCGACGAGCTCGACGAGGTCCGGTCGGGGGTCGGTCGTGGTGGCATTGTAACCGATGGCGCCGACGGGGTGCAGCTGATTGGGAGAAGGACATTTCGGTTCGTGCGTCTCGAGGATCGGTCTGAGGACTTTCCAAAAAACGTGCTGGCGTTCGGTGAGGGGGACTTCGAAGGCCGTGCTGGGGACGACGGAGGCTGGACTTGGAGTGGGGGTCCAGTTGAAATAGACGGTGCAAATGAGGATCAATGCGCCGGCAATGGAGAGGATGGTCCTCAACTTGCCCGGTCGTAGAACCGGCATGGCAGGATTATTCGCGAAATGTTTTTCGGGGGCCCGAATTCAGGGTCTGGGGAAAATTTTTTACAGAGCTAAGGCAATGCGGACGTTAAGCTGCCGGCAGAGGAAGAGCTGTGTGTTTGTTATTGGCTCGGCTGCGCCGGACAAAACGCATGAAGCTTCGATATCAGGTTGGACGACAGTGACCACGCGAGTATCCAGTCCGATCGAAAAGTCAGAATAGTATCAGAGACTCCTCAGCAGCATGACAGGCCGGGCCTGGGGGTGATGCGCAGGAAATGAGAAGCGAGACTCAGGAGACGCTTTCCGCGCGAGGCCCAGAGCGACGATCCGAGAAGCTAAGAGACCAATGACCGGGGGAGTGATAAGCGGCGGTCACTGTGGTCTCTGTGGTTGAGTAGAACAAGAAATACTCCGTATAGAGATTAAAGCTGATCGTAGGAATGTAGAACACGGAGTGAGAAGCTCGACAGGAATGTTCTGGACTGCGTAAGGTCATCATCTCGTCATCTCGTCTTTTCGCTGAATTGGTACTCGGCAGAATCTGACCGCTTCTAAATTTAGTCATCTCTGCAAGGACCTTCACCGGAGTACAAAGTACCATCCAGCGAGAGATTTGGCTCCTTGGTTCGCACTTCTCTTCCCTTCCGGAAGGGAGATGAAAGGGGAGCACCACTGACGAGGGCGATCTCTTCTGTGATCGACTGTTCCATAGAAATGCATGCCACCAGGTCTCTAGCATCAACCAGAACAGGATATACTCGGACATAATCGGCAGGCGAGGAAGGTTTCAAAGGTATCGAGACTACACCGAGAGAGTTAGAGACACATGGTGGACCGTGGAGCAGGAGGAAACTTTCGCTAGCTCGCCCATCATCCCCAGCAATTCTCCAATCCCCGTGGCGGAATGAGGACGTTGATCCAGGCCGACCATCCCTGGATGAACAAGTTACCGGGGCAGGTACCTGAATGTGGCTGCACCCGCCGCAGCCTCCGAAGTACCGATGGGGCAGCGGCGTTAGTTCCCGCCATTTGGCCCAATGACCGGCGTCAGGTTTCGGAGGCAATTTGCTTCCCACAATTAACCTCGACTACCAACTAGTAAGTTTGAGAACGACCCATCGCGGTGGTCATTATGAGTTTGCCTGGCACGGAGATAGGAAATTATGGGACGAAAGGACTGGAAGTGCTACGGTGGACCGAAGAAAATGAGGCCGAGCGGAAGTAATCATGGGACTTCGTGACGAGGACGAAGGACAAAGTAAACAGGCGGGGTACTTGTCGGTCTAACACTGCGCCGTCTGCGCAAAAGTATCGGCCTGCTGGAAAGCAGAACGGCCTCAACGGCGAGTCAACAGTCAACTACGCCGTACGGAGCTAACTGTTGAGACAAGAGGTTAAAAGTCGTGGCTGAAGCGGGCGACACGTGCTCAACCGGGGGATTTCCCGTGATCCTCCCGGTCTCTCGCTCTTTTCTCTTTCTCGGTGTTGCCCTTCTCGCTCTCTCCGTCTCTCTCCTCGGAAACCATCCACTATCCACAATTCGCTATCCACCCGGACCATGATCTTTCTTTCTCCACCGGCCAGACTTCAAGCCAAGTCTGGTTCATGCTCGGGTGGATTCCTCTTCCACCGCACCCGTTGGCTGCCAATTCCCTCCGGTTCTGCTGAATAAAATCAATTCATATTAAACGGGCGGGACATGCCGCAAGGATCGTCGCTTATCGTGCTCTCTCCAACTCGCGTGTTATGTGAGCAGTTAGCACCAAACGGACTTGGATCGATCACCTGTGATTCGACCATTCCTTAACTACTGTACTTCATCGTCACATCCTCCCTTCCCTCCTCTTTTCTCTTTCTCTTCTTCTTTCTCTGCCCCCTCACCGCCGCTTCCGTCGTTCTTTGTCTCCTCTATCCATTCTTAATTTCAACCCCCTGCAGCTGACGAGTCCATCGTTCTACTATCAATGCGACCCCGCAGCGCCGGTCAGCTCTCCGCATTTCTGGCTTACGACCATTTGTACGCCTTCGGATAACATTCCGACCATGCCTGACACGGACCGGAACATGGCACCCACCACCAAAGCACAAACCCGCAAAGCACCATCGGGGTCGGAAAATGCTCCCCGGAAAAGAAGAAAGAGAACGGTGGTCAGCGGCGCCGCCGATGATTGTTTCACTTGTGCCCGGGAAGGCACAAAATGCGACCGTCGGCGGCCGTACTGCTCCCAGTGCCTTACTCTTGGTCGAGAGTGTTCAGGCTACAAAACCACGCTGACCTGGGGTGTCGGCGTCGCAAGCCGCGGGAAGCTCCGAGGCCTATCGCTACCTGTCACGGGGTCCCAGCCAGCCTCAAAGTCGCCAAATTCTCGTCGCTCGACTGGCTCCCCAAAGCAATCTGACAACTCGGAATTCCCGACTGCGACAACGAGAGCCCCCTCTTCCGAAAGATTCTCCTCCGTCGCCACACCGACAGTGCCCTGGTCTCAGCAAGAACAGCAATCATCCCCACGATCCGATGCCGTCAGCGATACGTCGGGGTCTACGGGGTTGCCTGAAAGTCACCCATGGCCTGGTTCACCGGCTCCATATGTTCCGGGTCACCAATTGTGGAACCAACCGTACTATCAGCAAATGGGAGCCGCACAGGATGTGATAAACCCACAAATTCCGCCCCCTATGATTGGCATGCTGCCAGCACAGATACACACAACATCAGAGATATCGCAGTGGCCCACAGCATCACAGGCTTTAGAAACCCAGGAAACGAAAGCGGGCCGTGAAGAGTTGGAAAGACAAACGAGCCGGAAAAGTCCTTCGTGGATTAGCACCTCCCATTCGCCGTCATTTTCACAACTGCTTCTAGCACGCTCTGTTGGACGTACGCCGCGGTTGCAATACCTGATCAGTTACTACGCCGAGGTCATTGCGCCCATGATCGTTGCCTTCGATAGCCCTACAAATCCCTTTCGCACCCATGTCCTGCGGCTAGCGCAGGAGAGCACATCTCTACAAGAAGCGATTGCCACTCTGTCGACAAGCAACATACGACAGCGACGCGAGCGAAGAATGATGTCCACCGAACGAACCCTGCCTGCCCGGATGTCATCACTGGCCCTTCGGGCATTGACCGACGAAGCTCTAGGGGATCAATATGGCACTTCCGCATCGGTAGGATCCGCGCAAGAGGAACAATATCATCGGTGTATGGCGGTCAAAGCACTGAATATGGAGCTGGCCGATCCGCATCAGAGACTCTCTGATTCGGTCCTCGCCACCCTTCTGATTCTTTGCTTGTTCCATGTCTGCGACACGGGAGTTGCTCAGTTCAAAACCCAGTTCGCCGGGGTGACAAAGCTGTTGGCCATCAGGCTGCGTGCCTCTCCTAGAGTGTCGGAGGAATTAAAATGGTTCATTCGGATGTTCACGTGGTACGATACCATGACAGCCACGACGAACGATCGTGAGGTGCAGCTCCGTGGCACCTGCTTGGACATCGCCACGGCCTCTGACGGAGAATGGGGTCTCGAGAATCTCGCAGGCTGTGACTCCGGACTTTTCAAGCTGATTGCGCAGCTAGGTCGCTTGAACATGCTGAGTCAGAACCAGGAATCTCATGCCCCTGCGCTGCCTGAGGTGTATGTCCCATCGACCACGCTTCCGCCATCGATGGTCTATCAGCCCTCAGACCCTTCGATGCTCAATGCATCTGGCGCAAACCAACCGTATCTATTTCCATTACCGGTACCACCACGATCGAGTGACAACGAGCGACGAGCCTTGAGCCCGGCCTTCTGGGCCGAATGGTTCTCCTACCGGCAAAAACTGGAATCATGGAGCCTTCCCTCTCACCGGGCTGGATCCCAAGGGCCTTTCGAACCTGCGGCTGTGCCTGCTCCTCTTATAACCCAGGCCTACATCTCGCCGCCTTCATCGCCATCTTCCAACTCCACCGTGGCACCCGAGAATCTGGACGACGTGTATCACACCTCGGAGGCATTCCGCCACGCCGCGATTCTCTACACCGAGCGTCTCGCCTACCCAGATATCCCATCCCACAACCCGCGCATCCAACACATTGTCCACCGTACGATGCGGCACATCCTCGCCGTCAAATCCGACGTCTACCTTCTCTGGCCCCTCTTCATCGTCGGATCCGAAAGTGTGCTCGAAAGCCACCGCACCGTCATCCAGCGGCGCTGTAAAGACATATCCAAAGACTCGGGATTCCTCAACAATCTATCATGTCTGGAACTCCTAGAGAAGATCTGGGCCGAGAGTCCCGCCTTCTCTAAGCTTGAAGATGATCCCTCAGCCGCATACCCTGTCGCTTATACCGGTCCCCTAGGTGCCGTGTATTCAACCTACCCGCAGACCGGCGTTCCGAGGGAACAAGGATTCCGATGGCACAAGGTGATGCAGGCCAAGCGCGCCGAGGGAGAGTATGCGGTCGTATGACCCCTCTCCTTCCCTTCCCTTTCCCAGTGGAAAGAGGTGTAATGTATATGATACCTAGAAAAGAGATACGCCAAGATACCCACACCACAAGACCCCATAACTATACTTATCTATATCAGACTCCCTGATATTCTTTCTTCAAGAGAATCCCGAGATCTGAACTTGCATGTAAATATTTATGTATGATGATAACAGGCTATCGAATTTATACGATATACTATTCCATTCACGTTTACACTTGCAATTTGAATCAACCAATCAAGCAATCAGCGTAACAAATCTCATTTCCATTAAATAAACTGAGTCCTATCCGACCTTTAGGCCCAGAAATCAATCCAGCCATAATTATCGAGCTAATAGGTTACTCTGCAAGGCATCCATCCATCCCACTTAACCTTCCCAACAAACAACACCTAGGGTATCAAATAAAATCAAACCCGAATCGGAAGCAATCACGATCTCTTCTCATCGCGCGTCTCATTTACAATCGCAGCCGTATCATCCTGCTCATAATTCTTCTCGTCAATCATGTACTCGTCATCGTTCAGATGCTTGAACCGGAACCAGAAGACGATAGTCTGCAGGGCCAGGGCGACGGCAGGCGCACCCCAGATCCAGATGAGATAGGGGTCCTGGGTGACAGGGATGAGGATCTCGCCGAAAGCGCTAGAGAGGGCGTTCATGAACAGGAAGATGGCCATGACGAGACCACGCATGCTAGGTGGGGAGCGGGCGTAGGCGAGCTCGTAGGCGGTCACGTTGCAGAGACATTCAGAGAAGGCGCCCAGGATGGTATTGGGGATTTGCCACCAGATGCTGAGCGGGGAGACGTCGTCGCAGGTGGAGGCTTGGTAGCCGCAGGGGGAGGTTTTGTAGACGCGCCACTGGACTATGGCGCCGATGAGGCCGGAGATGGCGGCGATGATGAACCCGCAGGTGATGCGGCTGATGCGGCCGAATTTGATGTTGTGGCGCGTGAGGAAGGGGTAGAAGACGTAGGAGAGGAAGGGGACTGAGACGATGATGGTGAGGGCGTTGAAGTTGCTCAGGAGGTCGTTGGGCGCGCCGTTGGTCACCATCGAGGCGCCTTGGTTGGAGGACACGGAGCCGATACCGCCGTCATTCATGACCCAGATGGGGAAGTAGAAGAAGATTTCGGTGGCCACTGTTGGTGATTGGTTAGGTCTGTACATACAGCGGAGGGAGCGTTGCAATAGGGGTCTGGAAGGTACTCACCGACAGTTCTGCGCACGTCGTCGACCAATTTATCGGACCATTTGACGTGAATGCCTTCAGCCGCGAGAACGCTGGGCTTGGCCGCATCGAACAAATCCTTCTTCCATACTTTGAAATTGTTGCGTCGAAGAGCTGTGACGATAATCTTGAATGCGTTGCCAAGATCGGAGTGTCCACTGGGCGGCGTTCGGTATGTCTTCCGGTAGACCCCAAAAAGAAGGATGGGGAGAAGGAAGTAGATGATACCGGCAAGCAAGAAAGCAAGCCAGAAGCCGATATATTTCTCCGAGTATGTGGTGGCAAGCATGAAGAAGGCACCGATGTTGACAAACCCGTAGAAGATCAGCATCGTACGCTGGCTGGTCAGTTCGGGATCCACGATGACCTTTTCGCCTGACTTGAGGGCCTTGGTATAGGGTTTCTGGTGACGGTTTTGGTCGAGAACAACGGGTGCAATGTTAGGCTTAAAGATACCCGCACCAACTGCCAGCAACAGCAGACCGATAATAAATGGCGGAGCAGAGTTTCCAGTCCCTCTTGCTAGCACGGAAGGTAGGGCGCCGAAGATCTGAATCAAATGAGCCACACCACAAATTCCCACGCCGACGCAGATGGCGTAGTATCGACCGACGTATACATCGGCCCACCTATCATGTATTAGTGATCTACTGTCGGTTGATAAGTACTGGGGTTTCCTACCATCCACCAATGATAGGGAGGACATAAGCCAAAAAGGAGAAGAGCAAGGTAAGTCCAGAACTAGCTTGGAGGCCCATTCCCAAAGCGCCGGCTGTTTTCTGGGTGCCTCGAGGAGGAGCACCAGCTCCATTGCCACCTGCAATGCAATTGATTAGCGCTACTGTCAATGTTGCGAAACGCCAGGAAGAATAGCATACCCTCAGGCAGGGGGAATTGGATGAAGTTGGAGAAGACGGTCTTTGCTCCATAGTACGATGCACGTTCCGCGAACTCGACCAGACACAGCGAAAAGGATACAAGAGGCAGGTTGCCTGCGACCTTGCGAAGAACCTTTGCTTCATCCTCGGTGGGAGCGGGATATTCATCACTGTCAGCCGAACTCAAAGCCGTGATTTCGTAGGCATTCTTCTCCGGATCAGCAGTCACAGAAGTTCTGGTAGCCGGTTCGACTGCCTCTGTCGAGGTGATTGTCGAGTCGACAGGTGCTTTATCCCCGGTAGCAAGCGCTGCTAATATCCATAATCCTCCAAGTCAGTCATTGTCATTGGGGAACGCTCAGTGCAAGATGAAGACATACACATTTTTGACGGAAGAATCACCCGCAGGGGATGTTTATTTTGGGAAAGAGGTCTGTCGATCTGGGAGCAAAACAGCGAGAAGTGAGAAATGAGACGAGCGTCTTTTATAATAAATTCACTTTCACTGAGCTATGGCCAGAACGACTCGGACTTCCCGCGCCGGCAAAAGTGGACACCGAGTGCACTGGAAGGGATAGAGCAGCGCAGCGACAGAACGGAGTGACCACTAGACTATAGGACAAGGTCCAGGGTAAATGGCGACATCATTGGCCATGTCATGCAATGCAACGCTAGTAGTGCAGCCTGGGGCTCCTTGCAATTGGTGTGCTCAGGAGACTAAGATATCTGCTGCATGCTTATCAGCATCCTGAGCACTCAGGCAGACTGGCCTGAATACTTGGCCTCATTATAGTCGGTTATCACGCGATCCGGCCTATTCCCAACCTTCCCCTCTCCAATTTAATTTACCTAACAGCATTTCGAAATCGGCGCCTAGGATGATTCCGTCTTCACGGCGCTCGATCCCTTTGTAAATCCTGGTTTTCGCAATTAATTTATTTGAGATTTATTCGAAAGTCAACGAACGACTCGGCGTGGCAATATTAAAAGACTGGACAGGCGACTGGCTCAAAGCGAACGTCGGAGTATGAAAATTCAAGCCACAGAAGGCTCCACTTATCGATCGGCCCAGAGATATGACATTCCATCGTAACTTCTTGATGGGAAATTGATGGGGGGAGGAAAGAAAAGCAGAAAGATGAAGAGCAAAAGAGAACGACGTTACTGCCAAATGACTAATCCCGCGCAAGCCCTAAAGACTTCCAGATGCGTCTTCAACGCCTGAGGGAATTGATTTATGCCTTGGAAAAACCTTGATATAACAAGGAAACAGGATATGAGTATGGAATTGTTTGGGTCTGGCCATGCATCTGTCAACGGGGGGAAGTGAGGCGTCATAACGAACCTAAATCGCATATGCGCTTACGATCTCCGGTCGAACTACAGGGCAAGATAAACAATCCCCAACTACACATTGGCTGGATTCTGTCTACTCTCTCCCAACAAACTCCGTATACAACAGTTGGTTAATTTTGAGCCGAGAAGCCAATCCTCTTAGCTGAAAGCAAGCATCCCAAGTCGTCTTGGTATCCTCCCCACGTCGCCACAATAACCCATTGGTTCCTTTAACCATTTTTCAGGCCGAATCCTTTCAACCAAAGAAGTATGGTTACATGAACCGCGAACCAGTGACACCTGGGGGAATTTCTTCCCAATATTTACCCGAAGGATGGCAGACTATCAGAATCGCCGCAGCGCTATGGTCGCTGATATTAACCGGAAAGTTGCGCTCCCCTTGGAACTCAAACCACAACGCCTACAACTTTACAACCAGAAAGTCTCGCTCGATGATACCATGCAAAGACATTAATGTTACACCCAACAGGAACAACCCAGATCCAAAAGAAACGAAGACTATCTTGCCACCAGAATGGTTGAAATTGAGGCAAGCCACGCTAAAAGCCTTGATTATGAATGTGGCCGCGATGGGGCAATTTTAGTTCCAGAAGGCGAAAATAAGGTTTACCCTTTCTTTTTCTTATGCAAAGCCAGTTCATTGAAGCCGGGTTGCATCGCGCTTGGTTCCTCGGAGAATATTGACGACCCTGATCCTGGCGATGGCATCATCCGTGTCCTATCAAGGTAAGCTTCCGGGGGGGGGGGGGGGGGGGCACGTTGGTTTACCCCTTTCCTGTGCAGTCACTGAAGCACGACAGGAACCGCAATGGGAAGCTCTTGAGCGTTCAAGAATATAAAAAAAGATATCAGCTAGATCTGTTCAGGTAGGTTGGTTGGATGCACTACTATAAAAAGCGCAAAATGTCGACCCTGGTTTCTTTCGGCACTTATACCGTTTTGGAAAACAAGGGAACCAGTTCCAGGCACCTTCCAGCTGGAAGTAAGCACTAGAACGAACTTCAACTTCAACTTTTGGAGGGCTAATCCGAAGAATTGGCATAGCTCTGTACCAATTTCAGGGGTTCCACGTGTACCCACGTGGAGGGCCATGGTACACAGTAAACTCTCTTCTATCAATTCAACATCCGTTTGTAACTATTGATCTAATTACCCTTCATAGAGAAGACAAACGCATCTCGTTCTCTCGTCATTATTGTTTATAGAAACATATTGTCTGCTTACATGCAGTCACCAGTGATCATCCCAATATAGTCCTCAAACCCTCCATTCAATCCTAAATAACCAACAAGAACACAGTCAAAACTCGACCTCCTCCCCAGGGACAACAGCCTCTCCCTTCGCAACCAAACCCCCTGTCCCATGAATCACCACCTCCACCGCACGGCCCCCTTCCACCTCCAGCCGAACCTCCATAAAACACTCCCTCTCTTCTCTCGTCCCTGCACAATCTCAACCTCCACACGACCCCAATCCAGTCTTCCTCGATCAACCACCCGATTCTCCCAAAGATACGCCCCCAATGGCCCCGCCGCTGACCCAGTCGCCGGATCCTCAGCGCCCATCCCCGGACTAAAGAACCGCGCCTCAAAACGCGGCCGAACTTTCATCCCACCCGACAGCTCTTGATCAACAGATTCAGGAGAAAAGCCTGGCCCCGGCGCAAACACATAAACACCACTATTCCAACTCTCCGTCTTCTCTAGCTCCGTCGCCACCGCCTCGCTTGAGAAACGCACACGAAGGAGAACTTGCACGTCGCGCACCGGGACAAGGAGATGACGCGCCGGCGAGGTCGTTACAACACGGGCTTCAGACACAGAGGTATCGGTACCAGGGATGTGAAATCCAATCTCAGATAATTCAAGACCTAACGCCCCGCTGAGGGTAGCGGGGTCAGGATGGCGAGACAAGAATTGCGGGGTGTGCATGGAGATACAGATCTTCTCCTGGGACACTGTGATCTCAACCGGAAAGACCACGCCCCCTAGCTCCTGATGATATACGCTCTGTTTACCATCGACGACATTCTCGCTCCCGCTCTCCAGAAGTCCAGAATAGGCGATGTACCACTACGCGTCGATAGCATTGTGTCCGGCACCGAAGACCTCTCCGCCATTGGGGAGAAAGGAACGGAGTCGGTAGGTGGCGGGGGCGGTTGCTGGGGGGCAGATGAAGGTTGTTTCGGAGAGGTTGAACTGGCGAGCGAGGAGCTTCATTTGGGTTGTGGAGAGGGGGGAGTCGAAGGTTGGAACTACGGCGAGGGGGTTTCCTTTGTAGGGGGTGGTTGTGAAGACGTCGATGATGAAGAATGGGATGGACATTTTGGTTTTGGTTTTGGCCTTGCTGATGGTGATGGTGGTGCTTATCTACCGGAAAGGGAGAGGTGTGTTGAGTATGTGATATTGATTTAGGTTTCTTCTACTTTATGTACCTACTAGGTTACCGGACGGAATTTCGTATCATAAAGACATTCTAGATTATGGTTCAATGCAAGTTACAAATAGGGCACTCGTGCTCGGTGAATGCTACTAGAAGAGACTAGATAGGCTCGTATTCAGTCTTGGCTGTTAGAGTTGTATCATCTATAAGGCTAGGAGACTTTTGATATACGAGGATACATTAAGTGAGTGAAAAGCGAGAATGCGGGGTAATGCAGGTATGAGTTGTTCTGCAAGGCAGCCGAAACACATTATCTGTGCAGTGACGAGCAAATTAGTGTTAATTTCTGAATAGCATGAGTCATTATATAGACGACTTCCAAATGGCTGCCTTTTTCAACCTACGATGTCTACAGAACATGGAATAGCGTATTCAACCAAATATAGAAGATGTCCACCCACGGGGTCCAGGATATTCTGAACAAAGCATCACCTACTCAGAGCAATAATTCTTTTTACTGTAAGTGATACAGGCGAAGTTCTATTTTCTATAATTCACGAGGGCTTCTATTAGGACCAGCAAGGGCTATTAAGGGCTTAGGCTATACTTATCCGCGAAGTTATACACCGAGGGTATCTAGTGCCTAGCCGGAGGGTATACAAAATAATACGGAAGATGCCTTGACCGACCGCCGCTATAAGCTGACATCTGCCCCCTTCCAGCGCGCACCATCCCCACCTTAACATCAACGGTTGAACACCATTCCTGGTCCTGCTATAGAGCTATGGCGAACAGCAGCTCACCAGACCACGAAGCGCTCTTTTTAGGAGCGGAGGAAGTACGGAAATGGTTCGAGGCTGAGCGAAGACGTGCAGCAGAGCTGAGGGAACAGGAAGATAATTTTCTGTGGAGCGATAAGCTGCGCCGGGTCCTGATTATTGACTTCCAATGTTCGGTGTTGGACCGTCAACTCATAAATAAGCGGACCATGCACTAGATACGGGGTTCTCCTTATGTGTCTCTAAACCGCACAGTTGTTATATAGGAGCTAATTATAATATGGATAGCGATTGTATAGGCATGTCGAAGCCCCAACCAGGAAATTACAATGTTAAGAGTTCACCACGGGCGTATCGATCTTCCCTAGAAAATAGCCGCTGCGGAATTAGAAATACTACAGGAAGCATATGCCAGCGAAGCTCTTTTATTAGGCGAACCAATAAGCTGTACCTTGACCGACTCTGTCTTGTTTCAGTGAATAGGCTGAAGCAATACCTTAATTGAGTCATTGCCATGGATAACTCATGCAACGTCACCAGTAACATGAGTCTCAGGATTTATTTCCGTGTTGTCACCTCGGTGACTCTTCCAAGGCTGCATGGTGAGCGGCCACGAATGATCATTGTTTGAGTTATCATGCGTAAATGCGCAATATTGAACCCTGATAGGCCTGCCGAGAGGACACCCCCTCATTTATGCGCTCTATGACCGTATACTAACATTGCATTTGGCTACGGGAAGCTGATAGCGAATAACCAAGTGCCTCTGAGCCTTCATGGTGACGCTGCCATGCACCTGGCACGAGCGATTGCGAGTGAAGGGCTTATCACGACTTGTTTCGCCGCAATGTTTGGTCATTGGAACGCAATCCCTAGTAAAACTTCTTCGAAAGTCTCATGCCCTATAGCGAGCTATGCAAAGGAGTAGAACAGTCACGGGCGCTAAATATTTCTAAACGATTGGCTATGGCGGCCCGCGGGCTGTACTGTCATCCAATTGCTTTGTTTCAGCCTTATCAACTGTTACGACACTATAATTTCTACACATTTGAGGAATGCCACGGTGATTATTTTTAGGTACTCCTTGAGATTCCTCACGAATTGCTGTCCAATTGTTTTGTTTCAGCTTGCTGACTCCTCAGCTGGCGCGCGCGAGATGATAATTGAAATATCTCATGTTCAGGGATTAAGTCGAAGCATAACCTTCCATTCACAATTTGAACGAAGATTTTGAGTTATAAAAGGCAGATGATATCGGTTCAATTGCGAGTGAAAGATCACTACTCATTATCTTTATCCTGAGTGAAACAACCATATCTTCACTATCTAGTGTCTTCATACTTTGACATACTCTATTTTTCATTAGCGCTATACTCTTCTTACTTCCTTGTCTAAATATCAAACATGTTCGACAAGAAAGGATCCCGCAACGTGCAGCGCAGGCCCCTGCCAGCACCCAGGCCGGCAGCACCTCGAACAGTGCCAGCGGCAGCACCCGCGGTAGTACCCGCGGTTGCATACAGAGGGGCATACAGACCAGCACCTGCAGTAGCGCCGAGAGCAGCACCTCCCCCCAGCTCTCGGGGAAGGACCGACATGAACGGTGATTCGGCCCTAGCACCCAGAGCGACACCCAGAGCGGCACCTAGGGCGACACCTAGAACAACACCTCCCCGCGCTCACGGAGGGGAAGAATGGTACAAAGTCTCCACGCCAGAGTTCGACACAGTCGCCCCCGATCCTCTGGACCCTCCCAAGCGATACCACACAGGTATCTTCGTTGAAACAAACCCGAAGGCTCTCAAAGGATCGCTATTTCACGTCACCGGCGACATCATCGCCAGCAGCGGCATGCGGTTCGAAGTTAAAACCGACTATGATCCTGGAGCATCCAAATTTTTTCACAGAACCACGGATATTGGATGGGTTCGCAAAGCCGATTTTCCGAGAATACGTGGTATCTTGGAAGCCTTGCCCAAACCGACCAAGCAGCAGGGAATTGACTTTTGGACCAAAGATCCAGCTCACTGGAATAAGCTTACTTGGACGAAGCAGAATGGGGAACTTTACGGGCCAGGCGAACAACGACGGCCAATCATGAAGTGTAATGAATGGACACATCAGATTGCGATTCCGAAGTTGCGTCGCGAAGGAATTTTACATAACTCAATTTGAAGCATCGATTTGTCAATGTTACAGTCACCATTGGGAGAAGGTTTTGCAAATTGATTTAGAATGTCGTTTGTTTTGTTTTGTTTTGTTTTGGTTTTTTTTCCTGCGTGCTCAAGAAAATTCATCTATTTCGTTCTAAACATACCAGAGTACTTCACCAGCCTAAATCCCTGTCAACCAGGTGCATCATGGACATCTCGGCGGGCCAGAATTGAACAAACTCCTGGACTCGCCAGGACCAGTCTTCATCCCATTGGAAATGTAGGGGACAAGATGCACAAAAGCACTCCCAGAAGTCAGGAAACCAACCGGAATTCTCCCAATCGACGAGTACGACGTCAAATGATCGCCCACCTTGATCGTTTTGGCGATTTTTATTCTCCGCGACCATGATGTTTTTCTGCTGAATGTCCCCATGCGTCAGTGTGGGCCGGTGACCTTGAAGAACGCGAGGGAGGTATTTTTCGTAAAAGCGAGCCTTGTAGTCTGGGTGTTTATTGTTTTCGACCAAGGCTCTATAATTCCCGACAAGGCCCGCAACGAGGGCAGGTTCGCCGGAGAAAGGCCCGAGAAATCCCTCATCGCCACGTTGGCTATAGAATAGGTAGTGATGTACGGCGCCCCCATCTAAGCCTCCGAAGAAGTCGGGCCATGGACATTCGGCCTTTCTCATTGCGTCGAATGCTCGCTGGAGTTTGGCGATAATATCATCCTTCTCAGAGGGCGCCAATGATGGCCAAATGGAATTCAGCTGCACCCCGGGAACGCGTTGCATGATCAAGATAAGCTGCTCGGAATCGTAGTACATCGCATACAGGCGAGGGGCCGGAACTTCTGGGACGTGTCGTTCAAGGTAAATTAAAGCCTGGCCTTCCCAGGTTTCTACACGATATCCATATTTCACAACAATATCGTTGTTCACCGCCACAACTTTGGAGGCCCTGGTCTCCCACAGAACATTGGTGCAAGCACGGATTTCATCTATTGTAGGTAGAGTAGGCAAAGGGTGGGAGCTCTGGAAGGGGAGAGCCACTGGTTCCCACATTGTGAACACCGCAGGAGTCGATGGAGGTGATGTTGAAATATGGATGAGCCTGAATGGAAAATGAGCGGGGAAAGACAGCAGCACGTGCCAATCTTCCGGTCATGTGATGTTTTCTACTAGCTCAATGTGGCAGTTTCGGGGGGCTTGGCAGGGATGACTAAAGCGCTGAATTAACGTTAACGTGATGAGAGGGCAGGTGGCATCGACATTGAAAGCGGGTCCCGCCACCCGCGGGTCAGCTGATCACGTGGAATTTGCTTTTACCGCTAGTAAGTAAAATATTTAAATAACAGTAAATTCCTTGAATTTCACTATGGGAATTCAGCTTCCTTTTCTCCCAATCTCGAAGATCTGCTCCCAAAGTACTTGACAACCACTTGGTAGCTGTTTATAATGTGTGTAGATTCGATGGTAAAGGTATTGAAAACAATAAAACAGTAAAATGGATACACATGTAAATTCCACGTGGAATTTGGGGCACGGGCCAAATTCCACCCGGCTTGTTGCCTGAGGCAGACTAGTGCGTCGATGTCAGCTTTTAGCGCGTCGAACCCAACTGGTTTCTGCTACGTGATTTCCACGGATTCGATGGGAATTGGTAAGGACACCCCAACTAATCAACTGGGGTGCCGTTAACTAACTACTAAAAAGTTGGGGTGTCCTTACCAATTCCCTTGCACGAACACGGCTTGAACACCCTTCTACTTCATATTACCCAATATAAATTAAGAGATCCTGCAAACTACAAAAGGTTTGATGTATCACAATGGCGGGTAGAAGACCTTGCCCAAAATTAACTCCATAACATTTTTAAATTTCAATCTAGGCAACTCCGAGTCTCCGACTAGATAGGCACAGTAACTCAAAATCAGAAACAAGCTGACTATAAACTACTATAGTTACATCCACCGACACCTTCAATATAACTGCCTACCATCTCACCCATTCAGACATGCATATACACAGAAGGTATCTATATCCATCCCATCGCCTCGATCAAAACATCTCAAATATCTACTTTCACCAACTTATTATGGAGTAGGGGACGGGGCTAGGAGTAACTGATTGATATGATTTAGCTACGCCTATGTCAAAGAGGGAATATTTGAAAAGAGATCAAGTATATAAGTTTTGAGATCTTATACAATTGTAAGATTGTATAATCTTATCAGATCTCAAATTTATTAGTCTCACAATGGCTAGTAAGTAGTAACCAAATAAAAAAATAGTTCTATAAAGGTTATTCGAGATCTAACAGTGATTTTCTCTTTTGTTTTAGATTATTGGTTTAGACTGTTGGTAAATATTAACTAGTTACCAACTCAACTTTTGCAACCTAGGAAATCATTCTGCAATCGAGACAACAAGCCTGAGTTTTCTCTTCATTAGGTAGGTTAATTAGTCCTTGGTGGGCTAGCTCTATATGGTAGTGAGTTATACCTCCCTTGTAATTGGTTTCAATGGTGTTGGTGTCCGCGGTATGTTTGGGGCCAAAAATGATCCGGTTTTAGCTGTAAGACAGTTGTAGTTTGCGTCGGAGATTACTCATGCAAATAGAACCTTGATATTTAAGTGATATGTATCACTAGGACAAGGTACAGTAAATACAAAGGCCAGGGCATCCATTGCCTCTGCCTATTGTAGTATGGGTAAACTGGATCATCTGGGTACCTGTGCGGCTCTTAACCCAGTCATGTAGATACAGGTCTAATCCTGCAGCATGAGTAGTGCAGGAGGGGTGACAGAAAAATACCAACGCAAAGAAATCCGAGAAGCCCGATTGCCCGACGTGATGAACGGATTGCAGCACTATTTAAAAAGCTTCGTTGCCGCCCCTGCTCATACATTTCTAGTTCTGTCTTGCCTGATAAATCGATCAACGCCGCGCTATTCGAGTGAGCCCTTTTAATAGAGCGTGATATCTTTACGCAGAGACCCTGGGGTTATCCACCATGGCATCCTCTTCTCCAACCCCTCGACATGGAACCCACGGTTGGCGATTCTGGGCCGTGTTCCCAGGACTTTGCTTCTCCATCTTGCTCGCAGGACTCGATACTTCAGTTGTAGCCATGGCTTTACCCATAATCGCGGCAGACCTCAAAGCCGGGGCCCTGTACATCTGGGCCATCAATGGATACTTCCTCACAACGGCAGCGATGCAGCCACTCTTCGGTCAAGCCTCGGACATTTTTGGCCGTCGTCTCCCCATGTTGCTGTCCATCGCCCTCTTCACCCTCGGTAGCGGCCTGTGCGGTGGCGCGAAGAACACGCCCATGCTGATTGCTGCTCGCATGATCCAAGGCATGGGAGGAGGTGGCCTATTCGTCATGGTCGACATCATTGTAGCCGAACTTGTGCCGCTGCGCGATCGCCAGCTCTATATGTCGATTGTCATGGGCACTTTCGCCATGGGAACATTCATCGGTCCTATAATTGGAGGTGTCATTGTCACTGAAACATCCTGGAGATGGATCTTCTACATCACTTTCCCATTGGCGCCGCCGCCTTGATCTTGGTGTGGCTCTTCCGGCGAATCCACTACAGACCCGAAAGCACATTGACCACTCGCCTCAGAAAAGTCGACTTCTCAGGGAACCTACTCTTGACAGGAGCTGTGGTAGCAGTCCTCATCGCCCTGACATGGGGTGGTACATTGCACCCCTGGGATTCGTGGCGTGCTCATCCCATTGCTCGTTGGCATTGTCGATCTCGTCGTTTTCTTCTTCCATCAGAATTTTTACGCCCCCGAGCCGACTATGCCGCTACGGCTCTACAGCAACAGCACCTCCCTCTCATCGTATATCCTGACATTCCTTCATGGCATCGAGATGAGCTGGCTCAGTTTCTTCCTGCCTGTCTACTTCTAGGTTCTTCTGGAGGCCAGCCCTCTCAAGTCCGGCGTGAACCTGTTGGCTATTGTCATTCCCTTAATGCCCGCCGATATTGCCGGAGGCCTGGTAATAGCCAAATTTGGCAGATACAAGCCGACAATGGTAGCCGGTTACGCATTGCTGTCCATTGGAGTAGGCTGCTTGACGCTCCTAGACGGAAACTCGTCCACGGTGAAATGGGTTATCTTCCAATTGATCTGCGGTACTGGAGGCGGATTGGCTTTGACTGCGACGCTCCCCGCGGTCCAGGCGCCGTTGCCCATTCCGACGTTGCGATCGCTACAGCGAGCTGGGCCTTCGTTCGGAGTTTCGGTTCTATTTGGGGGCGCAGCCATTCCCGCAGCTATATTCAACTCGCGTGTCGACTCCTTGCTGCATAAAGTCAGCGATTTGGCGATTCGGGAGCAGCTTCGGCGCGGCGGAGCGTATGAGCATGCAACGGCCGCCTTCATCAGATCATTCGATAACAACCCTACGACGAAGTCCAAGCTCATCAACATCTACACTACAAGCATCAAGGAGTCTTGGCAGGTTCTCATTGCTTTTACTGTCATTGCAGTGCCCATTGCCTGCTTTATGAAAGAGGTTCCTCTGCGAAAAGAACTGGTCACTGAATTTGGACTGGTCGAGGACGGCGAGGAAGGGGAGGTTTCGGGGCAGGATGGTATCGAACTCGCAGCCAGAGTGACTGGAGTTGATCGGAGCTGGCTATACAGCGACATTATAAAACTTTGTAAAATTATTCAATAGACATTCCCCTCTCAAAACATCCTTCTAAGGGCAGATTATCGCATTAATAAAAGCACCTCGACTTCATCTGAATTCTTATGAGCAAACTTACAATAAGCTATAATACCGATACCTAATAATAAGTAATAACGACCCAACTACCGAGTAGTTAAAGGTAGGTACCCTTAGCCCTCCTAACGCAGCATAGCATAGTTAATATATGTCCCATAACATAATCACCCACGTGGTCAGCCCACTTCTACCCTACCTTATTCTTACCCAGGGCAGCCTAGCCTACCCTACAAGAACACATCACATCCCATCACACACATACGGTATGTACATGCATACGATGTACATATGTAGGGTAGGGTAAGGGATAACCCCGCAGACGCCCACCCGCCTCACCTAATTAACCAAACACATCCAATACTTTATGTACGCCTACCTTACTAGATATGAAGTCTGTGTCTTGCGCATAATAGTAGCTCCTATAGCTATCTACCAAAAGCCAGGTACCTGGTACGTGCATACATCTATCTATGGGCATACTACCTCTGTTACTCAACCACGTCATCAACACCCAAGCTACTATCTACATGGATATTGTTTGGTACCGGGTACTCCTCCACCAAGAAAGAAGCAGATCCATATACACCATACCCAATAAGTTAAATTACAAGTACATAACCCACCTCCCACCCACCATCCATCAAACAAAGACAATACCATGCTGACGCTGTACACCAAACACACGTGCACGTGCACGTGCACACACTACTGCAGCAAGATGCACCTGCACCGCCAACGCCAGCATGGCATATGTATGACCAGTGTATGTACATACATACAGGACAGTAATCCGAGTCTACCTACCTACCTTACTGTCTAGTGTTTACACTGTAACGTAATCGGACACCGAACCGCCGGTCACCTGCCGCCCCTCATCATCAAAACGCTCGATTTCAACAACTTGATCAAAAATGAAGCGATTTCAACGCGCGAAAATGCGAAAAATGCAATAAAAATGAATCAGACTCTATTCTCTAATTAGGCAGGACATTTAAAACGATTGTGACCCTCCTGATTGCAGTTACTACAGCGCGATGGCCAACGTGTTGTAGGCCCTTGAGCAGCTCGTTTTCTCGCCTCTTCAGCGGCCTTTTCATTCGCAATTTCCCGCCCCTCTTGACTGGCCAAAGTGCCTCCTTCTTGAAGATATCGTCGTGAGGCCTTTTTATTGCCTTTTTTATACTGTTCTACCGCGCGAAGCTGGCGTATTTCTTGTTGAAGTAGGGCGGCGTTCTGCATGGCCATCTCCGTGCCTTTATACACCTTCTCAAGCGCTTGGTCCACAATAAGCGATGATAATCCCGATTCTTGCAACGATTGAATCTCCGCTTTTTGATGATTTAGTTGATATAAATTCACGGGCGTTTTACCGAGATACATGGACTGGTTGGCCGATGAAGTTGAAGGTGGAGGAGGCGTTGAAGATCGTAAAGGCTTCAGTTTTGAAAGCACTTTATCTGGATCGTACGGGATGAGGCCTGTAGAGGCGAAACTGCTTGTTATATTGCTCGCAGAGAAGGCCTTACTGTATATACGCTTGAAGTGATTAATAAAATCGCTTTTATCGATATGTTCTATACCGTTCTGTATAGCGTCGCTAATTCGCCGGCCGTAGTAGCTTTTTAGCGGCGAAAAACAGCCCACATCAAGCGGTTGCAATTTGTGAGAAGAATAAGGCGGCATGTATAAAGGAATGATGTCTTTCTCTTTGCAAAGTTGATCGAATTCAAGCGTTGAATGGGACCCGTGGCCGTCAAGCAGTAAAAGGCGATATTGACCGGCCGTTTTTGAAGAAGTGAAATTATCGAAAAATTGAAGCCATTCAAACCCGAGTTTATCATTCGTCCATCCATTCTCGCTCACTCTGACCCGATAGTCTTCGGGAATATCTTCATACCACTTCTGTTGCTGCATTTTACCTGCGAAGATGATTTGTGGAGGTAAAACGACGCCTGCGGCGCTGATCGTGATAATCGCCGTGACCCATTCTTGATTGCCTGGTTGCACTGATCTTGCATTGCTTTCTCGTGATTCTGCGCCGCATACAACCTTTGCAGTAGAGGCAACCCCCATTTGAAAACCCGTCTCATCCATATTATAAGTATCCTGTTCAAGAATCCCATATTTTTGTATGGTATTCTGCACCAAATCGAACCAGCGTTTTATAATCTTGGGGCCCTCACATTTCGCTCGGTGGTAATCGTATCGCCTCGTGTATTTTGACTGTAATTCAGCTTAATGGCGGTTGATGAATCGGTTGACCTAGCGATAGCTTATAAAGGCGTTATTCGGAGCGGAAGGCTTCAATTTCGCGGCAAGGAGGATCTCTGCGAGATAGCGGACTTTTTCAATAGTAAGAGGGTATCCACGAGAGTCCATATCGAGGATCTTTCGCTTCAATACTAATTCGTCATTACTAGAGAGCTTTCTGAAATTCGCCCCTATTTCGTTGCGCGATTTGATTCCTTTCAAGCGACCTTTTAGAGTGCTTATTTTGACGTCAAAAGCGGCGCGCAAGCCTATTAAGAGGAGAACTGGCCTTTTTGAAAGGCCTCAGTAGCGAGCGCTAGCCTCCTATCTCGAGAGAGGCCTTCCATACTGTTGAATTGCCTCGTTTTTGATCAAATGGTTGAAAATTGAGCGTTTTGATAAGAAGCGGCGGTTCGGTGTCCGATTACGTTACTCCGTACTCTGCATCGTTCGGTAAGTGAGGAGTCAACCGCGTCTACTGCACTAGGTGCAGAGAGCTAGGTCATATGGGGTAAAGATTGACTTTAGATAGAAGTTGATAGGTAGGTTAGGCTGAGGGGATGTTTAGGCTATCACAATCACACACCTAATGTAGGGTACCCTACACTACCTAGGTATATCGTATTGGATGGAGGTGGGGTGGGTGCCGGGGATAGCCGAGTATTCCGTATATTTAGATGGATGAGATCGATCAGGCTGGTAACTACATTAGTATAATCTGGTGTATGGCAAATCTAAAGTAAATAAATTGAACTGTCTATCGGACGATGGTAGTAGGTGGTCTATATACGCTGTCTCGGTCGCACGTCACTGTGCGGAAACATTAAATATTAAATGAAAGAATGAAACCAACCGATCCCGAGACCTCAAGCAATTAAAAGATGCGTTCGCAGAATGGTATCATGAAAGACAGAAAGCCATAAGGGAAAGGGCTCAGGCTTGCAAGAAGAGAAAAATGCAAACTCCTAAAAGAAGAGCAAGCGCCGGGCAAGAAAGCAAAATTCTCCATACCAAGAAGGATAAAAAGGTAGCAGACACAAGAAAAGAACAAAGGAAATGTAAAAACTCAAAGCGAAACCAAATGTCCGCGCTGATAGCGGCCCATGTCGCCGAGATGATCCAAACGCAAACGAGCAAATCCAGCCAAATGGCCAAACCAAACGCGCTCAAATGAAAAGTCGACAAATGCATCGAAAAGAATTGAAATGTTGTAAGGTTCGACGGTCGGTCGCACGTCCGTCGGTAGATCGGTTGTAAAAGGTTGTCCTGGATGTTTGGTCAGGTCTCACTCTAGAGTTCCACTGAAGGATATCGGAAATATCTATATCGCGGTCGGTCGTCGGAGTATGTCCTCGCAGTTGGCGTCAAAGCGCATGTTCCATAGACGGATGCTGTTCATCAACTTCTCCGTGTTTTCCAGTTCGCGGTCGCGTCCGAAAATCGATTCGACAAATTCACATCCGGCGTTGCGGCCCATCGACACAGAGCCCTTGCCGCCTTCACGCTTGGCTGCTTTCCACATAAACTGTTCACAGGTTCTCAGTAACTTCTTAAAGCGACTCCAAAGCCGCTCACCACTCTCCAGGAAGTCCTCCACGACTTCCTGCGCTTCCGGGCGACGAATGCGATCCACACACTCATCGGCCCGCTTCACCTTGCCCGCCAGCTTGATCAGCAACAGCCACAGGTCACCCGCCACGTCAGCCATCGGAGTAGAAGCGCCATGGTGAAAAACCGTCCAGTCGTAAATCCACTTGCCGAGCGAGCTGGCGTCGAAGACACTTCCCAGAAGGACGATCGGCATCTCGGTGGGGTCCCAGTTCTTGATCGAATAGCCCGGGGGGATGCCGGCTCGAGCGGCGTCTTCTTCGGTCGCCTTGGGGGTGGGCTTGCTGGACGGCGGGGCGGGCTTGGGCTTGGGTGGGGTCCGCGTGGAAGTAGACTGACGGCGCGCACGAGACCGCTTGGGAGAATCGGCATCATCATAGGAAGGAGGGACCTGGGTGTAGTAAAAATATTGATCAGTGGGTGGCTTTGGCTTGCGCTGAGGCGTAGACGGGTATCGTCGAGGTTTGCTGGTGGGTTCCTCGCGGAAAACGTATCGCGGCGCATCCTCGACTACATCGTCAACCACATCCACGTAGACGGATTTCCTTCGCGACGAGGGCGACGGGGACGGGGAAGGGCCAGCGTTGTCCCAGGGATCTGCCGGGGCACCGGACATGGTGCTACGACGACGATGATAGCCACCAAAAGAAGCACTTACAGGCTCGTGCTTGCGTGGCGGAGTGCCATATTCGGGCATCGCCTCGTAGAAACCTGGACCATATCCCGGATGCCACCCTCCCGTGTCTTTGGGACCGGCGTAGCTGGCTTTGCGGTTGTGACGCTTCGACGGGCCGCGCGGGGATGCGTAGGGACTGGCGAACTGCGTGGCATAGTAGGCATAATGAGGAGAGGTCGGAGGAGAGGTCATGTAGTCGAAAGACCACCCGGGAGGTGGACTGGTATAATGATACATTATCGCAAGGCGAGCATAAGAATCGACCGTCACGACGCTGGAAAAGAGGAAGAGATCACAAGGTAATGAAATCGAGGACTTTTTATGGGCAGATTTCCCGGATGAGGCAAAAAAGGCAATGCTATAAAACGGCAAAGAGATATCACAAAAAGAAGAAAGGCAACAACCCAGATATATTATACAGGATATCGTTCAGAACAAGCCGATCGACGCCGATGCAAAGGACAACGAAATCGGAGTGATGATAAATCAAAAGAAATGAGGAATAAGAAGAGAGAACCGTCACCGCGGGACGGATTCAAGGGGAGAGGAGGGACAGGAGCGTATGTACTGGAAGTGCATTTGAACGTCGTTCGGTCCACCGATCGCGAGTTGGTAAGCAAAGCGGCTATGCGGGAGGCAACTTGGTAGCGAAGAGGGATCCTTGGGAAAGACCCAGAATCCACGGGACGGTTGGAGTCTCTTCCAACCGGTTCCTGGGGGTAGATGGAGCTCGATCTACCGAAACCCAGGGGTTCAAGATATCCAGGAAATAATGCGACTGGTTGTTTATGAACCCCAACCGGGTGAGAGGGAAGAGAGAGAGTGAGAAAAAAATGGGAGAGGAAAAGAGAGGGAAATGGAAGGGAGCGAAGAAGGCGGGAGGTGGTTTTGTAAGATTGGAAAAGACCACGGGACGTCGGGCTGTGGGGGCGTATCTTTCGGTTCGTACGGCGTCCGGTCTAGTAATTACGCCGTTTCGCCTGAAAGCCCAACGCGCAGCCAATATTAATCTACTTCGCAGTCACGAATGGTTTACCTAGGTATACTTATTGGATCTGTCCAGATGAGAAACAAAGAGTCATCATGACGAGGCCTTATTCGACTGTACGGGGGAACAGAGCTGTGCCACTGCCTACGCCATATATATGCACCTACGCAGGACGCCGTAGGCAGCAGAGCCAAATAGAAAAGAAAAAGAAATTAAAAAACCGCCTCCTCGCAGTCCTGTCTAAGCGCCTGTTGGGCATACCCCGTAATCCTCCCATCCTGAGATTATCAACTGACTCCAACAGCCCACTATACCTTCTGACACAGCGATAGCATCTACGATCCCTCTGAAGTCTACAAGCCCAGTAGCGGGCCTCAACATGTCCCTACGTCAGGGGGAAATTCCATGGCGCAACCACTCTCCACAGATCGATAAGGCTCGTCCTCAGCTCCATTAGTCTATTGGCCCAATGTCCCTACACCAGGGTCTTCGCCGGCTGCAGTGTCCGGATCCGAAGGAGGAGATTCGCCGGGGATATTCTACGTCCCCTCCGGGGTGTCTTATCGGCTTCAAACAGGTACCAACCAGCTGGACATACATAACGGACAAGGTGGGCGAGCGGCGCCGATACTTGGATAACGAGATGAAAGGCAAGGCACAGTCGATCGATGAGTCAGACCTTTGTTTGGCCACGTTTGTGACTAAGTAAGGGATGATCCAAATATCCAAATCAGAGCCATGGTGTTGAGTCAGGGTTCAAGTCGGCCGTGGCGAAAGCCTGAGACAGGAACTGCCTGCGTCGGGTGAGGATTGAGGGTATACAAAACCACCGAAAGGGCCGGTCCCATGGACTGGATTCGGATGAGCCCGCAGGAATTCCATGGTTCTAACCCGGAAGCCAGTAAACAAGCTCATCGTCCACTTTTTTTTCTTCTACTGTCCCAGTGGAACCAAATGGCAAATGGCATCAAACTTCTAGCGGATGTCATCAACTAAAAAGCATGGTTGTTGGGCAACAGTTGGTCGGATGGGCTTTATCGCCGCCCATCTTGCTGGGCAGCAACCACACCCTCTGGCCAACGGCGATGGGGCGATGGACAGACCGCAATTTAGTGAGTTAACGGCGGATCCTGAGAAAAATGGGGACTGAAGACAATCCAAATAGCAAACCGAACATGATTTATGCAGCGAGTAAAACCGGTTCCAATCGTGCGGTCCATTGGACTTTACATACATGAGAGATATCGCTGACGGAGGAGCGCCGCGATGCACTATTTCCCAGAAGCGGTAATGTAAAACGCACACTCGCAGACCGTAGAATTTCAAAATTAAATCAAGAGCGAAAGAGATGAGAGGATATCTTCAAAGCCACCCTTGGTTCCTAATCTCCTAATGGAGAACGAGGGCTCAGAGTTCGGTGTCATTATCACACACTAGGGTCAAAGTCTAAGAGCCCCTGACCCGTCAAAATATTTGGCATTATTGCTTTTTCATCTCCTGGATCTCTCGCCTAATCCTTCATTTTGATTTCCAAGAGAAACTCAGCGACGTCGTACATGGCGTCGCATTATTATTAATTCCACCGTTCGGAGTCATTCCAGCGAGCCCACCAAACTAACAGACGAGGGATGATATCAACCGCTAAAGTCAAATCCAGCTAATCAACCAGAAACGAGTCCGGACCCGTTCAAAAAGCGACCACAATGTTGAAAAACCGTCAAAAAGTACCGACGCGGATTGGTCTCAGGCTCTAAGACCTCCAAGCCCAGTCTACTAGACTCCTTCCTCCGTGCGAACCAAGAAACGCTAGCTAAAATCAAAGTCAAGCCGAAGCTCCACTGTTGAGGTCCCACCGGCAGAGTTTTCATTATCCCTTGCTCGGGAAACGATCTAGACTGACGCATCTGATTGTTGTTGTTTTGCTTCCCCAAGCAATCCAGTCTGGTGGAACTGGCACCGGTACCGTACGGTACTTACGCTGACCCGTCTGTACGCGCCCACCGGTCCGTACCATTCATGTACCCATTCATGTACCCATTCATGGATGCCTGGAGGTATACTCCAGAGTCATGGAATTCGACCAAAAACTCGTCTACCTGCATACTTCCGCCCTGAAGGTACGAATTCCATGCCGTTTCGGTCGTCTGATTCGGCGAGGCATTTTTGATCATTCGACAAGGTTGATTTAATTCTTGTTTCTTTTTCTTTTCCTAATTCCTCGCGGGGCCTGGGATTCCGGTGCTGTCGCCAGCCGCATGCCGATCGCGTCGGTTGGAATGGGTGGAAAATAAACGAACCCCGTAATATTCAGTCCAATTCTGTGTGATTTCTATGATTAGTGGCCAGGATTTACGCGAAAGCACCGAATACCCTAAGAAAAGGAATGGAAGCACAGGGGAAAGGGGAACTGTGCGCGTGACTGGTGCCCTTGCCCTGAGCCCTAAAATTAAAGGGTGCCGTCAGCAGCATTTCAGCTGTCTCGCGACGGCTGAAAGTCCAAAAGGATGCGATGGAGCTCAGACTAAAAATAAAGACAGAGTTACGCCGGAGGAAGTGCGCAGTGACTGCGGTCAAACCGACTTTCTTTCTGTTCCTATTCGACGGTCTTAAGGGCACCGCCAGCCGTGACTGCGGTTCGCCCTGCAGCCTTCCGTGTTCCGCGACGGTGACTGACTACTGACTAGGGCTGTCTTGGGCTCTGAGGGGCCTCCCCTATGTAATTGAGTAGTTACCCCTCTTCTGGGCGTCCGTCGTACAGATTGCGGCCTTTTTGGTGCCCTCTGCTCCTCTCCCCTTCTTAACTCCGTGGTTTTGAGTGAGTTTTGCGCTGATTCAAAATACAGTCAGCCAAAGACATGCAACGCTGACGAGTAACCTTTCCCTTGTGCCTCCCCCTTAATTTAACATTCCTATTCAATCTGACAAGATATGACTCCATTTGAAAAAAAAAAAAAAAAAAAAAAGAAAAACCGACAGTTTAATCCCCGACAAGATCTACAGGCGCGCCACTTGCGCCGTGCTGACCCGAGACATCCTCTCAGCCCTCATCTCATCGACATCCACCCCTCCATCCACCCCTCTATCGACTCCGTAGGACTTGGTACCAACTAGTATCTGACTACCCCCCATATCGGGCCTTTTTCAGATATGCATGTTTATCAAAGGGCCCCATGCATTAGTTAGTGTACACCGAAGGTAAGTCGGTCCTCCGCCAAAGACACTCTGGCCAAGTGGCTATCCAACCATCAATCAAGTCAATCAATCAATCAACCACTTGCCCACTGAGCCACTTACCCACTAGGCAGTAGAAACGGAGTACCGAAAGTATACGATCGCTAAATAAACTGATTGGCGCATTCCCACCCAACCGTGTCCATTTGAACTACCTAAATGGCCCCGTTACACTAGCACCATGCATGTCCCACGCGCCAACGAGGGAACATGCTGGCAATTCTTAACACTAGTAACCAGTAAGGCTCAGATTGACGCGGACTTGTTCGACTCGTGGATTGAATTTCCGGAACTTATGTATCGTGCTTCGTACGTACAGTAGTTGGTTACTAGTTTTTAGTTACAGCAATGATAATAGGTGGTGCACATACCGTAGGATAAACCGTCCACAACTAGATACCTGGATGTTGGGGTTACGGATTCATATTTCGACCATGATGTTGCGTGATGGATACCAGCTGGTCATGAAATCGACATGAGAGGACCCATGACTCTGTATCATGAATACTGTGGGGTTGTATAACTACCTAACTATGTATGTATATGGATAGTATGTACGGAGTACTCCGTACTACATGCTGCAAGAAAATGGATCATACTCACTCCCTCACCCCACTCCTATGGATTAAAATAACAAAATGATTGACTGATCTCTGACGTTGCCATTAGCGATCGATGGAGAATTACCTTGTTTCTCAGGAAACCAACCCTCACCGAGTGGTCTCCAGCGTTTCAAACTGGGCAGTGGGCCTAGTGGGACTCTGTATGTACTTGACACTGGCAGTTTGACAGCCACTGACAGACATGACATTTAGTCATCTACATTGCTCTACGGACCATGCTTAGATGCGGTCCACCGCTTAGGGTCGTGATTATGGGGTCTTTCTCCTGTATGATATACTACTCCGTACTCCGTCGGTATTGGGCATCTGCGTTTGAGTGTGAGGTCATCTGACTCTGAATCCTCTGATGATCTGATCCTTCGAGAGTGCCGGCTGTGGGGACTTAAGCGGACTCGGTAACTCCTTTGTTGTGATGCAACTCAAGTCAAGTAGATACTAGTCCTGTGATGATGAGGCCATCGTTCCATAGGTGGAATTCAGGGTTTGATGTGTTCCCGGACGGACCGTGTTGGTTTGGGCAGGTGTTTTAGTTAATTCATTCCATTTTTGTACATGTTTTTGCTAGATCATGACATAGTAGATCCGAGATTCTGGGTTACATTATAGGGCAAGCTGCCCTAATTAGGCCGCAAAATGGTCCAGGTTGAGGTATTGTTCAATATATGCCTTCGCATACTTTGCGCTAATTTTAGCCACCACCACCGAGGCTGATAAATTGGTGTTTAAGCTGGTGTGTTTGTCCGAGATAAATATATGTACGATTTTGAGACAATGACAATGTAGCAAATTGAAGAAGCAAGAGTGGGCTTCAAGAGACGTGAGAGCGGCCGAATTGCGTATATCAATGATGGCTATGGGGGTCAAGAATCCTGAGAGAAAAGGACTTGAGAGGCTCTTCAGTTGGAAGTTTATCGTTACTTTAGAGTCACAGAACATTATACAGAGAGTTTAGTGATGTATGGACTAAGAGATAACCTGGAGTGAAATAAGACAAAGGGGGATTGGCTCTTCTTGAATTCTATACAGCAATGGACTTTGGCGAAACTTCGGCGCATACAGTGTTATTAGATATTTCTTACAAGCTTTGAGGATTCTCAAAGACCAAACTTTTTAACAATATATTAATATCCAGAGATTTATAAGTTGATCAGGCAAAGAATAATGGTGGTAACGAAAGGTGACCAAAGCCAAGGCCACTTCTGCGTTCCGAAGTGGTCATCTCGTTTTCGCCAAAGACTACTACAGTAAATGATACTATCCCAATGAAAAAGAGCCTACACTTCCTACCTCTGGGCCGTTGCATTGCTAAACTTCATTAAGACTTGAAAATGAGAGAGTGCGCATTGAAAAATAAAGACAACGTCAAGATTATAGCTGTAAAAGACTTGACGAGGCAACTTCGGAAGAGCTGCTAATATCGGATCCGTTTCCAATAAATACCTCTAGGAGACTGTTTGTCGTCTTGCAAGTGGTCACATAGTCAACATGCAGCAAACAACCGTCCTCAAAGAGTGCACGGCCGCAAACCTTGCAACCTCCACCGGTCTCCTGGAAGATATGGTCGTAGGCACTAAGACGGAGTCAGATCAGCAAAGCCAAACGGGGAACCCGAGGGGATATAAATAGAGCAAAGGGTGCGCCACTTACGCTGCCATTTGTTTGCCAGTCATCTCGCAGTTATCACCTTTGACAAAAACGCCATACCCAAATCCAAGATTTTTGCCGTCCGTATAACAAGTCCTGGTATCGATCGACCTGGCCGTCTTTCTGCAGTAGAATTAGCTTCTTTCTTATGGCCTGCTCCTTCAATATAACAAGCCACCTACCCGTATATAGAATTATCATTCAGGAAGCTTTTGGTCATGTCGCAAAATTTGTGTAGGTTGGCAAACGTTTTGCACCGGGGAGATCACAGTTGCACCCAGTTTCGGTGGGGACAGGCGGAGCTGAAGTTGTTTTCTTCGTGGTCGTCGGTTTGCTCGTAGTAGTCACTTCTGTGATAGTAAATACCGCTTCAAAGAAGCTGCTGATATCATCAAGCACTTGGCTCGAAAGCAATGTTGAGTCGGCAACGCTGATACCAGTGTTAGAAATGGTGCCTTCGACCAACCCATCCTTGTCGACAGTACGGGTTGTTGTGGTCGGAGTAGCAGCACAAGCGGTGATGGTTTGGCAGCGAGAGGCCACATTAGTCGTTGAATAAGTCGAGGCTGGCTTGATTAGAGTGCTGGATATGTACGCGGTGCAAGAATCTGCCTCTTTGCCCTCGCATTCCGAATCTTCGGATTGACACCCTTTGCCAGTACAGACACCGTTGGAACAATCACGACCAGAGCAGGTCACAATGCGGCATCGCGAACCGGTACATGTGAAGTCAGTTTTAGAGCAGGCCGGGCCTAGACATCCCCATGAGAAACACGAGCGTCCGAGACGCAGGCCAGAGACCCCTCCACCACCACCACCACCACCACCACTATCATCATTGTCGTCGTCGTCATCTTTGTCATTCTTACCATTACAGTCTTTGCTGATGCAGCCATGATCTTGACAATCCTTGCCGGAACAATGACCTTCATCACAGTCCTTACCCGTGTAGGCCGTAGGGATGCAATTATCACCTACACAGATCCGGTTTTTGCAATCCGCGCCAGTACAACCTCTTTCGATGCATAGGCTGTCTCCAGTACACCTGCCGTTGATGCATCCAGGACCAGAGCATTTGCTGAATGAAGGAGGATTCTTATCAAGGGGATCGATAAAGCTAGAGGAGCTCCCTGCGCCACAGTCATGGAGACAAGGACCATTGCAGAAGCCATAACATTTATGACCACAATTGGCCGTGCAAGTAGGTCCCGGTGGACTTCCTTCCTTGAAAGTGACTATGAAACTTGGTCCCATCAGTAGTCCAAGGCCACGGGGGAATACTAACGGTGCGAGTCACAAGGGGCAAATGAGTCACGCCTGTCTCTGAGTGGATTAGGATCATCTATAACCACGACTAGCGCAATCTCGATGCTTGGTATAAGAGTTCCAATGCTAGAAGTGACAACATCACTAATTTTCCAGTTATAGTAGTTTATGGTGGCTGTAGTAATGTGCTTCAAGGGGTTCGTAGTAGACATGATATGGCGTGTGATGGTGGAAGTGACGGTAGTAACAATGCCAATGGTAACTGTTTTAGGAGTGCTCCATGCAACCTCAAGGGATGTTGGATAACCGTCTCTCAGGTTAATTGTTGTAGGAGAATTAAGAACCGACTTGGGAAATATGATGCTGACAGGAGCAATGGCGGTAAAAGTGGGCGAGTTACCCAGAACCTCTTGACCTACATAGAGGATACCAGTTCCATCACTACCTTCCTTGGCATTAGCACCGTCCATGCTAGTATCGCCTGCTGTTAACTCATTTGGGTTTTTGAGCGAGCCCTGGCCACCGAGATCGAGAGCCCAACTAAACAACCCGCCTAAACACCTACTGTTCGCAAAGTCGGCTTTTTGCTTGAGTGTACGACCGTCATCGAATGAGACCCTAGGCCTAGACTCAGCCAGGAAATGAAGCCCATACAGTTGAGAAACCGCTTTTTCCTACCATTGATTTCCACTCCAAGTCATCCAATTGACACCGGCAGCCTGGTCGTAGTGGATATTGGGTGAGAAGCTCTTGATACTACGACTGATTTCATAGTCCGATAAAAAGCCGCTGGTCCCAGTACATGTTCCAGGCGCGGCTCCTCCGGTATTATCGTTCTTCGTGTAGAAATCGCAGCCTGGACTAGTGCAAGCAGAATCGTCCAATGTAAAGGAACGACCGTAGAAGCCTAGACCAAGGAGAATCTTTTTGGGATCAATGTCGTTGCGCCACAAAAGGTCAAGTCCACCAAATCTCACAAGGAAGTAAGCAGGAGCCACCCGGTGAGAAAAGCGGACCATGCCATCAAACACTGTAGCCAAGCCCAACGACGTATGCGGATATTAGTGACATACCGGTCAAGTTTGTATGTGGGTTGACGACGGAGCTCGTCCATTTACTGGTGCCATCCCAGGTTCCGTGGATGTCATAGGCCATAAAATTGAAGGATTCAACAAACTTAGCTCTACCCGCGAGGTCAAACCCCTTCAAATACCCTAACAGTTATAAGTTACAGTCAGTCTTTTAAATACATCGCCTGCCCATGTGAGAACCTACAATATGAAGATGGTAAGGTAATTGTCAGTCTTTTTTGAGCTCAAAAAGCAAGGTCACAAGATTTGCGGTGTCTCTTGGGGCACCACCTGCTAGTGATTAGAGCACGACGAACTGTATGATGAGTAGGAATATTCGAGAGTCACATACCACGGTCATCGGCTGCAGGATACTCCCAATCGATATCCAAAAAATGCGTGCTGCCTTACCACAGCCAACATTGGGCCATATTATCCACTGCAATGATGAATTTCTGTCTTACCGCGAAGACAAGAGCACTTCGGGAACACGTGAGGCTACCCCTTCGAGATCGATCTTTAGGGGGGTCTTCAATTGAATCTAATACCAGGCGAAACACAGGTGTATATGAAGACACAAGAGAAATCCAGGAAAGAAAAATAAGGATATCACAATCGCAGCTACCAACACTTTGTGCCACGAGCAAACCGAGAAAAGTAAATTCAAGATCAACGGGTGGACATTTAGAAACATGGTCTCAGCAAAAGATGAAATTTGTATCTGTCCGAGAACGTTTCAAAGAGCCATTCCGGGCGGCAAGTACTCCAAGCTGGCACATTTTGCTAACAATCCGTCCCAATTAAAGCTCAAAGCCCTTGATCACCTGTTTTATGGGCCCATCGCTGGTCCCCTTTTCCACGAACTGACTCATTCTCTTAATGTTCTTGGCAATGAAAGGAAAGGTAACTCTCGTCTTTGCAACTAGGCCTTCCTCAAAGATCGAGCTAATAATATATTTATTCTAGAGGATAAGAGATACATCAGCGGCTCAGAAAGCAAGCTTGCCTCTGGGTCACTTGCAATCGCAGGGCTTGCTACTTCACATCCTGATCAAAATTTGGAAAATACTGGTGAGCGACTCTTTCTACAATAACTAAAGTTACACAAATTCTTATATCTATCAGATACTGTTACATATTTTGCATTGGGTTGGTATGCAACTAAAGCCAAAATTCGGATGATCTGCTAACTACTGTGCCGGGAAACAAAGCCCTATACTACTCCATGTGCTCTTGGTCAAGGATCTTGTGCCGCGATGAAAATGGATTGAAGCTTTCGGGTGAAGTTAACGGGAGAAGGGCTTTTAGGAAGTTCGAATACTAACTAATGCCTTGGTATATCACGGGCCATGTAACAGAAACTTGTTACTTGAGCCCTGGGAGAGAGGGTCGGGTATGTCAAACATTGTTTGAGGAATGATGAGGCAATTCTCCTCAGCAGGTATTTAACTGTCTCGCCTGTTTGAACTATCTGTGTTAGGGATACTTTATGTTAAATCCGAGTTGATTGAATTCTAGATTCCATAAATATTAAACCCCAGAAAGCTATAGTCAGGCTCATACAAGATGGTGGCTTTGATTTTGAATGAATTCAGAGGGTAGTTATATGTGCTTTTGAGTGTCTATTGACCCCCTTCAGTCTACCTCGGTTTCACCCGCACAAGTTTGGTTATATGTAGACTAGGTATGTACTGTACATTGAGGGGGGTTTAGGCGCTACTGTAATAACTATATGCATTCCGGATGACACATGTGACTTGTTGGCCCCGCCGAATTTCATTTTCTACTAGTACCAGTCCCTCTTTTCCTCTTAACCACTCTCCTTTGTCTAGCCTTCGCGCATTCTCTGCGCTGCCGTTGTTCCTTCCATTTCATTTCTTTTTCTCTTTTAATTAAAAAGGACTTCCCAAATCTATTGACATCATGTTTCGGAAACCTGATCAATTGCCGATAGAGCTGCTTCTTTCCATCGCACGATACCTAACATGCCAAAGCGACACCAATGCTCTAGCTCAATTCAACAGGATCCTCTACCTATCATTGCACTTCTTCCTCTGTCAACATAATATACATTATGGTCAAGGCTCAGCTCTGCTATGGGCAGCGCAGAATGCAGACACTGATTTGGCAACCAAACTGCTTGATGCTGGACTGGAGATCAGCTCGTTTGAAAGTCCCTGCGAAGTGGCATACAAGAAGATACGGCCGAGGATCTTTTAAATGTCAACCCGCTTCTGATATCTGCCCAGACTAGACATATTGAGATCCTTAGGCTCGTGCTGTCCGAAGATAGACCCCGACAAGCATGTTCATCGGCCCAATTACGCACAGTTCTTCACTGGGCCATTCTCTCCCATCAAGAGTGGCTTGTGAAGCTGATGTTTGAGCACAAAGCTCCTCTGGATACTGCAGGAAATGACAGAAAAGCCTTATCCGCTCTGGGTCTTGCTATTTCTTGTCGCTATAACTCTATCATTCCACTGCTTCTTGAACTTGGAGAACAGCCGGGAGAAAGAGAATGCCCAGATGCTCTTGAGCAGGCAAATGTACTCATCAGCCGCTACTCGTTGTGCTCTTGCTGAAGCATCATATTCGAATGAACTCTGACGAAGGTGTCTGTTATGCAGCATCCAGAGGGGACAGAGCTCTGCTTCAACTTCTAATTGACCATGGAACTACGAAGCCACGAAACTACTCCTTGAAAATGGTGCAAACCCTAATTCAGCCTGTGACCTAGATGATCTAGTGAGAAATGATGGTCCGCTGCTCTGTGTCAGCGCCATAGGCTTTGCCATTCACTTTCAACGCCTTGATATTCTGAAGCTTTTGCTAGACAATGGTATTATACCTGGGGATAACGATCTCTTGTTTCCGGAGAGGCATTCAGAGGAGACAAGGCGTCTTCTTTCAAAGGTTCCAAAGGAGGGACTACCTCGGAAGGAATGGCTTTATAACATTGCTCTTTGGGGAGCTGATTGGTTCTGGCTACTCAACCCGTGGCTTTATGGCCATTCGATTGGTGCTTTATTTACTTCCCGGAAATTTTTGTCGCGCCTCTCTACCTACCTAGGCACATAAGTTAGCAGGTGTGTTGGTATAATACCGCTAGCAAATTGCGTCGATTGTTATAACTATGTTGAGCACGGTATATTTCCAGGGGTGCCGGCAACTCCGTGCCGAGTATCATAAACCCAATTTCTACTAGTGGGCATCTCAAGCTGCTGGTTGCACGGAGGTACACGGAGTATCTCTTACAGGATCACCGTATGCAGCTTTTAGCTTATGAGATACACATGCGGGCCCCTGCAGTGAGGTGCATTACTAGGTAATACCTAGTAGCTTCCTAATCTATTTCGGAGAACTCGTTATATAGGGTATAGAGGGATTATCATGAATTCAAGCACGATGCAACCAAGCGATCTCAAACTCCAATCTCGGGATGAACCGCCAGCTTACTGCATGTCATCTTTGTGGTAACTAAATAAGTTGCGTGATTTACATGATTTTCGGCAGGTCATGCGGAGATTTGCCTTTTGCCTAGGGGCAATCAGGGTCTACCTACTCCGCTCCTAATGTAGGTCTATTCTACTTGTCACACCCTCTTGCTTCAACATTCTAAAGTGGGGACACTGTCGATGCAACCTCTGCTTCGAGGGTTCGTTCAGAGACTATATCAGGCCATTGATATAGCTTCTTGGCTCTTTTCGGAGATGACATGGTAAGAACTAGTCCTTACTGGTACATGCGAGCTGCTATCTGGGAGAAAATGGAGGGCTCGACACGCTTGATGCATCATGTGGTGTCTTTGGCACATTACTGCAGCATCTAGCCTTTCAATAGTTCAATATAATCCAATTTATCGGACAGATAGTGAGGGGGTGCTGTGTCGCGCTCCCTGTCTTTCCGAGTGCAATATGCTGCTTGTAATATCGGTTCAATCTGCTCATTTCTAGTAATAGTTTCGAGTAATTGTCTTGGTCCAGTAACATAAGTGTGATATACCTAGTAAACATGGCATAGGTATACCGCTGCCTTCAACTGGTCTATTGGAGTATCAGGCGAGTCATAGTATTTAGTTATTTAATTTTCTCTGGACATTCTTAAGACCATCCGCGTTTGCACGAGAAATTTGTGCTCAAGCCCAACGATCTTGCCTCTCTTAAGCACCATGGTCTCTTCTTTGGCTCTAATCCTAGCTCTTCTGGGCTCGGCGAATGCTGCTACCATTGAGTTACAGTTTGCCAACGGAGACTCTGCCACTGGTAAAACGGACCCCGATGTGAACAGTGGTTGTACTTACTGGGCCAATTCTATCGAGTCAACCGACACGTGTGCTGCGCTGGAAGACTACTTTGGCATCACGACTGCCCAACTAGTTTCCTGGGTAAGCAAGATGAGCTTGGTCTATATATTTCAACTGACAGTATCCATAGAATCCTTCACTTTCAACTACCGACTGTACTTTGAACAAGGGATGGAGTTATTTTGTAGAAGCTCCCGCGATCAAACCAACTACGACCAAAAAGACAACCACCACCACCACCACCAAAGCCACAACAACCACTTCCACCACCCTCAAACCGACAACCACGACAACCACGACAACCAAGCCCGGGGTCCATCCCCTACCCAGTCAGGCCCATCGGGCCCCAGTGTATGAATGTGAGACGTGCGAAAAGGAATTTGATTCTATTGATGCTGCCAACCAACACATGGACGCCAAAAGTCATAGGGCCCCGGAGTATAATTGTGAGACGTGTGAGAAGGGGTTTGATTCAATCAATGCCGCAAACCAACACATGCAAGACAAATCGCATTTCAAGAACCACTGCCCTACTTGTGATCGACACTTTACAAGTGAGGACGATCTTAGAATGGTGAGATACGTCGATGCCTGGAATCCCCCCCCCCCTTTACCCATGCCACCGACACGATACCGATACTGACGATTGATGGTATCTCTCTAGCATCTAAACTCGGTTGTTCATCATGGTCTAAACAGGGCCTGTCCATTCTGCAAATCCGATTTTATCTCCACCAGCAGCGTCACCTCGCATCTAGAGAGGGGTTCGTGTTCAAGTGCCCCAGCACTAACCCACGAAAAGCTCTACCGAATAATCGACCGAAATGACCCCGACGGGGTTATAACAAAGAAGCAAGTCGAGCTGCATCAAGAAGAGTCGTCTGAGGTTTCTGCCACCGATGAAGCTTTCAATGGTTCTGCTTGGGAATGCAACATCTGCCACAGGAAGTTTCTTACGGTACAATCTCTTAATCATCATCTCAATTCCCTAGTTCACAAGCAGAAATTGTATGTTTGTCCGAATAAGGGAAATTGCGTCAGGGAATTTGTGACCCCGAGTGCTCTCTTCAGTCATCTGGAGAGCGAGAGTTGTCTGAAACGATGAACCACTGTCGGTGATGTCGTTCAGAGAGACCAGTTTCTTGCCTCCTGATCCTTATTGCTTCGACTATTGGAAACAGCATCACAGGACCTGTCTGCAGTGTTTCTTCTATTCAATGATTTCGCGTTTCTTTCATATTCGTTCTACTAGGCAGATGCGTCTTGTGTTCGGATTTCTCGAGGACTGTGGTCTCAGCTGTACTTTCCAGGTGAAGCTTTGCAGATATTGTTTGAACTTAGTGGCTGTGCTGGAAATTTAGAATCTGTTGAATCAATGCGCCTGCCTCAGGCCCGACAAGCGATTCGTCAACGAGGCTGGGTGCTGTATTTAAAGTTAAGTTTGTTTCAGAAACCAATGACCGAACACAATGCTTGACAAAGTTCTCCGCCACGAAGATCCTTGCAGATGAATTGACCGGTCAGGCGAAATTAATAATTGATCTATCATCTGTACGAAAGAACCGAGGTCCTGTTCGATCTATGTCTATATATTAACTGCCACGTCGTCTAGGTCCAACCTAATAACCAACCCCGATCCACGCCCTCAGTCGATCCGCCTACTTCGCCTCCGTCTTCTTCTCCTTCCAGACCAGCCATCCCAGTCCAATCACGAACTTAAACCCAGCTGCCATCCACAGCGCCGACTGCATTCCACCGCTACTCTTACTCAGCCACCCGCCTACGATCGCTCCAACCAGCAGCGCGACGACACCGCCGACGCGACGGTTCCGCTTGGGATTCGACGTCGGCACCTGCGCCAGTTTCGGATCCGACGCCACGTCGAAATATACGCTTGTCAACACGACGGTGGGAATTTCATTATAGCCCAGAGACCGACTGGAGGTGATGGATCCGGCGGACTGGAACGCCAGCAGCGCAATGGGAATCAGCTCCAGGAACAGCGGGCCTCCGGTCAGGGTCATATCATCCGAGGTGTGAGGGATCAGGTCGGCTTCGATCAGGGCGACGGCGATGACAATCAAGATGGCTTGCGCCAGGAACGACAGGAAAAGGGTGCCGCGGCGGAGGGCGCCGACGCGACGGGTGATATTGGCGAAGACGAACGCGCCAATGAAGAAGGCCGCAATGGAGACGAGCGATTTCAACCAGCCCCACGGCTTGTTGCTGGGTTGGCCAGAAGCGCCAAGGCCAAGGAAAATGGTGTTTCCTGGTGTTCGTTGGTGTCTGTTAGTTATGGTTGGGGTTTCTTGGGGTCTCTCGGCTGATTTGAGGGGGTTCAGAGAAGGGGGTTCAGAGAAGGGGGTTCACGAACCGGTTTGCATGGCCAAGAAACAGGACCAGGCATTGTAGGCACTGCTGTCGCAGAGACCGGTGACCAGACACAGCAGGATACAGATGAGGTCGGCGTGCTTGGTGTCAACGGATTGCTTCCATCGCTGGGTCAGCGACGACGATTGCGCCGGCTGCGCTTCCAGGTCGCGGGGTCCGTCGCTGGTTTTATTGTCTGCCATTGTCCTACACAAAAGGGTCCCAGGTACGAGGAAAAAGGAGTGAAGGGCCTGGGTCAGGGGGAATGAGTGGACGGCCAAGCCGAATGGAGGAGAATCTGGCAGATAGGAAGAGGGAAAGAGTGACTTTTAATTCGGGAGGGCAGAAAATTTGCGGTCGGAGTCATCCGTAGCTTTTTGCCGGAGCGTCTCCGATGGCGTGCGTTAGTGAGTCTTCAACCATCCCCTTCAATCAATTGTCTCTGCGATCGTCCATTACTGCATCCATATCTATTATCTCCCCCAATGGTAATGGCTGCTGCCTGATTGCGACATCGGGCACATTCCATTTGATTTGTCTCAACGAGCCGCTAATTACTAGCCAGCATCCACCGCTGCGACTCGGTTGTTGTTTGCCAGTGGATCAGGCCCACGCCCCGCACGGATAGGGCTGAGGAATGGCTCGTAATGGGCTGATATTATTGATGGAGCATGGACGGGAATAATGGGAAGAGCATGCAATAAACATGCACAATGGAGTGCAGGTGGAAAGAGAAAAAACGACTAGCGGTGATGGCTCACGCTGGTCCCCAATCTCCTGTCAGCCTCGGCATTGCCAAAGCATATAGGAAGATTGGTTTTTCCATTCTTTCGAAATGTCTCCATCTAGACAGGATCCCGGCCCGATGATGACACAATCAGAACACAATTAACAAACAATATACTGAGCCTGTTGGGGAGAACACGTCGACCCTGGTGGACTCCCTCGTCCTCATTGAACGGCCTTGACAGTCATGACCTCACGCTTTTGACGACCATGCAATCAGCTTCTTTGTCCTCGAGTCTCGACTCGTCCAACAGCTCCGTGCCGACGCGGGAATGGCGACGGGTGTCATCGTCATAATTGTATCATCAACGCCACCCATTGCCATATAAGTAAACCCCGCAACTTCGCACAACTCTCTTTGTTTTCCCCCAGACATGACTCGAATATTACTATACTACACACATACTTGAATCAATTCACAGCTTGCTGGTACGTTTCTCGGAGAAAGGTGCCTTCGGGGTACTTCAGAAGCTACTCACAGTAGCTTTCGGGGTATTCATGCAAGGTCTAACCAATCAACAGTAACACCTTCATCATGCCGACTATGCCGACCTCCAAGTTGGAAAGCATGTTCCGCAACATGACCCAGGATCAGCAGGATTCCCAAAAACAAGACAGCTCCTCTGGTGTCAATCCTGCATGGAACACTGAGGAATTGCTTGAGACTACGCTGGATAAGGATGGGAAGCCCGTCCCCGACCGCTATGCATACACCGACGGCGTGAAGATGTCCTCTAAAGGCCCTCATCAACAGCCCGAGGCTGATGCCTACGAAGCTGCCACTGAAGACTTTGATTAAAACTGCCTCCAGTTGATATTGTCGCCCGAATAGGCTGGACAAATTATGAACATGTTGACACTTATGATTTGAAAATTGAAATGAAATGATATGATGACGTTGTATGTATGGATGCATATACTTGCCGATATCCCAAGGAATTGAGTTCACGAGTTCACCGGCACCATGAGAACAACCACACGTAAAGTATGCATCGGGGAGAATTATCCTTATCCGTAGGGCAATGGTATCTGTAAAGCATTAGAAAAAGCAAGAAATCGTCTAGACCTGGGCTAAGTGCCCAAGGCCTGACCGACAGATGATGGCCAGCTGGAACCTGGCGAATTGCCGTGGCAACCGGTCCAGCTCAACCGCCGCTGCCTCAGGCCGCGCCGCACCCCGAATCGGGCAAAAACCAAACGGGGAATGCAGTGCATTAATTATTATTCCTTATCCTCTCCACGCCTTTCCTGTCTCTCTCCCGCGCTCCAGATTCCACCCTGTCTCTGGCCCTTGCGCTGTGTTCACTGCATGTTTCTCTCTTTGATCCTCCATCGCAGCAGTCTCTCTGGCATATCTCCCCGACACACTCCCTTGTTGAAAACACCGACCGGCCCCTAATCCATGTGTTCTCCTGCTCGCCGTGGCCCTGGAACATAAAATCCTGGCTTGTCGCTGTCGCTGTCGCTGCTTTTGCCGGAAAAAACAAACGGGAAGCAATTAACCTCGCAGGAGCGACCATCCGACACCCTCGTCTCGTCTCGCCCTTTTGCCTCGGCCTTCTCCTAGCAGCATTGAACACCGAGCAGCCTTCCTTCCTAGCTATCTATCTACTCCCTGCGGCGCTTGTCCTTCCCTCAATCTCGCTATCGATCGGTGGTACGAGCCTGTATGTACCATAACCTTCTCAATCGCCAACGAGACCTCGTCACTCAGTTTGAACAGTTGTTGAGGCATTCCTGTCAGGACATGGCCTTGGATCCCCGTTTCTACAATCACCTTGGCCATGGCACCGGTCCTAGCTCGCAGTCCTCGATTACGTCCGCAGGCTCCGCCATCACCGGGATAACAAGTCCGTCTATCCGCTCCACCAATGCCTCATCTGCGGCTTTGCGGTCCACGGCATCTAGCCCTTCCCTGCGCGCCAAGCAGGGCGTGGTCATGTCCCCGAGTCGCATCGAGGGGGTGGCTAGTCCGTCGCCTGGAGGAAATGTGCGCGTGGTGGTGCGGGTGCGGAATTTCTTGCCGAGAGGTATGTTCTTGCCGTCTGGGAGGATGGATTGGATGGAAACGTGCAGGAGGTAAAATGTTGAACTCACATGTGGCTATGATGTATAGAAGTCGACCGCAATGCCGAGTGTCTGATCACCATGGACCCGAACACACAAATGACGAAACTAAGAGCGCCGCGCATTAACCCGCAGGACGAAGGGAAGCCGAAATCGCAAGCGCGAGGGAAGGTCCTGGAGGACAAGTCGTTCATATTCGACAACTCGTTCTGGTCGCATGACACAGATGACGAGCACTACGCCTACCAGGAGGATGTGTACAATTGTCTCGGAGAGGAATTTCTCGACCACAACTTTGAGGGTTACCACACTTGCATCTTCGCCTACGGTCAAACAGGTTCCGGAAAGAGTTACACGATGATGGGGACCCCGGATCAACCGGGGCTCATCCCGCGAACCTGCGAGGACCTGTTTCAGCGCATTGAGGGCGCACAAACGGCCGATATGAGTTTCAACGTTCGCGTGTCCTACTTCGAGGTTTACAACGAGCATGTGCGCGACCTGCTAGTCCCACGAACGGACCCTCCGCATTATCTTCGGATTCGCGAGTCGCCGTCTGAGGGGCCCTACATCAAAGATCTTAACGAAGTGTCGGTGCGCAACTTTGCAGAACTCATGAAATTCATGCGCAAGGGGGACGTGTCGCGGACTGTTGCAAGCACCAAGATGAACGACACTTCCTCGCGTTCCCATGCCGTCTTTACAATCACTCTGAAGCAGATCCACCATGACCTGTCCACCGACGAGACCACCGAGCGTACAGCGCGTATTCGACTCGTTGATCTGGCGGGCTCTGAACGCGCCAAGTCCACCGAAGCCACCGGCCAGCGATTGCGCGAGGGGTCTAACATTAACAAATCACTAACGACGCTAGGCCGGGTCATTGCAGCGCTGGCAGATCCCAAAGCAGGCCGCCCAGGGAAACGTAAAGCAAAAGATGTGGTGCCATATCGGGATTCTATACTTACCTGGTTGCTGAAAGACAGCTTGGGAGGTAACTCGAAAACGGCCATGATTGCCTGTATCTCGCCGTCAGATTACGAAGAAACTTTGTCGACCCTGCGGTATGCAGACCAGGCCAAGCACATCCGCACGCGGGCTCGAGTAAACCAGGATCATCTCTCTGCGGCGGAACGAGACAAACAGATCGCAGAGATGGCAGAGACAATCCGCACGCTCCAACTCAGTGTCAGCCTTGCCACGGCCAACAAACGGGAGACTGACATGCAAAATGAGAAATTGGAAGATTACCAGCAGAAAGTGGAGAAACTCCAGCGAATGCAGGAGGAGACAAAGATGGTCAGTGAGAGCAAGATTAAACAATTACAGACTGAGAACGAAGCGCTCCGCAACCATCTCAAACTCGCACTCGATAGCTTAAAGAACCCAATCCCTCCGGTGACCCTCGAGAAACGCAGCAGCAGCTTAAGCACTGTAAGCGAAAACGACAGCTGCTTGGCCTCGCGAGATAAGGAAAATCGTCCCGGATCACCCACATCAGACGTGGAGACTGAGCCAGATCTTGTCTGGGAGGATGACGAGGATACCATCCATATCAATGACAACCACCTCGAAGCCCAAGACATGCAGTCCAATATGGAAGATCTCCTCATGGACCTCAGTCTTTTCAAACGCAAGCTGGCGTCCGACCATGAACGCTTCCGAGCGATCCAGGGACATCCGAGTCGCAAACGCCGACGAGCTCTGGGCGACATCTGGACCAATAACCGATAGGTCTGGTTTGGGCTGCACATTGGGCGGCTTTTTGTTTCTTCGGGCTTACGGCGCACTGCGATCGGAGTTTTGTTCTCATTGGTTCTTGCAGATGGACAGCGGATGGAGAGGCCCTGATACCCTGACCTTTTTAACTTGGAGATTAGAGGCTGTCTATTGTCTTAGGAGGTCTTTCGTATGCCCTTTTGTCTTTTTCCCGAGTCTTTGGTCTTTCTGATTCTTGCCTCTTTTTCGATTCTTGTGACTTTTTTTTTTGACCTGACGAAATGACGAGATGAATGTATGCCATAATCCGATGCCGGCATGACAGACTAATCACGATACAATTGATAATGATTCCTTCCATCCGTGTTCTAGCGAGTACCGTAGAAGCTGCTGCCTGCGCGTGATCAGGCATTCTGTTTGTCCTGCATGCAAACAACCTTCCCAATCGGGCCCTGTTCATGCACAATTACATAAGCGCCAAATTCACCGCCTGAGGCAGAAAAAAGTCGCCCGATGCAGTAATTTCCCATTATTACTCATTCATTGAATTGTGCCCCTCCGATTCTCCCTCTCTTCGAACCTCGCCAATTCCCCTCGACCTTCTCTCACTCCCTTCGACCCATGCAACCTACCATGGCGAACCCCGTCGAGTCTACGCAATCCGCGTCACTGGAAACATCTACACCCGCCTCTCCTGCACCGTCGCAATCCGTCCCAGAAATGCAGACCCAGCAGCAGCAGCAGTCCTTACAACCGCAGTCCGCCGAACCCGCCACGAAACCCACCCCCGCGAAGCAGCCCAAACAACCTAAACAACAAGCCAAGCCTGATGCCGGTGCCGCGGCCGACGGAGCCGACGCGAAGCTCACGCCCGCCGAGCTGAAAAAGAAAGCCAAGGCCGAGAAGGCGGCGCGTCGCGCTCGCGAGAAGGTCGAGCGAGAGGCTACCGGCGGCGGCGGAGGCGCTGCCCCTGCCGGACCGGGCACGCCGTCCAAGAAGGGCAGTGGTGCTGGGGGAGCTGGAGGAGCGGGCGCCGGAGCGAAGGATGCGTCTGCTGGGGCGGGTGCGTCTCAGAAAGGGCAGCGACATCGGAGAGGCTCTGCGCATGGAGCTCCGGGGTCGTCTGGGGCGGAGGCGAAGAAGAAACAGGAGGATAAGAATGTGGCTGTATTTGGACACCTGTATGGGCAGCCTAGGAGGACGACTATTGCGGGGGCTGGGAAGGAGGTGCACCCGGCCGTTTTGGCGCTTGGGTTGCAGATGAGGGATTATGTGGTTTGTGGAAGCAGCGCTCGTTGTGTGGCTACGTTGTTGGCATTTAAGAGGGTATGTTGTCTTTTTGTCCACTTTATTCCTTTGTGGGATGGAGTGTTCTTGTTTTCTGGGGGGTCGTTCATGCTGATCCGCGTTTAGGTTATCGAGGTTTACACGACCCCTCTGGGTACTTCGTTGCCTCGCCACTTGACCACCCACCTGTCTCATCAGATCACCTACCTTTCGACATGTCGCCCGCTCTCGATCAGTCAGGGCAATGCCATTCGGGCTCTCAAGCTGGCCATCTCATCCATCGACCCATCCATGCCAGAGGCTAGCGCCAAGGCGTCGCTCAGCGATTTCATTGACAGCTTTATTCGGGAGAAGATCACCGTTGCCGACCAGGTGATTGCGGGAAGCGCTGCGCAGAAGATCCAGGATGGCGATGTGATCGTCACGTTTGCGGGCAGCTCGATTGTCAAGCAGACGCTTCTCACCGCGCACAAGCAGGGCAAGAAGTTCCGCGTATCCATCATCGACTCTCGCCCCCTATTCGAGGGCAAGAACCTGGCGCGCACGCTCGCCAACGCCGGTCTGGAAGTGCAGTATTCGCTGGTGAACGGCATCAGCCACGCGATCAAGGATGCTACTCGTGTTTTTCTCGGCGCTCACGCCATGACCAGTAACGGACGGTTATACTCGCGAGTCGGCACGGCGCTGGTCGCCATGTCGGCCAAGGAGCGTGCCGGCGGCGTCGAAGTGCCTGTGATCGTGTGCTGCGAGACCGTCAAGTTCACCGACCGCGTTGCGCTGGACAGCATCGTCGTCAACGAGATTGCTGATGCCGACGAGCTGGTTCCCCACCCCCCTGCGCACCAATTCACCGATCTACCAGACCCTGCCGCCGAGGCCGCCGTACAAGCAGAAACCACGAAGAAGGGCAGCAAGGCGGCTGCTCCCAGTCCCGAGCCCGCCAACATCCCTAAGAACAGTGATTCCCCTCTGGCGAGCTGGAAAGACACCGCCAACCTGCAGCTGCTCAACATCATGTACGATGTCACCCCCGCCGAGTACGTGGACATGGTGGTTACGGAGATGGGCAGCTTGCCGCCTAGTGCTGTGCCTATTGTGCATCGGATGAGTACGAATCTGTGAGAGGCTTGATTTAATTTCCTTTCCCCCCCCCATTTTCTCTCTAGCTGAAATGAATCTGTGGTCTCTTTTTTCCTTTTTTCGTTGTTTTTAATCTCGGGCTTGAGGATGGAATGGCATTGATTCTCGGAGGACTCGACATGGTCTATTGACTAAACGGTGTACTGGTATAGGTAGGCAGGCATTAGAGAAAAAGTTTCATACCTTTCTAGCACTTGTGTGTAGTCATTATGCAGCGTTTGTTTCTAGATGGTGTATCTCACCGCCCGCAAGACTTCCTAGGCGGTCAGCTTTCTAAAAATCCTGCCCAGAATCTTGACCGCCCACGCTAATCTGACCGCCCAAAGCCTTATGGGACGTCGCGGGGAAGTATTCTTTAAGCAATTTGTCCTTCTATACACCATTAACGCGTACTAAGCCTAAGTACAGAGAGACATACTCTGATCGAGCCTTGCATTTCTTTCTCAATTCTTTCCGTTGAGAATGGCTACCAAGTGAGTCCTCCAAATGCAGGTACCCACTATAGACGCTAGTTTCTACCGGCAATATTTCAATCCAGTCACGTGGCAAGGACGATACTGCCGGTGTTGAAGCAATCAACAACCACTACCTTCCTACTTACTTTTCTATCATCTCAACAACTGTACGTCCATCTATCTGTACACTCCAAATAAGCTCAACCAAAACCCAAAGACTACAAAAAGCAACCAAATCCAAAATGGTATCTTCCTCTCTCTCCTCCATTCATCCCTCACCCCCATCCAAACCAAATCAAACTAACCCCCCTCCTCCAGAGCAAAGACTCCTCCCCCACAAACATCCACATGCACCACCCCCGTCTGGCCGACTTCTACGAAGACTTCACCCGCCCCCACACATCCATCCTCTCATCCTCCTCATCCTCCAACAACCCCGGCACCACCACGACGACAACAACAACAACAACACACGCCCCAGCCAGCAACACCAACAACGGCGGCGCCAGCGGCGGAGGGACCACAACCGTAACCTACGGCTCTTCATCCCCAACCCTCGTGCCCTCCTACCTACCCATCGAAGACATCTACGTGGCAGCGCAATACCAGCCCCCGAACCCAGAAGACGAGGACGACGTGGTGCCGGACCAGCACGCGGCGTTTGGGATCGCGAGGGCGATGGAACGGAGACGGGAAGCCGTGTGGCGCGATCTGGGCATGGAGGAGTTGATGGGTGCGAGTGGCGGTGTTGGGGGGAGGGGTGGGGGTGGACTACTGGGTGGTGGGCTTGCTGGTGGCTCTGGTGTTGGTGCTGGGGGGCTGGGGGGATTGAATATGGGGGTTGGGAGTGGGAGTGCGGCGGGGGTTAGGGTGAGGGTTAAGGAGAGTGGGAGGAGGATGGGGGGGAGGAGGGATGTGATTTGTTTGAGGTGATTTTTTCCCTTTCCTTTTTCTATCCTCTGGATATGTTGTGTGAGAAAGGGGTTTGAGGCAAGGGGAGGAGATTCGGTCTGTTAGGGTTTACGGTGTTGGGTTGGGATGGATGGATGGATGGATTATTATACCCGGTCGTTATTTCATTTCATGGTTCACTAGTAAAGCCTATCAATACACTATATCCCATTTCCTATATCCGGATGATATCTACTCGCGCGCGTTCGTAGAGTTTATGGCCGAGTTGTTTCTGTTTGCGCTCCTCCTCGTCGATCTCGCGGCGATGGATCGCCATCTGCGCGTACGTCCCGGCTGCACGTCGTTTAGAGAGTGTGCCCGGGTTGATGACCAGGACGCTGTTGACCACCTAGACATAAAGCTGATCAGCACTACTTGATTCAATCCACAGAAGAAGACTGGACTTACCTTGACAAATGGCGGGAGCATACTCGGCGTAATGAGCACGTCCGGACGCACGTTCCACCACTCTCCGAGCTTGAGATAGCTGACGTCGAGCATAGCCCCCGTGGCCAGTGAGTCCTCGATAGGAGGCTTGGGGAAGGAGTCGCGCGACGATGGGGGGAAGATCGGGAGGAAGTGCCGTTGCTCGATGAGGTATTTTGGTAGTCGCGTGAGCAGATTTCCTTCTGCGGGCCGTCCTTGAAGGACCTCCTCTTTGCGGAGTTCGTACAGAACGTCATGCGAGCCCATGCCGATGACCGTTTCGTTCAGAGATAACGTCACGGGGTTAGACACCATGCGAACCTGTTTCGGCAGTCCCAGTTCCTTTTTCGGGAGCTGTTCTTGCGGCCAAGAGACGTGTTTGCTCACAGCATCGCGGACGGACGGCACCAGGACTATGGTGATGCTGGGCACAGCGGCAGCCAGGCGCTGCAGGGGCGTCGAGATGCAATGCCGGAACACCGTGGTTAGGGTTACTGTGTCCGGGTCTCCGTTGAAGTCTGGGAGATCGAAATCCCCCGACGCTAGCAGCGGGTGCTCGATGTCCAAGAATGGTCCCATCAGGATGACGCTGTCTGCCAGGCCATCCGCGGCCTTCTGGCATATCTCGTGTAGTGGCTCGAATTCTAGATTATCGTCGGCTGTATACGGTCCTGAGGCAACCAAGACGTTCAATTGCGAAGAGCCGGACTCGTCCAAACGCCGGTTGATGTTCTCCAGTGCAGCCACAGACGAAGCCGCTGGTGGGAGAAGCGGCGTCGGAAGTATTTCCTTGACCGAAAAATAATTCCCCGAGGCATTGATTCCCCTGAGTGCGACAATCTGGCCGGGTATCAAGTTCACGGACGGAAGCGAATCGATCTTTAGAGGCACTCGTAAACCAGCTCCCGTTCGTCTCGAGGTTTCCAGCACCAGGGACGCCGGGTTGAGCTTCCCCTCCAGACTGTCGGATGCGATGCGCCCAACGGCAACCACCTCACCCGTGCTCTGAATAGACGCACTGCCAAATGGAAGATCCTCGGTCTCGTATTGTTTCTGAAACAACGCCATGAATTCATCGATCCGATCGTCCAGAATCTCGGACGCTTCCGACTGCCGCATTGCCATAGGTTTATATCCGAACTTTTTGAGATCCGTATTCGCTGTGGGCTTTATCCGAGCCTCGGAGAAGGGTGCCATAGGCGTGTCGGGCGCTGATAAGTGCGAGTTAAGGGTTTCAAGCGTCTGTCCAGGATTCGTACGTTCCGAGAATGGTACCGGCCTGCGATTGCGGTCAATTGGGGTTTACTCAAGATACGGTTTTCTAGCACCTACTGGGGTCCATCGCCCACAGGTCCACCATTCGTCTTGCGGGGAGTTTTGGAGCTCATTGGAGACTCGTTGTTTCCCGCTCTTCCAATCTTCGAGATGGACGGCGACCCAAAATCGGATTTGCGCTTCGCTGAGCCATTGGCATTATTGGGAGTTCGGTTGTGGGAGGCATTGGGTGTCAGGCCATCAAACCTAAGACACAAGTATTAGTCTTCGCCGGGGATAGAACACGATCTCCATTTGACGGCGCCTATACTTACATGCCAAATACATCAGAGGTTGCATTAGCCCGCGGGGTTGCCGTTGTCGCCTTTCTGTTCTCCGCATGTCGTCCGGCCTTGCTTCGACTCTCGCGCTCCAGGGTGTCTTGCACATCTCGCTTGAACAGGCGAACAGTGTCTAGGTTCAGATTCGTCTCCTCCGCGCCCATCTTCAAACAATATGATTCCCACTTATAGAACAGCTCTTGCGGGGCGATCGAGTGCACTCGTAGGATGGACTGTAATTCCGCCAAGACATCTTTGGGGATTCCGCCGGGGGAGACTCCTGCAAAGAGCTCATTGAGCTCAGCGACGATGTCGTCTTCCATGGTGTCGACTTGGGTGAACTTCAACTCAGGTGCTCCGGGCAATGCAAGCCTTCAATGTCCGCCAGAAAGTGCCGACGCGCACACGGCGAGAGACACGCGCACCCGCGTTGTGACCGCCTACCGGATCGGGAGCCCAGCCAGCGACCCGCCCGTCCACGTATTCTGTAGATTATTCTGTCGACGATCTTCCTGTGGGCCTGTCGATCACTGCTGACTGGTGACCCTGTTCACTCATTTGCTGAGATTCCCACGAGAAAGGACAAAAAGGACAGACTGCAAATACAAATAAAAAAAAAGGCCATTGAGGTGATATATGGTGCACTGGCCCCCTTCCATCTTCATTTGTTGACATCTACTCCCTAGATTCGGCCTTAATTAGCACGCCTACCTACACATCCGCTTACCATGTCCGCACCATCGGAATCCGCTGCTTCGGCGGAGAATTCAACCAACCCACCTGCAACCCAGGCTGGCGGTCAGGAACCGACTCCAGCCCAGACCTCCCCAATTCAGCCCTCGACCGAACCAACGACTAACGGCAAAGATGTCGAGCTCGACCTGCCAACCTCCGCTGCCGACGGCCTCATCCAAAAGCCCTTCCCCCGACCTCTCGAGACCGCGAAACCAGAACCCCTCGCCGAGCTCAATGAGAAAGACAAAGCAAAATGCGATGAAGTCCTGAAGGCCGTTTCGGAGTGGACTACCGTGCCTACCACGTCTGCCGCCAATGCCCCCGCAGAACCGATCACCGACGAGGAGCGCATGTTCCTGACTCGGGAGTGCCTGCTTCGATACTTGCGAGCGACCAAGTGGAATGTTCAGGAGGCCGTGGCTCGACTCCAACGGACCCTGACGTGGCGCCGCGAGTATGGCGTGCAGGGACTGACACCGGAACATATCTCGGTCGAAAACGAGACGGGAAAGCAAGTCCTTCTGGGATACGACATCCACGGGCGGCCGTGTCTGTATCTTCTGCCGTCCAACCAGAACACGGAGAAAAGTGATCGCCAAATCCAGCACCTCGTGTTCATGCTGGAGCGAGTTATTGATCTTATGCCCCCTGACCAGGAGACTCTGGCGTTACTCATCAACTTCAGCGACACCAAATCTGGACAGAATGCCAGCATCGGACAGGCTAAGCAGTCTCTCAACATTTTGCAGAACCACTATCCGGAGAGACTAGGTCGGGCCTTGGTCATTAATAGTACGTTTATTCCAAATAATTGTTACTCCTACCGCGTTATTGTTTTTATCCGTCTGACTTGACGCAACAGTGCCATTCATGATCATGGGATTCTTCAAGTTGATCACCCCATTCATCGACCCCAACACCCGGCCAAAGCTCAAGTTCAACGAAGATCTGCGACAGCATGTGCCCCAAGGACAGCTGATGAAATCCATGGGAGGTGATGTCGAGTTCCGATATGACCATGCCAAGTACTGGCCTGCTTTGATCCAATTGACCGAGCAGCGGAGAGCCGCATATCACGAGCGGTGGGTTCAGGGTGGCAAGCGCATCGGTGAACATGAGCACTATCTCAAGACCGGCACCAGCCCCAGCCTTGCCCAGAGCCAGGCTAACTGATGGGCTTTCGCTACGGCCCATTCGACTAGCGTCTGGTCTGCGGGTCATCTTGTTTGTCTTCGTCTAATTCTATAGAGCACATATTCAGCGTGCGGCATATATTTGACTGCTTGGTTTAGAAGACGCATTACCACCGCGTTGTTGATTATAGATCTATTTCGGGTTTATTTATTGTTGATCACTTGCTATTTATCATTTTGTTCTTCTTCCATATTTACTTTGTCTCTTTCTCAGCAACTTACAGAGATTAGAAATGTACATAGACCAGAGCTGATAGCGGTTGATATGTTCTCCTTATGCTGTGGTTATATAAGCGGTACAAATAACTAGTGCAGCCCTGTCACGTGGTATGTGTGGGGTATATTTCTGCCTCATTCCTCGGGCTGCGAGGTTTCATACTTCCCTCCGTCGAGTGGAGGATGGAGTCGCGGGTGGCATGACGTGCAACATCCACGATCGAGAGAATCGAGTCATCAGGGCGGATGGAAATTATAACCAAACAATAATATCCAATAGAGCCATCCCTGTCTTCTCTTTCCCCCCATCCTTCATCGAGCAATGGGACCTGCCGATCCAAGGCGACTGGTGAAAGTTACTATCCGTACTACGTGTGGTGTAGTGTAGGGTAGAGCAATACTAGCATCATCACGTACGTAGTTCTCTCGGTCAAGTACTTCGTAGGTATGCAGGGCATGTAGATACTGTTTGCGTCCCCTCTCTGCTTTCCCCGCCTACATAACATAAGCGTAGTTATGCATAACTAACCAGCTATTCAACGCGGCAACGGCGGCAGCGAGCCCATTCATCCAGCCAGAGCAGTTCAAGACAAACCGTTGCCAACGTCGCTCTTTGGCTTATCCCACTGCTTGCCCACGTTGCAGGGTTACCTATTTACTTTCTCACCGGTAGGAAATCCACCCTCTCCGACAGTCCGACTTTCAATCGACCCATCTCCATCAATCATGACGGCGGGTGAAGACCCCACGGGCAGAACCAGCGCTTCACCACCGCCCCAGCCCGCCGCGACCGACGACATCCATTCCTCCACTACGTCGTCCTCCACCACAACTCCGATCACCGCTTCCTTCCACCACCATCACCTCCGCTCCCCCTTCCCTGATTGTCAATCAGTCCGCGGTCCCGAGGGAGGCTTTGTGCAGCCCTCTTCATACCTTCGGCCCCGAGGTCTTTCGCATCCAATGGCCCCTACCCAGCCCGAGAGGGCGATCGATCGGGAAGAACGTCAGGGTCTAGTGAGTCTTCCTCTCTTTACTTTTTCCTTTGCGGTTTTTTTTTTTTTCTTGCTCTACCGCCCTTACTTCGTCGCGCGTTCCTGTTTGATTATTGCTATTTTTATCGATCTGTATTTTCTTTTTCCCGAGTATCCTTGCATCTTACCTCCCCCCTCCATGCCCCTCATCTTGTCCTATGGTCGTGTCGACGGACTACGATTTCTCTCCGCGTCTAGACACTCGTCAACGTCGCATGGGATCCTCGAATCCAGGGCAAATTAATTGTACCGTTTGAACCCGTTGTGGCTTGGCCAATGCACTTACATCTGTCATCGATTTTGTTCAGTTAAATGCGTCAAGGTCTGGACTAATAGAGCCCTATCCATTATATCTGCTGTAGTCTGCCATTCGCAACTTCCTCAAAGTCCGTACCAGTTACGATGTCCTCCCGCTTAGTTTTCGCCTGATCATATTCGACACGTCTTTGTCGGTCAAAGAGAGTCTGAATATCTTGATCCAGAATGGCATGTACCCGAACCCCTCGAATCGCGTGCCCGACCCGGTCTCCTGCCAACGGACCTATGAGATTGAAGATCCGGCGTGCTAATCAGCAGCCAATGGGTGTTTCGAAACTTTAGGCATTGTTTCCGCTCCGTTATGGGATTCGAAGTCTTCCACCTTTGCAGGTCTACTGACCACGTCCGATTACATCAATGTCATCCAATACTACTTCCAAAACCCGGCCGCGCTGGACCAAATCGATCAGTTCCGGTTAGATAGTCTCCGAGGTACGCATATCTCTCAGTATACGCATTGACAGTTCATGTGCGCTGATAGCGGTCTTCATCTCAGACGTGGAAAGGGCGCTGGGTGTCGCGCCGCCTGAAACCATCTCTATCGACCCCGAGCGACCCCTTTACGAGGCTTGTCGACGCATGCTCCAGTCTCGAGCCCGAAGAATCCCCCTCGTCACGAATGACAGCCAAACGGACCGATCCCACGTGCTTAGTGTCGTGACTCAGTATCGCATCTTGAAATTTGTTGCCGTCAATGTTAGTGAAACGCAGAAGTTGAAGAAACCACTTGGAGAACTGCGACTCGGTTCCTATCGAAATGTCGCCACCGCTTCGATGGACACACCTGTCATCGATGTCATTCATATTCTCGTGGAGCGAAGTATATCGAGCGTGCCTATCTTGAACTCGGAAGGTATGTACCCATTTGGCCATTGGTCCAACCTTTTTGGAGTAATACTTACGAATATTTTCTCGCGTAGGTGTCGTCTACAACGTATTCGAGTCAGTTGATGTGATTACATTGATTAAAGGAGGTGTCTACGGTGACCTTAGTCTAACCGTCGGTGAGGCATTGAAAAAGCGGCCTCAGGTATGCGCATTCGGCTTTTGTTACTCGTCAGGAGCTGCGCTGACATAGAACCCTCTATAGGACTTCCCTGGTATTTACACCTGCTCTCTGAACGACGGTCTGGATACCATCTTCGACACAATTCGCAAATCCCGCGTGCACCGATTGGTCGTGGTGGATGATAACTTCCGACTAAAAGGAGTCCTCACCCTGAGTGACATCCTACAATACATTCTACTGGAAGGCGAAAATGATGACCTCTCCTGATCAAACCGACTTGCGCGGTCGATGCGCTCTTCGCACACTCACATAGCATGGGACTGGCGTTCATCTAGCTTTCTGTTACAAGCATCGGGTTTGGCTGCTCAATTGCTTTTTTTCTTTTGCACAACCAAGCCTTACGTACCATGATTCGGTGATATTTTCTATTTTTCTTTCTTTCTCTTTTGGCGCATGAACTCGTTACGCGAAAGAAAAGAAGGTGCTGTATGATTGATATTCATGACCAGCTTCCTGGCTGGACCGGTTTCGCATTTGGCCAATGCCCAGCCTACTAGCATTGGCGCTTACTTGGCTTTAAATCAATAGATTTCCTTTTCCTTTTCTATATTTTTCTTATTGCGACCTTACCTAAACATTGCCTGCTATCTTCATTTCCATCGAGATACACACTGTATTTCCTTTGTCGCGCAATGCAGCGACGGACTAGGCCGCGCCTTCCTCGTCAACACATCCATGTGTCTTATGCGGAAGGCACGTTCTTCGCTCACGGTCATAGAAGAATCATCCGAAAAGTGGACAGCACGTTCTCTTGTCATCATGTCTTTTTTCACCGAACCCGGACATCCCACAACTCTCATGAAGAGTCTCACTAAGCTTTCTTATCTTGTGAAAATTACTGTTGCATCATGAGGTTGTTCGATGGTCTCTTTTCTCGGCCTCCGGCCAGGGTCACCAACGGATCCCTATTCAATGACCCCGCCGCTCGTCCTACTATAGAAACCACCAACAATGAGATCACACCGACAGCGCGTTCTCTCGATGACCAGGACTCGACAAGATCAGATCTTGGAAATGGCAATATCAAGCCATATCTGGAAAACCCGCAATACCCGGCGCTTCGTACAGATCCAATCTGCTACCCATCTCCACTGTCTGAATCTACTCCCCAGAGACGTTCAACCAGAGGCTCCAGGCGACTGGCCGGCTTCAAGACCTTGCTCCGTCCCCGCAAAAGCCATCGTCATATCACGATACCTGCGCAGGTTGACGGTGCTCCTAGCGTAAGTTCAGGATTGGCACGCACTCTCAATGGCGGCCCTATAGATTTCGGAGTTCAGGAGGATCGATCTCTATATACTACTACAGAATTTCCGTGCAACAAATTCTTAGATATCAATGTGGAAGCCCGAAAAGTGAGCGACACCACAACCCAATCGCTCAATTCTGAGCAAACCAGCGGGACGGTCTGTCGCCATCCGTCGAGGTCGGCATCCACTCCAATCGCTCTTGTGGATTGCGAAGAAACCATAACCCAAAACTCATTTACTGATACCGGCTGTCTCATCCATCAAATACCAACCTCCAACCCGTTCTCGGACCCTTCCACTACCACCACACTCACCGAAAGCTCCACAAGGCAGCAGAGCTCGGAGTATAGTGGCCCAAGTACTCGGTTTATAAACATCTCAGGGAGCAGCGAAATGGAAGAAATCCCACTTGCCCAGAGATATCCTAGCTCGATAATGGATGATGTCTTCCCTCGCAAACCGTCAAATAGCGGAAAGGGGCTGGTGAAATTTGATCAACGTGCAGCAGTCACTGCATTCAACGAATTCGGGCCAAAGTTAGGACTTAAGCCCCTCAAACTCGTCAGAACAGACGTCGATACTTGCTCTGGTCAAATACCCGGTCAGTACATCGCATCCTCCCTTGCCTCTCCCCGTCTGACCATGAATAGGAAACGGTACTGGTCTCCCGAATGAGAAAAAATTCTCCAGGCGCCATACCGGGATTTTCAAGAGAGTGCAATCTAGTCTTCATCTGAAAGTGCCAACTACCACAACACAGCAACGTCCTTTGCGTCGAATGAGGACATTTGCACACTTTCCCCTGCGCTCTCAGGATATGACCTCGCTGAGAGGCAGGTCACTGGACACCCTGGCTCGACTTGGAGGCCACAGTTTTTTGAACCTCCCGGCGGACTTTGCACCTTCCACTTTGAGGCTCCCCGCATGCTATGTAGCCACGGTAACCTACCTGAAGGTTTTTGGTATGTTTACTGTCTCGAGAACCACGGCTCAATCTGCTCACATCTGCTGTGTCTAGCCCCTGCCGTGCGAAATCTGTTTCATAGCCCGGGGGACTTGAAGACGGCGGCTCGTACATACGACTACTTTGCGCAGCAAGTATTATCGGCCGAGAAGGAACAAGATCGCATCGAATTGACGTTGAGAGGCAGCGAGATGCCCATTGATCTGGTTGAAGTTCTCAACCAAGAGGCACCAGGACAGAATGTATCACAGGTTCTCGGTGTTGCGTGGGCATTCAAGGCCCTTTTAGGCGGGCTTCCTGGAGGCATCCTAGGGTCGTTCGAGCTTCACTGCGTTCTGGTTGATATTTACTACAAACATGTAGGCGGTATTATTGGGCGGGAAACCTGCGACGACCGCCCGTTACCTGGCCGAGGCACCAAATCTACGGCAATTGGTCTTGCGATTCTAGCGCTCACCCGTCCCCTGCAATACAATCTGATCTGCGCCGTTTTCGGGCTTAGTGCGCTCCTCCTCCAAGAGACGGCACGATCGGTGGAGTTGGAGCAACACGAAATTCGGGGTGGGGATACCTCGGCCACGATGACCCCCGAGAGTCTAGGGCGGATTCTGGGGCCGCTACTTACCGACAAGCAGAAGGACGATCAAGATATGTTTCGGGCCATTGAGTTAGAGATCGAGAGTCAACGGGTGGCCGTGATGTTAGTGGATGGGTGGGTTGACGTGAGCCGACGATTGCGACGATGGCAGAGTCGAGGCCTCCCACCAGCAGTACGCAGTGGAGAGCACCGGAGATATAGTCTACAGTCTAGAAGGACCGCCAGCAGCGACGAGACCGGGTAAGACGGAGAGGGGGCGTTGGCGCGGCCTTTGATCGGAACATCCAGATGGGAGAAACGGTTGGGTTTGAGCAGGAACGGCGGCCGTGCGAGTACTTTTGTTGAGGAACGTACCAATTAACTGACATCCATAGACATATTCTACGCGACTTTACCTTTTACTTGAGTCCATGGGAACATTTTGGGTTTCATTGATTCGCATATTGTACCCTGTCGGCTGGCGTATACGTAACGGTGTAGTCTGTAGCCAGTCAATCGCAACGGGTGGCGAGTGTGTCATGACTCGGAGGCGCTAGCTAGGCCTGCAGCATGGGAAGGGGACATCACGCCAGATTTGACTTTAGTGGCAGATATGGAGGGGGGAAGCAGACCAGAATAGATGAAATCCAAGGAAAGTATCAATGCACGCCGAACACTACGAGTAGAGGTGAACAGTGTAACACCCAACGGAGCGGAACCCCGGTGGAGACGATGAGGGGCTGACTCAGCCAAGCCTGCCGCTGATCGGTCGACGATGAATCGTTGGCTGTTTTTGCCGGCGCGTTTAGACTGAGTCCGGGGTCAAAAAACCGGTTCTGGGAACGGCCAGACGGTCAGCGGGCGATATCTTCGCCTATCAGATGTTATTGAAAGAGAGAGGGAGGGAGGGGGGCTTGAAGATCTTCGGAGTACAGGATTTCCTATCCGTACCTGCTTTGGTAGATGACACAGAACATTCCCTAGCTTGAATTCTATGTATGGTACTATGTGAACGGAGGGCAGTTAGGGTATGTATGTACCTTGGTCTAGTACAGACGGTGGTGTTCGGACTTTTGGTTTGAGTTTTGGGTTTGGGTGAAAAAAAAAAAATCTAATTTTGGGAGTCAAGGGAAAAAGGTAAAAGAGAAAGAGAGAAAAGGCCAAGAAAAAAGTCCCTAGATCACATGCAGGAATCAGGATGAAATCGCTACCTAGCACCTACAGAAGGCATTGGTGGTTGGATGTCGAGGCCATTTTAATTACGAAATGCAGGTCAAGAGTTCAAGTGCGGTGTGCACTGTAGGATAGTCCCCGCTAGTGGTTTCCAACCTATTGAACTAATTACTAAATCACCTGGTGGAGCAATCCAAAAGCAGGGAATCCGAGAAACGAAGACAAGGCTTAGCTGCTAGCATGACCCTGGCCCTGGCCCTGGCCCTGGCCCTGACCCAGGGGCGTCCGTAACGGTGTACGCAAGAGATGAGAACAATTCCATTGAGTATAGTTCTAATAGTTAGCTCGTCATTCCCGGCCTTTTTGACTTCCAGGGGAGATAGGCCCATCTGGCCAGTGGAAAAGGGTATCCGATGCTGGTGAAGTTTTCTGGGAGGCTATACGCAGATATGACCGGGGGGAAATTCGCTTACGGGATGGCGATGCCGGCCAATACTACAGAGAGTCAGAGACTCATAGAGGATAACCACAGGACTGTTTAATCTATTCCGGGGAAGACTGACCCGCGCTAGTCCGCTCCACTTCCCGTGACAGATCGACCATTCCTCTTCGGGCTGGACTGCTGTTTGTTCCTCTCTTCTTCTCTCTCTCTCTCTCTCTCTTCTTCTCTGCTTCCCTTCCAATCGTCGCCCTTTATCCACTCAATCCCTGATTTCGGTCCCTTCATCAACTTCCCTTGTTTGTCTCTCCCCCGATCGGTTCGATCTCATTGGCCATGATGTCACCCCCGATCAATTCGCTATCTGCAGGGTGAATTCCCAAGGACCCAACCTTCCATCCCTCTTCCAACTGGGTAATGTCCGATGAGGGCATACGCACTTCCGATTAACACGGCGGGGATCGATCCGGAAATGCTCTGGACGGTGTACCCGCCAGGATAGACGCCAGATCTGGTCAGTCCCTCATAATGGCACCCGCAGCCTTCCATCTACACTCCTTTTGCTTCTTTCCTGGTCGCTTCCTGGCTTTCCCCGGCCAATCATACGGTTTTGTTCGGGGGAGATCCCAAGCCATCCAGTCATCTGTTTCCCCAGGTTGCGCAACCCTTCAACTGCCTCCGGGATCTGAGGTCATGAAATATTAATATTTCTTTCTCTCTCTTGGTGTGGCTGTTAGAAACTACATTAGGAGGCAGTCCTGAACGGCCTGGCTTCTATTTAATACCATTGAATTATTTTTATTTTCTTCTTGTTCTTGCTGAAGTCGTGTGAATGGGTATACAGTTTCAACCTGAATGGGGTAGCCTCTCTCTTGTCTGAGATTTGAGAAGAGATCGTTTGAATGTTCCACAAGGTTGTAATTGCAATTGATTCATCTCTTATTTTCTTTTCTTTTCTTTTTTTTATTACCTTTCCTGTCTTCCTGTCCTTTCCCGCCGTTTGTTTCTCTCTCGCTTCTTTCCTCCGCCTTGCGCGGGGTTTATCCAGGAACCTTCCTTTTTCTTTGTCTAGATTACGGGGTTTGATGCCTTTCCTATTGTTCTCGGTGGATCTCTTCTCTTCTACCTACACCGTACACACCCCTTCATCCTTCTTGCTAGCTTTTAACCTTTTTCACATTCTGTACCGGCAATTCACTCGCAAGTCCGTGCTCCTGCTATCTCTTCGCCTTCGGCCCCTCCCAGCTGCTGGCACTTCCGCCCGCGTACCGTTCCGTGGTTAGCCATCGCTTTTTGGGCGTACCTGCCTCCCCTCAAGGTACAACTGGGTGCTGTGGCTTTCCTTCTTCCCACGGAACGGCCAGTCTCTACCCTCCATGATCAGCTGCAAATAGAAAGTTGGGAATGTTCCTGTTGAGGCTTTTCCCCTTCTCTGCTGACCGCATTCAACCGCATTTAATCGCCCCTCTTCCTCCTACACGCGAATCTCTACCCATCAACTACACCTCTACCCTCTTGAGTAACCGCTCGCACCTTCCATGCAATAACTGGAAGAGTCTTGATTACATTCTTTGAATGAAATCCGGCTGCATCTTCTCCTTGTTCTCTCGTTCTCTCGTTCTCTCGTTCTCCGTCAAACTCTCGTTTTTTCGTAACCTTTGCGGAGCCGCTCCCATCACCTGTCAAACTTCACGATGACGATGACTCAACTCGTCTATCCTCTAGTTGCTGATCGGCCCGAGGATCCCCAGCCTCTTTACTCTCTTCCCTATGACGGGTCTTATCAAGTCCCCGTTACCCCGGTAGGACACCCGATGACGTCCATCTCCCAGGTCCCTACTATGCTACCTGCTATGGAGCATGGTAGTCTTTATGATTTCAGTTATATGCAGGAGGCAGTGATATGGCCCGTCAAGACCGAACAGCCAGACGTTCCCGGGCAAGCACCTTTGAGAAACACCCGTGTTCGCAATGGCCAGCCAACCCCGCCTCCATATAACGACAGCAACACGCAGCAGACGTCGACACTAGACTTCTATACCATGAGTCACTATCCTGTGGATGGGTTCCACCCTGTGAATGCACCACCTCCTCCACCCCCGCCCTCCCTTCCGTTGGCAGCTTGCTCCTATAACGGCAACGTCGAGCAGCCTCCCTTGCCTGAACACGACCAGTCAAGAAGTAGTCCTCCCGCTAGACGACGGCGAAGTAGCACGTCTGTCACCACGATAAATGGAGAGGCAGAAAAGCAAAAGGCCTCGCGCTCCAAGTTCTTAGAGCGTAACCGTCTGGCTGCCAGCAAATGTCGTCAAAAGAAGAAAGACCAGTCCAATCAACTGCAAACCCAGTATTTCGCGCTGCAGGACCAACGGCGGCAGTTGCTCACCGCGAAGTCGGCTCTGACCACCGAGTATCTCATGCTCAAGAACGATCTATTTGAGCACGCCCATTGCAAAGATGAGGCTATCGACAATTATCTGGATGGAATGATCGCGGACGTTCAAAAAAAGGTGGGAGGCGCTCCCCAACCATCTCCCGACGCTATTGCATCGGAATGCGTCGCCATGTCCATCCCCTCGCCGGACACGTCTGCTTTTGGCTTCGACGGTCCCGTGCAATTTTCTCCTTCGAGCTCAGGGACTTTGGAAAGAGAGGTTCTGGAAGAAACGGCCCGACGCGCTTCGATCCATTCCATGGTCACCGACTTCTCGTATTCTCTCATTGATGGCGAGCCCGGCGACACTATGGAACCAGAAATCGACTTTGATAGCCTTTTGGACGTGAACAGATGCGCCTAGGGCGTTTCATCGACGTGTCGGGGTCGATTTCACTGCCGATCTTACTGAACCGACAATTTCCCCAGATATCTTTCCTTTCTATCGCACAACTTTTGGGTCTCTGTGTATTTGAATGTCCAGCATCTGACATCACCGAGGAATGTGTCTTTTTTTTTCTTACTTGTACTTCTTCTTTCCTTTGGGTGGTGACGGCCTCTGGGCCTAATATTGCTTTTATCATACAACTTTAGCGACGGTGTTTGGCGTTATTGGAAAAGAGCATTTTTTGTGTGTGCGAGCATTCCTCCTACATTTTCTTGTCTGCCTTCCATCCTTCACTTTCGTTTTCGGTACTAAAAGGGACTGGCTCGCAAAGGTCAGTACACGCACGGATCTTTCCTTGCCTTCCTCTCTTTTCAACCTTTCTAGCGTCTCATAGCGGCGGCTATATGCAAATCCCCGCATTGCGATTCTTCCAGCGCTTTCTGCCTACCTACTTCTTTTCTATGGTTTCCCTTCTCCTCTACCCTGCCCACTTTGCTCTCTGTCTGTTTCCGGTTTCTTTCTATTTCCTTTTCTTTTTCTTTTCTTGTTGGCACGAATACGATGTCCCTACTTGACTGGCTTGACTGGCTCGAACTAGTCAGGTAGGATGCGTGTGCTTCAATCTGCTTTTTGTTTTTAGGGATTAGCTGCGAAAACGAATTGCTTTTTGTTTTCTTTTTCATTGATTATTGTAGAGTGCTGGGAGTGGGATCTATAATTGAATGTAGATGTAGAGGTTGTTAGTCATTGTATCTATCTGTACGTAGAATATGCATTCGGTCCTTTTCACAGTTTTTACTTTTTGTGCAATCTATATATTATCATTTATTTGTGTGGTTGTCAGTAGATAATCACGTGGTGTGGTGAGTGAGGTGAGTCCAGCTCGTTTGGAATGGGTATCGAATCTATACTCTATGCGAGAAACTTTGATGGTTTTTTTCCCCTAATCAAACTCTTCTTCCCCTCTCACTCGATCCTTTCCCGTTCAACGGCGCAGATTCTCCTTCATCTAATTCCTCTTCTTCTATTTCCAACCCTTCTTCCTCCATCGCCACTCGATGACCCACACCACCAGTATCAGCACGAACCGACCCAGAATCCAACAAGGCCTCGATCTCCTCGAGACTCTTCCCCGCCGTCTCAGGTAAAAAGACACCCACGAAGCCAGAGAAAAATAGGTCAAGCAAACCGAAGAGCAAGAAGGTAGCCCAACCCAATCCGGCAAGGAGATACGGGGTGGAGAAGGACCAGGTGAAGTTGGAGAGCCACTGGGCGGCGACGGCGATGGCGACGCCGGGTTCGCGGATGCGCGAGCTGAAGAGTTCCGACGTGCAGGGCCAGATGAGGGGACCCCAGGAGAAATTGTAGATGATTATATCGAGGTATATCAGGGCGATGGTGCCGATGGCGGTGGGTTTGATCGAGGAGGATGAGGAAGAAGAAGGGATGGGTTGGGTATGGTCGTTTTTGACGACAGTAGCGGTGGCGAGCATGCAGAGAGACATGCTGAGGGCGCCGAGGATGAGGAGGGGACGACGACCGAAGCGTTCGGCGATGCAGATGATGAAGATCAAGCAGCTGATGACTTTGAGGGCGCCGAAGACACCGGTGAGGAGAAGGGTGAGGGAGGCGTTGTTCTGGCCGACGAGGAGGGCGAAGAACTGTGGCCCGAAGTAGGCCATGGCGGTGGCGCCGGTGGACTGCTGCGCGAGGAAGAGCCAGATTCCCAGGGCGAGACGGCGCGTGTTACGCCATTGGAGAAGCTCTCGGGGGTGAAACCCGTCCATAGCGTGGCGGTCCGCCTCGATGCCGTGTTTCATCTCGGCGAATTCGGCGACGACGTCGGGCCCGTTCGAGGCTCGGATCCAGACGAGACTGCACCAGGCACGACGCGAGTCACCGTGCACGAGGAGCCAACGCACGCTTTCGTCCAGCGTCAGCATGCCGAGCCCCATCAGTGCTCCGGGCACCAGTTGCAGCGCCAGTGGAACCTGCCACTGGGACGGCGTCGGGTCACTGAATTGGATGCCGTAGTCGATCCAATAGGAGATGAAGATGCCCACGGTGAAGGTGAACTGGTAGCAGCTACCCAGGCGGGCGCGCATGTTTTTGGGGCTCATCTCTGACAGGTAGATGGGGATCACGGTGGCCGATCCACCGATGCCCAGGCCGCAGATCACGCGGCCCAGGTAGAAGACAGAAAGCGCGTGGGAGTTGAGCACTTCAAAGATGACGCCAGCGCAAAAGATTGCAGAGCAGATCATCATCGCGCGACGACGTCCGAGACGATTGGTTAGGGGCCATATCGCCAAGCATCCCACCAAAGCCCCGGCCTGTTGGATCCCGACGGCGATGGAACTCACGCTGGTTTGCTGGTCGGCTGTGTATCGGAAGTCGCGAAGAAAGGAATCGAAAATGAGAACGCCTCCTGAAGTTATGTATTAGCCCGGACTTTTGTTTTCCTGGCACAGGAGTCACCTACCGATAACACCAGAGTCGTATCCAAAAAGAATGCCACCGCAACAAATAACAGCTGTCAACCAGTAGATACGAAGCTTGGCCAATCGAGGGGGTGAGGAGGGAGGATCACCCAGAGGGTATGAGGATGCCTCATCGTGAGAGAGGCGGGTGTAAGAGGGGTTCATGATCTCCCATTTGGGGATTTGTGCAGGAAATGAAAATGAAGATGAAGATGAAGATGAAGATGAAACATGTCCCTAACAAGTAAAAGGAGTGCCGATAATGCCAAAAGGGGAAGGAGGTCATATGACGTCAGATGACCTTCCGAACAGGACAAACAGCCGACAGCCGACACGCAAGCCTCCCTCTTCATCGCGCAATCGCCGTGCTGCCCTTCATTGGTGACTTTCTTTCATCTCCTGGGGTTCTTGGGCTCTTTTCTCCCCCCTCTCCAGGATCCTCGTTTCAGAGAGCCGAGAGCCGATAGACGATCGCATCGACAACGGCTGTCTGCGCCAATGTGACTGTCATCCGAAATGAACTACTACTACTATATATACTTCCCCCTCGTATCCTAGATCAACCACCCCGATGTTGGTCCAGCGCTATCAACTCGCTGTATATGCTCTGATACTCCTTCCCGCCCATCATGGCTCCTAAACGCCCCAATTTCCTCATTGCCGTGGCCGATGACCTCGGTTTCTCGGACATAGGATGTTTCGGAGGCGAAATCCGCACTCCGCATTTGAATCGACTGGCTGAGCAGGGTGTTCGATTCACCGACTTCCATGCTGCAGCCGCCTGCTCGTACGGTGTTCTCCAACTCAAACGTCTATGTTCTTCTCGTTGACCAATAGACAGTCCCACCCGAGCCATGATTATGACCGGTACCGACCATCACATCGCTGGATTGGGTAACCTTGTCGAATGGACCAACATCTCCGGCCAGAACGGGCCCAAGGGCTCGCAGATGAGCACCGCCCCACAACGAGGTATGCCTGGTTATGAGGGATATCTGAACGAGCGCGTCGTCGCCCTGCCTGAGGTTCTTCGCGACTCCGGTTACCACACCCTGATGTCTGGAAAATGGCATCTAGGTCTAACTCCGGAGCGTTCGCCCTTCCACCGAGGCTTTGACCGGTCTCTAGCCCATCTGCCGGCCTGCTCCAATCACTACGCCTACGAACCCCAGTTGCAGGGGAACGACGACACGCCTACCTTCCTGGAAGCAAGCACTATCGCCCTGCACATGGAAGACGACAAGTACGTGAAGAAGCTGCCCGACGACTGGTACTCGTCGGACGGGTACGGCGACAAAATGGTCGACTACCTCCGCGACTGGCATGACCGTGAAGACGAGCGGCCCTTCTTCGCATACCTCCCCTTCACGGCGCCACACTGGCCCCTCCAGGCCCCGCGCGAGTACATTGACCACTACCGTGGCGTATACGACGACGGCCCAGACGCCCTCCGACTCGAGCGTCTCCAACGACTGAAGGAGCTCGGCATGGTGCGTCCCGACGTCGAGCCGCATCCCGTGGACGCCGAGGAGGTCAAGCCCTGGGACGAGTTCACCGCGGAGGAAAAGAAGCTGTCCTGCACGGCGATGGAAGTCTTCGCCGGCATGGTCGAGTGCATCGACTCCAACGTCGGCAAAGTAGTCGACTACCTCTCCTCCATCGACGAACTCGACAACACCTTTGTCTGCTTCCTCTCCGACAACGGCGCCGAGGGCGCCGCCTACGAAGCCTACCCCATGGTCCAGAGCGGCGTGATGCCCCATCTCCAAAAGTACTACAACAACTCGCTCGACAACCTCGGCAACGGCGACTCCTTTATCTGGTACGGTCCTCGCTGGGCCCAGGCTGCCACCGCCCCGTCCCGCCTTTACAAGGCCTTTACCACCGAAGGCGGCGTCCGTGTGCCCTTCCTCGCCCGCTTCCCCGACTCCATCCCCGTCGCCGACCACGTCCGCAACGGCGGAATCACCGACCAATTCGCCACCGTCATGGACCTCGCCCCATCTATCCTCCACATGGCCGGCGCCACGCACCCAGCACCCAGCTACAAAGGCCGTGAGGTCGTGCCCATGCGCGGCGCCAGCTTCTACGACTGGGCGCGCGGCGACGCGGCCCGGATCCACGCGCATGATTTCATCCAAGGCTGGGAAACCTGCGGCCGCGCGGCCCTGCGCTTCGGCGACTGGAAGATCGTGTATATACCGAAACCAAAAGGACCAGAGCGCTGGCAACTGTACAACCTTATCGACGACCCCGGCGAGATCCACGACCTCGCTGATACCCACCCGGACCGACTGAGTCAGTTACTCAAGCTCTGGGATCAGTACGTTATCGAGACGGGCGTGATCCCACTGAATCCCGACCTGGGTGACTTCTTGGAGGCTACGGAGGCACAAATGCCAGAGAATGCGTGGATGGAGTATGATTATTGGAAGAAGGGGGCGAGAGATGAACCGGAGAAGTTTATGAGGAAGCCGCCGCAGTTGCAGAGGGTTGTGAAGCCCTTCTAAGTTTGAGGAGCGGGCTTTTCACCGTGGTATGGTATGTGGTTCTGTACTATACTGCGCTATCTGTTCCACCTATGTGATGCTATGCTATGTGTGTTTCTTATGATTAATGATATAAAATGAAATGAAAGAGAAAGCTCACAATTAAAGCATTTATTTGATTCAAAATGTGATTTGATAAGATACAGATTCAAGACCCGAGGAATTATATCATCACGAAGAAATCAGTAAACATCTCCCCCCGTACGCATCGTGAATCAGCCCATGTCCGCGATGTATCCTGTCTCCGGGTCATTTCTTCCAAGAGGAGAAGCGCTTTGGCCGCATTCGGATGGCGTTGGACCCAGGCGCAATTGTCTTCAGGAACAGTAGGATTGGAATCATGAACGCCATGGCTCTGGGCCTCGCGGTATGGACCTTCCTCTTCATGTGAATCTTGTCTCTGACTATCTGGACCCGCCATCCGCTGCATAGCCTTGATGATCCACGCGCGCTGCTCATGTGAGCCTTCTAGCCCAGCCACAAACAGCGGCCAAAGGAACCCAATTGGCAGGGAGGAAGCACCCGAGGCCTCTACCGTGGCGAGCTGAATGATTTGATCGACGGCGCGATGTACACGGTCGGTGCGTGGGTAAATGACGAACGCCACGCGGTGAAGATAGATGAAGATAGCTAGGAAGTTGGCGACGTATTGGCGGAAGGTGCGGCATATTTGAGTGGCAACAGTGGGGCGGAGGGTATCGAATAGGTGTGTTTTGGGGCGGTTGTAGATGTCTAGGATGCGAGGGCGAGTGTTCCAGAGGGACTCAAGGTCTGCATTAACTTGGTGGGCGATTTGGAGGACGCCGAATTCGTCACTGACGGTGCCGCGACTGCGGTGGTGGAGGTCAATTGAGACGATTCGGCGGATGACTTGTTGGGTTTGTGTGAAGAAGTGGAATGCTGGAGCGGTAATGGCATGTTGGACGAGGTAGGCGGGTTGGGAGAGAAGAGAGTGCTCTTCCTCGTAGCCGTCGTCGAGAGGGTTTAATTCGTGGTTGCTGGTAGTTGGTTTAGACAAAGTGCCGAGATCGAGGAGGGGGTCGCCTTCACGACCAGCAATTAAGGCCTTGACGTCTAGAAGCGATACCCACGAGACGATTAGATGGCCGAAGCCGATCCATGTATTAATTTGCTTGCGATATTGTCGCAGTAAAAGGTAAGCTGAGTGGAGGTAGGATGTTTCGGGGCGCCATGATTCGGGAGTAGACATCAACTTGTTCATGTTATTATGAGATACGAACTGAGGACAGAGCAAATGGAATCCAAACCTCGGCCATCATGAGCAGGAATACAGCAGTGAACACTCGCTTCAACGTTGAAGTATTCATTGCCCCTTGGAGATACGTTTGAATATCCGAACTCGCTTGTTGATGGAATGCTGGTGCCATCCGCCACCGTTTCCCTTCTTTCATAGCCTTGTGGATATCAGAGTAGCAGTAGATGCTATTCAACAAAATGCTGCATTCCCGCGCAAGGGCAGCAATTACCTCGCGGATATAGCTCCATTCGAGACTTACCGACCCAAAAATGGTAGGAGGAGCCTCTGAGTCCATAAAGTAAGCCATAAGTTGTTCTTGGTACGTTGCCTTTGATTCAGACCTGCCCATATCAAGAGGGAAGTCATTTTGCCCGGCATCTGAATAGCCACTGTCGACGGTAGGTATGTCCTCAATTGGCCTACTCTCAGCTTGCACTGGGGATGATATATCAACCGCTAAGGGGAAGTCAGACAGCCCATTCGTCAAATCAAGGTGTTTCTGTTCCAGATCGGAGGTAATTTCCCCGATGAAGCCGAGCATGTCAAAAGCTCCTTGGAAGTCGGGGGCGGAACTGGACCGTGCTGGACTCTCCAGCACCGACTGTTGGCCTTGCTCGGGGAGATGAGCATGTATGGACTGCCGACGACGCTCGTCGGGCCGCAATACAGTGTTGAAGAAGTTAAGATCTGGACGATCAAGAACCGTCGAGACAGCTGTCCGAACGGGCTTCTGAGTGTGACCATTGTGTCGAGCGACCAGGCCCGGGACGATAGTCTTGTAGCTGCATTGCAGATGCAAGCGAACGCAATTGGCACAGTTGGGTTTGGCTTCGTCGCAGCGTACTTTGCGTGCTCGGCAAGTTAGGCAGCCGGTACGTCTGCGGGGACCTGATCGGCCCGAACCCCGTGCTTTGGGAGGAGAAGCCTGCGGGTTGAGTCAGTTGGAGGTAGAGGAGAGGGAAGGTGAAAGGTGGAAGGAAAGAACCCGTACCTCCATGGCTGAGACAGATTCATGACATCGGAAGGCAAGTGGTGGACGCTGGTCGTTCCTTCTGCGAGTGATTCTCGTAATCGTCCCAAAGGGGAAGGTGCGTTCCCCGCAGTTCGGCACGTGGCGTGATTCATTCACCTCCTTGGAATCTCTCTATCAAGGGCCTATATTATGCGAGTTGAGAGATTCAATGCTTCTAGACTCCCAGTCATGTCATATCTACTATATTGCTCATCATGAACGGTCTACATCAAAGACAATGGATCTATGCCGCTTGCTAGTGCCCATCGGCTTCAACATGATATACTTGAACCACGCCTACAGTCGCCCTCATTCCACAAACTCTTTCGATCTCTTCAATTTCGTGGACAAACACCTAGTGATGGAGGAAATCCCCGTCTCTGATGTGACCGATGTAGACATTCTGGGTTCAGGGGACATCCAAGCCTCTTGGAGCTTCTCGGTGCTAATACTCTCATCTTTCAATCGCAGATCATTGGTTAATACGCAAAGGCTGGAATCCCACCTGGTGTCGTTCAAATCCTGACAGTGTGAGCGCTTCAGAGGGTGCCTGGAGCCGTTACCTAGGCATCCGAGACATGCAGCAATGCAAGGTTTACAATGACGATCAAACAGACCGACAATTCACCAGCTCCTTCTCTTCCAGATAGTTGAACCATCAATGATTGAATATATTCAAGCGGTGACTCTAGAAAATATGAAGGTTTGGGGCTATTAATGCGAAAAGGAATGTTCCTGGAAGTTATTCTTTTCTAACCCAGTCAGTCTACGGCCTTCCCTGTGGATATACCATCACCTTCACCATCATCTTCATCACTTTGATCATTTTTACTGCATCCGTACCTACATAGATCAGTGGGATTTCAGAATTTCTTCTCATCCCACAGCTGAGATCCGATCAATCTGCTAGTCCATTCACATTGACTATTGCCGCCGATTCGCTCGCCATGGATCTGAGTGAGGTCCCTAAACTACAGGGTGCAGAGAACTTTTTAAAGAGGGATCGATCTCTCATGATATACCTTCGGATTCATGGCTTGTATCTAGTCGTTTCCGGATATGAAAAATGGCCAGTTCTCCCTGTTAAAACAGAAGGAAATGAAGAGGACCCCTTCATCACCGACAAAGATATTGCAGAAGTGGAAGAGTAAATCGAAAAATGGGAGCGTGAGAACTCCCAAGCGACAGCAATCATCCTCCTTTCTGTGGCTCCCGCAATTTACGATGAATACCAGAACTACACAAACGCCTCGGAGCTCATTGAAACGTTGAGATCAAAGTACCATCATCAGCTTTACGATGTCCAGTTTCTTGTAGGCCTCCAGACGGCGATTCGCACCACTTCTTCTGGATGCAACGGGGTACAGGACTACATCTACAGGATGAGAGTCGCGTTGGATCGATTCAGCAAGAGTCTCGGGAAGAATAAGTCTCTTGATGAGTCCGTCAAGACCCAGTTCCTTTTATGCAACTTGGGAGATGAATGGAAGACCTTCTGGATATATATCTCCGGATTCGCTTCGATAAAGAAAAAACTTCATTCGATGAAGTGTGTACGGTCCTTAGGGAAGAGGAGGTGCGAAGAGAATTTGATGCGAGGTATTATGAATCCATCAAGGGAAAGAACGGCAGGAAGCGGAAATTTTAGAATGGTCTTTGAAGTCCTTCGTCCGTGAATTGTGAGATCTGTCTTGCTTCTGTGGGGATGGATCATAGCCTGTTGAATATTAGGTTGTTCTGCTCATGTGCATTCGGTTCGAGGAGGAATTTGAGCTTGGACACCAGTGAGAAGGGGTATTAAGATGAAAGGAACGAACTGAATTGAAGAAAATTTTGTGATTGACTCCATCAAGTCTAAATTCTGAAAATACAATACATGGCAATCAACGAGAAGAAAACAAAACCTGTTTATTATACTGATATCCATCCATATGCAAGGAACTGATAAAAACTACACATACAACAAAGCACAATCAATCACTCTATTGCTTCCACTCCAGGGTCCCGTCGCCACGGTTGGTAGTGCATCGAGCCAGCACCTCCGACACCTTCTCGCGCACACCCTCCTTGTTGCCCCACTGGGTCAGGAACTTGTTGACGATCTCGCCGCGGCTGTGGTTGGCGCTCAACACGAACTCCTCGATCTCCTTCTGCGTAGGCAAGCCGTACTGCGCGTGCGGGTAGTTTTTGTAATCGGCGTCGCTGAAGAGCGGCAGCCGGGCCTTGCCCTCGGGGATCTCGAAGAAGGCGTCAATATCCTCCTGCTTGACCTCGGCGAGGGTGGCCGGTTGCCAGGAAGCCTGGCGGGGAGGCTTGGACATGAGACGGGCCTTCACGCCCTCGACGAAATCCGGGTGTCTCATGAACCTGCCGGAGATGTGGTGCTCCCGCTGGAAGGTCTCAGAGATGGACCACTTCTTACCCACACGCATCTGGCGCAGCGTCACCTTCAGCGAGGTGGGCGAGCGCACCGACAGCGTCTGCAGCGTCTTCTCGGCCCATTGCTTCTTTCCGTGCTCCCGTTGGGTCTCCTTCTCCAGGGCCTGGAAAATCTCCTCCACCGAGTTGAACGCGAAGCAGCGGTCGATGGCCTCCCGCAAGCTGCCGGCCAGTAGCATCGGCTCCTCTCGCTGCGGCGGCAGGCCGATGGAGTATTCGGCCATGGTCTTGTTGATCAGGTCCAGGCGCTCAGGAAGCGTGGCAGAGTCCCGGAACACCAGCTCCGAGAGACGTCCCGTCAGGTTGCTCAGCACGCTGGAGTGGAGGTAGTGCGTGGCCACACCGGCGTACAGGGCCTGGACACCCTTTAGGCGCTCCGAGGTCAAGGCGAGGTAGGTTCCGGTCTCGCCGTCTAGACGGGGCAGGAAGAATGAGCCACCGACGTCGGGGAAGAAGCCGATGGTGGTCTCGGGCATGGCGAAGAGAGTGTTTTCCGTGGCAATGCGGAAGGGGGCGTGGACACTGAGTCCGACACCGCCGCCCATGGTGATGCCGTCCATGATGGAGATGAAGGGCTTCGTGTACGTCGCGATGGTGTGGTCGAGGCTGTATTCGAGACCGAAGAAATCGGTCGATTGCTGCTGACCCTCGGCACCCTGCTCATTCTGCAAAGCCAGAGCGGCGACGTCTCCGCCGGCGCAGAGAGCCTTGGGCCCTGCACCGGTGACCATGATCACGTTCGCCAGTTGAGATTTTTCCCATTCCTATATGATTTCCAAACAACCCTTTTAGCAAACCGCCTTTCACACACATCTGTATACCACTGCAGGGAGAAAGGCAAGCTAACCTTCAGTCGAGGAAGGATCTTCCGGGCCATCGAACCGTTCAAGGAATTGAGCTTCTGAGGCCGATTGAGCTCAACCAAGCGCACGCCGTAGAGGGAGTTGAACAGAACATCGTCGGGCTCGTCTCCGGGGAGCTCTGTGGGAAGGGTTGCGGAGGTCGACATCTAGAATCATCCCCATTAGCATTTCCGCCTAGTCACAAAGAGAATGGAATCGATATCATTGGGAGGCACGTACAGAAGCCGTCGTCCTGAAAGCTGGGTTTGTCACCTTGGCGCGCAGAGGCATGGTTGTTGAAGCCCGCGAGATCCAGCTCGACGGTGTTGGTAACCGGGAGAAATTGCGGAGTAACATCAGGCAGGAGTCAGCCTGTGAAGGGAGGGAGAAGAAAGGAGGAAGAGAGAGGACCAAAAAATGGGGTGTGGAGAGAGGGAGGAACTGATGACGAGCAGCAGAAAGTATGAGATCTCCGCTTCGCTTGACCTCGGAGTTTTTCGCGGAGGGATTTTCCTCGACTTCCGAGCTGCTCAACTGCCGAGTTCCCCTCAACTGGTTGGACTTGCGAACATGTGTTAATCAATAATGAAAATAAGGCAGTGCAGTAGTCTGGCTGGAATGATTATTCTGAGAATTTTCTGATGTTTGATTTATCTTGGTGGTTGTCACCTTGCTGATCGCCCTCACTAGAGGGTTCGATATACTCATATCGGCTACATCGTCTTCTGTATCGTCCTAATATCTAAGAGAACGAGGGGGCGTACATTCAAAACCCCTCCTGTCGTCTTTCTAAGCCCTAGAATGCCACCCGCTGATCAGACGTGCAACAAATCCATATCCTATACCGCAGTCAAAACAAGACAAATTCATACATAACTCGAATCTATTTGTACAATAAATAACCTTTCTTCGCCCCAAAAGTCGGATACTAGGATGCATCTCCAGCCAGTATTATAATCAATACAAGGCCTTCGCGACCTTAGCAGTCAGGTCCCTCGAATGCATAGCCAGAAGGGTATCCAGCGCCTTCTTCTCGATGATCAATCGTCCCGTTTCCAGAATATCCTTGACATCCACATCCTGTCGGTCCAGGATCTTAGCATCCTTGCCCAGGTTGCGCACCGCCTCAAACAATTGCTCGTCCACACGATCAGTGATTAATGTTGACCGTCCGAACTCCCGGCCCCAACCGTTGGCTTTGAATATCTCGCTGACCAGATGCGAGGTGGCGCCCTCCGGAAGGGCAATCTCGTTGTCGATGATGATCAACTGGCCGCGACGGTATCGGTAGCTCAGGGCTATCCGCCACGCCTGGTCGTAGATCTTCTTAGGGAGACCCGTGGAAAAGTCACGGGGGTGAGGTCCGTGGGCAACACCACCACCCTTACGAATCGGCGAGGTCTTGTCTCCAACACGCGCCCGGCCGGATCCCTTCTGTGCCTGAATCTTCCTGTGGCTGGCGTGAACTTCGTCCCTCCACTTGGTGCTGGCGCTACCCTGTCGGGTCATGTCACCTTCGTACACGACGGCGCGGTGGAGCAGGTCCTTGCGGAGCGGCACGAGGAGATGGTTCTGGGGGTATTCGACAAAACGCAATGGCTCCATGGAGGGGAAGGAGTAGGTGGTGGCTTGAGCGGGCGCCGGGGTCCAGATTGGTCTGGAGGCGGAGTTGTTGGAGGAGGTCTGGGTTTCGGAGGATACCGATCGCGAGAAAGTCTTCGATAGGCATCGTTGCTGTAGAAAGGGAGAAAAAGAATCGTCAGATGTTAGCCAAACTGTTTTCCTCCTGGTGAGATAGACGATGGGCTGTAGGCAGGAAAGGATTCTGGGAAAAGGGAAGAGCCAGTACCGTTGTAGCCTCAGACCCCGAGAGAAGACCACCGGAGCTGCGAGAGAGCCATCTCAAGGCTCGCAATGCGTCGTTTCCAGGCATTGTGAAGGATACGGGGCCCGTGGAGGCGTGGGAGGTCTGGGCAGGAATATGGGGTTTGGGCAGGTGAAGCAGCAAAAGTTCAGATGGCGCTAAGTCCGCTGAGGCTTGGCTTTTCGTCCGCGAAAAAAGTTCCCTCCGCCAAATCGACCTCAACCACCTTCGCCCGGTCCCCGTCACCACCACACCTTTACTCTCTCCACCTCCCCCCTACGCCTTTCAATTCCCGTCACGATGGCCCATTGTGAGCGGGCTTCTAAGCCTTTGCTCCAATGCCTACACAAGGCTAGCAGAGGCCTCCCCAGCCTCCAGCTTCAGTCGACCCGGGCCTTCCAAACAACAGCCCTTGTTCGCGAGGCAGCTCAGACCGAAACCCAGAGCCAGCCATTTCACAAATCCCCCGACCCGGAGCTGGTCTCGAGCCCCCGACTGGAACGCCGATTGCTACGACAGGGTATCTCGCCCATCGGTTCCCGTCGACGTCGTGCGGCACTGCAGAACTCGGCCAACATCCCCTTCGAACAATTGCCGTACCAGTGTTTCCAGGAGGCCCGCAACGTTCTGATTGGCGACCGTGCAGAGAAGTTGAAGGATGTGACGGCAATGAGGGAGAAGATTGCCCGGCTCGAGGCCATCCCCACGGAGGAAGCCGGCGGGGAGCAGGTGAAAAAGTCGAAACTCGTGGCTATGCAACGCCATCTCGAGCATCTGAAGATTCTCGCCGACATCAACGACCCCATAGTGAAGAAGAAGTTTGAAGATGGACAGGGTGAGACTTCTGGATCTCGATGTGACAGCATGCTTTATTACACGATCTAACCAAACTCCTTGATTGTAGGTGACATGACCAAACCTATCTATCGCTTTCTGGCCGATCGGAAATGGAGGGAATACCGACGCAAGATCTTGGTTCAGCGCATCACGCAGATGAGTGTCATCCCCGACGTGCTTCCTCACTGCGATCCCGTGGCGGATACCAAGCTGTACTTTGGCCGAAATGCGGTTCAGCCGGGTGATTTCGTCAACTCGCAGCTCAGCATGGTTGCCCCCAAGCTTGACGTGCAGCTTTTCGAGCAGGGTGAAAAGCTTGTGACCATTGCTGTTGTGGACTCGGATATCCCCAACGTCGAGAAGGACAGTTTCGACTACAAGTTGCAGTATCTCGCCGTCAACGTCCCCATCTCGGTCGCAAAGACGAAGATCGATCTCGCCAGTCTCTCGACCGAGTCGCAGGTGGTTCTGCCGTGGGTGCCTCCCGTGGCCCAGAAGGGCAGTCCCTACCACAGACTGTCCGTCTTCATTATGGAGCAGAAGGACTCGAAGCCATTGGACTTCGCTGCCGTCAAGGCCAAGGAGACGGAGCGCGACAACCTCCTACTACGAACCCTCCAGGCTCGCTATCACCTGAAGGCCATTAGCGCGCATTTGTTCCGAACCCAGTGGGATGAGACCATGGCCGCCGTGATGAAGCAGATTGGATATTCCGACGCGGACTTGGAGCTCCGCCGGAAGAGGAGCGAAGCTCTTCCCTACAAGAGGAGAAATCCCTCGACCTTCCGGTGAAAACGCTCATCGGCCACTTCCCCCTTATTTTTCGTCTCTTGGTGTTTCTATCATTCGGTCCTCGCTATGTACTGTACAATTGATATGTATGAATATGCACAAATTCCCAACAAGATCCCAACCTTCCAGTCGGAACTCCAGACTCCGTTATAGGTATACAAGACAAGACAAGATAAAAGCGAATCATTCCTCGGACAGCTGGGCCGGCTGCATCGTGTTGCGCACCCATTGCATCTTCGAAGGCGGCCAGACGCGACCGATAATCTTCCCGTTAATCAGGCCCATCGGGATAGGCCCGTAGTTTCTCGAGTCCCTCGACCAGGGCAGATTATCACCACCCACGTACACATGACCTTCGGGCACCTATCCCCATCAACCAAACCGTTAGCCGCCATATCTTCAAATCCATAGCTGTAGCTCCAAAAAAGATTTCCAATCATACCTGAATCATCTCCTGCCCCTTCCCAACCTCCGTACTGAACGGCAGGTCACGGCAGACAAAATCCCCCGGCATCCCAATGACCCTCTTGGCGCCATTGACCCCCAGAAACGTCGGATGGTAGAATCGCACCACATCGCCCACCTCAATGCCTTTGCCGTGCTTGTGCACTCGCGAGATCAACAGGTAGTCGCCCCGCGGACTGAATGTCGGGTACATCGAGGGGCCCTCGCTGAGCTGCACGGTGATCAAATGCTCCCAGACCAACGTGCAGGCGCAGAAGAGACCCAGGCCGTCAAGGGTAAGGCGGAAGACGGCGCCGGGGGTGGCCTTTCGAAGGCCGGCTCGGAAAAGTCGTTCCATGAATGTTCCGCTAGCTTTGGAGCATTTCGTACGGGGAACGATATGAGGTGTTGCTGGTGCTGCTACTAACCGTCTAGCTATGATTTACTGCTGCTTCTCGGAGGTGGAAGCGGATGGAGCTCCGGGAAGGTCACGTGTGGGACCCTTTAAAAACTCGGTTTTTTGTGCGGAACATTTTCTTGCTTCTCTTTCTCTCCGTGCACCATGCGACAACACAACCACTTCACTGGCTGAGTGTGTTTTCGTCAATGCAGTTCGTGTTTCCTTCAAGGATCCAACAGTCGACACCATGATTATGCTTGGTCGCATTTTCAAGATTACCTGATCGTGCCGTACCGGTCTCTGCCTCTACCTCGAGATTTATGTGTCTACGGGTTTTGGCTATGATCATGGCGTACTATCACCGTACATGTGGAAGGTGTTACATTACACCAACCATGGCCTATCGTTGTCATTAACATCCGCTTCTAAAATTGCTAGAGCTCGTCGTTGCCGAAATTAAACACCAGAACGCGCGAGTGTGGACAGTGAAGCAAGATTGACATTTGTGACCACTACTTCTGGTGGTCGCATTCCCTGAACGATAGCTCGGCTTGGACCCCATTTAACTATGGGACTGGGATGCTGAGTGGTAATGATGGGAGACATTCTTAGAATTTTATAGGCATTATATCAATCATATCATATTATTGTTCATCGTGAATAAATGTACCATTTTCGTTCCATTACTTGTCATTCTGTTTCCACATCGCATCGGCATCTATCAATCATTAGCCATGAGCCCAACCCCCAATTGCCAACCACAACAGAAAAGAGCAGAAAAGAAAAACTCACCAGGATGCCTCTCCACCCCCTCAATCCCCCTCCTCAAATCCCTTTTCTCCCGAAAATCCACTCCAAACCTCTCATCCCTCTCTTCACACAACTTCTCCATCCCTCTCTCCCCACAAGCCTTCTTAACCATCTCATCCGACACAAAACTCCCCATCAATGACGGCGCCCCCATCGGCACCGCATCCCCCCGATCGACCTGCCAGAAGTGATACGTCTTGCCATACAGCGGCGCCACGTCCCTCATTTCCGACGTCTCGGCCGCGTTCCACGCCGCGGACGGCACCGGCGTCGTGCGCGGTAGGGGCATGATCAGCATCCCGCTCTTGACTTCGTACTCGTGCGTGTGCCAGAGGGCGCGCTCTTCGGGGGGCAGCGTCTTGTAGAGACGCGGTGAGATCATGTATTCGATGCCCAGGAGCTTGGCGTTGGCGGCGGTTGAGGAGTAGAGGAGGCATTGGCGGATGTCTGTTGTAGCGTTAATATGGTTATCTTGATGGAGATGATGTAGGCATGTATGGATTTACTCACCTTCCGAGACATGCGCACAGTAATGATTCGCCTCAACGCACCGAGTGGGGTCATCTGCGTAGACATGGAACGCGTTTAGATGTGCACAGATCTGCTTGACGGGAGTGAAGTCCTGCGCCATGCTGGCTCCTGTCTCGAGGACATGGCTTTTGGTGGATAGCGGGTCTCCCGGCACGTTGTTGGGATCGGTGGATGTGGACTCAGGCTTGGACTGGGACATTGTGGCTTGAGATTGAGTAGATGGGTGACTATTAGCGAGAGATGGGTGTCCCAAAAAGAGATTGAGCGGTTTGGATGCTGTTATATATGACTTTGATGTTGTAGTGGTTGTACAGAGATGGATTGACGTCACGATGATAGAGCATGTCCAAGCATACCTACCTATTCTACCTTACTGGATGGAACGATATAGTGCCAATCAAGAACAATCAGGTTTATGTGAATATCCAGATATTGACTCTGGAAAACTAAGTTCAACCATTGACATAACTGATTACAGCGAAGAACGCTCCTGCAAATGCCTACTACTTACTCTACGCCCGTAACTACACCCCAACGCCACCAGAATACCCATCCACTTACATAGCATTCTTCATCTCCCGCAACGCAGCCATAACCTCCACGGGATCTGTCTTTCCGGTCTTCTTCTGAATCTCGGGGTCCTAGGGGTGTTGTCAATATAACAGATCCTACAGCAGACGCGACATAAACCGGATGAAGAGGTATAAAACTTACATTTACCCTCATAAACACGTTGTGGAGCTATACTCGTCAATAAACAACCCAACCAGAGAGAAAGGGGGAACATACCTTCTCATCACCAATCGTGAATTTACCCTGCGTTTCTTGGTTCTGGTCCGCGAACGCCTGCAGCTTCTTGATCGGTTCGGATTGCGACACGGCAATGCAGAACTTCACATTGCCTTTGGTATATTCGTGGCCGGGCTGGGTAGGATTGAGTCAGCTCTGCAGCTCTACCCAATCACACGCGTGCCGAGTTTAAAGAAGGGTACTCACATAGACCTTCGTATCATCAGGCAAAGCCGCGAGTGTCTCGTTCAAAGCCTTGTGCATTTCCGGGGCCGTGCCTTCGAAGAACCGGCCGCATCCTATAGGTTGGTTGTTTAGCATTGCAATGTAACCCCCTCCACTTCCGACAGCTTATTCTTTCAAGCTCGCGTTTCCCTCCTCTCCAAAGGAGTAAGACAAAACAAACTCACCTCCAATAAACAGCGTATCACCCGTAAAAACCACCTTCTGCTCCCCATCCTGCATGAAATAGCAGATGCTATCTTGCGTGTGGCACGGTGTATGCAATGCCTTCACGGCGATGCGCTCACCGATCTTGAATGATTCGCCATGCGCCGGGGTCTGGGTGACAGACTGACAGTTCTTTCCTCCGATGACAGGCAGTTTGCCGAATTTGTCGAGCTGTTGGATTTTGTTAATTGATGTATTCAGAGAGGCATATAAGGAAGCAAGTTACCAGTTCGTTGTTACCGCCAGCATGGTCCCAGTGGCTTTTGTGGATTTCAGCTTAAATTCTTTCATGCGTACTTCTTGTTTTTCCCGCAGAAGGGAGAGAAAAGTACAACATACTGGTGAGTGTTGACGATGGCCGTGAGATCGATCTTACCGGCCTGAAGCTGCTTCTCCAGCTCCGGGATGACCCTACAGTCAATATTATTAGTTTTGCTTCTTGATACTTTCCGTTGCCGATCAATTCAGCGGTAGGTAGTACGCGAGCGTCAACATACTCAGGCGGGTTTGCCGGGTCAATAATCACAGACTGCCTCGTCGGCTCGTCAGTCACCAGGTAGGCATAGTTATTGCCCTTCCCGGTCCCTAGATATAGTCAGTAACAAAGCCATCAACAACTCAAGCCACAGGAACAGGAACAAAAGACACGTTCAGTGGATGACAAATAGAAAATGAATGCACGGATAGCTTACACATCGGAATCGATTGAATATGCATGGCTCTGGCGGCTTTTCGAGGTAGATGCGTAGAAGCGAGACGGAATTTGTTTCTGAAGCTGTATCCAATGGAGGATTGAACGGCCCTTGTGAAGCTCATGGAGATTGTGCAGATGCAGATGCGGGGTGTTGATAGTCCGTTCAGATGGTTGGATTGATATGGCCATTACCTCATAGGCTGGTGGGCTTTGGGGGTCAGCCACTCGTCGGTGACTTGTGGCGCGCGCTAGCCCTTATTCGGAATCTTGTCAGCTCCCTGTGGCTGAGCTTAATGCCTTAGATTTTGGCCTTTCTGCCTTGTCGTGATACATACTAATTGCTATTCTTCATGTTGTTCTATTCTATACAATATACTTTTGATCATACCATCCCTAACGGTCGACTACTCCACGCATCTGCCATTTCCCATCCGAATTTCTTCAATTCATTCAAATCATCGTTCGTCCCCGCTGCGCTTGCCACTGGTTCTTTCGTGCCGGAGGGCAGTTGACTCTTTGATATTTGCGGCACCTCATTAATCCCCTTGGGTATCTGCTTCTTCAATAGTGTCGTCCACTGGTTTGTATTCCCCTGGCAGACAGCCGAGATATAAACAAACGAAAGTAGCCGTCTCTGGGACACCCATCCCGTCGACCTCAAAATGTGGTCCAGCCACATATAGATCCCTTTGCAACGGCCATTCTCCTTGGCCCCCGAGACGTCCGTGAACGCGATAATATTGATCATTTCTTCCGTCAGCGCCGTCAAGAACGCCGGATACTCTTCCGTGATGGTCTGCAGGAAGCGATCCCACTTTGTAAAAGCGTCGGCCAAAGAATCCCCGACCCTGTTTCGATGAATTAGCATTTCACATCGGTCGTAGAATCAAGAGGAATGGGAAGATCGTACATGTCCCCAGCAGGCACCAAAACCGACTCCTCCAGTAAAGCATTCGAAAGTACCACCGCGCCCTGCTCAGAGTCCTTGCATATCGCAACCAGCTGCGTCGCGACCGACGACAAACGCTGCTGGACCTTCCTCTTCTTTTGCGGCGGCTCGGACGATTCCTCGTCCCTCAGTAGCGGATCGAGACTCGTCCGGACAGCAGCATAGACAGGATCCAAGTCCTCGCCTCCCGCGCCATTCGCGACATCGGGCATGGGTCCCAAAGCAGTAGTCACGTCCGTCTTGGCCCAGTAGTAATCCCAAAGCCACTCCAGGGACCGCTGGGCAGCATTTCGCAGCACAATGAGCGACGGCAATTCACGATGCGTGGCCTCATGTCGCAGCTCCACGAATGAGGCCGGTAGCCCAAGATCCACGGCTCTCTGGAACATGGTTTTCCGCTGACCGTGGAGTTTCGAGTCGACCAAGCCGGTCACGAATCTGAATGAACGTATCAGAGATCAAGTTTCCCTCCGATAAAGTCCAAGTCTAAGTCTGAGTCTCTTCCAGACCAAACGAAAAAAAGAGCCAGTGAGAGGGGAAAGAGCACCTACCGACAAAAGGCAGCAGAGTAGGTGGCACGGATGGAGAAGATTGAGTTTTTGAAAGAATCATCATGCAGAATGGCGTCGGTCAATAGAGCCGTGGATTCGATTGGATGGGGCAGGTTCCCGCGCAGCTTCCACGATTCAACCTTTTTCGCGAGTCAACTCAATCATCACACCAGGATAGATGATCTAGAAGGGGGGTTATGATGTTACCGTGGCGCAGGCCTTGGACCGCATGTCCGGCCCCTCGTAAGACGGAGCAGGGTAGAACTGATTGCGCACAGCAATTAATTGCGTCTGGTCCTTCCATGGCGAGAAGATGACTTTCGCCATTTTGGTCCTGGTCTCTGAGAAATGGTGAAATGCACCTAGATGGGGGATATCAGGCGAGGGTCCTGCTGGTACTGTACTCAGTATGCTGCGATTTTTATGGGCGGTGGATAGTTTTTCCTCCCGGGTCTCGGCCACTCTTCCGCCTCCCGCGTTTTCTAACGCCTCATAAAATCACTTACGTCCATATGATAGAATCTCACGCTCCGGGATCTGCCTCGACGGCTTTTGAAAAACAGTTTCAAGTGGAATCGTCATCGCTTGTTTATTATGACATTGATCAAAGGTTTCTAATACTCGAGTCTAAGAGCTAAAAAAGTGTTCAGACAGCCATCCTTGGGTATCCCATTCATACAAAGTAACGCCATAATACTCAAAAAGCACCACGCTATGCATCGCTGAAAGCTATCAAAATACAAGGAGAAGCAAGCAAAAGATTGCGCGCGGACAGATCAAATCCATCCATATCCGTAATTCATGCAAGGCTGAGTGCCCAGGTTGAAGATCTGTTGAGATCCAGGAACAGCATGCTGATCGAGGTCGTCATCGTCGAAAAAGAATGACTTGTGCATCATGTTTCCCGTCGACTTGACAGGGTGGTACAGCGACGGCTGAATGTGAACCGGGTTCTGTTCCGTGCCGGTTTCTTGTTCGTCATCGTCCTCGTTTTCGGCATCCTTGGTGTCATCTGCCTCATTTTCCGCAGACGGCGTAAAAGTCTCCTCCAACTTCAGACCTTTACCCGGAAGACCTTCGAACGATGTTTCAAATAGAGATTCGGGGTGGTTGTAAAGACCCATTCCGACCAATTCCTCCTCAACTTTCGGCTTGGGAGCAGCGGACAATGACAGCGAGTTATCGTCGGGCTGCTGGATGGGGAGGAAGTCGGGAGTGGAAGGACCAGAGAGACAACCGGAAGATGGCTCGCTCGCATAACCGGATCCTGCTGCGTCGGCCGAGGGCATGCTGTTATTCATGGACATCATGTCGAAGGCCCAGTTGTCGGACATGGGCTGGTTGATGCTCGACGTGTGAGCTTCGTTGGTATCCCATGCGATCGGATCCACCTGCGAGCCACTCATTTCCATGAACGACGGTTGCTGAATCGGATTCGTATATTGCATGTCAGGGAAGCATGGATCACTTGACATCGGGATATTGGATAGTGGGTATGGTTGCAACAAGTTCTCGTTCGTCATGAGAGGGGGCGAAATATCCAGTGGTTGCGATGCCATATCCATGACTCCCATGCTGTTCTGAGCAGTGGTCGGGAAGTTCTCCGGGTAGGTGACGGTTCCTAGCGACGCTGGGTGCCAGCTAGTTGGTCGAGCGGCTGTACTTCGGTGGAAGGCGGCAGCCAGCAGAGCTGGATCATAAGGCGCTTGGTAGTTCTGAGTCGCTAGGTGACGGTACATCGGTGAGCTGTTGGACACCGTTGTCCTCCTTCTGCCGGTGTATGTCGGACTGTTGCCGGCGCTGCGGGGTTTCGTCACTCGACCTGTCTGTCTAGGTCGTGGAAAGGCAGACACCAGGTTACGGAAGGTCGATGAGCGTAGGCTTGGCTGGCCTTGGTACCAGTGGGAGCCAGCCCACGAGGGCTGAGGTTGCCAGCAATCGGCCATTGGGACGGTGATAGATGAGGTGGTAGGGTAGTTGATGGAAGGAAGAATTGGTTGAAGGACGAGCCACGTATTTAAGAAGAGATGGGGTTACAATGGTCGTTGTGAATGAACATAGTTGCACCCAGAAGAAAAAAGTGGCAGACAGAAGGGTAAAGCAGAGAGAAGATGGTGCGGGCAAGTGAAGGCAGAGGTTATAAGGAATATTAAATGCAGATAGGATCCATGGATAACTGCAGGCATGCAAGATGCAATAATAAGATCGGGATTCGAGACTTATCTATTCAAAGATGACACAGGGGTGAGAGGGTCACAAGGCATTGAGGCAAGGTACAGGAAGCAAGTGCCTCCTCCTAAGTAGGTAGCAAAGTCCCCAGTGCCTAGTTGAGTAACATACCCTGACGGACCGGCAGCAAAAGTGGAGGGACAATTACCTAAATCAGGCATGTTCCATATGATATTTTTGATTTTCATTTATTTTATTTTAGAATTTACGCCAACCCAGACCCAAGAACTAGGGGGAGTGATACACGAAAGTGGAACGCATTGCTTGATCTACCATCCGCCCCAGCTCCACGATCCCATTTTACTGTACACACGTTGGGATGACACCCGACGACGTTGACACTAACGAAAGGGGCCTAGCGGTGGTGGGGAATGGGGCCCAGGCGACGGACGGTCAGGGAAAAGGCAGGAAGGCACAGGAAGGCAGGAAGGAAGGATGGAAAATGATTCGGATGCGCCCATGCTTGCCAGGCTCCACTTGGTCTTTTTTTTTCGCTTTTTTTATTTTTTGTTTTATTTTTTCTCTTTCTTTTTCATTTGTCTCCCTCTTCATTATCATCCCTGTATTATTTGTATCCAATTTATCCATCTTATTCATTGATATTGACTTATTTTTATACTTCTTTATTAGTTCTCTTTTCTTTCCGCACTCTTTGTTTTCTTCTGGTTCCCATCATAATCCAATTTCCCTGGCCGTGATTCACCATCGGAGTTAACTCTGAAATTTACTTTTCTCCTCCGTAATGCTGAAGTCTTAGAGCGACAATCCCTGGACTGCCGGGGGACCCATGGGAATGGTGGTTGTTGGCGGTTGGCCGTGGTGGTGGGGAGCCAGTGAATAATGTCGATGGTGGGGATGATCAGACCCATTGGCAATCAGCAATTAGTTTGAAATTGAGGTTACTCCAACTGCAATCCACCGTAATGAAGGGATTGGCCGACCGGCGGAAGGAACTGGCACTCCAGCCAGGAGGAACATACTGCGGCAGGCAGGGTAGCGAAGGAGCTAGGGAAGGTCGACCAGGAAGGACAGCTGATTGGAATGGAACTGGGACATGCCGAAACTAAACTAAACTAAACTAAAGTTCAGTAAGGCCCGTGTGAGAGCCCCATGGTCTAGTCGCGTCTTGCTTTTCGGTCGTGTCTTTCCTCTGGAGGGGAAGGCGGCGAAGGCGCCCATGATTCATTTACCTTACTGTAATAGTCATAGTATGGAGTATGTGATTGATGATTTCCCTGGCGGCCTGAAGTACTGTGTACTTCCTCCTCTTACTTCCTAGACACTCCGTAAAGTCATAAAGTCAGTCTCAGGAGGGGATTTGCTCGTCACCTTACGCTAGTTGGTGCTCGTCATCCTGCGCTGTGATCAGTCTCCGGTGCCCTACTCCGTAGTCACTAGCAACCTCACGGTGTACGGAGTAGATAGGTAATACTACTAGGTGCTAGCCAAAGCAGTAGGGGTTGGATCCGGTGATGATGCGACCTTGATTTTTTACTTTTTTTTTTTTTACTCTCTCCCCCTCAGAAGGGCTTAGTCATATCCAGGCACACCTTCTCCCCTCCAGGAAACAGGAATGTCGCGGACTCGCGGTACAGTCGGTTACGACTACATACACCACATAGCACACGCCGTACGGAGATGGAAAGTTCTGACCCACGATCCGACCCGATGGTCAAAAGACAGAAACCCCTGAGGATAATTGGTCAAACTTCTTTTACTTATCCATTTTTCGTTCCCCTCCACCCCCTTCGAGTCACTCCGTTGATTGTCCCCACAAGTTCACCATTTTCCAACGCGTCACAACGCCCGTTACGCAAGGGTTACAATAATGTAATGTTCCCAGGGCTATCTTCCCTGGTCCTTCCTCCTTTCGTTGCCCACGGTGGGCTTCTCGTATCTACGGTGTACTAGTAGGGGGTAGGTAGAAAGACCATACCACACTCCATCTCAGACCTGTTCGAGTAGGTCACAGTGCCACTACCTATGAAATGCATTACGCCGCGATTTGACTCCTATGCCCCCATCAATTTAGACTAGGATATATGACAAGGGGGAGCAACCTACCAGGCATGAGAACAAGGGTCATGACCGCTTTTAGGGTACAGGATTATCTTCCGATCGATTCCTTTCGGGCTCGCCGGCGCTTATCCCGCCATCCTGGTGTTTGTATCACCTTCTTGGCTTCTTCCCCCTTGTCCTACCGCTCCCGTTGGGGCCATTATAGGTCAGGGCGTTCATTTATCTGTCTCCGGATTATTACCCTCTTAGTTCGTCGGTTATGTAGTAATATGATCATTAGTTATTAGTTTTCATCATCCTTGAACTTTTTTTCTTAGGTCTTAGTCGTACTTGACTTCCCCAGTTCCAAGGGTTATCCATTCATATTTATCACGGGCGGTCATGAAATGAGTCAATACTGGATGTAACTTGGATTCAACCCGTCATGAGCCGGGCTAGATTAGGCGGTATTAGTAACCTTCCATGAGTCTTTTATTTTATTCATTTAATTTTTTTATTTTAAAACAAATCTCTCGACCGGACCAAGAGATGCCAAGCGTTTGTTTCCATCTGGCCCTACCGGTAACTCTATTATTCTTGAAGAATGCAGGTTCTAATTTTGAAATATTTACGTAGCACCTCCTCTCCATCGTCACCGAATCATTATGATGATCGGCTGCTGCCCTCCCGGTTGAGATAATAATTTCGCCAGTCGTGAAGATCCAAGATCGTCGTTTTCTCTCCGTGTGTCACTTTATTGGATACTGGACGTACTCTGTGGTTAACCAGCAATCACTGTTCTTACAGGTACTCCGTCGGTGTGTACTAGTACTGTGTCTGAGTCAGTACTCCGTAACTCGTGACAAGACACATTGGAAGTCAACCCTCAAGGTCACGATTCTCTTTGGCCGTTTAGTGCCCACGGAGTATCTTAATATACACGGTGGGGTTCAATGTTTCATAATCATCATCATGTCTATCAGTTCGGTGTCCTAACTATCCGACATCCCATCTAGGAGTATCACCGGACAGACACCGCTTGGGGGTCTTGGATAAAATTGCCACCAAACTTACTCCTCCTCTAGCGAGCCTAGTTAGTAGTGTCCGGATGGTCGTGTCGTTTAAAGAATATTGATTATTGAGTAATAAATTAGTTGGAAGAGAGAACGGGAGCCTCGGCTAGCTCGTTAGAAAAGATGACAACCTTGAACTACTCCTGGGACGGTAGAACGGGCAAAGTACGTACTGGTCTAGTCTAGTCTAGTCTCATCTCATAGTACTCCGTGCTCCATGCTCCATGCTCCGTACTCAATACTGATAATCATTAGCAGCGTTGCTACGAGGCCGCGGGCCCCGACAAAAGGAAAGGCAGGACAAGACAAGACTCTAACTAAGGAGTGACTACGACATCCAATAATGGGGTGTGGATGCAGGGATTGCTTTGAACTTTCAAGACCTCAGTCCTTTCTTCTCGGGCGCCCAGCGTGGCTAAGTAACACGGCGGCGGCGAACCAAGAAATACCTACGGAGTAGATACAGGGGATATCGTTTGATTCTGACCAGTCCAGCTGCAAGCCTGCAACAACTACAAACCTACCTACCTGCCTACCTTGCCTTGCGCTACTGAGTGCAACCAAGTCCAAATCACACTGACCCGTGCGTGTGTGTCCTGTACATCTAAGTGAGACCGACCGACAAGGAATAGTAAATAATTACATCAAATTACGAAGTACTCCATACACAAGTAAGAGTTGGCGAAGAGGCTGAGGGGCCAATGCATGAATGGAAAAAAAAAAAAAAAAAAACTCCGTTAAATAAAACCTTGGCCATTCCCATTCCCAGAACCATGTCTACGGCCCTTTTTTAAATCATTCACTAGGCCAATTAGTAGCGGCTAGAGCCCACTCACTGTTCGACTATCGGTCTGCGACTGCGACTGCGACTGCACTTCATTCATCATGCCAATAAACGCCTGCTTACTTCGAGTGCTCTACATATATTTTTTGATCATTTGCATATGATGATGATAATAATGGTCTAATAATCAGGTCTATTTAGCATCTCTTCCTCCGTACAGTACCTTAGTTTACCCATAAGGATCCTTGAAACGTTCCATTTACATGCCGACCTCAGAACCAAACCCCGGGTTTGTCAGGGAGGAGAACAGAATATCTCAGTTTAATTAGGAAATAGTGGCAGCCCTACTCCTGGTCCATACTCCATCTCCGGAGTAATATACATACTGTAGTTAGTATCCGGTTTAAAGGAACGCGCCAACAAAAAATCTAAAATATTCAAAAAATGAGACCGCCCAACCCAACCGTCTTATGTAATGCCAGACGGCCAGAGAGGCCAAAAAAAAAAAAAGAAACGAAATTAAAATTCCGCGCGACACCAGTAATCGACATCATCGACAGCGACTAAATCGGACAATTGAGATCATCGTCGAATCGGTCTACAAATCAGAGGCCGGAGATTACAGGAGGAGAGGACCAGGTACGCATGTGCAGCTCCACTTAGGAGACGCTAGAGGAGAGCCCGCGCAGGGGAGGAGAGAAAGAGAGGGGCTCCTTGAAGTCCTTACGGCGTTACTTTCTTCGGGTCGGACAGGTGGCAGTGGACAGTGGGCACCTTAGTTACTTAGCCCCGGCCCTTAGAAAAATTCCAGAGAAAAACATTTCCAGGGGCCAAAAGGAAACGAAGTCAGGCCCAAGACCAG